GTTTTCCCCAATGTTCCTTATAAAAAATATCCTCCTAGCCATGCTGATTAGTCTTCCCCAATTTCCTTTTAAAAAATTAAAACAAAATAATAATATAAAAAAAAAAAATAAAAAAAAAATAAAAAAATCCTTCTAATGGAAGTTATACTTATAGCTCTGATAATCATATAATACTGTAACGGGCGCGAAATCACTGGTTCAAGTACTAGATGACTAGAGACTAGACAAGAATTCTGACTGGAGAGATCGTGTTCTTCTTCAAATAATAATAACGGTTTTATTATCTTCCAATACTGTTGGCACACACCGTGCCCGATGCGTATAATCTAATGTCTATGTGGATAACGATGAGGCGGAGCGCCAATGTGCATTGCAATCGAACGTTGAGTACGACGCGCTCCTTCTTCTATGTGAAGTTCCTCACCGGGCCAGAACCAGTCACGATCTGAACACCGAGCCCTGACTTGGCTCGTCTTTTATAGCGTTTGGGCGCGTACATAACGCAAGGAGCTAGCGCATCATAACAAAATGCCTCTTGCAATGCTCTGATTGGCCATAAACCACTGCGCCAAATATTATTCTTAATCATAATAATCATAGCGTCTTGACCTATAAAGCTTGAATTAAACTTGTACAAGTCATTTCATTTAACAGTTATTCTACCATTAGTTTATCATAGGCCCTATTATCAGTACACAGTCAACTGTATTGGCATTAATTCTTCTCATTGAAATACACGTTAGTAACTTTAAACTTATCTTCTTATCTTCCGTAAGTCCTATCAATTAAGTTTATGAAAGGAACCTGTATCTTCTCAGAGTGAAGAATAAAGTGTGCTAACTGGAAATTAATCATGACTTGCATTTTCGTTACAATACCTTCAACTAAAATAAAGAATTCAATTCCAGGCAAAAAAGATTTTCGTTCGTTCTGTCGTTTTACTTGTTGCCATCTTTGTGTCTGTAAACATTTGTATCCCCTCGTGCCGAGCTTGGCAATGATTGGATCTTTATAACTGGTCGTCAAGCTCATTTAAAGGTAGAGTCCATCATTTGTAATTTGTGCATTTTGTTCGTTTGAAGCAACAAAAGAGTTCAAAATCTAATGAAGGATACTGAGCATCTAACCTGATGAAGTTTCAACTAAGCTTCAGCTGTACATTCCGAGAAAAACAGCATTCTAAGATCTCAATTTCAAATCAAAAGTTGCTGAATCATGTTTTGAATTGTTTTGAATTGCAACTATACGCGACGTCGCGCACTGATCCGACGAATTATAACAACCGCGCGCGCGTGTGCGTCGTTCGAATACTTGTGCGCGCTGCGCTGAATAACTAAACGAATTACTAATTTAAATTTTCCTACGGTGCTTCTTAAGAATCACCGTTGGAAATGCCTTCTTTCGTTGATTACTTCAAAATGACAGCTTCCCAGAAAGAATAATTTCACAGGGAGTTTAGTCTCCTTACTATCTTTCAACCAAGTTAGTTTTTCAACAATAATTACGCCAGTTACTTTTCGGATGGCTGCAAATGATGGACTCTACCTTTAAAGGCACTTTCCGAACGGTTTAAACCCCCTTTCTCCACGAGGATCGTCTGATCGTCTGACGTATCGTGAGGTACGCCCACTGATCTCTATATAAAGACTGGATAGCTAATACAGAGCCGCACAATGTACGAATTTGACGCCATATTGGTGAGACCGGCTGGTGATCTACAAAGGACATGTTGCCGTTTTTATAGACAGCATGATTTCTTTTGTAACGTCGCGGTTCACTTGACTTATATTTTGACGACCATCACTGATCAAGGTTAACTACAATTTTTCTAACGTCGTGGTTACTAAAATGCCGCAAATATAACTTTTTCGGCGTTTTGAAATAATAATCACTACGGAAATGTGTCCCTTTTAGAACATCATAATATGTGTACGTGACCAAAATGCGCGTCAACTGTTGATACAACGCGCGCGTATTTACGCGTAGAACGTTCGTATTATACGCGGCCATCTTCGTGAGACCGGGGGCGAATTGGTCAATGTGCGAAGTCTACTGTGTGAATGTTGTATGCATATCCGCTATCCAGTCTTTATATAGAGATCAGTGGGTACGCCTAGGGACAGCTATAGACCTTATGTTTGTAGCAATACGAAAACAATTGAAAGACAAGTCGACAGATTTGCACTGGCGTTCTTACGTAATTCTCGAGAGTCTGCGGGGCCGTTCCCTGTAATCCTTTTTCTCTTCTCCCTGCATTTTCCATTCTTATTTAACTCTTTCTTCTTTCTTTTCACGAACGTTATCTTATTTTGTGAACATCTTATTTCTTACACGTAAATAAGATTTTAAAAATTATTAAATTATCAAATAAATTTTATGAACGAGATGCTTAACTAAAAAATTTGTATTTAACCTATATTCATAAATACCTCAGACAGTTTAGCCATTCCTATTGGTCGAGAGCCCGTCACGTGGCCGGTATTAAACGGATGATAAAGACATGGCTAGCTGGTCTTAAACACTTTTCCAGTGTCACAATAAAATGTGGACTCCTAAAAATCCAGTGCCTCTTATCGTTTCATTGGTTGAACGTTCACAATCCTCACGTAGGCATGCGCAACACTACCAGGGAGTTAGAATTTTATAGTTCTAAATTCAAAACGCAACGCGCCAGGTGCGTTCTGCGCGACATCGCGTAGAACACGATACGCGCGCGTCAATCTCCATAAAAGGGTTGTTTTCATCTTACTCGCCAGCTGAACACTCCATTATTTTGCAGGAGGGATGTTTCAAAAAGCATAAAGTGAATTTGTTGAACAAAATCGGGATGTTTTGAACGAATTATATGATTTTTTTTTACCGAAAAGGTATTTATGAATGGGAATAAATATGTACTCCGTCGGTATTTATCACTCTGTTTAATACCACTTAGAGTCTGGGTGCTGATAATTACCCTCGCCTCCGGCTCGGGTAATTATCAGCACCCAGACTCTAAGTGGTATTAAACAGAGTGATAAAAACCTCCGGAGCACACATTTATTCCCTTAACAATCTCTGAGCTGCGTTTTTTACTTACGTCGACCCCGCACTGATATTGTGCCACTCATTTCATTGATACGCACAACGATTCATTATTACGCGCGCGTATGATACGCGTGTATCTTATACGTTTTCAAAAAACCGTGCGTCGCGCCGGCGTCACGTCACACTTTGCTCCCAGCTACCATAAGAACAACACGTATTCTTCTGACGTTGAAACGCAATTCCTTTACTACATGTACTAGCTTGTACCTTTGAACGTGACCTCTTAACACCATATCCTCGGCTTTAATGAGCGGACGTCTTATCGTTTTAGGTGAGTTGATCTCTAATGAAAATTATACTCTTACAACCCAATTAAATACCCCCTTCCTTGAAATTTAATTTATGATATAACATCAACACGTAAAAGTTCTTACGGGGTAGGTCGTACAGTCTCGAGACGAAACCTACCCAAGGTCTAGCGAACTGTACCTGATGAGTCTCGCTTTTTAGACAAATTTCTGGTTTCTTGTCAAATTTACCAAAACAGACTGGTAAGAGCTTTTACATGCCGGCATTCCTTACTACTTATACTAACCTATAAACTACTTCACTTTCCGGTGTATGTTTTAATGATCCGTTCCTTACAATCCTTGAAATTTCCACGCTGCGTTTGTACGGCCTAACGTAAACTTCCTTTAGTATTCATGCTAGGCTACTAGCTGTGCCAATTTTCCTTCTAAAAAGTACCCTCCGAGCCATGCTGGTTAGTCTTCCCAACTTTGTTTTTTAACAATATTCTCCTAGCCATACTGGTTAGTTTTCCCCAATTTTCCTTCTAAAAAATATCCTCCTAGCCATGCTGGTTAGTCTTCCCCAATTTTCCTTCTAAAAAATATCCTCCTAGCCATGCTGGTTAGTCTTTCCCATTTTTCCTTCTAAAAAATATCCTCCTAACCATGCTGGTTAGTCTTCCCCAATTTTCCTTCTAAAAAATATCCTCCTAGCCATGCTGGTTAGTCTTCCCCAATTTTCCTTCTAAAAAAAATATCCTCCTAGCCATGCTGGTTAGTCTTCCCCATTTTTCTTTTTAAAAAATATCCTCCTAGCCATGCTGGTTAGTTTTCCCCAATGTTCCTTATAAAAAATATCCTCCTAGCCATGCTGATTAGTCTTCCCCAATTTCCTTTTAAAAAATTAAAACAAAAAATAATATAAAAAAAAAAAAAAAAAAAATCCTTCTAATGGAAGTTATACTTATAGCTCTGATAATCATATAATACCTTCAACTAAAATAAAGAATTCAATTCCAGGCAAAAAAGATTTTCGTTCGTTCTGTCGTTTTACTTGTTGCCATCTTTGTGTCTGTAAACATTTGTATCCCCTCGTGCCGAGCTTGGCAATGATTGGATCTTTATAACTGGTCGTCAAGCTCATTTAAAGGCACTTTCCGAACGGTTTAAACCCCCTTTCTCCACGAGGATCGTCTGATCGTCTGACGTATCGTGAGGTACGCCTAGGGACAGCTATAGACCTTATGTTTGTAGCAATACGAAAAAAAAAAAAAAAAAAAGATTGTTTTGGAGGAGCGCTTGAACTTCCTCCTGTAAGAAAAATTTCACTAAACAATCCATTTTCCAAAGTAAACAAAGTGAAAGCGCAATGCGCGTTTACCCGTCTGACAGTAAACGCGCCGCCATTGTTCGGCCGCGCATTCGTGCACAAACACGGCGCGATGTCCTATCCAGTCTGTGTATATGGAGATCAATGCGGGTAACCCATGCGACAGTCTACTACGCATGCGTAATTACAATGTGCGTGAATCCTCGCGCGCGCGCGCGAGGATTGCGCGCGTCTGGTAAACAGCAAGAATAACATCTGGCACGTGATGGTGAATTGACCAGTGAACGTTCGGCTCTCGATCATGAATATGTATGAGGTATAGTAATAATTAATGCGCGGAGCGGAGGATATTGATTACCTATAGAGGGCGCTATACAATAATTGATTCTCATCCAACAGCTGCAGCGGGAGCGGAGAACTAAAACAAGGACGGAAACAACGATGAAAAGATGAAAATACTGCGGGTAATGTAGTCGATCGACGGTACCATATAGAATAGTAAGTAAGGAACCGTCATAACTTACTTGAACCCTAATTATCTCCTTGGATGATCTGTTGCAACCTGACGCCACTAACGGCCACTTCGTGCAGTTCACGGTTGTGTACAAAGTTTATGGAGAGTCAAGAATCCTACCTACATGTACTCCTAGAACTATGAGTATGACATGAGGCTCCACGTAGTGGAGCCTCATAGATCAAGAAGCCCGCAAAATTGCCTGCAGCACAAAACACTAATAAAGTACAAAAACGTCCATCAAAATGGAGACATTTCACACAGAACCGCTGCACAGTTTGCCCCTATCATGCCTATACTCCGTACTTTATCTCTTGACATACTCGCGTATCATGCGCAGAACTAACATAGGTGGATTCTGTCGGTTTTTAGGCCAAAATGATGAAAAATATGCCCTTTCCGCACTGAGCCAACCTGACACTTGAAACGTGCACGCATATGATCGAGCGATGATTTTCGGTTCGCTCGGAGCGCGCCGCGGGGGGTACGGTACAAGCGAAATGATAGTATGTGCATGCGTACAAGTGCATGTACCGTATCCCCCTACATGTACATGTAGCATAGAGTGTTTATAGCTCATGATCATGAGCTCTTGACTTAGGCCCATAAATGTGGCCAATTTACTGGACTACCTCCGTAAATAAAGGCCACTCTTGGAACATGTACAAAAACATGTAGAACTTTGTCAAATTTTGATTTTCACATTTAGGCTTAGGCTAGTTTGCATTTGTAGTTAATTTTTGCTTTACTCACCCTCTTTAAAGGCTAATCAGAAAGTGCTGCCTTTTTCAGATGTCTATTTTTTGTGAAATTTCATGTTGAAATATTGATACGCGAACGTGTGCAAACGAATCTGGAAATTTCACGAAAAATAGAAATCTGAAAAAGGCAGCACTTTCTGATTAGCCTATAAAAGAGGGTGAGTATGCTTCTAAAGCAAAAATAAACTACAAACTAAGCCTAAATGTGAAAATCAAAGTTTGACAAAGTTCTACATGTACATGTTTTTGTCCATCGCCTTTTCTAATTTTGACATAAATAAATGTATCATTATGATGTCAATAATTTACCTGCATAATGATAAACTTGACCTGCCAGTGCCACAAGCATAATGAGGAATCAATACCCCCCACCTTTGACAGGGCCTTACACAACACTATCGCTGCAATATCACATTTTTTACTAATTGAAAAATAATATTGTATCATAGAAATATTCTCTCTGTTTTGTGTTACAAACCAGGCATACAGTCATGACAGTGGTGTTTTGTGTAATGTTTGGCCTACTAAAATAAGAATAGGAAGAGTAAAGAAAACCCCATCATGCATGTCATGAGTTAAAGGTATAGTCCATCATTTGTAATTTGTGCATTTTGTTCATTTGAAGCAACAAGCATACTCAAAATCTCAAAGGGTGCTGAACAACTAGCCTGATGAAGTTTCAGCTCAGCTTCAGCTGTATATTCCGAGAAAAACAGCATTCTAGGATCTCGATTTCATATCAAAAGTTGTTGAACCATGTTTTGAATTGAGCCTGAATTCAGCGTTCAAGACACATTCTCTCAGCCGAATGCAGCTATGCGATGTCGCGCACCGATCCGACGAATTATAGCAACTGCGCGCGTGTGCATAGTGCCAACGCTTGCGCGCGCTTCGCCGAATATAAAAAAAAACAACTACTAACGGCAATTTCCAACAGTGTGTCTTAAGACGCACCATTGGAAAGGCCTTCTTTCGTTAATATTTCTTCAAAATGACAGCTTGCCAGAAAGAATAATTGCACAGGGAGTTTAGTCCCCTTACTATCTTTCAACCAAGTGTGTTTTTCAGCAATAATTACGTCGGTTACTTTTTGGATAGCTGCAAATGATGGACTGTAGCTTTAAATCATGATGTACACCAATGGATGTCTCCCACACTGCAAACTGTGTAAAAGAGATTTCATTTTTCTATTTTTGCATTTTACCAATTGCATGAATACAGGTTCTAGATCATGACGGTGGATAAGATCCCACCTGGCCCGGGACAAGCTTGTTGTTCCCTGAGCAAGAAGAGAGTCGGCATACTGGTAGCGGTATGTTGCGTGGCTATCCTATCAACCTACATGTATTCACTCAACTGCTGCAAAAGCAGAACAGAAGCACCTCTGAAACTGAAGACATCGAACAGTCCGTCGTTCCACAAAATGCCAATCTTCGCCAAGATCAAATCAAACACAAGAATGCCAGAACCTTCAGTGAATGCCACACAATCTGAGGGCGTTGCTGCTGTGAAACAGACGGTATTCGTTCATCAACTCCTTCAACCTCAAAACCCTTCACCGACAAATCAAGATGATCTGTCCTCTTTGTCCTCGTGGTCAAGTGTTTACGACGAGGCGGACGATGATTTGGACTTGGTGCCAGAGAGGGCAGCCTTCAAACCGCAAGGTAAATGGAAACGACGGCTTCCGAAGGTCATCATTATTGGAATCAAGAAAGGAGGAACGCGAGCACTGCTGAATTTCCTTAAAGCGCACCCCCAAGTAACTGTTAGCGGGAAGGAGGTGCATTTCTTCGATCGTTTCTATGAAAGGGGCTTAGAGTGGTACAGGTAAGCCAGAGTTCTAAATAAAAGTCATCACAAGTTTTCACACACATCATCATAAGGAGTGGTGGGAAAAATCAGAGATTTCAAAATCCGGTTGTCCTAATTTTTTTTTTCAAACCGAGTAACGGTTATCTGATTTCTCGGGAAGCTCCCAAAAAAGTGAGGAGTGAGGTGCTGCATGCAATGCCCTCCGTGTTGATTGGGTATAGTTTGCAGGATTCAATGAGCACTGGGCCTTTCCAAAAACACTCCAGAAAATGGATGAGATCTCTCTGATCAGTTGAATGGGCAGGCTATTCATGAAACAAGAGGACCGCTAACGAGTGAATGTTGTTACAATTAGAGACCATGGAGCTGACGGATGTTCCCATTGTTTTCTTTATATTTCAATAGCTTTTGTCACACAAAAAACAGGCGGCTTAAGGTTGATTTCGAAAATCCGGTTTTCAAAATCCACACCGAATAGTGGAATTCACACCGAATTGTTGACAATTCTGATTTTAATCCCACCACTATTCATAAGTCACGACAAGTCCATCACAAGCTGGGGTGTAATGATGTATTGTAGTATTATTGTGATATATGAGAACGCAGCATCGCAAAACAAAAAATGTGGTATTCTTGAAAATAACAAACCAAATGCAGGGATCAGTTTGACAGAGCCGTTAAGGACAAAGGATAATAATTTTTTAAAACAGCAGGTTAACTGAAACATGACTGGTTTAACATTGCTTATGACTGCTTCGTGATATATTTTACATCAGCACATGAAAGTGCCTAGCAGGGTTTTTTACTTACTAGCAAAACTACCTTAGAATTACTGATGCTATTTTTCAGGAGGGCGATGCCCTACTCGTATGAAAATCAACTGACCGTGGAGAAAACGCCCAGCTACTTTGTGACGCCGCAAGTCCCAAAGCTCATCTATCGCATGTCACAAGACGTAAAATTCCTACTGGTTGTGCGGGACCCTGTGGCACGGGCCATCTCCGACCACGCCCAGTCCCTCCAAAAGGGTAAGACCACGCCCTTTGAGGAGAAAGCCATGCTCGACCCGAGAAAATGCAGCGTGGACGAGAGTTGGAGCGCAATAGGCATCGGGCTGTACTCAGTGCATCTGACGAGATGGCTGAAGTATTTCCCCCTCGACCAGTTCTTGTTTGTCAGCGGGAAAAACCTTGTGGCCAATCCCGGCGAGGAGATGGGCAAAGTGCAAGACTTCCTACACATCAGCAGGACGCTGACAGAGAAGTCGTTTGTCTTCAACGAGACGAAGGGCTTTCCCTGCCTTAGAACGGACGAGAATGGGGAGGTGAGATGTCTTGGCAAAACCAAAGGCCGCCCTCATAATCCTGTGGATCCTCGTGTCCGGGCCTGTCTGGCCGAGTTCTATCGACCGTATAATGAACAGTTTTACAACATGACGGGCATCAATTTTCATTGGGAGGAATGAGGGACTTGGAGTCTAAATTCTTAAGACTCTCAAATTTTTCAGGGGGCCGGGAATTGTCAATCCATAACTTGCCACCACGGGTATTCAAGTATCAATCTTCTCATGTATATATCCTTCTCAGGTCTTAATTATTCCAAAAAAATTGTCATATTGACGAATGGCATTCATTTTTGTTTGTTCAGTGTTGGACAATTTGCTGCAATCTACACAGAATGAATGATTAATGGGTTTTAAAATTATAAATAAGCACATGGCAAAAAATACTTATGAGTGATCAGACCACCGCAAATGTGAAGTACATGTATACTTAATTTGTATCTGACAATCCATGTACAGGACCGTAGTAATATTTCTGTCTTTATAGATACACATGTACACTATAGTTACTTGCAATGCTCAAATAAAGTTGTGTCAGTGATATTTATAATGGAGAGTATAAATTATTATGTATGTATGTAAATTTCTGTCATTCAGCACTATCTGTCGCACATAATTCTGTGATGTAACAAAATCAGGTGTCATGTATATATTCTCTGTGAAAAGTTTGTATTCTCTGTGAAAAGATATAGAGCTCTGTCGGCTTTTCCTTGATGAATCTGTTATTATGTTTCCGATTAAAGTTTACATTGCAACTGGCAATGTGCATGCAGATGTAGATATATATGAGAAAGAAATAGTGCAGATATTCTGCACTACATATGCACATACAGGGTATCTCTACGTAGACATAAGTATTCTTCATAGTCAACATCAGATATTTATATACTATGAAGATGTTTGTATAGTATTATTATTTTTTTGTGCTGGTGTAATATTCTGACCAGTACTTCATGTTTCTGTCCAAAAAGAATTATTTTTTCGTAAACTTGTCATAACTCTATTCGAAGAGCAAGATTTAATGTTGATTAAGAACACTTGTTCTGGAACTCAGTAATCTGGAATTAAGTCATTAAAGGTAGAATGGACCATTTGCAGCTATCCAAAAAGTAACTGACCAAATTATTGTTAAAAAACTTACTTGGTTTAAAGATAGTAATGACACTAAACTCCCTGCAAAATGATTCCTTCGGACATGCTGTTGTTGTGAAGAAAACAAAAATGTTTCAAGTGACACATTTTTGGAAATTTCCGGTAGTAGTTGTTCAAATCCTTGGATGGGTGCTAGAAGCGTTGACACGAAGCACACACATGCACGGTTGCTATTATTCGTCAGTTCAGTGCGTGACATCGCGTAGCTGCAATCGGCTGAATGAGAACGTGTTCCGGATGCTGATTTCGGGCGCAATTTGAGATCCTAGAATATTTTCTCGGAATATACAGCATGCAGAGAGCTCAAAGTTCATCAGGATAGTCGTTAAGCATCCGTCTTTAGATTTTGAGCACTTTTGTTGGTTCAAACAAAATAAATACACAAATTGCAAATGGTCTATTCTACCTTTAAGCCAAAACCACCAGCCATTAACTTATAAACGTCTGTGGAACTTACTTCCTCTTATTTCCTCTTAATTGAGGTGTAAATTTGTACTGACTCCAGATGTACTTGTATCATGTATAGTACGAATAAAGAATGTTTTACAATATTTCATGGGAAACATCTTGTGTAGTATTTCAGAAACGATCTCAGAACTTGGTGTTTTGAACATCAGGATATGCTTTTAGTGAGCAGGGCTGCACGCTGACCCACTAAGAACAGTTTGTTGTGTAGCATTCCAAACTGAATGAGAACTTTGCATTCCCTATTTTTCAGGCTTGCAACTGGGAATTTAGAAAAAAAATGAGGAAATTCCAAACTACAGAAGACATTGGACAGTGTTTTTCTATTTGTAATGGTATTCATGTGAAGTAAAAAAACGAGGAAATCAGCTGTCACAAAGTGTGATTTATATTTTTAAATAATGTTTCAATTTTTGTATTTATCATTGTGTTTATTAATGTAATTAATTATGGGATTTTCACTTATACATTTATTTTAGCACAAGTTAATTTAATTCTCCCCCATCCAGAATTGAGGCTACCCAGAGTGTACAGCAGAGCTAAATCTTTCTTATGCAAATGACAGTATGCAAATTAATGCCATGGTTGAATAATTTTGTTAGGACTTGGATGCCATGTGCATTCCCCAGGGCACTGCTATTCTAGACTTCGCTGTGTGCAGTCCTGTGTGAGTACATGTACATGTACATGTACATGTATATACAGTGGTACTGTGTGTACCAGGGCGTGGCCCATGATTTAAAAAGCCAGTTTATCCTGCAAACTGTAAGTTTTATTTCATCCTGCTTTATACAATATAATTCAGTAATAGAAGTGCATAACACAGAAATTATGAATATTTTGGGAGAATTGTGATAGTCCAGAAATGGTGCATTTTGAAGTTAATCTTTAGAGATTGATGTATGGAATTGCCTTTGGTAATCAAGTTTATTTTCATTAAAATTAATATAGTTGATGAAGTAAGATAAATTGTAAGAATTTTTGAAGATTTTGAATGCCATTTTCATTCCAGAAATTTAGCTTGAGCATGGAGCGAATGTAAATTTGATCATAAGTCGGTAGGCACTCTAATTTTCACTGTGAATTATGTTTAACCTTTTTTTAAAGGGCTTTTCCCTGTGGGAATAGTGAATTCCTAGGTTCTTGGTGAACCAGATAGCTTGTTCTGTGTGAACAACAGTAAGTCAACTCCCAAGACTAGCTCACGGTCTACCGAGAGAGTCAGGAGGAAGATTCGGAACCGAGTCCTGTGTGGGCCAGGCATCGAGCCAGATTCCAAGGCCCGGAGAGGTCACCCAAGTTCCCCAAGCCCGGAGTTCATCCGCCTTAGTGGGATCGTCAAAGCGCCGGAGGGATGTTGTGTGTGTGACTGGTGCTCCAAATCGACCACCCGTGTCACAAGTGAGCTTTGAACACAGCAAGTCCTTCAAAAGGTTTTGAACAGTGACTGTTTAGGGGGGTGATTGCATTTGTTTTGGGGTATTGGAAACGGCCGTATAACACATAATACAGGATCCTTATAATGCCATGATATAGTTGAGTATCCGTCACTCAAAATATAAGTAATTCATATAGTGGCATAATTCAATTGAAATAATTTGTACATAGTAAATTTCCGTTTGTTTAATATATTTATTTGTCGTAATTAAATAGTATTTTGTCTTGATCATACACATTTTGCCGTCCGGAGTTTGATTTTCTGTCCTGCTGATTTGTACAAATATATCCACTACTGTCCTCCATGGGAAAAACAGACCCATGGTGTGACATCAGCGGATCCGAGGAAAAGTTGCATGCCTGATTTTTGTATGGGCTCCGTGCGCTCACTAGAGAGGGCGCTTTTTCACCACTTTCGAGAGCCCCTTGGACGGGACACACAGCATGCACGTACTGGTTGCGGTGCGCATACAGCTCGAAGCAGGCACGACTGATTTTAATTCTGAATGTGCACAAGCCCATGGCGTCTTTGCGTGAGCGTTACGCGTCTTCGGCAATGCGTTCGAATGTCTCTCCCAAGTGGAGTCCCCCAACTATCCCTTTCTTACCGTTGAGGGGGTAATTGTGTACAGAGCCCATAAAAAAACATGAACAATGCTCTTGGCTTCCAATATTATTTTGTAACAACCGAAATGGAAGTCAAAACCAATTTATATGTACCTGTACATCCCTTTTTGATGGACCGTAAGGGTCAGCTTTCTGTCCTTTTGACAGACTGAGTCACTTACAAACTGAGTCACGAACTGACTGAGTCACCGAGTACCGAGATATTCAGGTTCAACTCGACTAGGTAAGGCCAAAAAAAAAAGTCTCCGGTTTCTGGTATGCGCGCGCGTCGCTGTAGCCATGCGCGTCGGCAAAATGAAAAAGTTTTTTTTTCAATAAAAGATGATGTCTCAAAACCGCCAAACTCACTGGTTTGACTGGAATTCTGCTGCTGCACAATTTTAACGTGTTTTTAGAGAATTATAGCAGCTGCGCGCGTGTGCGTAGTGCCAACGCTTGCGCGCGCTTCGCCGAATATAAAAAAAACAACTACTTACGGCAATTTCCAACGGGGAAATGCCTTCTTTCGTTTATATTTCTTTAAAATGACAGCTTGCTAGAAAGAATAATTTCACAGGGAGTTTTAGTCCCCTTACTATCTTTCAATCAAGTGTGTTTTTCAGCAATAATTACGTCAGTTACTTTTTGGATAGCTGCAAATGATGGGCTGTAGCTTTAAATCATGATGTACACCAATGGATGTCTCCCACACTGCAAACTGTGTAAAAGAGATTTCATTTTTCTATTTTTGCATTTTACCAATTGCATGAATACAGGTTCGAGATCATGGCGGTGGATAAGATCCCACCTGGCCCGGGACAGGCTTGTTGTTCCCTGAGAAAGAAGAGAGTCGGTATACTGGTAGCGGTATGTTGCGTGGCTATCCTATCAACCTACATGTATTCACTCAACTGCTGCAAAAGCAGAACAGAAGCACCTCCGAAACTGAAGACATCGAACAGTCCGTCGTTCCACAAAATGCCAATCTTTGCCAAGATCAAAGCTAACACAAGAATGCCAGAACCTTCAGTGAATGCCACACAATCTGTGGGCATTGCTGCTGTGAAACAGACAGTATTCGTTCATCAACTCCTTCAACCTCAAAACCCTTCACCGACAAATCAAGATGATCTTTCCTCTTTGTCCTCGTGGTCAAGTGTTTACGACGAGGCGGACGATGATTTGGACTTGGTGCCAGAGAGGGCAGCCTTCAAACCGCAAGGTAAATGGAAACGACGGCTTCCGAAGGTCATCATTATTGGAATCAAGAAGGGAGGAACGCAAGCACTGCTGAATTTCCTTAAAGCGCACCCTGAAGTTACTGCTAGCGGGAAGGAGGTGCATTTCTTCGATCGTTTCTATGAAAGGGACTTAGAGTGGTACAGGTAAGCCAGAGTTCTAAATAAAAGTCATCACAAGTTTTCACACACATCATCATAAGGAGTGGTGGAAAAAATCAGAGATTTCAAAATCCGGTTGTCCTAATTTTTTTTTCAAACCGAGTAACGGTTATCTGATTTCTCGGGAAGCTCCCAAAAAAGTGAGGAGTGAGGTGCTGCATGCAATGCCCTCCGTGTTGATTGGGTATAGTTTGCAGGATTCAATGAGCACTGGGCCTTTCCAAAAACACTCCAGAAAATGGATGAGATCTCTCAGATCAGTTGAATGGGCAGGCTATTCATGAAACAAGAGGACCGCTAACGAGTGAATGTTGTTACAATCAGAGACCATGGAGCAGTTGAATGCTGACGGATGTTCCCATTGTTTTCTTTATATTTCTATTAGCTATTGTCACACACAAAAAACAGGCGGCTTAAAGATAAAGTCCATCATTTGTAATTTGTGCATTTTGTTCGTTTGAAGCAACAAAAGTGCTCAAAATCTAAATCAAAATCTTTCAACCAAGTATGTTTTTCAACAATAATTACGCCAGTTACTTTTCGAATAGCGGCAAATGATGGACTATAGCTTTAAGGTTGGTTTCGAATATCGGGTTTTAAAATCCACACCGAATAGTGGAATTCACACCGAATTGTTGACAAAAATGCGGTACTCTTGAAAATAACAAACCTAATGCAGGGATCAGTTTGACAGAGCCGTTAAGGACAAAGGATAATAATTTTAAAAAACAGCAGGTTAACTGAAACATGACTGGTTTAACATTGCCTATGACTGCTTCGTGATATATTTTACATCAGCACATGAAAATGCCTAGCAGGGTTTTTTACTTACTAGCAAAACTACCTTAGAATTACTGATGCTATTTTTCAGGAGGGCGATGCCCTACTCGTATGAAAATCAACTGACCGTGGAGAAAACGCCCAGCTACTTTGTGACGCCGCAAGTCCCAAAGCTCATCTATCGCATGTCACAAGACGTAAAATTTCTACTGGTTGTGCGTGAACCTGTGGCACGGGCCATCTCCGACCACGCCCAGTCCCTCGAAAAGGGTAAGACCACGCCCTTTGAGGAGAAAGCCATGCTCGACCCGAGAAAATGCAGCGTGGACGAGAGTTGGAGCGCAATAGGCATCGGGCTGTACTCAGTGCATCTGACGAGATGGCTGAAGTATTTCCCTCTCGACCAGTTCTTGTTTGTCAGTGGGAAAAACCTTGTGGCCAATCCCGGCGCGGAGATGGGCAAAGTACAAGACTTCCTGCACATTAGCAGGACACTCACGGAGAAGGCGTTTGTCTTCAACGAGACGAAGGGCTTTCCCTGCCTTAGAACGGACGAGAATGGGGAGGTGAGATGTCTCGGCAAAACCAAAGGCCGCCCTCATAATCCTGTGGATCCTCGTGTCCGGGCCTGTCTGGCCGAGTTCTATCGACCGTATAATGAGCAGTTTTACAACATGACGGGCATCAATTTTCATTGGGAGGAATGAGGGACCTGGAGTCTAAATTCTTAGACTCTCAAATTTTTCAGGGGGGCCGGGAATTGTCAATCCATAACTTGCCACCACGGGTATTCAAGTATTAATCTTCTCATGTATATATCCTTCTCAGGTCTTAATTATTCAAAAAAATATTGTCATATTGACGAATGGCATTCATTTTTGTTTGTTCAGTGTTGGACAATTTGCTGCAATCTACACAGAATGAATGATTAATGGGTTTTAAAATTATAAATAAGCACATGGCAAACAATACTTATGAGTGATCAGACCACCGCAAATGTGAAGTACATGTATACTTAATTTGTATCTGACAATCCATGTACAGGACCGTAGTAATATTTCTGTCTTTATAGATGTACATGTACACTATAGTTACTTGCAATGCTCAAATAAAGTTGTGTCAGTGATATTTATAATGGAGAGTATAAATTATTATGTATGTATGTAAATTTCTGTCATTCAGCACTATCTGTCGCACATAATTCTGTGATAAAACAAAATCAGGTGTCATGTATATATTCTCTGTGAAAAGTTTGTATTCTCTGTGAAAAGATATAGAGCTCTGTCGGCTTTTCCTTGATGAATCTGTTATTATGTTTCTGATTAAAGTTTACATTGCAACTGGCAGATGTAGATATATATGAGAAAGAAATAGTGCAGATATTCTGCACTACATATGCACATACAGGGTATCTCTACGTAGACATAAGTATTCTTCATACTCGCCATCAGATATTTATATACTATGTACATGTTTGAATAGTATTATTTTTTGTGCTGGTGTAATATTCTGACCATTACTTCATGTTTGTGTCCAAAAAGAATTATTTTTTCGTAAACTTGTCGTAACTCTATTCGAAGAGCAAGATTTAATGTTTATTAAGAACACTTGTTTTGGAACTCAGTAATCTGGAATTAAGTCATTAAAGGTAGAATGGACCATTTGCAGCTATCCAAAAAGTAACTGACCAAATTATTGTTAAAAAGCTTAGTTGCTTTTAAAGATAATAATGACACTAAAGTCCCTGCAAAATGATTCCAAACTGAAGAAAACAATAACAGAAGGTCATTTCCAAAAATGTTTCAAGTGACACATTTTTGGAAATTTCCGGTAGTAGTTGTGCAAATCCTTGGATGGGTGCTAGAAGTGTTGACACGAAGCACACACATGTACGGTTGCTATTATTCGTCTGTTCAGTGCGTGACATCGTGTGGCTGCAATCGGCTGAATGAGAACGTGTTTCGGATGCTGATTTCGGGCGCAATTTGAGATCCTAGAATATTTTCTCAGAACTCGGAGATAGTCGTTAAAGCTCAGTCCATCATTTGCAGCTATCCAAAAAGTAACTGACGTAATTAGTGTTGAAAAACATACTTGGTTGAAAGATAGTAAGGGGACTAAACTCCCTGTAAAATTATTCTTTCTGGCATGCTGTCAATTTGAAGAAATCAATGAAAGAATGCCTTTCCAACGGTGTGTTTAAAGACGCACTGTTGGAAGGTTCCGTTAGTAGTTCGTTTTTTTTATTCGGCGAAGCGCGCGCAAGCGTTGACACGACGCACACGCACGCGCGATTGCTTTAATTCATCGGATCAGTGCGCGACATCGCGTAGCTGCAGTCGGCTCAGTGAGCACGTGTCTCGGATGCTGAATTCAGGCCCAATTCAAAACATGATTCAGCAACTTTTGATTTGAAATCTGGATCATAGAATGTTGTTTTTCTAGAAATAAACAGCTGAAGCTGAGCTGAAACTTCATCAGGTTAGTTGTTCAGCACCCGTCTTTAGATTTTTAGCATGTTTGTTGCTTCAAACGAACAAAATGCACAAATTACAAATGTGGACTATACCTTTAAGCATTCGTCTTAAGATTTTGAGCACTTTTGTTGGTTCAAACGAAATAAATACACAAATTGCAAATGGTCTACTCAAGCTTTAAGCCAAAACCACCAGCCATTATTAACATATAAACGTCTGTTGAACTGATTTCCTCTTATTTCCTCTTTATTGATGTGTAAATTTGTACTGACTCCAGATGTACTTGTATCATGTATAGTACGAATAAAGAATGTTTTACAATATTTCATGGGAAACATCTTGTGTAGTATTTCAGAAACGATCTCAGAACTTGGTGTTTTGAACATCAGGATATGCTTTTAGTAAGCAGGGCAGCACGCTGACCCACTAAGAACAGTTTGCTGTGTAGCATTCCAAACTGAACGAGAACTTTGCATTCCCTATTTTGTATGGGCTCCGCGCACAAATAGGATAGGCTTTTAGTGAGCAGGGCAGCATGCTGACCCACAAAGAACAGTTTGTCGTGTAGCATTCCAAACTGAACGAGAACTTTGCATTCCCTATTTTTGTATGGGCTCCGCGCACAAATAGGATAGGCTTTTAGTGAGCAGGGCAGCATGCTGACCCACAAAGAACAGTTTGTCGTGTAGCATTCCAAACTGAACGAGAACTTTGCATTCCCTATTTTTGTATGGGCTCCGCGCACAAACAGGATAGGCTTTTAGTGAGCAGGGCAGCACGCTGACCCACAAAGAACAGTTTGTCGTGTAGCATTCCAAACTGAACGAGAACTTTGCATTCCCTATTTTTGTATGGGCTCCGCGGACAAACAGGATAGGCTTTTAGTGAGCAGGGCAGCACGCTGACCCACAAAGAACAGTTTGTTGTGTAGCATTCCAAACTGAACGAGAACTTTGCATTCCCTATTTTTGTATGGGCTCCGCGCACAAACAGGATAGGCTTTTAGTGAGCAGGGCAGCACGCTGACCCACAAAGAACAGTTTGTTGTGTAGCATTCCAAACTGAACGAGAACTTTGCATTCCCTATTTTTGTATGGGCTCCGCGCACAAACAGGATAGGCTTTTAGTGAGCAGGCAAGCACGCTGACCCACTAAGAACAGTTTGTCGTATAGCTTTCCTAACTCAACAAGAACTTTGCATTCCCTATTTTTCAGGCTTGCAACTGGGAATTTAGAAAAAAAATGAGGAAATTCCAAACTACAGAAGACATAATATTGTACAGTGTTTTTCAATTTGTAATGGCATTCATGTGAAGTAAAAAAACGAGGAAATCAGCGGATCCGAGGAAAAGTTGCATGCCTGATTTTGTATGGGCTCCGTGCGCTCACTAGAGAGGGCGCTTTTTCACCACTTTCGAGAGCCCCTTGGACGGGACACACTTCATGCGCGTACTGGTTGCGGTGCGCATACAGCTCGAACCAGGCACGACTAGTTTTATTCTGAATGTGCACCAAAACCCATAGCGTCTTTGCGTGAGCGTTACGCGTCTTCGGCAATGCGTTCGAATGTCTCTCCCAAGTGGTGTTCCCCAACTATCCCTTTCTTACCGTCGAGTGGGTAATTGTGTACAGAGCCCATAAAAAAAACAAAAAAAAAAGGAACAATGCTCTCAGCTTCCAATATTATTTTGTAACAACCGAAATGGAAGTCAAAACCAATTTACATGTACCTGTACATGCCTTTTTGATGGACCGTAAGGGTCAGCTTACTGTCCTTTTGACAGACTGAGTCACTTACAAACTGAGTCACGAACTGACTGAGTCAACGAGTACCGAGATATTCAGGTTCAACTCGACTAGGTAAGCCTAGTCTTTTTTTATTTCAAATATGAAAATGAAAGTTAAGTTTTGTCAGGGACAAGTCTTGTGTAAATCTCATTGTGGTTGAGATGTCCTCATGAAGAAATAAATAATTGCAAGAAGAAAACTCATAAAATGTCACAGCCCACTAATACCACTGTGCTTCTAATGGGTAATAATTTGGCCTGTTTTGAAACCTCATGAGGGTTTTTTACATCATTTTAGCACAATGTTTACATTAATCATTTAAACAAAGTCTTCCCACACACTTTAGATGGTCTCATTTCAGAATATTTAAACGAAAAAGGGATTGAAATATGTCTTCGCTTTGGTAGTGAGCGTGCTCATTGGAAGTCATTGCAACCATCAACTGGTTACCTTCATCAAAATCCTTGTCAGTTTCTATAAAAAAAATAGTTCAAACATCCTTTCTTCGGATTGTTCAATGGCCACACGTCATAAGCTTCCAAAATGTTCAGTCTTTATTTTTAATGTAAACAAACCCCGACAGTCGGTGTCTCGTAATAAAATGACGTGCTTCTTGGGAAGAAAAAGCAACAATCATAGTGAGTCGGTGATCAAGCCCATTACACATCAAGCCAAAACGTCTACTGCCATCTTTCTAATATAAGAACATTGCACAAGTGCCCACTGCAAGGACGACAAAGAGATGGCCCCATCACAGGTATAGCCCCTAAATGTGGCTCAATACCGGACATTCTCCGTATTGTGAGCCACACAGTGGTGATAGCAACGTGAAGAATAGTTGTTTTTTCTTTCACTTAATATTCACTGTGGAAGATACTTTAAAACCAAGGAAAATCAAAAGGTCAAAAGTACACGACCCACGATTGCCTGAAAAATACCACAATCAGACTTTCTGCAAATTTCACCAGAAAATTACAGGCTAACTAGACGTGTACAGGAACGGAATTCAATTTTTCCTGGTAAATAACCAGGGGCAAATTTCACGGCGCTGCTTAGCACAAAAACTCTGGCTTATAAAGGCAGGTTACCAGCCAAAACTCCATGTGATGTACATTGCTCGTGATTAGTACTCAGCTGTTGTTTGCTTAGCATGAAAATCACATGGAGTTTTGGCAGGTAACCTGCTTTTATAAGCCAGATTTTTTTGTGCTAAGCAAATGTTTGTGCTTAGCAGCGCCGTGAAATTGGGCCCAGGTATGTATCTTCCGTAGTGAATATCAACTAAAAAACAGTCCCGATCTCGATTTCCTCAAAAACAATTTTTCCTCACGTTTTCTATCACCACTGTGTTGCTCCCAACATGGAGAAAGTCCAGTATTTGAGCCACACCTATGGGGCTCTCACAAGTCCATCACAAGTCCGATCAAAAGTAAATCACAAGTCTAGTCACAAGTAACAGAGACATTATATGAAGCAGGTACAAATACACCTAATGAAACCAAAGTGTTGCGTCCGACTGTTTTAATACAATCCATAAATATGGATACTTACACAAAATTGTTCTCAATATAAAGTTTATTCCATGGGTACTTGCATAGATTCCATTACAAGTTCGGTAAGGCCAAAAAAAAAAATAAGTCGGTCTCTGGTCAGCGCGCGCGTCGATTTTAATCATGCGCGTCAATCTTTTTTTTTTCCAAAATGTTCCGCGGTAGCTCCAACAGCGCCCTCTATTGCCGCACCTCCTCATTTTTTTTTACCAAAGAGCACCAAGGAATGGAAAATTGCACCAAGGCAAATGATCGAAAGCACCAAGGCGAATTATGGAGGACATCAATGTACATGAGGACACCAAAAAAACAAAATAGTACCCCACCTTGTCTGTACAATCCAAGCTTGTAGAAAGAAAAAAAAAAGCAAAAAAAAAAAAAAAAAGCCGCGTCGCCGCGTCAATTCCGGAACTTTGGTCTGACCAGAGACCGAATATTTTTTTTTTTGGGCCTAACAACGAAATCAAAGATCACTTGAGAAGTTCAAGCACAAGTAAAAAGGGATGAACAATAGGTATGCCATTGTCGCAGTTTGAAAAGCTTGTGATTTGACTTGTGACTGACTTGCAAGGACTTGTGATGAACTTAAGATGAATGACTTTGGGAGACAACTGTTCCTGATGACACGAAGTAGCTTTTCTTGTGTAGCATTTCAAGTTTTCTGCATCTTCAAATGCTCTTTGACATTCACAAACTTAAAATAACAAAATATCACCTTTCTCAATTAGCTGTATTTCTGTTTATCAAAAAAAAAGACACTTCATTTGGTTTCCTTTCGATGCATGCATGTATTAATCAATTAGAAAAAAAAATATCTAGGAATCCCTCAGGATAAAACTACATTGCACCAGGCACTGCACAGACTGTACATCAGAGTGAAATTACAAGTATCGTCTTTCTAGAAAGTGGCACGCCTTCTCGTAAAAGCAAAACGTGAAGCCCACAGTTCCGATGGCTTTGAGTGTACTCGGCCAGAGTCCTTTGTACATGCCCCTTATGCCTTCTTCCTTCACGGTGCACGCCACACAGTGCAGCATGCTGTTGTACCGCTGCACTTTGCCGAAGGATTTCCGAGCCTCTTCGAAGCCCTGGACTTGGAGGCGTTTTTTGACGAGGTCTAGAGGGTAGACTGCTGTTTTGGCACAGAGGCCGGATAAGGCACCACAGGTGAAGGACTTCAAGGCCGCTGTATAGAACAAGTTGTGAACGATTAATTACCGATAGGATACAATTTTCTTGTTTTTTTTTGTTTTACTATACACCCGAGGACAATGCTTTGTGTTTCCCTTTGTCCCTGTAATATAACACTCTCCCATAGACTAAGCACACAAACCTACTACAGAGAACCATTTTGAACAAAAGACCCAACTCCTGAGGACTGAAAGGATCTGTTGTTCTCCCTTTGTGTGTCTGTCCTCGGGGGTTATGAAGAACACGTACACACACAAAAAAGTGTCTCTTTTTTTGGTAATTAAACCAGACGCCGAGTGTAGATGACTAGTGTTTTACTCAATTCTAATGCCCAATAACCCTACAGATTTACGAAATCTGAATAAAGTGATTAGCAAAAAGAGCGCCCTCTGGCATCAAAAGTGAAAAGCACTCACTTGGTACATGGATGCCAGAGGTTTTCTCGGGCTGGTCCATGACAACCTCCCAGACTCTTTTGAAGAGTGCATAGAAGCCAAACTGGAAGCCAGCGTGTGGGAAAACCTGCAGCATGGTCGGCAGTAGACCCTTGAAGAACGTCAACACCCCGGCTTCTCCGTACATCATACGTACTGCTTGAAGACTGGAATGGTACAACTGCATAATAAAATACAGTCTCTTTTAAACGAAATGAATCTTTAGAAATCTGTTTGACAACATTACCAATAGTTCAATCACCTTTGGAATCCCTCAGTCTCCTGAAGACAGGCAGAGCATACTGTCTGAAATGTTGAGTACCCTCTGACTCTTTTCAAAACCACACATACTCACAAAAGCGATTTTGCCACATGGTGCTACTACAACAACTTAGCCCAGCAGTCAAAATAAATCAAGTGACTGTTTCTAACACTTGAGTGCTCCCTGCCTTCATAAAGCAGGATTGACTGGCTGTGATTGTTATAAAACGGGATATAGCTATGCTTTGACTGTAGGAGATTGATAAGCCAGCTGCGCCTACCAGTCACCTGCTTTTTGTCTGTTGATGGAATTTGACTGTCACAGTGCCTATAAGAAATATGATCTGACTGTTGGTGACTAGCCTGTGTAAAAGGCATGGCAGGGAACGGGATTGAATTTTTGACTGTCTGTGACTGATCAAACAAATGAAGGGTTTGATGCTCCATGATCTTCATGTACATCGTACGCACTGATTCACAGCTTGAATAGTGCAACTGCAGCAGGAATTGACAAAAAACTCCACGACAAGAATAAGTTAATCTTAACTCACTGACGTCGTTTGGTCGATCATTATGTAAGAATATCAATGCGCAAGCCTTCCTGAACATTAATATTCCCCACTTTAACCCTAACCCTGCCAGACACAACACTGTGGAACATGTGTAAAATTCTGTGGGACCTTGCAGTATTGAGCCGTCAATACCATTGCATTACCTGCCAATTCTGATACAATGAGAGTTTATTCCATTGGACATTGCCGCTGTTGTATACTAGCCTCAGCCTGTTACAGTTGGCAACCACAGACTGAGGCCGGCTGGCCTTGGGATTTTCGACCTGACAGGATCTTGTTAATCTGGGAGAATTCTCATTTTGTCTGTTGCACCCTGTTGCGTCTCGGCAGGGTTTCTAGCCAAAATACCCTGAAGGTTCAAGCTCAAGTTCAAGACTGGAATGTGTACACAAAAGGTATTACCTCAAAACTTAAAGAAAACGACTGACTAGTCTTGACATGTTATTGGCATCATTGACAGAGAGGCCTCTTCATACCTTAGGTTCGCCCTGAGCAACTAATCGCGTCCTGACAATATCGATGGGCTGGCACGCAAAGGTGGCCACACACCCAGACACACCCCCACACACAAAGTGGAAGAACGGCTTGGCCATACCGGTGGACAGCCCCTTGGAGAGAAACGGATGGGCCGTCTCCGTGAGGTATTCAAAAGTTGTGAACTGAAAGAGGTCAAGTCAAGATGGAAAAATTAATATATTAGAATGCATCATAAATGTCTGTAAGTTGAGTTCTAAGGAGAACATCTTAGAAGGGCCACTTATTTTGTCCTTAATAAAAATGAAATAAAATTGACATAATTCACCTTTTGATAGAGAATTAAGCTTTCTTTTTTTAACCACTTAGCACCAGGTTAAGTTTTGTCCAAAATTTTGATAATTTTTAAAAGGCAAAATTTCCCTGCCAACTTCTGACCTACAGCCAAACGCCACAAATGCTGATTTGCATCAGTGATTTAACAGTATCTGTACCATATTTCTTGCTGAAATCTCATATGTTTCAAAACCCTAGGATGTGCACTGGAGCGTAAATTGTACAACAATAGGCCGTGCACAACGGCCCAAGCAACGGACAGCACATGGTCCGCCTCCCCAGACTAGTGGGGACTTTGTGAGTGTGTACAAAAGGCACGAGGGATTTGCGTGTTTAGATGTCACCCGGAGGCGAGTCGAGACAATTTTGACGTCTTCACCCGTCAGCCGTGCCTGTGCATAAAAACAGCCAGTGAGTGTTATCACAGCCTCCGGCGCTAACTGGTTAACGTAACAAAGTGTGCACAAAAAGATACAAAACACTGGAAATCATTTCTGTAAATATATCAATGGCAAGCATAATGGTACAACTTTGGGCACTTTTGTTTATTTTAATTCTGTGGCAAAATTGTTTGACAGAAAACTTTGTTCAGTGAATATCCACGACATGAAACAAATGAGGCAGGAAATAGATTTTCTTGCATAATTTTATGTTTGAAATACGATCTATAACATCCTGCAGTGGTTCGGTATTTCAAAGAAGCTTCTCTGGATTTGTTTTTACCTGTAGCATTCCGAAGACGACGGACAGAGCCTGGGCCGGGACATGACCTTTCCAGAAAGCAGCGGTCCCTTCCTCTATGTAGATAGTACGTCCTGCCTGCAGGATACCAGTGTACTTGGACTTGGCGCGCGACCCCTGGACAGATTCCCCAGGGTCATGTACTGGCTCAAATTGTAACTGTAACAAGCAAAAAAAGTAGGGGCTGAATTCAATGAGATGTTTAATGCAGAAATAATTGCTAATTTTGACTCAACATCCCGGGGTTTTTTTCTACCACGGATTCCTTTCTCTAGCAGTGCATTTCACAACTGCATACAAAAATTGCTTAGTATGACATGAGGATTTTGAAACCTAACAATCTCCAACCTGTACAATAAAGCAGGCACCACGGCGAGCTTCAAAATCTCTGACAAGCTTTAAAATCCTGCCGCCAAGTTAAACATTCTTGACTCTATGATCTTTAAAACCAAAAAAATATATAGGTTTTATATCATTCCAAGGGAAATAGAAATATTTTTGTTGAGTAAAAAAATAATATCGCGCTCTCAGATCGTTCTTTTGTCACGACCTGTTTCCATGCCAATGCTTGTAGTCAATGCTTTGAAAACACCATTAGCTTAAAGAGGAAATGAAAGTCTGGTTACCTGGAATCGTATCTTGAGGACATCAAAGGGCTGCATGAGAGCTCTGGTTGCCATACCGGAGACTGCCCCGGCGACGCCATGATCCAGGGGGGACAGACGGCTCTCCAAGTGGGGTTTATAGCCCACCATAGCTGCAGCCGGCACTTAGTGTAGTTTCAGTGAGACATGTGTACAGACGCCCAAATCTGGAGAGAAAAGAGATTCGGATAAGATTTGGATGCAATGCAGGAAGGTTTTGGGAGGAGATCATGGTGCCTTTTTGCAGAGGACAAGGGACAAGCTGTTGTTCTGAAAAGGGGTGTCATCTAGGATTAATGGCCTTCCTGCCCTGAAATTTGAAATGCTGTGACTTTTTACATATATGAGGAAGGTATCACTTTTCAATACATGAGTCACTGAATCATGGAACACAGTTCTTGGGCAAGCCACTCCACCCACACCTGCCCTCCCCCCCCCCAAAAAAAAAAAAATCCTGAACTTATCTTATAACTGAACTTATCCACCTCATAACAAATTATTTTTAATACTTGCACCTGCAGCGATCTTTCAATTCATACCAATAATAGACAACATGTGCACATAAACGAAAGCACTGGATATATTTTCTTTCCTTTTGGATGAGGTACACCTTATAAAACAGTTCATCAAGCTGTTTACACTACAGGTATGTAGATGTACATTTTAAGCATGTAATTGTGCATAATACTGGGGGTCAAGGTTTTTTTTGTTTAAAAAAAGGACATACATGTACTAGAGTAATTTGATTCAGTCTCCCAGGTACTGACTGCAGGATTTCCTGTCTAATGCAACTTTCACTGCTTTCACATTCAGTATAAAACCTAAAAATGAACATGAACGGTCACAGCATGGAGGTAGACAGTGAAAAAAATGAATCCTTTTCCCCTGCCATGCCTTTAACACAGGCTAGTCATCAACAGTCAGATCATATTTTAAGCAAACACTGTGACTAGTCAAATTCAGTTAACAGATAAAAGCAGGCAACTGGTTGGCACAGCTGGCTTATCAATCACCTTCAGTTAAAGCATAGCTGTACAGTCACAGTCAGTCAATCCTGCTTTATGTAGGCTGGGAGCTCTTAACTGCTAAAAACAGTCGCCTGATTGATTTTGACTGAAAGGACAACTTGGCACAGAATGATGTTTGCATAGGAGGGGTAAGCACAAAATACATCTACAGGAATATTTTGTGTGCTGATAATGGTGTTGATACAAATGTAAGTCTGAACACAGAGAAACCTGTTTTTTCCACGCTAATTGTTATTCTCCCTCTAAATACAGCCGAATAGTTATACTGCCCCATTCATGATTTCCTTACCTGCACAGCTTCACATAATTTTGTCCTTTTGTTCACTTCTAGTTTTCTAGTTCTAAAAGAAACGTGAATGAAGTTTTCCCCTTTCTCTTTACTCAGCCCAAGTACAGTCCAGTAATATGCACAGGAAAACCATTGCTGGAAAATGATTTGGCGACAGGCAACTTAAACCCTGCCATTTCAGGGGGAAGCCAAAGTCCGGTTGAGCCAATTACATGACTCATTCATCATGCAACACGGCTAGGTACTCCCGATGGCTTTAGCACATGTATAGACCTGTTTAAAACATAGCCATTTTTTACTGGCACAAGCGAATAAAAGTTACTTTGAAAAAGCTTTTTGTAGAATGTTATTTTAACTGGTAATTACCATCTTTATATAATTTCTACTATGCAATGTCAAGCAGAAATGTTACTTAAATGTGCATTTTTGTGCAACTTATGAAACTCAAAGTAAGGTTAAATAAGCTCATTATTAATGATGTGCCTATAGCAAGGTTCTGAAACCCCGTGGCCATGCACAGTGCGTGTACAGTGTATGCAAGCTGCACAGGCGCCTGTACAGCTGTATAAATACACAAGTATATGTCGTGGCCAAATTTGGTTCACCAGAGAAATTTTGACAGACACAAATATTTTTTTAGCTATTTTTTTTTCAGCAAATAAAATAAAAACTTGAATCATGCATATTTTTCTTTTATGCTAAGATGACAAATATGAATTCATTTTAGGGATTTGTTTTGATTTTTTTTTTGTAAATTTGTTTTTTGTATTTTTGTAGGCCAACTTTACTCACTCTTTAGCTGACAAAGATCTCCAATATTTTCATTGCGCAAAGACAAGGTGCTCAGTACTTCGAATACCAAGTTTAAAGTCTCAATTCATTTTTTTAAAGGAGATTTTTCTTCAATATTTTGCACCTGAGAGTGAAGCCAAGTGATTTCAATTTGAAGCCTAAGACTAGACTGGTGTATGTCCAACTGTTTGAAAAGACTGACCTTTTTAGTAGCTGGTGGCAGATATGGAGAGATGTGTAGAAATAGAGGCCGGTACCAGATGTGTCTTTTGACACAGTTGACTGATGCAGAATACCAATGGGATGTTGGACTGGTTGTTTCATGTGCCAGTCTATTATCTTTTGTTGCATGTTTTCAATACCTTAGGTTTTGGGACTCTCAGACTCATACACAGTATTGAGAGTCTCAATTTTCGGACTCGCCCTCAAGATTCCTGCCCTAAGTGTACTTTTTACAATCATTTTGGTAATTTTTTTTAAAAGGTTCATTGTTGTAAATTACTGTAAATGTGTTTTTTTTTTAACAGTGCTCATCGAGTTTCAGTGCAATGGGTCATTGACATTACAGTTAAGTTGAAAGTTCACAAGTTATCTTAAAAATACTAAGCTGAAAGGTGTAAATGGAAAATAAGTATAAGTTTTTGAACTTTTCAATGTCTTGAGAAATTTCTTATTTTTGTCTACTCAGGGAGAAAAGTGACTTGATGTGTACTCACATCAGAGACAGAAATCAATTGATTTCTTAGATGCACATGAGAACTAAACTCTACATTTGTGTTGAAGTGCTGTACATACTGTTCAGGCCATCCTGATTGTCAGAGTGATTTTATGTCACTGTCCTAGAGATTATGTCAGTGGTAGACAAAACCCAATGTACGCGAATGGACGCAATTGGTCGATCTGCGAAATCGGTCGATCGCGCTGTGCGATGGGTTGATTGATACCTCAGACTTACTTACCCTTTTAAAAGAAAAGGTGTTCAACCCGTGGCAGCGTGATCGACTGACATGACTGATAGCATCATGATTGACCGATATCGCAACGCGATCAGCCGTGGGCGCACATCGACTGAACGTGCCCAACATATTCATACATAATCGCCCAGCACAAAATTCCATCCAATGCAAAACTCATGTACATTATAAAGATAAAAAGACCATAGGCCTACTTCCAGAAAGTAACTTTATATGCTCTCTTAATCTTACTTACACACTTCTGGAAGCACTGGTACTAACATTGGTTGTATGGCACAATTGCAGAATACCCCGCCACTCGATCTATCCACCTCGTAGCCGGCTACGAGGTCACGGTTGGTTGACCTCAATAAACATTCTCAGCGCTACTTGTATGTACTATGCGTCATACTCCATTGCACTCCCACTTCGTAACCGCCTAGCCGCCAACAGGGTAGTTGGTTTGGACTTAGAATTTTTTCAGCAACTCCCATTCCTTTTGTGTTGCTTCGTTCTCAAGCATATTCAAGGGGACTCCCACTCCGTATCCGCGTAGCCGCCAACAGGGTGGTTGGTTTGGACTTAAAATTTTTCAGCAACTCCCATTCCTTTTGTGTTGCTTCGTTCTCAAATAATGGACCCCCACTCAGTGTCCGTGTGGCTGGCATGGACTTGAATTGTTTCTTTTCCAGTGATTCCAACCTCGTAGCCAGAGAATTTATTCCGAATGGCGGGGTATTCTGCAATTACTCCGGTTGTATTTTGGTAGCTTGAAATATCCAGCTCACTGGGCTCATGACGTGACGTGGGGAGATTTCCCCATGTCATGAGCCTAGCGAGCTGGATATTTCAAGCTAGTATTTTGGAAGGATAAAAACACACAAAGATCTTAATGAAAATAATTATAATAATAATAATAATAATAATAATATTGGACCACACAATCACCTTAAAAAAAGATTTCTTCCTTTTATTTAATTTTAAAGAAATTAAACTTATCATCATTGAATCATGTTTGTTAAACAAAACAATTTAACAATTGATTTCCTTACTTTAGACCTGTCCTTCAATATGTAAAACATTGTAGTTTGTACATCAACTACAACTAAACTGAGACAAAAACATGACATGGTTCACAACGCCATACAAACATGTGTCTTTGGTCATGTTGGTATAGGTATTAGGATACATATTGTGCGTAGTTGGCATAACCTTGACTTTGCGGGGTGCTAACGAAAAATGTTGCAAAAAAACATAACGCAAATTTCTGAGCAAAACCTGTTTATTTTTCCTACCGATCATACCAGTCGTGATCGCTTGTTGTTCAACCACAAGACAGTTTTTAAAAAGCAGCCATGAGCGTGTTCATTACTTACCCATTTTTTGATGTGATCAAGACTGAAATCCATCATATGCTGCATGCTTTCCTAACCGATCATTTCCAAAGTATCCAAGTTTTGCCACATGCGCACATTGACATACAATGCATGAACTTTGATCAGTGGCGCTGCGTGCAATGCATGCACCAAATGCACTGTATGCAGGGTGACCGTAAGGTCACCGCCAAATTCTGCTAAATGCTCTTCAAAAATCTGTCAGATTTATCAAAAATCTGCCAAATCCCCATGAATTACTCGAAATACATTATAAACACTTAAAATCGCATCAAATTGTTGTAATATTGCCTTAATTAAGGTTCAAATTACATTATAAAACAATCTATAGTGATATAAAGGTGTTATGAAATTACGTAAATTTGTGTCAAAACGAGGCCTGCGTAACGACGAAATCCGATTCCCAGTGAACCTCAGCACACAAGGCAACCTGTCCCATTATGCAAGGGTTTGTTTGAAAAGATTGAAGCTTTTGTAAACAAATCTACCTTTTTATTCAAATTTACTATGTTTTTCTGTCAAATAACCATTTTTACAGAATTCTGCCAGAAATCTGCCAAAAAAATCCATTCTGTCAAATTTTCTGTCAAACTCGTTTTTCAACAAAAAAATTGTCAAAGTTAGCCGAAAATCGGCTAAAACGGTCACTATGAGTGCAAGTGCACTGTGTACATGTACAATGTACATGTACTGTATAACTGCTGTTGTTATGCACGAGAGATGCATGTCGATTTGACGACACGCGCGCAATGCAATGCATACGTCATAGGTCATTCGGACGTGTTCCCGAACTCTGTCAACGGTATATTCAACATGACTAGTCGTCTGGTGCGGTAGTTCGTGACGAAATTCCGCAATCCACATGAAACCCTCTAACTTACTAAAAATTTAATGTAGGGCACTGATTTGAGTTCAACACATGGAGCTAGTTCAACAGTACTTTTACGGACGTGTTGAAATTCGTAGTAATCAAGAAGCGAAAACCAATCAACCAAACAAATAAATTGTGTTATCGTTTCTAAGAGTCTCTCGGGGAATGCTTGATTTTCATTATAAAATTGTAATTGTCTAAAAGGCAAAGTAAAAAAAATACAAGTTGATCGTCCCCGCCTGCATCCTTTTTTGAAGCTGCATCAATTTTTTGGGTTATTTTAAACATTTGTAGAGATGTTTCAGAAGTTCAAATGCTTCTAAAATTAAATTTACTAATGTTCAATAAGTGCTTTGAGAAGGTTTTGTGGTCATCAATTATAGTCGACAACTACACAGAAAATAAAAAGGGACTCACCTTCTTAAGGTGCATATCGTGTACTAAGCATTGCTATTTTAGCCATAAAATAAAAATAAAAAATTTAAAAAGCCCCTCATCCTCTTCTTTGTGAAAAAAAACCCGGACGATCAACTGGTGTTTTTTTACTTGACCTAAGATTTGACGGTTTGCATGGTGAAGGTTGCACTGATAAGATAAAGATTTACGGTAGATTATGTGAATCAGTTAAAAAAATCTCTTTTGTGAGTTTGTGAGGTTTTGAAACTGGGATGGAAGCGGGAAATTCGATCAACATTTCCAGCAGTATGCTCTGCTGTCGTCATGAGACTGAAAGGTTTCCAAAGATGAAGGGAAGTATATGGTGTGATTGGAAGCAATGAAGCGTGTGCTTAGGATGCAATATGCTGAGCAGGGGCTGCTGGCTGATCAGTGAGGCATGTCGGATAGAGTCCAAGCAGAACTTCAGCGGGTGGCTGCATCATGATGAAGATAAGCCGTAAGGCGTAGTATGGATGAAGGGAGTGGCCCTGAAGGTTGACAAGGGTATGTATAGGCTGATGACGTGGGGGAACTAAGTTGTCCTTGGGTAAAGAAGACCCATTGGACTGAGTGAGGTGAGGATAGTGCGCCAGATGTCAGCATCATCAGTGGCGCACCCAAGGAGGGGGGCTCGGGGGGCTTGAGCCCCCCCTCCCCCCTTGTTTTTTTTTTGTTTTTTTTTGTGTGTTTGACGATTTGACCTTGGGGTGATATGTTTGTGGCCTATTTTCGAGTAATATAATAGGGGTGTAAGTGGCGCCACCAACGTCAAAATAGTCCGCCCCCGGAAAAAAAACCCTAATTTTTTTCTGCGGCCAAAGATTTTTGGCCAACATGTTTTGAAAAAATTGTGAGAACCCCCCCCCCCCAAAAGCCAAATCCTGGGTGCGCCACTGAGCATCATCCCTGCTCAACGTTGCATCCTTCACGCGCTTGATGCTTTCAGTCACAATATAGGCCTCAGTTTCAGAACCTCACAAACTCACAAAAGGGATTCGTCACATGGTGCTACCGCATGATAAAATCTTTATCTTAAAATTGCCTAAATTTGGCAAAACAGAAAAAAAACACGGTGAATTTCGGCTGATAGACCGGAGCACGGGGAGAGGGGGGCGTCAGCCTAGCTGGAAATTATATGGTCCATGCGCATGCCCATAGCGTCTGAGCTGCCGGGCACATTATAACGGGGCCAGTGCGCCTCCAAAATTGAGCTAGAACATATTGGAAAATGTTCGGCATAGTCCGAGGTATCATCAGTGGCCACTGCCGGACATTTTCAGTGGTGGGGTGTGTCTGACAGACAATCCCCGAAAGCCCCGGCTCCACCCCCAACATTGACCAATATCAGCTCGTGAGTTAACCTGTGAAAAAAAGTTGCCACCACGTATTTGCGGTTTGTTTTTTTACATGTCCATGCCTCGAGCCTCTTTTTACGCAAAGCTTCCCAGGGGAAACATCTATGAGAGAAATTAAAAACTATTACACAAAAATGTATAGTCCGGAACTTTTCAAGCCGTAAAAGTTGTATAGCGCCCTCTGCTTTTCGTTTGCTCGCTAATTAAAAAATAATCACTGAGTTAGGGGGTATTTCTCGGTCTGCGCTCCATGTGCACGACGAAAATGGCGGAGGGGAGCGTGGAGAAAGATCGGCAGTCGAGCCGAAAAATGGACAGGTCTCACGAAAATGCACCGAATGAGGTGGATCAGAATGGCGAAGAAATAGAACCCAACTTCAGTGATCCAGAGGACTACGTAGATGACGTGAAAGACGATGGTAAAGTGGCATTAAAGTCAATCTTTTATTAAATTTAATGGACCGTATGTTTCGCGCGGGATGCGATCGTGTGCCAGTCTGCCGGAAGTGTGCAGTGAATGTATATTGCACACTGCATTGTGGGAAAGTTTACATTTAATAATTGTACAAAATTACAATTAAAAAGGTAGTAAATTTATATTTTGTGTGCTACTTAACCCATAAATGTTGCCCATCAACCAGTTAAATCCTTTGTGCATGCCCCCTTCATCGTACCATCCTTGAAAACTGATGTTGAGAACCAAACCAAAATTGCCAACAATCAACATGACCAAATATCAAAATGGTAGGCCCTACTTGAAAAAGTAGGCTAAGTTGAAAAACTTGAATCAAGACATCAAGTATGTCAAGTATCCTTGATCCTCCATAATCTGCGCAAGTAACGCTTAGCAAAGCGCGCGAGTCCTGGGATATCAAGAAATCACTTTAAATGTTAAGTGTTCTTCCTTCATTATTTTGCTACCGACAGATCAGCACAACTTATAAAAGAACCTTTCTTATAAATATGCCGTGCAGTGGCTGTTTTAAAGTCAGTAACATTTAGGCCTATACCTTCACAAGTTTGTTTCCCTATATTTCCAAACATTAACCCTAACCTTCCCAAATCCTCCAAAATTCTCTTTGCAAAATGGATGATTTTGAAGGATTGAGGTTATATACAGTGTAGCAAAAATGTGCGGCTGATTTTGGAGAATGCACTGTGTCAAAGTCTTGGCCCGGACCTTGTATTGTTTATGCTCAGCCGTGCATAAATTTAGTCCTTGATTATACTTGAAATCCTCCGCACTGCTCCAGGATGTCACTGGCTCTGCGGACTCTGCCTCAACATACTGACAGTGATTGCTGGAGGATTTTGCAGGATTGAGGCAGCGGTCACCCCTCCAAGGACCACATTCAAGAAATAACCGAGGATTTGGGGGGATTGACCCTGTATGCCATTTTTACATGGAGGCAGTTGGATGGAGGATTTTGCAGGATTGAGGTTGCATCCTGGCAAAAATGCCTAGGGAGCAAGGGCTAATGTGCCCAGTCATGCAGTATACATGGCAAGAGTAATTCACAGAGATACATTCAATCCTGTGAAATCATTTACCGCATGTTTTCGGATATTTACATATTTTTTTGTTTGTCCAATCAGAACTGCTTGGCGATATCCTGAAGCAGCGCCCCCAGAAGGCCATCGGTAGCGACTCCGTCATCGTGGTTGATAACATTCCCAACGTCGGCCAGGACAGGCTGCCAAAACTGAAGAATGTCATCCGACGAATCTTCAGCAAGTTTGGCGACATCAGCACAGAACATTACCCAGATGATAATGGGGTCACTAAGGGGTAAGTTAGTTGTACTGCCCTGAGACGGCAAGATCGGGATATTGTGTCATTTTACTAATTTAAAGGCATTGAGGATCATTTGCTTTATCGTGTATTTTGGTCGTTTTCCAATAATAACACTCCAAATCCAAAGAAGAATGTTCAAAACCTAGCCTGCCAAAGTTTCGGCTCAGTAGATTTGAACCTTTTCAAGAAAACAGTCAAACACCATGCACACCTTGGGAACATATTTGTGCAACTTTCTACTCTTAAATGTATAAAAACTTAACTATTTGACATCCCTTTTTGGTTAAGTTGATTAAAAAGTGCATTTTTTCAACATTTAATATTGTCTATGCTTTTCCTGACAAATGAGGGCGATGTTGCTGTGATGTCATTTTAGGAAGACACTGTTCAGTTTAGGGGTTTTCTGTTCAAATTGTGAACCAAAATTTGCTCATTGAAAACATTTGTGAGAAAACTTTGCTCATTGGCCTTAGTACAAATGTATTATGATGTGCTGAAACAACAATGAAGCACCAAAGAAAAGAAAATAATAATTTGATAATAATTTGTTAGGTTACTTTGGGATACATGCAAATGATCCTACATGTGCATTCAAATATTTTATATGCAGCATTTTATGTGCTGTCCAAATTCAACTTGCAAGTGACTAGTTGTCTGTGAGCAATGATATAAACGATGTGTTGTTTCTTTTTCTTACATTAGGTTTATTTTTCTGGAGTTTTCGTCACCAGCTAACGCAATTGAAGCTGCAAAGCAGATGAATGGGTACCGGTTAGACAAGACGCACACGTTTTCAGTGAATCTGTTCTCCGACATCGACAAGTAAGTAACGTCCAACGTACATTCCTTTTGGCCAGTGTACCCTAAAAAAAATCAACTTTTCAAATCCAATTCTCACTGTTATTAGGTCATTCCATACATTTTTGGTCCAAAAGTGTGACTTTTTGTTTGTGTCCCTGTTGCACCTGACCTGTGTAATTTGCCACGCAAGTATCATTAAAATTGACTTCAAACTATTGGGGTGTTTTTTTTGGCAGGTTCTTTGCTTTTTTTTATTTTTACTTGTTTTTTCTTCAAATGTCAGCTGATGACTGCAAATGGTGCCCGACTAAATTTAGTGCAAAATGTATGGGAACCCAGAGAGGCCACATAAAGCTTAAACTCAATCGTAACCCCATCTAAAAACACATTAAAATTGTGCAGCAGCAGGATTCCAGTCAAACTAGTGAGTTTGGCGGTTTTGAGACATCATCTTACATTGGAAAAAAAACCTTTTTAATTGGACCAGAAACTGGAGCCTTTTTTTTTTGGCCTTATTTGAATGACCCTATTGCATTTCCTCAGAAGATTTCCAATAATTTATCGAATAAATAAAAAAATATTGCCCACAATATGTATCGTACTTACTTAATTTTTGATATAATCTAGAAAGGTGCTGTAGCATTGTGAACGAAGAATTACCAACAATTTCACTAAATATCCCCAAGACGCTCTGTTTCTATGTAGTTCATTAATCCTCCAAGAACATTCTTCCTTGAATGGTTGTACTTGATTGGACTCTTAAATTGTCTGTTTGATTTTCTTCGAAGGTACACTCAGATTGATGACAAATGGGAACCGCCGAAACCTCAGCCATACAAAGATTTTGTAAGTTATTTCATGGAATCAAAAAAAATCTGTGTTTTAATAATTCGTCCGTGCTGTTCTGACAATGTAGTGCAGAGTGCTGCACATTCCTTCCAGAATTTTAAACCTTCACCAGTTTCCCCCATTGTAAATTGATCATTTTTTTGTTGTTGCATGTCTCGTTACCAGGGCAACCTGAGGTTCTGGCTGCAAGAACCTGACTGTAACGATCAGTACAGCGTCATCTTTGACGGTGGAGAGAAGACCGCCATCTTCATGAACACGTCGACAGAAGCATCTGTCGTTGAAGAGAGAAAGGTAAAAGTGGTTTGAAGCTGGTTTTATTTCAACCACCACTTTCCGATTCAGTAAATTCAAAAGATAACAGGCTATTCGGAGCTTGAATTTAAAGTAAAACTTGTCTTGATTGCAGGGCTACTACAGGGTTCGAAATTAACGGTAGCCCGCTAGCTAAATGCTAGTCAAAACAGCGGTGGCCTAGTCAAACTATTCCTTAAGTAGCCCGGCTGGCGAGTCAAAAATTATTGGGACACGGCAAAGATGAAAAGACAGGAAGAAATAAATCATGAAATTCAGAAATCAAGCCTATCAATTTGTGCACCACCAGGGGTCAACTTTCAAACCCTATACACGTTTTACATGTATGCACATTTTTGTTTATGAAACAATATAAAAGAAACAAACATGCGGGCTAGTGAACATGCCCGCGGGCTAGTTAAGAGTCTGTTCCAGTAGCCCGGCTGGCTAGTGAACAACAAAGATAAGGTCGAACCTTGTACTAGCAAATTATTCAAGACGCAATTGTTTACACTAGACCATTGCTGAAGAAGGAAAAAATGTAGATTTGCAGTCTGAATTATGAAAAGGCATTAAGTTGGTGAAGTTGAAGTTAAGTAGAGTAAAAGAACAGTCTTCGTACTCTTAAACAGTACTTGGTCAAATGGGTTTTTGATGTTTAAACCCTTTAACTGTGATAGTATTACTAATTGGGTGTTTGGTGAATGCAACATTTTGTGTCGTTGATTTCTGTAGCAATGGACTGAGACATACGTCAGATGGTCACCGCAGGGCAACTATCTTTCAACGTTCCATCATCGAGGCATAGCACTCTGGGGCGGCCCCAAGTTTGAACAAATCAAGAGGTTTGCCCATCCGGGTGTGCAGCTGATTGATTTCTCACCGTGTGAAAGGTAGGAACATTTTCACCTTGTTTGAGATCCTTCAGTAAATTTCCTTAACCCTAACCATCCCAAATCCTCCAAAATCCTTTTTGCAAATTGGAGGAATTTGCAGGATTGAGGTTACATGGCAAAAGTGCGTTGCTGATTTCGGAGGAGGCACTATGTCAAGGTCTTGGGCCAGACCTTGTGTTGTTTATGCTCAGCCATGCATAAATTTAGTTCTTGATTGTACTTGAAATCCTCCGCACTGCTCCAGGATGTCACTGCCTCTGCTTTAGCCTATTGACAGTCATAGCCAGAGGATTTTGCAGGATTGAGGCAGTGGTCACCTCTCCACGGACCATATTCAAGAAATTATGGAGGAATGTGCAGGATTGAGGCTATATGCTATTTTTTTCATGAGACCAATTGGAGGATTTTGCAGGATTGAGGCTTCATCCTAGCAAAAAGGCCTAGGGAGTTAGGGTTCAAGTTTTTTATCCCCCTGGCTGTAAGCCGGAGGGGGATATTGAGATAGCGTATTCCTTCTGTGTGTCTGTGTATATGTATGTGTGTGTGTTTATTCCATTTTGGTTAGGTTAACTGTAAGTTCACTCATCAATCTCAACCAAACTTGATCTGTGGTTATTGTTCATGGTATCTGGTAAAGTGATTAGACTCCGGCAACAGGTCATGACCTCCATGGTTGCTCTACAGGCCTTGGTCCTAGGAAGCCCATGATTTATGTCACTTTGTTTCTCAAGTGTCATGGCGGGTATTGTTTTGTAAGTAAAAGGCCCCTTTATAGCTTCACAATTGTGGACTGTAGGGTGCAGACCAGTAAATCGGTCCGAAATTGCCTGCGCCGGCCAAATCACGATTTGCATGCCCTCAAAATCTTCGGTATTTGAGCATGTTGTGGGCCATGAACTTGAGGGTTTGTAAAAAATATGGGTGGAAACCGTGCACAGGACTGGGAGCTTGCAGTTCTGTGTAATTTTGATGTAATTTGGACCCTAAAAGCGCCCTACTTTGCAATGGAGTGTAGGCATCGTTTTTCAAAATGGCGATGGGCTTCAGGACTATTTTCAGGGGTGATCATCTTCAGATGGAAATTTCAGTTGACCCCCCAAAAATTGAAAAGAAAATGAAAGATGATGAAATAAGCTTTAATTTGATGTGTGTCTCGAACACCTTGGAGAGTTGTGAGTATTTTTCCCGAATTTTTGAAGTGGGAGCATTTACCATTGGGGTCTATGGAAGTTTATTTACTGGTCTGCTACATGTATAGTGATTCCACTTTAGTTAGGTACACTGAAAATTGTCCTTACTAACTGCCTGGATACAAACTGCCAGCGTGCCAGGGGGATCGCGCAAGTTTTACTTGCAGTATTTTTAAGCTGTCGCTCAACAGTGGGAGGGGGGTGGTTATCCCAGACCAACTAATTCCTTGTCAAAATAACTAAGGAATTAAAGGTGTAAAGTATGTTGTTTGTATAAGTAGCAAGTAGATTGACCTCCCTCTAAATTACTATCATGGTATTCACTCTAGGAACTGAAAGAATTCATTCAAAGTAACGCTTGTGAGAAACATTTGTCCATCTTTAAAAGTCTGTCACGACAAATTGTAACTATTAAGGGCTTCTAAGCTTTTATTTTGTCCTTTGATTACTGTTTGATGTAAGCATGAGATATGCATGGCTTCTTGGAAATGTTTTTGCCCTTAGGTATCTGGTGACGTTTAGCCCCCTCATTGACGTGAGAGATGATCCCCAAGCCATTATCATATGGGACGTACAGACGGGCAAGAAGAAGAGAGGTTTTCATTGCGAGAGCGCTGCACACTGGCCGATATTCAAGTAAGTCAGGAATGCCCAACCAAAAAAAGGTAAAGGGGACAAACCTGTGTTCACAGGAACGGAGTGCCCATCTCTCTTTCGTTAGCGATTAGGCCAGACTCATATGCTGCTGTGGGGGGGATCGCCACACCTCCACAGGGAGTCTGTTACCTTCCCAGCATTGAATAATGCCGGTACCCATTGAACACCTGGGTTGGGAGGGGTAATTGAGGTAAAGCGCCTTACTCAAGGGCACAACACGCATGGCCACGGCGGGGCTCGAACCCACAACCTCACGATCATGAATCCTGTGCTCCTGTGCGAATTTTAAACAGCCATAATTTGTCAACGAAATTTCCAATTGAAGTGCAACAAACAGTATTATAAGGGGAATTTTATTCTCTTCCCTAACACATGTAAACCTTTCATTTCGACCTCTGCCCAGTTCTGTCTCAGTTTGCCAGAACGCCGCACAAATATGTATTATAGCCAAAAAGCTTTTGGCTTGACCAACCTGTCTTTCTGTCATTTCAGGTGGAATCACGATGGCAAGTATTTTGCCAAGCAGTCCCAGGATACGCTGAGCATCTACGAGACACCGTCCTTTGGCCTGATGGAAAAAAAGAGTATGAAGATTACCGAGATCAGGTAGGAAGGGGAGAGGAGATAATGACAGGTCACTCTGGGGGAAAAAAAAAACAGGCCAAAGTCATAGTTCAGTCCATGTCAAAAATTATTTCTATAATGCGTGAAAGAAAGAAAAATAAAGAATTGAACAACCTAACCCACTGAAATGAATAACAAGTCACCAGAGATAGTTTTGAGTAAAAGATCTATTTTTACAAATCTTGTTCCTTAATAGGAACAGTTCAATATTTTTTTAAACCACATAATATCTATATTATATTTTCGTGTAGGTATAACTCAAGTGCCAACATGTTTATAAATATATTTTCTAGGATCCAAAGAAAAATATATCACAATATCATGATTATAAAATATAAATACAAAAGTGCATGTGTTGGAAAATTCAGGCGATTCACAATGCAGTGCGTCACCAAGAGTTTGCCACAGAGAGTCAACTTTTCAAGTTTACGGTCGACAAAATATGGCCCATTTGAATGAGTGTCAGTAGACAACTTGAGCTATTATGTTATAGATAGGGGCATAGCGTTCTGCCGCCTTACCAAAAATCACCATATTGATACAAAGAAAAGGAAAGTGCAAATATAAATATACTTGAATCATATGCTTACGAAACTACTGACCGGAAAAACGAACAGTTTCAAATGTCCGCCCTGCAAATTTGTCGACCATCTCCCACAATGCACTGGGAAAAATGAACTCGCCGTGGCAAACTATTGGTGGCGCACTGCATTGTGAATCGCTGGAATTCGGTAAGGTTTTTTCTCAAACCAGTCCCAAATTCAATATTTCCAGAGAGTAACATGCAGGGTGGTTGGGCGCAGTCTAGGGACGAATGGGTTAAATGCATATATAGGATTATTTGCATTTGTTGTAATTTCATGAAATGGACTGATTTAAGGGCTGTTAATTTATAGCAGACATCGGGGGGGGGGGGGGGGGGGTCACTGAACTTGTTCAACCATCATGCATAGAACCCATAGGTCACAGGGTGTGCCCAAGTGCTGGCTGTGCATATGCATGAAGTCAGCAGCTGGCTTGCGATTGTTTAACGGGTGCAGTATTTGAGAAAACTGTTTGTTCACAGTAACGGCTAGGTCCTAATAATCATTACTACCGATTCAAATTCCTCTTTTTTTGTTGAGAATGACAGCATACCAGGCTTAACGATTTCACAGGATGTTACATACTTTAATTTATTTACAATCAAGTGGGCTTTTTCTTAATATTTTGGCAGTTTCGTTTTTGAGTGTTTACCAAATGATCCTGTACAGGGTGAGTAAAAGAAAATGAAATCCAAATGTTGGGACTATTGTTTTATTGAAGTTCTGCATGTAGCACTCCCAAAATCTAGGATATGAAAGCCCCATTCATCAGCTTTCTTTTAGTACAAGAATCATTCAAATCACTCATGTACTTTTCAAGTTACAGAATTTTAAACACAACCATCGTTTTAAGGTTCTGTCCGCAGATCACGAAAAAGGTGTACGTTCTTTCAGCAAGACGAAAAGAATTCACACACATCCCTATGTGATTTCTTTTCGTTTTGCTGAAAGAACACTGAACTTTTTTGTGATCCGTGGACAGAACTTTAAAACGGTGGTTGTGTTTAAAATTCCGTAACTTGAAAAGTACATAAGTGATTTGAATGATTCTTGTACTAAAAGAAAGCTTATGAATTGGGCTTTCATATCCTAGATTTTGAAACTTTAATAAAACAATAGTCCCGACATTTGAGTTTCAGTTTATTTTACTCACCCTGTATGCCTTGAAAGAGTAAAAGCAGGTCTGCAGGTGTGGTAGCAGTTGAAAATTATTTCATCACAAAAATTTTAAATGCCTTATGGTTGTTTGTTTTATTTTGGCAGGGATTTTGGCTGGTCCCCTGCCGATAACATTCTGGCCTACTGGGTACCGGAGGTCAACGAGAGTCCAGCCAGGGTCACCCTGGTGGAGATCCCGTCTCGTAAAGAGCTCCGCGCTAAGACGCTCTACAACGTCGCCGACTGCAAGATCCACTGGCAGAAACAGGGTGATTACTTGGGCGTCAAGGTGGACCGCTACACCAACAAGAACAAAAAGGTGAACGTCAGAATGGTTGAACCTTCCATCCGTCAAAGATTGCTGTCTCCGAAAAAAAGGACTTTTACCAATTGGAATGATTTGTCTTGCAGTGTGCAAATTTTGCACAAATAAAGAAAGATTAACCCTGACCTTCCACAATCCTCCAAAATTCTCCAAGATTTTGGAGGATTGAGGCTGAATGGCGAAAAAGTGTCACTTGACTTTGGAGGAGTTAGTGTCGAGTTAGTAGGCTGTACCCAGCGTTGTTTATGTTCAGCCATGCATAATTGAGCCCCGCATTATGCTCGATATCATACGCACTGCTTCTGAATGTCATCGGCACTGCCTCAACCCATCAACAGTGATTGTTGGAGGATTTTGAAGGATTGAGGCAATGGTCACCCCTCCACTGAACAAAATGCAAGAAATAACGGATGATTTTGGAGGATTGAGGCTGAATCCAATTTTTCGCATGGTGGCAATTGGAGGATTTTGCAGGATTGAGGATGGTTCCTAGCCAACAGGGACTAGGAGCTTATTGATAACATTTATTGGATTACGTATCGTTTTAATGAATCTTTGCTCAATCCAAGCTCATCAAACTCATCAATTAAGCTATATTTTGTAACCACGTTTGTGTGCATTATTCATATAGCTAATTAAATATGTAAAAACTGTAATAATTGCAGTTAGTTGTTTATAGTGAAAGATATGGAGCTATAGTGCGAGTCCCAAAAATCATGCCAATATTTCCTGAGTATATACCACTATTTTATATAAAAGGTTGAAATGTGCTTTTGTTCTCTCAAATACAACTACATTTACAACTACATACTTTGTAATTATGAAAATTAGTTATTTGAGAAATCTGTTGCGTATCGAGAGAAAACATTGGTTAAAAACCACGCTTATAATCAAATGCCAAACAAGTCTTCAAAAACTGGCTATAAAAATGTAAGGAAATGTGTAAATATTTAAATAATTATCAAATTTGCATAATTAATTAGCTAATTTTATGAAACTGGGGAGGAAAACATTTTGAGTTGTAATGTTGGCTGAAAAAAAACCAGTGTAATAAATCTGATGCCATGTTCTCAGAAAAAGTTTTTCAAGAAATGAACTTGACACATTTTCTCAATTTTCTCGACACTTGGTGCATGAACAAAAATACAAAACAAAAACAAAAACAGGCTTGGCCTAATTGATTAATCTATTATCCCACCCTCGCAGGTGTCGATTTGGAATTTTGAGCTGTTCCGCATCAGAGAGAAGCAGATCCCCGTTGACCAGGTGGAGCTCAAGGAGACCATCACGGCCTTTGCCTGGGAGCCCACGGGCTCTCGCTTCTGCTGTCTGCACGGCGAGGCGCCGCGAATCTCCGCCAGCTTCTACAAAATCCACGAGAAGGGCAAAGTGGAGCTAGTCAGTAAGTCACCACGTAGCTGAGGCTGTGGAAGTAGAATTCAGGGGTGGAGGGGAGGGGGGGAAGGTGGTCGAAAACGAAGCTTTGCTGCCGGTTTTGGCCTCAGGGGCGGGTTTCAATACCACGGACTCATCCGTCTGTCTTAACCAGTCCTATGTTGGCCGGCTATTGCTCTTAGTCTTGGGTTAGACACTTAACTTAGCCCAATTATTAAGCCAGCTGAGAGTAATGATTCAAGAACGAATGTTTCAAGAAGTATTCCAGAAGTTACTCAGTTCTTGACACATTTGCTATGTTTTATCCTTCTTTTTGCAGAGACTCTCGAGAGAAAACAAGCGAATTGTATCTTCTGGGCTCCGACTGGACAATTTGTTGTTCTGGCTGGACTACGCAGGTAGAATTTCTGACAATGGTCACATTAGACACTTATCAATTGTTTCTCGCCTCCTGAACTGTTGTTGTTGACCCTATAAAAACATTACTTATCGTTAACTTAATCAAATTTTACGCCAAATACAGATATTATTTGGGTTAAGTTCATTTTTTCAAAAGGTTTTTGAAATAAAGTTCAATTTACGTGATATTTCCTTGGGCAGCCTTATCTTTCACCAGAGTTGGAAACACCTCCCTCCCCCCCACCCCCAGCATTTTCTCAGCTTCTAATTTGGGGTCCACTTTTTTTTCTGTCCCTGGTACATCTGACATCTGTGATTTTATAATTCTGATGCACTCCTTAATGCAGTCATCCTCCAAGAGTGATTATGAATAGCAAACTACCTACCCAACAAATAAAAAAATAACTTGAAGTCATTCCAATAATGATACTTGAATGACAAATTACAAAGTACCAAGGTAAAAGGGACAGGAAAAAAATGTCACACATTGGACCCTACACTTATAGAATGACACATGGGTTAGAATTTTGGAAAAGGCCTGTATTAAAATTTACCTAATTTATCCATTTTTATCTTCAAAATCCTCTGTAAATTTCAAGTTGGTTTGAACGGAGCGCTACAGACGCTGTGCGTTTTATTACTGCACAGGTCATGGTTACACACAAAGTTCATATTACTTTGATAATGAAAGTTAGAGTATATCATTTGCAGCTGTCCAAAAAGTAACTGACAAAATTATTGTTGAAAGGCATGCTTGGTTTAAAGGTGGTAATGGCACTAAACTCCCTGTGAAATTATTCTTTCTGGCATGCTGTCATTTTGTAGAAAACAATAAAAGGTCAATTCCAAAGATGTGTTAATAATGCGTCTAAAGACGCATTTTTTGGAAATGTCCGTTAGTAGTTCGGTTTTAATTTGGCGGAGCCTTCAATACGTGCACACCCATTCTGGAATTTGTATTCCTGTGGAGACTTTTCTTTGTTCTCGTGTAGTAAAGTTTTCGAGTGTGAAATTGAAGTTTCAAAATGCTCTTATTTTAACCAGAATTAATTTCCTGGGCTGAAATTTGGACTAAATATCCCTTTTCTAAAAACTCTTCCATTTGCGACAGATCAATCTACCTTCGAAATTCCTAGTTTTTGAGTAAAATCCATATATCTATTTCGTGAAATTCTTGTGGAGACGTATTCATCTATAGAAATGTTCTTCTGGAGACGTATACAATCTTTTGTTCCCTATTGTGTTCATGTCTCCGTAAGGTAGTAAATTCCAGCACACAAGCATTGACACGATGCACACACGCGCGCAGTTGCATAATTCGTCGGTTCAGTGCGTGACGTCGCGCTGCTGCAATCAGCTGAATGAGAACGTGTCCCGGACGCTGATTTCAGGCGCAATTCAAAACATGACTCTTTTGAATTGAAATCAAGATCCTAGAATATTGTTTTCTCGGAATGTACAGCATTCACTAAGCTGAAACTTCATCGGATTAGTTGTCTAGCACCCTTCTTTAGATTTTGAGTACTTTTGTTGCTTCAAACAAAACAAATCCACAAATGATGACTCTACCTTTAATGATAATAAGTTTGTATCAATCTGTTCATTTCATTTTCCTCCCCTTCCCCCCCCCCCCCCCCCCCCCAGTATGAATGGAACCTTCGAGTTCATCGACGCCGGTGACATGACCAGCATGAATCAGACGGAGCATTTCATGGCCACTGACTTGGAGTGGGACCCAACCGGACGCTACGTCATCACGGGGGTCAGCTGGTGGAGTCATAAGGTCACTGCACTTTCCTTTTTTTCCCCTCAGTATAAAGTTTTTAAGACAAAAATTGACCAAGAGTGGAATGTGAACCCCTGACCGCTGGTATGCTGTTCAGGTGCTCTTTCAACTGAGATTCAGGAGGTTGCACATTCAAATCCTCCCAATTCATTTTGTATGTTAAAGGGAATGTACATCATTGGCTTTTGCTGTAATTTTCAGAAATGAACTATTTTAGGGGTTAGTATAATAGATCAAATATTGTTACACTGACATTTTTGAAGTTTTGTGTTCGAAAAGGTTGAAAAAACCAAGAAAAACAAAAATGTTCAAGTAGTCTGGTTCCCTGACTCCACAAAAGATAAAATGGAGCAATTTATAGATGATGGAAAATTGTAAGGCAATGGAACCAGTCTAGCTGGCCTGCACCCGTTCATGAACATGTAACCAATAGCAAACAAAATTTGGACTGAAAAAATGGTCAATTTGGAGCAGTAGTTGAAAAATAGTTAGGTTTTTCCAACGCCGGTCGGCCGAACACCGTTGGAAATGTATACAAAAATACCATTTTCTTGAAAATGACTTCACACCAGGTGCCATAATTTTACAAGATGCTTGAGACTGTCATTAACCAACATCCTAGCAAGGTATTTCGTAAAAACTTGGTAGTTTTATTTTTCGATGTTTGCAAATGTTGTATATTCCCTTTAAACATAAGTATGTTAAACATAATACGTTAATAATTTATGTATTTGTATTGTGCACGTTCCATATGAATATGTTCAAATGCGCATCACAATTATTATCCCTGTTCATCAGGAATGAGACCCTGCAGCAGCTCGAGATCTGCGCATTCTGGTGTCTACCTTCACAGGTACCCATTTATACTCCTGGGTGGAGAGAGGCAATCGTAGTAGAGTGCCTTGCCCAAGAGCACAAGCACCATGTTCCCTGTCGGATTCGAACCATGTACCACGGCACGCGAGTCGAACACCGTAACCATTCAACCACAGTACCCTACATAGTCGGTTTCCCGTCTTTTTGTTTTCGTGTTATGTTTTTTTTCTCTCACTAAAATGATCACCGTTTTCTCTGTGAACAAATGCTGGATGCCCGGAGCATATTCTAAGTTAGGAAAAGCCTGTACATTGTTTTTTTTTTCAAGTGAAAACATCAGGCAAAATTGTATACATAAACCGGTAACTTGATTGAAAGCTTTCCACCTGAATTGTGTTAGATAATTTGACATGTTGCAAAATTGTGTGCTACAAACAGTTGTTCATAATAAAAAGAGAAGCCATGTTATAGCAACAATAACGACTAGAGTAATGGTGACGGACAAACCTGGACATTATGGGTCGTCGGTCACTATTACTTTAGTTGTTATTGTTGACCCTGTTTCATCCTGGTAATATATAACGTGTAAGTTGACCTCCAAAACCTGTGATTTTATGAGAATACAGCACGCCCACCGTATCGGATATACAACGTGTGTAACGTCCTATTTTTTTTCGTTCATTTTGTGTCCTGACTGGGCCCATCCAATCAAGTGCAATAAATCGGTACTTCAAAAGAAAAGAAAGCATTTCAATTTACGAAATATTTAAAATATTGTGAATTGATGTCTTATAAAAGTAAAATTGTTGACCTCAACCTCCGTTCAACTGACCATGTAGATAACAATTGGGTAAATTCAAACATGGGGTCTGTGACTAGACCAGTCAGTGTTTGGTACGAAGACGATCTCATAAAAAGTGAACGTGCACTGGTGAGACTTACATGCCCTATTGAATATGTAAACATTCATTCGAATGTATTTCTGAAGTTTCCAATATTAAACTATTCAAATCGATTACGCCCTAGTTGCCGTGTTTATTCCGTTCGTGCTTTGTTGTTTGGATGACAGGTTGATAATGCCTACTGGGTCTGGAGTTTCCAGGGTCGACTGCTGCAGAAGTGCAACCGCGATCGGTTCTGCCAGCTACTCTGGCGCCCTCGCCCAGCGTCGCTGCTTACCGACAAGCACCTCAAGGTAAAAAAACCAGAGCTAAACGGTATCTGTTCAGGAAACAAAGTTGCACTGAAAAAGTTGACGATATGTACATCACAAGTAATTGATATTTACTATTTGCCCAGCCCATCTCAAGGATTTTTGATTTTCCATTTTGCCGTCAAAGTCCTGCAATGCATAGCATTTACGCAGACAATGTGAATATTTGTCCATGTCTGTAAATGATTTTCCGTTCGGTAATGTTTGCTGGAGCGGTATGCAGCACTGAAAAATATAAAAATTCTTATCAACATTTTCCCATGTTCCACTATGAAAAAGCAGGATTTGGTGTCCCGATGGCACGTTTTTGTTTTGTGGTTCCCTTGTATAGGTTTTCCTGGCTATTTTAAAAGATTTTTCATTGAAATTCACCAACTCGAATATCAATTTCGTCTAAAAAATTAATTTAGTCATTTACCATTCAGTTTTAAAATTTGATCACACTCTTTCTTCACAGGGTCGAGAATACTCGTCATTACAGATCAAATTCGTCTAAGCTGTTGCTGAAAGGCAGCATTCAAAAATCAAATTTGACTTATATAAATCAATTAGACGAATCTGATTTCTGAATAACATGGTTTAGCGTAGAAGAGATTAAAATCGAATACTCCGGGATGAAAACTTGTGCTCTTTGTTCGAATTTGCGTGAACTGAATTTGAAATTGTCAGACAAAAGACGAAATTGATTATTGGAAGTGCACTTCATCGATGTTGATGGACGAATTTGAATATTAGAAACGATGAATTCGAATGATAAACCTTTTCAAATAGTCGGGAAAACCTATGTTAGACAGCTGAAGGTAGACTTAGGAAGTTAACACATCTTTCATCCAAAACATGGACACTAAATGGCTACCTTATACACAGGTGTACTCAAAATTTGTAGACATTGCAAACATCATTGTGATGGAAACCATGTATTGTCCAAATTTGTGACCTGTTCTGTCAAAATCAGACTTTTCTGGGCATAAGGTCAAAAATGATATTGTTACATATTGTTAACATACGTTCTTTTTCCTTTTAATAGGTGGTTTAATTTTTGAAACCGGTCATTCCTGGGCAGAGTTATGCTATTCTGAAGTTCATTGTGTCTAAAAGTACAAAACGGAGAAAATGGCCACAAACGTCACAAAACAGTTTTTCTTTAACTGATATACCTTATCAAAATCATCAAAAATAGTATATATAGAGTTCAAATTAGGGTTTCAAACTTCTATAATATATTTTAGACATGTTCAGGATTACAAATATGCAAAAATTTGAAAATCGATAAAAATCACCCCCACAGCGTTTTTTGGGCCCTATCTCAATTTCAACCTCTGCCCAGAAGCGTCTGCTTTTGACAGAACAGCTCACATTTGATGTCATGGTTCTTGATGAACATGAACAACAGCAATCCAGTGTATAAATTTCTCTCAAAGTTGTCCATATTTTTAAAAAAAAACTTCAAATTCAGTCTGGGAAAAGAGAAAATATTAATTCTTTTCTTTGTCTTTTTTTTTTTCTGACAGGACCTCAAGAAGAACATGAAGACCTACAGCAAGCAGTTTGAACTGAAGGACCGAATGAGCCACTCCAAGGCGTCCAAGGTGAGATATGGAGCTCTGATTGAGTCACCCTCATCATGAGGGCACTCAACCCACCAACCCTATAATCGGACACCACTGAACACAGGCATGCAACTTTTCCTCGGATCCGCTGATTTCCTCGTTTTTGTAACTTCTCATGAATGCCATTACAAATTGAAAAATACTGTACAAAGTCTTGTGTGGTTTGGGGTTTCCTCGTTTTTTCTAAATTCCCAGTTGCATGTCTGTGAACACATCCTTCCATTTTCTGATGAAGAAGAAAACGGCATTGCAAATCTACTGCTTTAGTCTAATCTGACAAGAGAGGGCGCTTTTTGACCACTTTTGAGAGCTCCATTGGGGGGGGGGAGACACACCGCATGTGCGTACGCACTGGTTGGTGCAAGTATGGCGCGTAGTAGGCACGTCTAATTCTCTCTGAATGTGCACAAAGCCATATCGTCTTTGCGTGAACGTCAGCGATCGACAATGCGTTCGATTGTCTCTCCCAGTGGTCCCCCCCAACTCTCCCTTTCGTACCGTTGAGGGGGTACTTGTACACGGAGCTCATTGAGGTTGTACTTTACTAACTAGCATGCCGCTTACATTCTGAAATTTGAGATCTGCGGTCATTTTTGAAAATCATAGTGGTTGAAGGAAGCACAGCCTTTCAGTTTTTCCTCGAGAATTTCAATGGGGCCTACAGTAAGCAAGGGCACTGGTTTATGTGTCTCAAGCCAGAGTTGCAATTGATTCCGTCACAAGTCAAATCACAAGTCTGGTCACAAATAACGGGGGATGAGCTTGAACAAAGGGAAAGGGATGCCTTCTCCGCATTTCATTTAAATAGCTTGTCATTTTGGCTAGAGACAGAATGATTTGTGATTGACTTGTGATGACTTACGACAACTTGTGATTGATTTATAAGGACATATGATTGATGACTTGGGATTAATTAGTTATGACTTATGATTGATTTGCAATGACTTGTGATTGATCTGTAACGACTTGTGATGACTTGTGATTGACGGGTGAAACTTGTGATTGAGTTGTAATGACTTGTGATGACGTGTGATTGACGTGTGATAACTTATGATTGAGTTGTGATGACTTGTAATGACTTGTAATTGATGTATGACGACTTGTGATTGATTTGTAACGACTTGTGATGATGTGTGATAACTTGTGATAACTTGTGATTGAGTTGTAATGACGTGTGATTGTTCCATTCTTCCCATTTGGGACTCCTGTGCTATCTATCCCCAAAGCGTTGTAGTACTCATACTCAAGTACATTTTTTGGTACTCATGAGAATGTACTCCTAGTGACAAGAACAAAATCGCCTTATACTCATACTTGTACTTGTGTAAGGCACCTTACCTCAATTACTCCTCCCAACCCAGGTGTTAAATGGGTACCAGCATTATTCAATGCTGGGAAGGTAACAGACTTGCTGTGGAGGAGTGTGGCGACCCCCCCCCCCCCCCCCCCCCCCCCCAGCAGCATTTCATGGACTCGAGTCTGGCCCAATCACTTCGAAAGAGAGATGGGCACTCCGTTCCTGTGAACAAAGGTTCATCCCCTTGGCGTTTTATTTTTACATTTTCAGGAGCTGATTGAGAAGCGACAGCAGATGCTGGATGAGTTCAATTCGTTCCGTCAAAGGCTGCAGGAGCAATATGAAGAGGAGAGGCAGTTGCGCATGGAGCTGCGAGACGGTAAGAGAGACAGTCAGGAGGAGACTATGGCTACGTCTGAATAGCTTGGCTGTGGCTGGGAAGAGCACACATGTCTATGGGATGCGGATTCAGCTATAGCAATAGGCATGATGTGTAATCCATAGCCATAGCAATTCAGACACAGCCTTATTGGCAGGGTCCATGAGATGAATTTTTCTTAGGAACACGTTTTGTGCAACTTTCTTCTCTTCTTAACCAGTTTCGTGCTGGGGTTATTTTTACATTGACCGGACCCAGGTGCGGGATTATTTTTCACGAACCTGGATGTCAGACGGGTTCAGGTCGTCATCTGCGGGTAGCACACCCTGAATTTTCCGGCCTCGCTCGCTGTGAGCGGGTCGCTGACAGATATTTCCGGCCTCGCTCCCTGCGTGTTTATCTGTTATCCGTTTGGAATACCACTAAACCTTTACGTGTATACACTTCATCCGACAAAGCTGGTTAAATGTATGAAAACTAGTTGACATCCCAGTTTGGTTAACTTTATTGAAAAGTGCACTTCTTTAAATATTCAAAATTTTCCATGCTTTTCCAGACAACTGAGGATGCTGTTGCTGTGATGTCATTTCAGAAAGACAGTGTTCAGTTTAGGGGTTTTCCATTCAAATTGTGAACCCAAAACATTTGTGAGAAAAGTTTGCTCATTGGCTTACTGCCATGTACTGACACAACAAATCACTAAAGAAAAAAAATTTACAACTGCAAAATATCCAAAACTCTGGCAACTTTTGGTGCTGAAATATGATACCAAATTTATTTCTGTAGCTAAATTTATTCCAAAGATAGGACGCAGGAACATGAACAGTGTCCTTCCAAGTTTCGCTAACCTCATTTCGAGAAAATGACTCTGAAAAAAAGACGCGCATTGCGCTGCCAACGGCAGTGAAAAACATTCTTCAGTTTTTCTGCTTTTGTGGGTATTTTTTCCCCAATAATAATGAATAGTGTGAATCTTGGATACCTTGGCTCCTCTAAAATACAAAACAATTAATATCAATTTCGACATGATTTGTATAGTATATCCGACTTCAGACGTCCATTACTCAAAATAAGGTTTTGGGGGACATTCCTCATTTTGCCTCAGTAGGTCACAAATGAGAACACCAACGTGAATTTGTGACGCCACATTTGTGATCACTTTTGTTTGTACTTGTAACAACCTCAGATCTAAGATATGATCAAACAAATGTTGGCCCACATCTTCGAAAAATCATCTCTCAGCCTTGATTGAAAGGTTTACAAGTTTTTGAAGAAAACTTACATTAGGTCTTGTGACCTTTGTAATCGACTTTGTGTTTGTTCTTTGATGATTCAGGTGTGGATACTGACTGCATGTACGCTGGCGAGGAAGAAGAGGAAGAAGTTATCGAATTCTTTGTTGGTGAAGAAATCATCGAAGTTAACGAATTTGAGGGCGAGTAATCTCCAGGCCGACTAACGCGCCCTCGTTCCCCCCTGGTGGCCAAACCAACAGGCCAACATCCACTAAAGGACTGTCTGAGTCAGCCACAACGTTGGCAGTACACGGATACCATCTTGTTTTGAATTTTTGTGGCATCAGTAAACATATCCAACTTTGTTTTGACCATTTTCAGCTCCCAGTTTGCGAGCTGACAGATTCTTTACCTCTGTCGTATTTTATAATTTCAACTTTTGTGTTCAATTAAATTGAAAGTCATATTTGAATAATATTTTGTGCCGGTTTACATCATCTGAGAGTGTGCAGTTTTAAATCGGCAACAATTTGTTTCAGCAATTTTTTTTGCTACCCACATTTTTGAAAGTACCTTAATTTTTTAACTGAGCCTCACAATTCAAAACTGTTACAATAATTTTTTTTTTTGGCAAATTGAGTGATCTTAGTATTATAATCTACTTGCTTAACTACAACGTCTGCTTATATTTTCGTTTTTCCCTTATTTTTAAGGACACGTTTTCCTTTAGCTACTAGAATTAGTAACTCACTATTTAAACAATTTCTTACTTATCTTTGACTTCCTCATCCACTAGCTAAAGTTTAAAACCAAAATTGAACTTCCTGCTTTGAGCCAAAAACTGTAAGTTGGTTTCCACGCAAGTTTGGATTTTTACTTTGTATGGTGTAGTCTTTATCAAATGCTAAACATGAACAATTTAAAATGTACAGCTTTTCAAAACAATGGCCCTAGTTTTAACTGGTTTGGCAATACATGTAGTACCCAAATTTCCGTTTTGATGCTCGAAGTACACACAGTGGTAGTTGATTTAATCCTTGTCATGTGGTTTTATGGAATGTACCCTTCTCCTTTTCGGTTATGCAGGCCACCATTAAAATGTGCTCAGTAGAGATAGAAGACTTGCGAGAGTTTGAGTATTTGGGTTTTTTTTCAAATCAGCTCGGCATGAGATTGTCACACCCAAACTAGACCATTGGCCCAACTTCAGTTGGGATGGTCCTAGTTTAAGTGTTTCAACTGGAATACTCGAAGGTATTGGTCACCATTTGCAATAAATTCAAAAATGAAACTGTCAAAACGCCATGAAACAGCCATGGGCGTCGCCAGGATTTTTTCTAGAGGGGGGCAAAACAATTTTGGCCAAAAAATGCTTGTATTTCTCAACACATTCTCGATCTATCAGTTTTAGAGGGGGGCAGGGACATTTTGCCCCCCCCCCCAACTCATTAAATTTACACCACTTTTTCTTCGCGCCTCTTTTTCTTTTCTTTTTTTTTTCTTTTCTTTTTCTTCCTTTTTTTTTTTTTTTTGCCTTTCCAGGGGGGGCAAGTGCCCCCCTTGCCCCCCCCCCCCTCGCGACGCCCATGGAAACAGCCTAGCTTGCTGTCATTTTCGAGAAATGAGGGCTTGCCATCATTTCCTAGCGCTGTCAATAGGTACCTGTGCTTTGTGTCAAGAAAATAAAGATGCGTCTTCACTTTTCTCCAAAAGTCTGATATATAACATCTGAAATTTCGAATTAGTTTTTTAATAGCCCACTTCAGATTTATTGTTGTTCCTTCAATCAGCAAAATCCTGTTTTCTTTTTTTTTTGCAAATGGCGTCCTTTACCGTTAAGTTGGGACAGTCCCAGCTAAAGTTGGGACCGATGGTCTATTTCAGGGGCGTAACAAACAGATGATCAGATGGCTTCACTTGAATCTTACTTCACATGGCATATACCAAGTCCCCAACTCATTTTGACCGGCCGATGTTCGCTCGTACCCCTGTTTGCAGGGCGGGTGGGGTACGAGCGAACGGCCGATGGACTTAAGTTATAAACTAAAGAGGGCGCTATTTAGCCCAGAAAAATAAATCGCCTTCCAGTTCCAGTCAAGTCATTCAGATGACCAGAGGCTAATCAATGGGACGTTATGAATACAGATGACAGTTATCTTGTCACAACCAAAGTGTATTTTGGTCGACCTGGGTCGCTTCTTGGCACTTGAAATCTAAAAATGGATGCTTTCGACTTTGCACGATCATCTTGGGCATCACGCGTAACGTAGAGCGCTGATGAGCTGAGGACTTTGTACCAAACGAAGATGTCGGAGCCCAGTCGAAGCAGCCTTTAGTGTCCACTGTCCGGCAGGCTTGGCCGTGCATCAAGGTTCCCACCCTCCGGGCTTGCAATCCAAGGTCTGTGGTACTGGTGGATACCGCCAGGACCGTGGGGAAAGAGGGCGGGCGACCCAGGATGGGGTGACACCAGACCATCCATCGGGACATGAGCGCCCGAACGGCAGGAGTACGACCCGCGGGTTAGCAAGAGTATGCTCGGGGGGGGGGGGGGTGAACGTGGAGCGCTGATGAGCTGAGGACTTCGTACCAAACGAAGATGTCGGAGCCCAGTCGAAGCAGTCTTTAGTGTCCACTGTCCGGCACAATCTGCAGACGACTGAACAGGCTTGGCCATGCATCAAGGTTCCCACCCTCCAAGCTTGCAATCCAAGGTCTCAGGTACTGGTGGATACCGCCAGGACCGTGGGGAAAGAGGGCGGGCGGGCGACCCAGGATGAGGTGGCACCAGACCATCCATCGGGACGTGAGCGCCCGAACGGCAGGAGTACGACCCGCGGGTTAGCAAGAGTATGCTCTCCGGGGTGAACTGATGACTTTTAGGAGAAATTGCCAACCGAAGATGATCACCCCTTAAAGTAGTCCTGAAGCTCGTCGCCATTTTGAAAAACGATGCCTACACTCCATTGCAAAATAGTGTGCCCTTAGGACCCCAATTTAATCCAAATTGCACCTACAAGCTCACAGGCTGTGCACGGCTTCCACCCATATTTTTCACAAACCCTCCGAGTTCATTGCCCACAATATGCTCAAATACCGAGGGCATGCAAATCGTGATTTGGCCGGCGTAGGCAATTTTGGACCGATTTACTGGCCGGCGCCGGCGACTCTTGAAAACAAGGGGCATGTGTAACGGGTGTAAAAATAACAGTATTGTCATGGAAGTGTTCGATTTCGCGTGTTTTGAGGGAATAATTTTTCAAGTAGGCCTACGTTTGCTTTGGAAAAAAAATACTCGTCCCACACATCAAATCAAATCAAAGTTTAAATAATTGTGGAAACTTTCCGGTTCTGCGGATTTACCTTTGGTATTAAAAGTATTCGCAAACAGAAATCCGAGGTCGACATAGCATTAACAGCTTCGTGTATGCTTTAGGGCGGCAACCTTGTGATTAACAGTCATACCAGAGATATGCCTTTCATAAAACACTCTAGAGATAAGCCTATTATAAAGATTCAGGATTAAACTTGATTGATATCTGTGCAAGTTGTGGTTTGGACTTCAGAGACCACTTTACAACACAAACAAACTTCTGAATGAAAATCATAACGTAAGTAACATATGCTAACTGAACAATAACGTGGACGTTTGGTGTCACAAAATCGGGCGTAGGCCTATATTATGTCTCTGTTGCACACTATTGTTGCATAATATCGCCGCGTGGTGTATCGATCAAAATCAGATACATTGTATTAGGTTTATGCATTGGTAGTGATCATCGCTAGCATTCGGCAAAAGAGTGGAGTTTCTCGTCACCGGATGTCTTCAGAAAGTCTCCAGCTTGAAAATATGGGCGGCAATTCAAAAGAGGGCAGCTCATCGGCTCGACTGCACGGTATAGACCAACGTTTGTTTGTGTTTCTAGAATGAAAGTATTTAATATAGCTCTTTGGTCACAATAATTAATTAAGTTAAATCATTTGTCAATCGATAAGTCAAAGTGAAAGTAGGGGCAGAATTAACAATTGGGAATGGCTCGTAACAGTTAGAATGGCATTTTCATGGACGAGACTTGTGACTCATTGAGCATTGGGATCGTTGTACTACTTGAAGCTTTTTGGTCTGGAACACATCATTCGACGCTAGGGGGCGCTCTACGTCAAAGATGTTGTCGGTGCAGTTTGTTTAGTTTTATACCGAATGAACGAACACGATCGGCCCACCTGTAGTTATAGCAATTAGCAAGTACGTACATGTATTCAGATGTATTTACAGTCCGAACTCCGAAACAAATTCAGTTCTCACGGGTGAATAAGACTGGTTTCTGCCCCTCTCTCATCAGAATTGCATCTGGTGCGCAATTTATCATGCTGCCACCATTTCAGTCATATTTCCTGTATCCAATAACAGCACTGATTGATAATGTATTTTGCGCAAAAAAAGGAATCAGACTATTTTTCCTTCCAGTCATCATAAAAAAATCATGATGGCCGCAACATGAAAATGGTCTATAAGGCCAAAAAAAAAATATTCGGTCTCTGGTCAGACCAAAGTTCCGAAATTGACGCGGCCACGCGGCTTTTTTTTTTCCCCCTTTTTTTTTTTTCTTCAGCTTGGATTGTACAGACAAGGTGGGTACTATTTTGCTTTTTTGGTGTCCTCATGTATATTGGTGGCCTCCATAATTTGCCTTGGTGCTTTCGATCATTTGCCTTGGTGCAATTTCCCATTCCTTGGTGCTCTTTTGTAAAAAAAAATTGAGGAGGTGCGGAAATAGAGGGCGCTGTTGGAGCTACCGCGGAACATTTTGGAAAAAAAAATCGACGCGCATGCTTAAAATCGACGCGCGCGCTGACCAGAGACCGACTTATTTTTTTTTTGGCCTAACATGCAACCCTTAAAAGGCTTTGGACATTAGACAATGCATAGAGTTACGATGGTCAATGTACATAAAATTTACCAAAGTTAGCGTATCCGAATATTGGGTAAAGGCCCGGGGTGGTGGTGGGGAAAAAAGGGTAAATAAAGACGCCGACGAGTCCTTCAATGTTCTGCAAGACAGCGTTGGGTCGACTCACTGGCAGATTTCCCCCCCCCCCCCCCAAAAAAAAATAATAATAATAAATTCATTTTTATTTAAGTAACTAAACCAAAAGAGGACGTTCTAATATTGATTGGGGGGATTGCCCCCCCCCCCCCCGGACAAGCAAAACAAAACAGAAAGAGGAAAAGGGAAAAAAGAAAAGAATAAGAGACGCGAAGTCATTGCTGTTAATTAGGGGTCGGGGACCAATTGGTCATGTCCCTGCCCACCCTCGAAAAAAATGATAAATCGAGAATAATCATGCTGGAAAAGTAGAGGAATTTAATTTTGGGGGAAATGTGCTTTAATGCTCCCTCTAGAAAAACTTAAATCCTGGCGCGCCATGGCGCGCTCAGCACATACTTTGACAAGAACAAAAACAGCTGAATGTATTGTTAAAAGCTATATAATTATGTCCAAAACGTTGGGATTATTTGGATGCAATTTGCATGGGGACACTTGAAATGAAGGAGAGGGGATAATCTCAAACGCTAAAATGTTTTAGAGGTAGCCCCAGCCGCCAGTAGCCCGGTTGGCGTGTCAACAATTATTGGGGCTATACGGCAAAGATGAAAAGACAGGAAGAAATAAATCATTATATTCAGAAAGCAAACCTGTATCAATATTGTGTATAATAACAGTTCAATACCTTCCCCAGATTCTGAGTTTTCTACCTCCATGCACGGACGGAGCATTCCCCTTGAAAAAAGGGGAGGTTGGGGGAAGAAAAGTGTTCCTTGTAAATTGAAACTTAGTGACGCCTCTGCATGCAGAACTGAGTGTTAAGTGCCCGGTAACAACCATTTTAATAATTACGTCTGAGTATTTTCCCCGCCACTGAAAGTATACGCACGAAGTACATTTACGTTATATTCCAGTTTATACGCCTCACCAAAGATACCCTCTCTAGTATCTTTGGCCTCGCTCAGTTTAATGTGCAAAAGTAGGCTACATAACTTTCAATGTAATTAGTGTGCAGCATTTCTTCCTCCATGGTTTTAGCCCACTTCCGGTTTTTTGATGATGTTACACTTAAATTTCATATGCGGATAAAAAAAACAAAAATTATGTTTCTTTACATTCAATCGTTCATGCAAGTATTGTTACGATCATAATTACTATGACACCGAAACATGATTATGAAATCCTGCCAAGGATCATGTCCAATCATTTCTTCCACCAGCAGATTCCTTGTCACAGTGCATAACTCGGCTTTTTGTTATCTGCATTTCCCGGCGTTGCTGTTTGCATTACTAGGTCGTGCATCGAATAATAATAGCACTTTGCAATGATTACGTAACATGTTCTTGATCCTCCATGGTTAATATGTTTACATATTCAGCGGGTTCGTTTACGTATAATCACCCGGCTAGGTTGCATTCATTGAGTATATAGGGACTATACGTACGTGAATCACCATTGGAACCTTTGATGAACGACAAGACAGTCTATAGCAAAGTCAGAACTGTTATTTCTCCGTGATACAGGAAACATTCACTGTAGGAGTGTGGCTGAAACTGCGTATATTCAACCAATTCTCGGTTAAACAATTTTTCAAGTTTCCATCAGTGTTTTCCGGGTTTTGACAGTATGGCGCCTGGTGACAATCGTGTTCATGGAGGTATGTACTACGGCAACTCGTGTGTGCTGTTATAAATTGATCCAAACTCCCCATCCAGACAATAATATTCAGTCAGTACGTGGCGTAAATAGACTATAAAAGTATAGGGAAGGGTAGCCCCATAATTGTGGCCAATTTACTGGACTACCTCCGTAAACATAGGCCACACTGCCAAGTGTACAAAAACATGTCGCACTTTGTCAAATTTTGATATTCACATTGAGGCTTAGTTTGTAGGGTTTTTTGGCTTTAAAAGCATACTCACCCTCTTTATAGGCTAATCAGAAAGTGCTGCCTTTTTCAGATGTCTATTTTTCGTGAAATTTCCAGATTCATTTGCACACGTTCATGACGTTTGCGTATCAAAATTTCAACATGAAATTTCACAAAAATTAGACATCTGAAAAAGGCAGCACTTTCTGATTAGCAAAGAGGGTGAGTATGCTTCTAAAGCAAAAAAACCTACAAACTAAGCCTAAATGTGAAAATCAAAATTTGACAAACTGCGACATGTTTTTGTACAAGTGGCAGTGTGGCCTATGTTTACGGAGGTAGTCCAGTAAATTGGCCACATTTATGGGGCTAAGGGAAGGGTAGTCCGAGTAACTTGAACCTAAATCGCCTTTTTTTTAACATTGGGACATGAGTCTGGTGATTATGATCCAAGTCGATTGTTCGATAGCTCCACTTTTGCAAGTGTGGCCTTTATTTACGGAGGTAGTCCCGTAAATTGGCCACATTTATGGGGCTAAGATACAAGTAGAGTTTCGATGATTAAGACTGAGGTACTAAGGTTTACTTACGATCTGGATTAAAAGTGAAATTTACCATTTATCGGCGAGGGCTCCGCCCCGCTTACCGCGCGCAAACGCCATTTTCAAAATCTCAGGTGGCATATTTCTGTGGCCGTTTTGAGGTTGAAATCTGATGTTGGAAAAAATGCTGCAACCTGACGCCAATTTTTTTTTCTTCATATATCATCTCAATGGAGGTCATTCGTTGCAAATATGATAAGACATGAATCTGTGACTAAAAAAAATATTTCCAATTTCGTTAGGAAATAATTTTCTTGACTCTCCATAGACTTTGTACGCAATCATGGAAGTGGCGTCATTTTTGCAACATTTTTTTCCACTTATGTCTCAATGAAGGTCATTCGTTGCAAAAATGATGATAAGACATGAATCTGTGACTAAGAAACATTTCCAATTTTGTTAGGAAATACTTAAAACAATTGTCTTTCTCTTCATAGACTTTGTACACAATCGCAGAAGTGGCGTCAGGTTGCAACATTTTTTTCCAACTACTATCGCCAGGCCACGTCCTGATGTTTAAAAAAGGCGATTTGTAGGGTCCAATAATACTCGGACTATGTAGGGGAGGGGCATCCCCAGCCTCCCGCTCGATAGAGGCCCGTACGTGTCCTCAGCCCTATAAATGTGACTCATCCAATTTGTGAGCCACACCCCAAATAGGCCTATCCATGCAAAGTTTCATTCGAGTTTGAATTCTAGTGGTTTTTTTTACTTGATATAATATTGGAAGCTACTTTGTTAACAACCAGGGAAAAAAATCAAGGAAAGATTCCCATATCTGGCCATCACTATTTTTTTTCCTTTATTGACCTATCGGCCATCGGAAAGTAATAATATGCCCTAAAAAAGTCAAATGTAGCACGGACAACATTGAAGTAGTTACTAAGAAAACACTTAAAAAAATTTCAGACCAGTCTCATAGGGTTTGTGCACAGGGTGACAAGGGATGGCCAGATATGGGAATCTTTGCAAAATGAAAAGGTCAAAGGTGCCTAGAACCCATGACCTCGCAAAATTCACACCAAAACAGAATCACCTCCCGAAAAGTGATAGTTCCCAAGCCTGCATGTAGCCGTTTTACAAGTGGCATCCTTCCACTTTCTCAGGCAAATATGACCCATGTTTCAACCGTAATTTTATCAAGCCTGCCCTCAGATGGAAGCCCAAAAACCAGGGAGTTGATCCTTGGCTACATTTACACAATTCCACCGTTTTTAAAGCCAAACGGTCTCCGTTTTCAAAAGAACTGTGGGGTCACTTTTTATGCTAATCAGCTCGCGTAGAAATTCTCACTTGAATTAGTTCACTGCACCCTGTGCAACATCTTCCTCGAGCAAGGTGGACGCCATTTTGTGTAGTGGTTGGACAGTATGCAGAAGGAGGAAATGTCTCCGAAAGGTGGGCAGGGTGTGATTTTTAAGCTCTGGCAGGAGCTTATACATGTCACTTGGTGGTCGGTCGGTCGGATGGTCTGTCTGTCTGTCTGTCTGTCCGTTCTGACCTTACCACCCTTGTGGGGTGATGTTCCTTTCAGGACACATCACCCCACTTTTTTCACAATAGAAAAACATCACCCCAGAAGGGAATCTTTAGAAAAAGGGATAATGGGAGCACAATGCTATCACCCCACAATTCCGTCTGGCTGGAACGTCCGTCTGTCTGTCCAAAAAAATGAGTAAAAGTATGGTGCTCCATATATATGTGCCATCTACGTCACATTTTTCGCAAGAGTGCACTCGCACTGTTTTTTTTTTATTAAATTGCACGACTTCAAGTGCCTATTTTATTTGGTTATTTTTTTTGGGGGGGGGGGCTAAACATCGGCCCGATCTTGAAACGACTGTCTTCAACTAACTATACCTGTACCATTAATGATAGTGCTCACCGTCGTTCTTTCGTTATAGTCTTATTCATTTTTAATCTCATATCCCTTTATTTTTTTCCCATCAGTGCAAGAGGAAGAGGAGGGTCCAGGATGCTGCACCACGGTGCTGGTCTTCTGTTCTTACATCGTCTTCGTTTTCACCCTCCCGTTTTCCCTCTGCTACTGCATCAAGGTATGTCTTCGCAAGAAATCAAAGTGCATGTACATGCATAGAAGCGATGCACAGTGCGCAACTTGGTTTTCACCGTACCAACCTCATCCTCGATGCGTCGAGGAGTACGCTACCACTAGCTTCTCCGTCAATTGAAAACGGAGGTTGAAAATAAAGTCGACCCTGGGAACAACGACAAAAATTGTATTCTTTCCGTTCAACTTGGCATCGAAAATTCAGTTTTCTTTTTGTTGCACGTGATAACTTAATTTAAATATATATTTTTGGTTAGTCCGAATCACGTTGAGTTTATTTACGAGGTTTCTGAATACATCGGTTTTTCTCCTGGTACGTGGACAGTGAAGTTGAACAGTGACGTCGCTTGGTTTAGCGCAATGTAGGGTGAATGGCTGTTGACTGTGTATAAGTATGAGGCCACGTGCATTGGCAACCTCATGTTTTGCACGATGTCGGTTTTTAGAGGTAGAGTATCATTTGCAGCTATCCAAAAATAACTGACAAAATTATCGTTCAAAAGCTTACTTGGTTTAAAGATATATGGCACTAAACTCCCTGTGAAAATATTGTTCTTTCTGACATGCTGTCACTTGGAAGAAAACAATAAAAGAAGCCGGCATTTTCCAAACATGCGTCTGTATAGTGACGCTTTTTTTGGAATTAGCCGTTGGTTTGTAATTCGGCGAATCCGTGTTTCGAGAAAACATTGAAAAACCATGCTCAACCTTTGATCAAGAAACGCGATTGCGTCAATTCAAGATCTCTACCAGCTTCATTTCTTCTTAAATGATAGCAAGCCCGACTAAATAATTTCACAGGGTGTTTAGTACCCGGTACGATCTTTAAGCCAAATATGTCTAACGGCTTTTTAATAATAAATCGCTTGGTTACATTTGGATAAATGCAAATGATCTTATGTGCCATTAAGTCCTGATTCATGTTAAATTTCCCTTTTGACTTCTTTTTCCAGACGGTTGCGGAGTACGAGCGAGCCATCATCTTCCGGGCCGGCCGTCTGCTACCCGGGGGTCCTAAGGGGCCCGGCTTGTTCTTCATTCTGCCCTGCATCGATGAATTCAGAGTCGTCGATCTCCGGACTCTCTCATTTGATGTGCCGCCACAGGAGGTGGGTTCTTTAGCTTGTTTAGTGACTTTAGTCTGTCGTACACTTGTGATAAACAAAACCTCAGTCACCTCACGAAATGAACTCATAAATTCGGTGTGGCAATTATAACTAGGACTCATTATGACACCAAAGGTTGCATAAGTCCCATAACTGCCATGGAAGTGTACTTTATAAGGTTGACCTACGGCACATGGCACCAAACAAGCCACAAGAAGAGGCCTGTAATAACATCAACGCAGCCTAGGCCCTCAAATGGCTCTATTTTGCAATGGAGCGTAGGTGTCCAGTTACAAAATGGCAATGGGCTTCAGGACTGCTTTTAGGGGTGATCATCTTTGGGTGAAATTTTTTTTTCTCTAAAAGTCATCGATTAACCCCCCGAAAATTGAACAGAACATGAAAGATGATGAAATAAGCTTTAATTCTTGCGTGTCTTGAACATCTCCGAGTTGAGTATTTTTTTTATAATTTTGGGAAGTGCGCGTAATTACCACTTAGGTCTAAGGCAGTCTATGGTCTGGACCAAAGATCCTATAGCGCCGCGTACCTATGGCGCTATAGGATCTTCGGTCACAGGGACCCATGACCGGTGTGCTTGCTGCCACCTATCTAGCGTCTCAAAGTCTCCCATGCATCGACTGTTCATCTGATCAAGTTGTTATCGGTTCAATTACAAGTCAAATGCTAAGTTGTAGCATGGAGGAAGGAAAAGAAAGTGATGGATATGTACGGAGGAATGGACGTGTTTCTTTTGCCAGTGGTACTCTTTAATTCACACTTCACATGATTTGTGATTCATTTTAAACTTATAATGACTTTGATGACATACTCTGCTTTTCAAACCAAATGTACATGTTATTTTTAAACAGAGAACTGATTTGTGTATTGTAGATCTTGTCCAAAGACAGCGTGACGGTGACCGTAGATGCCGTGGTCTACTTCCGCGTACAAGACCCTACCGCCTCCGTCTTGAACGTGGAGAACTACAAGCGCGCCACGGAGCTGCTTGCTGCTACCACCCTGCGTAACATCCTGGGCACCAAGACCCTGGCTGAGGTGTTGAGCCACCGCGACGAGATCAGTGCCGGACTGCAGTCTCAGCTTGATGTAGCCACCGACCCATGGGGCATCAAGGTAGAACGCGTCGAGATGTAAGTTCTCCTAAGCATGCTGTATACCTGTTGTCTTCATAGACCCTTCCTTCCTGCATGTCAGTTAAACAGTACCAAACTTTTGGTCAGCTGATCACGGGAACTCGGTCACACCGTAAGAAATGTACTGAAACTAAAGGTGGGCGGGGTTTATACCAAATCTGGGACGTTCCATTATTGATTTGGGTTGGAACCATAGCCAGTGGATAACACGACAAAGAAATAATTTAAACCGAAACATCAGAACTACCCATGCATCGTTGGTTAGTCCAAAGAGGCATGTATGAAGAAGAAAGTGAACCTTCGAAATGCCCCTCCGTATACGTTTTCATTCAGGTGTTCATACTGTTAATTTGTCTTCTTCAGATGATGTCAACTTTTCAAATTTCACTTAACCCTTTACCTAACTTTATTTTAACAGTAAGGACGTCCGCCTGCCAATCCAGATGCAGCGTGCCATGGCCGCTGAGGCTGAAGCGTCCAGAGAGGCCCGTGCAAAGGTGAGTCATTGAGGCTAAAGATTTGGCAAAATGATTGAAAAAGCTACATCCGTCGTTGTTGTTTCTCTTATCATTGGGTGACCGTGGATGACTTGAAAATGGTTAGTAATGATACAACTTTGTGTTTCAAATTCTTACCAAACAGGTGATCGCTGCGGAGGGTGAGCAGAACGCCTCCCGCGCCCTGAAGGAGGCTGCCGACATCATCGCTGAGTCTCCCAACGCCCTCCAGCTCCGGTACCTCCAGACCCTCAACTCCATCTCGGCCGAGAAGAACTCCACAATCATCTTCCCGCTGCCCATCGACATCCTCGCCGGAATGATGAAAAAATAATTAAGCCGTTTTGATGATCGAACGGGATTGGCTGAAAGAACGACGGGGCGTGGCTTCACCAAAGCGCCAGTTTGTTCATGTCAAACTGTTTAACATAACTGTTTATGTAGCCTGTTAGCATTTTCTGGATATTGATAATTTATGTGGGAGTTATATCGAATTTTTAATTTGTGCCGCAGGCTTATGTTGTCCTCTACAATATTCATATTTACATCTTTATTTAATTTTATGTATGCACTTATTATATTTATACCCGCTTTTATGTATTATTTACATGTGTATTAATTACATTGAACTGCAGCTCACGCAGTGCAGTGCTACTACATCTATTACACTTTCTCGTTTAACATTTAAACGGCTGGTAACATCTCCAAAAATAGGGGGCGCTCTTCAAAACCGGCCATTTTCAGGGCACATTGTAAGGGTTCTGGGGCTTTGTTTTCATATTCCTAGTTCACATCAGAATTGTCCATACCATTTTGGGAAATGGTTACTGAATTACAATGGTAACAAATTATCCAACATTTTAGGGCCAATTTTTTTTTCATCTCGAGGGGGCACACTTATGCTCGAGGGGGCACATGTCCGCAAAAGGGGCACTTGGGTAAATCTGAGGGGCAAGTGCCCCCAGCTCCCCCCCCCCCGGTTCCGCCGCCCCTGTGGCCCAGTTCATCGTTTTTGTCGGCAAAATCGTAAAAAAAAAAATCGAAAAACCATCGAAAAACCATGGCTACCTTTCAGGACGAAAGGTCTGTTACACACACGTGATTCAAGCAAGGGCGGATCCAGGGGGGGGGCCAAAGGGGGCCATGGCCCCCCCCCAAAACGAAATCAATTTTTTTTTTTTATGTGACATCGCAATAACGGCAGGCAATGAGTACACCACCATCTTTTCCTCAAAAAAAAAATTGGTTAAAGTGGTCAGAAATTGCCTCAGATCGCACCACAGAGCATCTAGAATCCAAAAAATTTTCGGGGCCCTTAAGCGGGCCCCGAACCCCACGCCGTAATTTTTTTGACCCACTTTTTGACATCGCAATAAAGGCAGGCAATGAGTACACCACCATCTCTTCCTCAAAAAAAACATTGGTTAAAGTGGTCAGAAATTGCCTCAGATCGCACCACAGAGCATCTAGAATCCAAAAAAAAATTTCGGGGCCCTTAAGCGGGCCCCGAACCCCACGCCGTAAATTTTTTGACCCACTTTTTGACATCGCAATAAAGGCAGGCAATGAGTACACCACCATCTTTTCCTCAAAAAAAAACATTGGTTAAAGTGGTCAGAAATCGCCTCAGATCACACCACAGAGCATCTAGAATCCAAAATTTTTTTCGGGGCCCTTAAGCGGGCTCCGAATCCCACGCTGTAATTTTTTTGACCCACTTTTTGGGGGGAACCAAAAAATTGTTTGGCCCCCCCCAAAATTATGTTCTGGATCCGCCCTTGGATTCAAGACGTAAAAATTGTTGCAGAAGTGTATAATATTGTTTAAGTACCTGATTATAAGTTCGCTGTTGTGTATCCAAACTCTGTAAAACTGAACGTATAATGAAACAATTATGTTATTTACTTTCAAACGATAAAGGATATCAGTACCTTTTCAACGTTTTACCTTTAATTTAGTTCATATATGTTAGTGTGCGTTATTATAAACTAAAATACTTGTTTAATTGCCTATTGGAACTTTAACACTGTTAAGGTAGGATGTGTATGGGTATTGTGTTGCACATAATTATTATAATAAATATCTCAAGGATTTTCCAGATTGAAAAATGTGTGCCGCCTCGATCGTCACTTGGTGTGATCCTTCTGAGCTAAATCACGGTAACATGTTCATAGAGTGGGATCGTTCAGGCTCCTAAAACATTCTGGAGCAGTAGATGGCGGGAAGTGTGGCGTATGGACTAATCCGGTCACGTGATCACCGTAGATTCACAAGGCCCCCTTCACTGGAGCAACCATTGTGCACGCTATTGTATTTTATAAACAAAGCAACTGGCCCGCAAGACGGATTAATATACCGGAGTCTTTTATAGCGCGCGTATCTATACCAACAGTTAGGTAACTGACCCGCAACTGGCCCGCACAGTGATGCATGACGGATTAATACTGGAGTCTTATATAGCGCTAGTATCTACAGTCGAATCTCTTTAGTACAAACTCTGTTAATACAAAATTCTGGTTATAACAAACATAAAGCCTTAGTCCCGACTGTGCATTTATGTGCACAATGAATGGGACTGATGTTCCTCTTAATACAAAATTCTGATATAGCAAACAATTTGGCTAGGTCCGAACGAGTTTGTATTAACGAGAGTCGACTGTGTATATAATTATCAAAGACAGGTAAATGAAGTTGATGAGAAATATGAGACCCATTTAGCACCTTTTACCGTGTTGCATGCAGCGCATATTGCAGAAACACCGGGAAAACCCTTTCTCTTAACGAAGTGTTGCTATTTAACGTGCATTACACAATACACGGGACATAGACCTGTACTGCTTTAAGTCCCATCCGTAGGACGAAGCAATAATGGTAAAGTGCCTTGCTCAAGAGCACAAGCACCATGTTACACGGGCACATGACACCTCAACCATTGGACCACAGCACCGCGGAATATATAGGGGAGAGTGGAGGTAGCACAATACTTATCAAGCATTATCAAATCATAGCGAGATGAGCTATAGAAAGATCCCTGCCGGTTCGAATCCACGTCCGTCGCTGCTCATTTTCATCGACTATATTTCTTCTCCAAATTTATCGCTGGGATAACATTAAGGGAAAAAAGAGAATGAGTTCCTTTACGTGTCTTGCAATGATTCAAAGAGAACATACACTGAATTTTTCATGACACTAAACCAGGCGCGGTTCTAGAGCCAATATTTTTTTCGGGGGGGGGGGCTAGCATGGTGGATCCATAATTTTTTTCAGGGAGGCGTGCTGAAATGTAGACCGGTTATTTTCTCCGGACACTTGGGCCTCCGAAAATCAATAGGTGGGGGAGGGTGGTGGCTCGTGCCATTTTAAGGGGAACACTGATAACATCTTACAATCAGGCACTCTAAGCCCCCCCCCGTAGAACTGCCACTGCATTAAACCCCCTAGGAAAAAAATACGCACCCCGCGCGTCATAACGTCAGCGGTCCTAGACCTTATAGTGTGGCATGCTTGCACTTTTGCTTATGCACATGTATACATCTAGCGCCCTCTGTTTTCTAGCGAGCACAGCAGACCCTTTTGTTTTTGCATGCAGCGCGCGCTCTACGCCATGAAAACGAGGTTGCAAGAATTACAATGTGCATGTATTGCTAAAGTACTGATAAGTAAGGAAAGAGGTTGCGACCTTGCATTATGTTTTGTTGCGCCGCCCCGCTGCTGAGTAAAATGACATGGAAATTCCAGTAAATTTACTGTAAAATATGTGTGGCTGGGCGGAGCCTCCATGGTGTAATCTGATCGCTGCAGGTATTGAAGCCCTGTTTTAAATGTTGGCTGCAGTGCCTGATGTACATGTAGGTAAGGCCATGGAGGAATAAAGTGATTTTTTTTCGATTTTCAGATTTATTGATGATTATCGTCATGATCGTCCGGTGCCCCAAATTCGCGCTGCCCAATATTCGCGCAACAAACTTTCTCGGCTCGTATCTTTTTTTCACACAACGCGGACTGACGTCAAATCACCGTCGTCGATCCATCATTTCGTCACAGTTTTCACGAACATGACGAAGAGACAATTTTGGCAAAAATCAGTATATTTTCGAAATTCTTTTTTGGGCCGAAATCGATTAAGTGCCTATTGCAATTGCAACGGATATCTTGGCGAATTTATTTTGTCAAAATCAGATGAAATCATTGAGATCATGAGAATCAATAAAGGGAAAATTTCACTCAAGTCGTATTTTCAGTTTTCACGAAGAGACAATTGTAGCAAAAATGCACATTGTTCTATGGGGACAAAATAACGCGCGTGTGCGATTTTGAGTTTTCACGAAGAGACAGTTTTCGAGCGCGCGCAAGCAAAACGGGGTTCAACTTTAAAGTCGATTTTCTCAAAACTATGTTTCAACGCCCTGTGGCCAAAATTGTCTCTTCGTGAAAACTCTGACGATTTTGTCCATTGTCACATCGTCTTTCTTCTCGATGCAGTTATGCGGAAATCAATAGCTTTTCTGTGAAGTAGGCCCCTAGCCTAGGCCTAATTTGAAAGAAATCAAAGAGAGTGTAAATTATTGCCGTACTGACTAGAAAACGTAACATTATGGAATGGCCCAGAAAACTAATAAAAACATCGCTATGAATTTCCGATCAATGTCGCCGTCCAACCCCGAAACGTGAAAGACAACTTCGGTCAACTTTCACTAAACAACAGAGGGCGTAATCAGAATTAAGGAGCACGAAAAACAACGTGCGCCTTATATTGCGTGCCGTTATTATTTTTACGATCTGTTTCGCCGAGATGCAGATTTCGGTACCAAGTTTTTTGTTGGAATGAATTAGCTAGGATGATCCTAGCCCAACTAGTGTGGCCGTCGGTATGCTGCTTTGGTTCAGCGCAGCATACCGACGGCCACACTAGTGGGGCTAGGATGATCCTAGCGTTATGTTTATGCATAACAGGAATGAATATGCCTTAAAATATATTTCTGTCGGAATAAGACCTATAGGCCTAATCGTAATGTTTAAAGTACCCAAAAAGTAGGCCAGCCCAGGTTGGACTCCGTTGTGTACATGCAACGGAGTCCAGGGTATGAATCTCTCCTGCCATAGCGAAAAAAAATTGTAACACATTTTTTTTATATTGTTACCTGACGGTACTCCTAGAACTATGAGGCTCCGCGTGAGCGGAGCACACGCGGAGCCTCATAGTTCTAGGAGTAACCTGACGGAGGAAGCTGTAATTTCACTTTACATATTCCTTGTGTCCAGAATTGTGCCTGCGCTGGCTGGCTGGGTTTAGAAAAGGCAAATATGTCCGAGGGCGGCGTGTTTACCGAAAATAAACTGCAATTCCATGTTTTCCTTGAAAACATTTGCAGTACGAACTCCCCGTGTGAAGATTGCACACCTAGCACGCACACCTAGCACGCTGCCGCCGTGGCCGCGAACGGCACGCGCGTACACGTACGTCTTCACGCGGAGAGTTCGTACTGAAAATGTTTTCAACGAAAGCGTAGAGCTTGCAGTTTATTTTCGGTAAACACGCCGCCCGCGGACATATTTGCCTTTTCTAAACCCAGCGCAGGCACAATACTGGACACAAGGAATATGTAAGCGAAATTTCAGCTTTCTCCGTCAGGTAAAAATATGAAAAAAAATGTGTTATTTTTTCTGTGTTATACAGGTTCCATCTGCCTGTAATTGACTTCGAAAGAACAGCGGAGTATTTAGCAAGTACAGGGGTTCAGGAGTCGTTTCTCGTTTAAGTCTTTGGCCGGTGGTTTGTGTGCACACATACCCTAACATGTCTGGCATAGAGATGGAGTCGAGGGCAGGAGGAAGATACAGTGCAAGCCAAGGTGATCGGGGCACGTCGCCCAGGGGTAAGTTTTTCATAAATTAATTGTGAAAAAAATTGTGCAAGGTTAGCCCAAAGACATGTAAACAGATTTAGGTGTTGTGTTTAGGTGATCTAACCCACCCCCCCCCCCCCCTACTTGGTCTGCAAAACATAGGGAAAGTAAGCTAAAAAATAGCAAATGCCTGCTTACATGAATTTGGTTGGTTTGTTATTCTGCAAGGTCTAGAATAAACACGCCACATGGGTAACATTTCCCAACTTTTTAAAAAACGGGTATTAGCAAAAATTTAATTAACCCTAACTCCTTAACATGATTTACTAGGAACCATGCCCATTCTGGTACAATCCAACACCAAATGGGAAACTGCACATACATATATCTGACTTTGATTCTGGCGGTGTGCCAACCCAATGTAAAAGACTGTCAGTTTAGGGGTACTGTACCCATCCTGACAGATTCCAACAAAACATGCTGTTGGGGTTTGATGGGTTGAGTAGATAAAATTTCTGTATATACATGTAGCTCTTTTCTTGTTTGCTTGTTTGTAGCACTGGCATGATTGCCTATTGGTGAACAAATTAGATATTTTCATTATAATTATTATCATAACCTAACTTTAACATTTCTCGTAGCGTAAACTCATTTTCTGTGTTTAATCCCACAGACGATGGGGGCTCAATGTCGTGTTGTACCTATGTGCTCTGGTTTTTCTCTCTACTCCTGCTGGGTATAACTTTCCCTATCAGCGTTTGGTTTTGCTTCAAGGTATACATATATCAATGCAACAAGAGTTCAAACTAATCTAAAGACAATTCAATCAAGAAAGGCTAGTTTTGTTCAAGGTAATATGCAACATTTGCGTTTGCTGTAGGTTATTTGCAGAAAAAGATGGATTTGGGGGTTAGGCCAAGAAACATGTTGTTCTTCTTGTAGTCTGGTTCCACTTGTAGTCTGGTTCCCTGACCCAACTTCAGAGCAGTTTATAGACATCAGGGAATTGTCAGGTCAGGGAATCAGATTAGCTTTTTTTGTGTTCACCCCTTTACGGATGTGTTTTCAACATGACCATTTGCAAACGAAATGTGGACTAACTAAATTTGGTAAATTGGGGGCAGTATTGAAATTGTCACTTTTTTCCGAAGATGGTCCGCCAACCATCGTTGGAAATTGATACAAAAATTCCACTTTGCTTGAAAATGACAGCACACCAGGTGCCATGATTTCACAGGATGCTTGAGACTATTATTCACTTACAGCCAAGTAAGATATTTCATAATAACTGGTAGTTTCATTTTTTTATGTTTGCAAATGTTGTATATTCACGAAGTTAAATTAAATGCAGTTCAAGTAGTTGGTAGTTGTTTTGTAACCCCTCACCCATATTCTTCACATTTTAAGAAACATCTGATTAACCCAATTAGCATCTGTTTTGTATTGAATTTCATTGTAGTTCTTTTCTGATGAACCAAAAAGTCGCTGGGGTAACGAATTAAAGTGCGAAATCTGTGGATGGGGTGTTACTTGTATAAGGTCTTAGAAAATGTTTAAATTTTTGTAAGTTTTGAATTTGGCAATGCCATAATGAAAAATCTTCGTCTTTATGTTGAACTTCCAGTCCTTGTCTTGTTTTCATATTATTATTAATATTTATTATTATTTATTTTCTGGGAATAAAACCAACGATTCCTCAAAATCACCCTAGGAAGAAAGGGAAAACAGTGAGAAAAAAAATTACAGTTTTAAAGGTGGGAGGAAAACCTCAGAAGAATATTTGGGGGAAAACCCACAGAATCAGTTGGGGACTGAAAAGCCAATCCACGTTTGGCCTGGGCAGGAATCGAACCCGGGTCACAGCGGTGGAAGGCGAGGAAAGTACCGCTACGCTAACTGACTCCCATTTTCAGAAACAAGGCAATGCTTACCCATATGGACTAGATCACAATATTGTCAGATACTCACACATGCTTCCCGATTGTTTTCCCATCGACCAAGACGGTCTCAGAGTACGAGCGAGCAATTATTTTCCGAGTTGGTCGTCTGTTACCGGGAGGACCCAAGGGGCCTGGTCTGTTCTTCATCATCCCCTGCATCGATGACATCCAGGTGGTGGATCTCCGGACGCTCTCATTTGATGTGCCACCACAGGAGGTAGGCTATGTTTTAGTTATGTTACCATGGTTACAGAGCTTTTTCATTTCCAAGACTATTGAAATTATACAATAACATCTAAAACCATAGGACAATAATATGCACTTGAACCAGACATTTTTATATATCGTTATGAAGGGGTTGAACTTTTTTTAATGGAGACAAACATTACAAGACCTCGCAACGTTGATACTCAGAAGAATTTTTTTTTGAAAGGCTGATGGAGTTGTCATGGAAACTACAAGATCGACAGCTCTCACTTTGATCATAAACCTTGTGAAAAATTCACAAGAATTTGTGTCATTATGGAGTGAAAATATGATTCAGTGGTGTACAACATTTGCTTTTGCTGTAATTTTCAGAAATGGATGGATTTGGGGGTTAGTGTTTTATAGCAAATATCATTTCACTGATTGTTTAAAGTTTTGTGTTCGTGGATGCTGGGGAAAAAAAACAAGCTAGTCTGGTTTCCTGACCTGACAATTCCCGGCGTCTATAAAGTGCTCCATTTCATCGGAAGTACGGTCAGGGAACCTGACTACAAGAACAGCATTTTCTTTCTTGGTTTTCCCAGCATCTATGAACACAAAACTTTAAAGGGATCAGTGTAACAATATTTGCTTTATAATACTACCCCCCAAATACATCCATTTCTGTAAATTACAGCAAAAACAAATGTTATATTACCATTAAGATGTCAAAAAAGAAAATGTGAAAATTTAACTGTCATGATAGGTTTGAATTTTTGAATGAGGAAGTAACAGGGAAACTCAAACCAGATACACAATGACTACACAAAGGCACGTTCCAGATGAGCCCACCCATCTGTAACTTAAGCATTTCTAAAGCACATCATGACATCAACGTGGCCATGCATGCATGGCCCATTCAATAAAAAAAAATATTGTGAATAGACATTAGGCCAAAAAAAAAAAGTCTCCCGTTTCTGGTATGGAGCTTGTCCAAAAAGTGGTGCGGCGACGCGGCTTTTTTTTCTTTTTTTTTCCGGACTTTTTTGCTTCAAATGTCGACTGATGACTGCAAATGGTGCCCGACTAAACTTAGTGCAAATATATGGGAGTTCAGAGAGGCTACATTAAGCTTATTCTCGATCATAACCCCATCTAAAAACACGTTAAAATTGTGCAGCAGCAGAATTCCAGTCAAACCAGTGAGTTTGGCGGTTTTGAGACATCATCTTTCATTGAAAAAAAAACTTTTTCATTTTGCCGACGCGCATGGCTACGGCGACGCCCGCGCATACCAGAAACCGGAGACTTTTTTTTTTTGGCCTTAGACGTGGCTTGGTGATCTACTTGTTTGCAACTCCACATCACAACTTGAACTTGTTACAGGAGATAGTTGTGATTTCACAGTGTACACCTGCTCTTTACGTGTACGTTCATGCATGTATTTCCTGTATACAGATTTTATACAAATGCATATACCTGACAATTTTTAGGGAATGGTGGAAGAGCATTTTCCATATTTTTTTTGGTTAAAAAAGTTTATCACACCAATACACTTCTATCATAAACATATTGGGTATTCCTTTTTAAAATGGAATTTCCAGATATTTTGTTGACATGTATGTTGTTCCCAACGTTTTTTTACCTGTATTACAACAAAAGAGAGAAATATATGTTTCTTTTCTTGATCGAAACAATTGTTTTGACTTGTTTTAACTGTTTTACGTGGTTTTAAGGGTTATGTATTTTTACACTTTAAAACTGAGAAAATGAACTTCATCTTTTGTCTTGTAGTGAGATTTAAATCTGGATTTTAAAAAAATTCCGTTTGAATTCCACTATTTGGTCTCGATTTTGTAAACTGTATATTCGAAACCAACCTTAACAAAAAATTAAAGCCTTCAACTTTTGTGACACATGCTAAAGAAAACAATTGGAACATCCCCCAATAATATTATGCTCAATGGTCTCGGATTGTAACTGCATTCACTCGCTAGCAGTCTTCTTGGTGAATGAATAGCCTGCCCATTCAACCTATCAGAGAGTTCCCATCCATTTTGTTTTCAACATTACAGCTCTGGAGTGTTTTTTCAAGGCCCAGTGGTCATTGAATCCTGAAAGCTGTACCCAGTCGTTGGGAGGGCATTTTATGCGGCACCTCAACTCGTCACTTTCTGTTGGCATGACTGTGAGCTGGATGGGAACTTTTGGTGAAATCAGAGAACCGTAATTCGGTTTGAAAAAATATTCAGATAACTGGATTTTGAAATCTCTGATTTCTCCCACAACTATAATTTTGTTTCAAAAACATGAACCCGATACAGCTCACAACAGGGCTAGCAGTGGCTCAGTTTTGATTCCCCAAGAGTTTTCATTACCAGACAAAATTGTGTCCGAGAGATGATGTCAGAGATTAATAAGTTGTCACTGAGGCAGTACGCTTGTTGTCATAACAACAGAAATGTAGGTCGCATCGTACGTCAGCAGTTAAGTTGCACAATGCTTGCGCGCGTGATTACTCGGTTGAAGTGTCACATACATTATGTTTTGATTGTCTAAACATGATCACAGATGTTCATGTTTGCAGTATTAATTTGGATTGTTGTTCTCCAAGGTCTTGAATAAACACGCCACATGGGTAAATTTTCCCAACTTAAAAAAAAACCCAGATATTAGCAAAAATTTGCACTGAATAATTAAAAAGGAAAACAAATGGTGTTACTGATACAGCACATTACAGCATTGCCAACCAAAACGCATTACATGTATTACGTTCTGAAACTTTGAATACTTAAACATTTGCTGATTATTTTAGTTGCTGTAATTTGCATTTTTGTGCAAAATCTTTCCTTTTCTTCCCATTCATCTTCTTATTCTATTTCTTTCTTCAACTGTTGAAATTAAAAATTGGTCATTCGGTAAATTTAGGGTCCAAAGTGTGACATTTTTCCTGTCCCTGTTACCTTGGTACTTTGTAATTTGCCATTCAAGTATCATTAAGAACGACTTCAAACTATTTTTCATTTGTCGGGTAGGTAGTTTGCTATTTACATGTATGATCGCTCTCGGAGGACGACTGCATTAAGGAGTGCATCAGAATTATAAAATCATAGATGTCAGATGTAACAGGGACAGGAAAAACAAGTGGACCCAAATTGACAGAATGACCCATACGCATTGTATTTGTTAGTTGGTATGTAATTGTGTTTTTTGCCTGTCAAGTTGAACGTAGAAATTGACTGTCGCAGGATTTGAACCTGCGACCTCCGGATTGCCATTCCGATGGTCTACCAACTGAGCTATCCAGCCCTATGTTGGCTGCTGCCAAATTTTGTCAAATTTTTGTTCAAGCCGTGAACGTTTTTATCTTGTTAGTTGGGGTTTGGGGTATTCTTTTCATGAGGATAAAATAAAGTAAGAAAAAAATATTTCTTTGACACAAATACCATTTGAATTGAATCTTTAGGTCCTGTCCAAAGACAGTGTGACCGTCACTGTGGACGCAGTGGTGTACTTCCGCGTGCAAGACCCCACGATGGCTATTATCAACGTGGAGAACTACAAGCGCTCCACGGAGCTGCTTGCTGCCACCACCCTGCGTAACGTCTTGGGCACCAAGACCCTGGCCGAGATGCTGAGCCACCGCGACGAGATCAGCAACACCCTGCAGACGCTGTTGGATGACGCCACCGATCCCTGGGGCGTCAAAGTGGAGAGAGTTGAGATGTAAGTCGATAAACACGTGCTACTCAAGCCTCTCAAGACAAGCATGATTGAGAACATTTCTATTCCCTCCTGCATGTCCTGGATTGGATGCAAGTCCATCGCAGGTTACTTCCAGCAGCGATGCTTGTACCCATTTATACTTCCAGTGGAGAGGCAAATTGGGGTGAAGTGGCTTGCCCAAGGACACAATTTATGGACAGCGCAGAATTGGAACCCCTGACCCTCTGATCATGAGTCACAAACCCTCACCACTAGGCCATATACTCCCCTTGTCTCAATCCTACTGCCACTGGTTTGAACTGGATCTTTCATAATTTTTCACTTCCTACAGCAAAGATGTGCGTCTCCCAACTCAGATGCAGCGTGCCATGGCCGCCGAGGCCGAAGCATCCAGGGAGGCCCGCGCCAAGGTAAAATCAGCTGACATTGTAACTCCCAAGTTGAATTGCTGACTTTTGGATTTCCAATTAAAGGGAATGTACAACATTTGCTTTTGCTGCAATTTTCAGAAATAAATGGATTTGGAGGATTAGTATGTTATAGCAAATATTGTTAAACTGACTTGTTTCATGTTTTGGGCTTGTAGATGCTGAAAAAAAACCCAAGAAAACCAATCATGTTCTTGTAGTCTGGTTCCCTGACTCCACTTAAGATGAAACGGAAAAATGTATAGACTTTGGGAATTTGTAAGGTAAAGAGAATCAGTCTAGCAGGCTTGTACTAGCATTTGGAGTGACTAGCAGGCTTGTACTAGCATTTGGAGTGACTTGCCTGAATCCACATTTGTTTTGTTTTTTCAAACTTGACACTGGCTCATTCTAGACCAATGAAATAACAGTATCCAAGACACAGTATAACAATTTTGGTGGCACAATCTCTTGGAGCACACTAGAACAGTTGATCTTGTTCAAAAGTAGACTAAAATCCCTCGTTTTTTTTAAATGTCTTACGTCATTTTGGTCAAAACTTGGGTGCAAAAAGTTCTTAGACTCTCAAATGATGCTGCACAAGTTGCATGTCTTGACATGTCACAGGTGTGGAAATTAATTCCAGAACATTAATCACAAAATGACCAAAAAATCTTCCCAAGTGCATTTTTTTGTTTGCAGTTTTGCAACTAGATGAACAAGGGATTTTACAGAAAAACAAACTTGATATTTTTTTTTTTTATGGTCTTTCAGGTGATTGCTGCGGAGGGTGAGCAGAACGCCTCCCGCGCCCTGAAGGAGGCTGCCGACATCATCGCTGAGTCGCCCAACGCCCTGCAGCTCCGGTACCTCCAGACCCTCAACTCCATCTCGGCCGAGAAGAACTCCACCATCATCTTCCCACTGCCCATCGATCTGCTCGCCGGATTCACAAACAAGGGCGAGCGTGGTGGTAGGGACGACCATTCCCATATGACCAAGCCATCCATCAATTAAAACATCACGAAAGCTGTTATGTCTGTTACAGAAGCGCAAACTCTTTATCTTATAACTTCCCTCATCAATTCAACAATTTCTAAGTGTTGGAAGCGATCAGAGAAACAGAATTGACGAAGGACGCGTGAATCAACTCAAGATATCAGGTCAGCGTTGTAGTCCAGTCCTTTTCCGAGTCGGAAATATTCTGCTGCCAATTTCCCAAAGCAGTGTGGAACATACGCCATGCGTAGGATTTAGTTGAGTTTGTTCATAGTTGCGCAATAACCTTTCGATCGTTTTCGTGAGATTTGCCATAGCTACACAATTTTCTAAACATCTTGGATGAGGATAATCAGGGTTTCGGTATCAGCTGTTATAGTATACAATTTCATATCAGTCACAAAACAGTTTTGAGTCGGCTTTTACCCACATTTTGAATATAGTTGGGGTTTTTTTTCGAATTTCTTCGGAAAAGATGACCACTCTCAAAATTCTGCCATGGTTGAAAAGGCTGTGAGTTTCTTGTATCAAACTTAATAATTTGGCCATAGACAGACTCTAGATGACTGTGTAAGTTTCCTAATATGACTGCGTAAGTTTTGCTATAACTTCTTGCAGAAGTCGAGAACATACACACTTTAAAAACTTCATTGAAATAAGTCCTAACTGAAGTGATTTGCAACGTGAAATGTTGCCTAACTTTCGCAATGACAATCCAGCGTTAGTGGAGTTGCACCATTGAGTGAATTCATTTTCTCCGTAGGCTTTCCTACTTTCGGTACGTGATCAATCGAGCGTAATCGCTTTCCTAGGGACCGAGAACCAATCAGCGATCGAGACTTGACAGTTCAATGGCTCGCCCGACGGTTGTAAATACACATCCCGCAGTACGTTATCAAGCATCATATCAGCACTTTCCGGGGACCAATCAACGGTCGAGATACTGCGGTGATGATGCACGGAGCTAGTACCGATGGTCTAATTAACATGAAATGGCCCCGCCCCCATTGCTACGACATGACCAAGACGTTAGTGCGAGAAAATAAAAAAACAGTTATTCAAGTGCGCTACACAACAATGCAACTATTGCTGTTGATCACTGACGTCTTGGGCCAAGACTGTGCCGTCATCAGTAAATGCACTCTTCGGAACATGCCCCTTTGTCGCGATTGATACGCATGCGCGTCTATTTTGCAAATGAAGTGAGACATTCTGGAACTTGGCCAGAGCTTATTGTGCACTCGCGCTTGCTCAATGTACACACCACAAAGTATTAACAAGTCATTCTGCTAAACAAGGAGTTTGCGCTGATGTAATAGACATCGCAAGAAAGAAATGCACACACTTGTGTAGTATCTCTTTGGCTTTCTCATACAGTGACATACGGCTTTGGTTGTCAGAATAGTTAAATTTCATAAATACACAGGCTTTTTAAATGTATGTTCACAATGTTAATGTTTGTAAATACGGACTTACAAGAATGTGACTTTTGTATAAAAAGAATGTATTCTCTTGTTTTATAGGAATATAAAGTTGCTTTCCCCATGTTTAAGTTTTACTCAAAAAATAAAACTTCTTTTTTTATTATGTTGCTACTTTTTTATCGCACTTAAAAAAAAAAGTCATTTTTGAATGAGCCATTAAACCAAAACATTTGTCCACTCTTGGTTATGGAAAAATGACTTCACAAATTTGGAATTATTTGCAGCCACACAAGAATTCACAGGGATCTCTTTGTGTATTATAGGTGCAAAAGTATCCCAAAGAAAGACCATTTTTTTAAGGGTTGCAGATGCCCAAAATGAAACATGCAAATTGTTTGCTGAAAAGCAAAGGGAAAGCAACTTAAAAAGTTATATACAACATTTGCACACAAAAAAGTACAACGTTATTATGAAATATCTTACTTGACTGTAAGTGAATAATAGTCTCAAGCATCTTGTGAAATCATGGCACCTGGTGTGCTGTCATTTTCAAGAAAAGTGGATATTTTTTTTAAATTTCCAACGATGGTTGGCCGTCCATCGTTGGAAAAAACTGACTTTTTTCAAATTAACCCAATTAACCAAATTTAGTTAATCCACATTTTGTTTTCAATCAGTTACACATCCGTGAGCGGGTGCAATTCCCCAATGTATGTAAATTGCTCCATTTCGTCTGAAGTAGGGTCAGGTTACCAGACTACAAAAACAGCATTTTGTTGTTGGTTTTTCTAGCATCTGTGAACCCAAAATGTTAAACAGGTCAGTATAACAATATTTGCTTTAAATTACTAAGCCCTAAATCCATCCATTTCTGAAAATGACAGCAAAAGCAAATGTTGTTATTATTACCTTAAACATCGTCGGTTCCTAAAATCTATTGTGTTGATAACAGTGCAAAATGGCTTCAGTACGTGTATGTGACTGAGTGCTTCAGTTAGATATAAAATTACTCACTGAAAATTAGTGCATTAAAAACACCTCAACATGTAAAATGAAAGATTATTCTACTACATAGATAATCAAAGATAACATATTTTATTATCTTCAAGTAAACTTGTATCCTCGATTCTGATTGGTCGATCCATGGCAACAACAATGTGATATGAGGCTGTATTGCACGGTCCATATCGCACCCTGCGTATTGCGCTATTCCAAGATGCGAGCGACATTCCAGCTGCATGCGCTAACACTGTTGAAATGTTTATGTAAAGCGTGCTACTGTGGTCAAATTTGCTTGAAGATAAATTCGTTATCACGCTCGCGCTCGTGGAACACAGAAAATGTAGTGCGTCTGTGTCCCACATACCACTCGGCCGACCACGAGGCCGAAGGCCGAGTGGTATGTGGGACACAGACGCACTACATTATTCCGTGTTCCACTCGCGCTCACGGGATAACTAATAATATACAAAGCACATACACAGATACTTGTAATATTGTATTATAAAACTTCAACAGATATTTTTAAAAGAAACTTTTTAGCACTAGGGAAATGTGAAGTACATAGAGTATTTTTGTTTGTCCTCAGTAAACAGTACTGGTGTTCAGGGTCGACCTATTTTGAAGCGTTTTATGTTAATCAGTAATTATATGTGTAGATATTGTGATATAGTCAATATTGAGAAATTTCAAAGTTCATAGTTTTTTCTCCAAGTGCAGTCACTCTTCATAATTTTGTCAAACTACAAATTATTTGTAACTTTGAATTCATGAAAACATTTGCCTTCATTTTTTTATGGCTATGAGTAATTCTTTGCAGTTGATCAACTCACACTTTTCCAATACTATTATTCAAAATATTCATTAAATAAAAATGCCCATCCTGGGCCAATTCTCAATTTTTAATGAATTTGTTGTTTTTTTTTAATCTTTAATGAATGTGACAAAAAATTGAGTGACTTTCCTTTATCTTTGTCAAAAGTTATCTTTGAAATTACTTGAAATTGACTCAATCACAAAATTAACAGTCACTATTAAACATTCACTAAAATTATTTATATTGTTAAGTTTAAAACAAGTTATTTGAGAAGCAACTGTATCAAACTGCACAAGAACTGATCCGGTTCAAATTTTAAAAACAAAAGTGTGATTTTCATGTAATTATAAGACACATTTAAAACACTGGGCCTTTTCTTCTTGTCTACCCGTCTTGAAATCAACACGGATCCACCATAAGCGGAATCTGGGGTTCCCATCAAACATGGGTTGGCAAGGCGAACCCTTCACACTTAACACCTGTGCGTAAACGGATTAGCTGCAAATTTTATATTTTCTACCCGGGTAGAGCTCCCGACCCTGGTTCCAACCAGGGTCATATTTTATCTGTGTAGAGTGCCGAACCTCTTGTAGAAGCCGTGTTGGATTCGTGTCTGTCAGTGTGGAAAAACTCTTGTGTTGGACCCCAGAGATTTTGGAAAGGCCCAGTGTCTTGCCAAATTGTAAGCTTACACCTTGTGTATAATATATAGGGCTGGTACGTATCGCTGCCAAATGTCACACGTCGTCGTATTTTGCAGCTGGCTGACAGCTTCATGACACATGAGCTGATCACTAGTAGCTATTAGTGAAATTAGCTTGTCGCTAATTGGTTTGTTTTGATGAGTATATCTGCGTCAAAACCAGTGTGTCCAGTTTCAGAGATGCTAGTACCAGTGCCACTACAGCTACTCCTAACGAATGTACAATAAGTGTTTAGTGTAAATCCGAAGGCAAAGTTTCTGTAGGGTGGTTGTGATTATTAAGTTAGACAGTGGTTTCTTGTGTCTCCTGTGATCATGTCTACTGAGGTGTATACTGAGGGGTCTACTGAGGTCGAGATGGAACCAGCTCTGCCTGAGCCAACGTCTTGTGACCCTGACCCTGACGCTGACGCTAAGCCGAAGCCTAAGCCTAAGGGTAAGTAATCAGCTAAATTCAATATTGGGTTTTGCCCTTCACTCGTGTGGGACTCGAACCCACGACCTCTGCTTACTAGTGCAGGCGTCTTACCAGTCGACCACCAAGCTTGCAGGGGTCGGCTGGCTGGTTCGAATCAGATATGCATACTTTCATATATCTGATTGGAACCAGCCAGCAGACCCCGGCAAGCTCTGTGGCCGAGTAGTAAGATTTCTGCACTAGTAAGCAGGAGGTCATGGGTTCGAGTCCCACCCGAGCTGGGTTTTGTTCACGTCACGTTAGAATGTTCGCGAATAATGTATACATATTATACATTCGTGGTTTGATCAGTGTCCCAATAGTTGAATGGTGATCAACATGGCGCCCCCTTTTTGTTTTCGTTAAGAGTCAAATGTGGTTTCACCACATGTAGTAGCCTGAATGTAAAATTAAACCCAAAAAAATGACTTTCTCTTTTGTGTTTATTTATTGTATAGTGCTCAAATATTTGTGACTTGAATTGACTCGAGCGAAATACTTGACTCGACTCGACTACACACACTACACACTCGACTCGACCTTCTTAACCTAATGACTCAACTCGACTCGAATCACTTCTTTAAAATGACTTGACTCGAGTCACAAAAATCAGTGGCTCATTACATCTCTGCCGGTCACTGGGTATGTCACCCAGATCATTGTTATCTAGTAGGGTAGTGTAAGCTTGGGAACTTGCCATCTTTCTTGGAGCAAAGGCCAGTCAAGTTCTGATGAGAGTCTGGTTACAGTTCCAGGCGAATGTTCATCATAATTGTTTTCCGTCTTTTTCTTATTTGTTTGCTACAGAGCATGCAGGGCCAATCTCTTTCCCCTTGTATATCATGTGGGCTCTCTCTGTACTCCTGCTGTTGGTGAGCGCTCCCTTCACTATCTGGTACTGCTTCAAGGTAAATGTGCATTGTCAACATTTGTGAGGCGCTCTGGCAAAATGAGACGTAACAGGACTCAATTTCATGGCTCTGCTAACCACAGCATGCCGCACTTACGATCACCATTTTATGCTAACTGTGCTAGCATCAAAATTCTATGCTAACCTTAAAGCAGAGAATCCTTAGTTGCGGGATGTAGGCATAAGCAGAAGCAAACATTCCTTGCTAACCCATGAAATATGCTTGCTGTAAGCACGGAATTTTCTGCTATAGTAAGCAGGGATTTTTCTCTAACAGAGCCAATTGGGCCTTGGGCAGAGCTCAAAATGAGGGTGTGTTGGTATTAGGAAAGAGAATAACATTCTCTTTACAATACTGTTTGTTGCACTTCAATCAGACAACACTTTGACAATGGCTGCTTAACCCCATGCGTACCGGAAGCGGTCATGGCCACGGCCGCTAATCCTCATTGGAATGCAGTTGCCAGCTGTGGTATGCCGTGACACACGGCTAGTGGGTAGTTCCACAGCTGCTGCTTTTGTGCAGTCCCGCTACCACACAAAGGCTGTGCAGTCATGCGGGCCACTTGCTCTATGTGTGGAGGAATGTCCCCATTACACCCCATCCTTAAGGGGTTAAAGGGCACATTTATCAACATGTCAAAAAAGTGAAATACTGAGAAAAAGGCCTTTAAAGTTTTTGAGCTTTTGTAGTCGTAAAAATGAAATATGCCAAATCGTTATTCCTAACGAACCCCAAATCCTAACAAACGAAGTCCGATGGTTTCGGACGCAACGTCGCACAGTTGCAAAAGTAAGTTCCAGTATTCGATTCAATTAAGAAATCAACAAACCAGGATTATTCCATGATTTTAACAAGGGCGAGATCCAGAATGCAAAATTGGGTTTGTTTTGGGGGGCCATGGCCCTCGTCGCCCCCCCCCCCCCCCCCCCGATCCGCCCTTGGATTTTAATATTTCTTTAAAACATGTGTAGAAGGCATGACAAAAATTACAAATATCAATAATTCTGAAAATCGGGGGAAAAAATTCACACCCGTTCAGGTTTTTGCATTTTTCTCCACTACAGCCTGTGGCCAGTTCGGTCTTCATTTGCCAGAGTGCCTCACATTTACATGTATTTACCCAAAAATATCAAGGTCCGTTTTGAGTATTCCTCATTTCATCTTTAATTTAACAGCCTTTTTGTCCCCCTCTTGGACCCTGATGGGGAATTCTTACAACATTTATTAATTATCCTAAAAAAAGACAATACAACTGGTAGAAATCATTAGTGGTCCATCATTGACATGATTGATGGAATTTGTGATTGATGGAAAAATGAGGTCCAACCCCCCCCCCCCCCACTCTCCTCCCACCCCCCACCCCCCCCACCCCCTCCCCATTTCAATTTTCATTTTGTCGTGAACGTCTACAAGCCACCATCGAGCCGACTAGATCAAGGCTCACTGCCAGACATCCCTGCCCCAGCCCTGTATGCCGGCGATTTTAACAGCTGGCACACCGACTGGGGGTATAAGACAATCAACAAAGACGGCGAGTTTCTGGCAGATTGGTCCTCCTCAGCCGACGCAGTGCTCCTCTTCGACCCGAAGGAGCCCCACTCGTTCATCTCCGGGCGCTGGAACACGAAGACCAACCCAGACCTGGCCTTCCCCAAAGTTTCCGGGCAAGAACCACTGCCACTTCGGTGCATCTTGGACCGATTCCCTCGCTCACAACATCGCCCGTCACTAATCACAACACCATCACTGATCCAGTCGACGGAGGGAAAACCAGTCCGGAGGTGGAACTTCCGCAAGGCGAACTGGGCAAACTTCGTACGAGATGTCAACACCGCTGCCGAAGCTCTGCCAGTGCCTACCGCCACCAACATCGACGACGCATACGAGGCCTACCGCAAGGTGCTCCAAGACGCCGCCAAAAAATACGTTCCACGGGGAGCCAGAAAGAACTACATCCCCTGCTGGGACGAAGAATGTGAAGACCTCATGCGCGCTCACAATGAAGCCAAGAGCAACGTTGAGAGGGCCACAGCCGCCACAGATCTCCTTAACCGGCTGAACGCCAAACGGAGAGAGAGGTGGACAGAGACCGTCAAGTCAATCGACTTTACCCACTCCAGCCGACGAGTGTGGCAGACCATCAACAAGCTGACTGGCCAGGGAACCAAACCAAAACCATGCCCCATCACTGCAGACACCATCGCAGCACAGCTCATCAGCAATGGCAGGTTCCCCAACGCAGACAAGGCCTTCACCAGGAAGATCACCGGCGAGGTGAACGACATACGGAGGGCCCCGTGCGCCGACCGCAACCTCTTGGAGACTTCACCAACGACGAGATAGTGTCGGCTTTCAAACATCTGAAGCCAAACAAAGCAGCCGGGATCGACAACATCCACCCAGAGTTCCTTCTACATCAGGGCAGCCAAGCCACTGAGTGGCTAAGATCCTTCTGCTCTGTCTGCTACCGCTCCTCCAAGCTCCCGAAGATCTGGCGCCGCGCAAAGGTCATCGCCCTCCCGAAGCCAAACAAGCCGACGGATGACCCAAAGGGATACCGGCCCATCGCTCTCCTGTGCGTGCCGTACAAGATCATGGAACGCCTCCTGCATGCACGCCTCAACCCGGTGATCGACCCAATACTGCCAAAGGAACAAGCCGGTTTTCGCCGCGGGAAGTCCACGGCAGACCAGGTGACCCAATTCTCACTCAGGACATCGAGGACACCTTCCAGAAAGGTGAGAAGGCGGGCGTCGTCCTCCTCGATCTAACGGCGGCGTACGACACAGTCTGGCTCTGCGGACTCCATTTTAAGCTCCTACAGACGATCCCGGACCGACACATGGTGGGCTTCATCATGGAGATGCTGAGCAACCGCAGCTTCACCCTCCACACCAGCGATGGCCAACACAGCAGGCTGAGAAGACTCAAGAATGGTGTCCCCCAAGGCTCGGTACTAGCCCCGATGTTGTTTAATATCTACATCCACGACCTCCCAGACACCCTGTCGAGCAAGTATGGATATGCAGACGACCTAACCATCATGTTCGCCGACAAATGCGGGGAGACAATCGAATCGGGGCTCACGGCCGACATGGACACCTTGTCCACGTATCTGTCGAACTGGCGCTTGAAGCTGTCTGTGGCCAAAACCATGTCCTCCGCATTCCATCTCAACAACAGAGAGGCAAGCCGCGAGCTCAACATCATCGTCAACAACAACAGACTCCAGTTCCAGGCCACTCCGACATACCTAGGGGTCAAGCTCGATCGCACCCTGACGTACCGCCAACACCTGGGAAATGTGTCAGCAAAGACATCAGCTCGCATTGCCCTTATAGGACGGCTAGCTGGCACAACGTGGGGTGCATCGACTAAGACACTGCGCATCTCCACCCAAGCGCTGGTCTTCTCCGCCGCTGAGTATTGCGCCCCAGTCTGGTGTAGGAGCACCCACACCAAGAAGCTGGACATTACGCTCAACAACGCCCTGCGCACGGTCTCCGGCTGCCTGCGCGCCACACCGGTCAACCAACTACCGATCCTCGCAGGTATCGCCCCACCATCTCTACGTCGAGAAGCCGCCGTCCTGGCACTGTCGCGTAAGGCCATCAATGACGACAACCATCTTCTCCACAAAACTGCCACAGAGATCCCACACCGTGCCCGCCTAAAGTCACGACGTCCTTTCAAGGAGCACGCCCACCAGCTTCTGTTCTCCGTACCACCTGACGTCCCCAAAAGGCTGTGGCTCAAATGGCGCTGGACAGAAGAGCGGCAAGCAGGAGACCATTCCAGGCTGCACCGTTTCATGAATGAGCCAGGCGAGCCGCTCGGCGAAGACCTGCCGCGCAAACAATGGACGATGCTGAACCGCCTCAGAACCGGCGTAGGCCGCTTCGCCGCGACTATGAAAGGCTGGGGGCTCAGGGACTCCGCCACATGCGACTGTGGCCACCCAGAGCAGTCAGTTGACCATATCATCGAGTCCTGTCCACAGCACCGGCCACCCCACGGCGAACATGGCATTATCACCCTGGACGATGACACAAAGACATGGCTTTTCTCCACCGAGTTGCAGGTGTGATGAAGAGACGATGGCAGCATACGAGAGAAGAAGAAGTCACATTTTGTTTAGTAATTATGATGTACTTCTCTTGACCGCAGAAAGTTGAGGAGCACATGCGAGTCATCGTCTTCCGAGGTGGTCGTCTGTTGCCCGGAGGACCCAAGGGGCCTGGTATCTTCTTCCAGATCCCTTGCTTGGATGACTTCGTCATTGTGGATCTCAGGACGGTGTCTTATAAGTTGCCGCCACAAGAGGTAGGTGTTATTAAAACATCTAACGGCATCCCTTTTTATCTTGTTGGTTCTCCTTTCCGACTGACCCTATTTTTGGCTCCTAACCCCACCAAAAAAAAAATTTTCATTATGGCCGACCCTGACTGGAACCTATTAGTATTGTCCCCCCCCCCAAAAAAAAAAAACTTATGGAAAAAAAAGTTAAACATAAATACAAAATTCAGTCAATCGGGCTCTGTGTTATTTGCAAAGCTTTTGAAAATGAATGCCAGATTTTTTCGCAAAGTACAGCGTATAGCAACCAGTGGAATCCCAGAAGATGAGAGGTTGTTGCCTCTCATCATATTAGGTGTCTGTAATACACTGTATTCACAAGGAAGCCATTTTTGATCATGTTCCCTGAATGCACATGTATTTTATAAATTGTAAACTGTTGAATGGGATGGTGCCAGACTATTTATGCATTGCAAGCCTCACTTTCATGTTTTATTTAAATGTGGCTTAAAACATTCGGCATGCTTAATCACAAATTATAAATTATTCATCAGAGCAGACCGGTATTAATTTGTAATTAACTTTATTTCATTGCTTTCATTTCTATTCGCAAGTTCCAAAAATGAAGAATTTACCTCGCTTTTAAATTAATATGGCCGACTCGTGGATAAAGCCTATACCTTTATATTGGGTGCATAACTATGTTCCCCAATACCTATGTTCTCCAATACCTATGTTCCCCAACCCTAACCCTAACCATCTAGCGGTGACCAGCCTAACCCTAACCAAAACCCTAAGGATTTTGGGGAACCTAGGTATTGGATAACATAGGGTAGACCCCCTTTATATCATGGCTGCCACATCAGCCATGGTGCAGAGATATTGTAATTCAACTATATCTTGCCAAAAAAAAAGCTTTTCTTATTTTATTCAGTGATGTCAACTCATCATACACTCATTGCAATTTATGAACTTGGCATCACTTAATTTAGCCATCTATACGGGTGCAACTGCAATTTTTTTCTTCAGATTTTTATTAATAATTTTTTTTTTGACCGGCCTTACCCTACTTCAGAGGCAAACAAATATGAGAGAAACATAAAAACTAAAAGTGACACCTTAGTTATTTTTTTATTTTTGTCCGACAGACCCTACTTCAGAGGCCAAAAAATATGAGCCAACCATAAAAATATAAAAGGGATGCCCTATAAATAAAAAGGGACGCCCCTAAACATATTTATGAGGCAGGACACACTTTTTCATTGTCAATTTTCCGACAGTTGTGGGATGTCAAAGTAGCTACCTTTTACGATTGCATGCAGACACAGGCACTATCACCCAACTTGCTAGTAGTATGAGCGACGTAGTGGCCCAAAATAAGCTCCCAGACTCCAAGCCATGCAACAGTTATTATCTTAAGTGATTTTGCTTGAGGTACCCTACTAAAACCTTCACGACAAACAAAAGGATTATATGCATTCTGTCGGAGGGATTTTCCGTGGAAAGTTTTTCCAGTTTTGATAATGGAATGTGGGTTGCCTCTCTAGTAATGGGCCTTTGTCCTTTTTGGAACATGTTTTGAATTTTCCTTGGTGTTTCCTCATTTCTGACATACCACAGGCGTGAATTCATTTGGTTGGATTTCAGAGAAGAAAGGAAGTGAGAAATGAAAGAAACAACTACTTTTAGTTCTTGGTATATTACAATGGTAAAATTGCAATGATAAAAAACTAATTCCATTCAACCAGTGGAGCAGACGACAGTATGTTTACATTTTAAAGTCCCGCCCCGCAACAACCTTTGATCTTAATTTTTCCCAGAATGCCAGGCGAATGCACCGCATCGTTCGAATAACCTCATTTCATGTCTTCCTCGAGTGTGAACATGCATGTATTCATGCGGATCACACTAATCGAATGCACTCCTAGAGATTTTGTTTCATACGAAAAACCTTGGAGTATTTCAGATCATCATTTAGTTCTTGTATCTAAATATTATTCTATGATCTTGCCTCTTTTAAGAGGCACATCAATTCCAAACTCCAGCTTTCCTGATTAATATTATTCTTGTCATCATATTTTTCTTCTTGCTTCTTGCCTTGCTTGGGGCAATTTTCCATAAAAAAAAATAATTAAAAATCTGATTTTTGTTGTGGTGGGGGGTCAGGCAAAGTGTTCTGAATAGGCAAAGTGTTAATACTATTCCGTTTTTAGGTTGTGAAATTTTCTTTTAAAATATTGTCTTACTGAAATAGGTGAGCGTACTCTCCCTTCCACTAACAACACAATACTTTATTTTCACTCAACAGTTTAATATCCTTTAAGATAAGAGACAAAAGACATCAAAATATGGCCTGATATTAAACACACAGTGCACTGTATGACACTTAATTTGTTTTTGCCACGTCCTTGTTGATCCATTAGCGTTCAATCAAAAATAACGGTGAAAACAGAACTGCAGGGTATAATCTGATGACACTGTTTACCTCAACTAACCTTGCCAAACACTAGTATTTGTATGACACGCATCGTGTTTGACGTAACGCTCATGGCAGAATCTTGTTGAATTAAGCATGGTTAGGGTTAGTCTATGTTTTAGGGGGGGGGTGGAGGTAAATTTACCTATTTTGTTGAGCTGTGTTATTTGAGAAAATAGATCTAGAAAGAAGCAACAAAAACAAAAGATAAGTCCAAAGGTTGAGTAAAAATAGAACCAATTTTTCGTCCGGGCTTTTTGGGAGTAAAAAAATGTTTTCGCACTGTTTTCCCCTTTTATTCCCAAGATGGCAGATTTTCCTTGATGGTGGTTGGATTCTTCCATTTTCTTTACCCTTTATGCTGATGCAAAGTTGTGTCCAAGGGAGCTGTAACCCTTTCTACATGGCTACAATTTTGTTGGAAACAAATAAAAAGACAATATATTGACAATTTAGTTGCAAAATTTTTGCAAATGTATGAATTTTTATTAAAAAAAATTTAAAAGGAGGCTGGCTGGAATAAGGAAGCAGGTGGGGTTGAGAAACTAGTTTATTTTTTTACTTGGCCTAATCAGAACTGCACAATGTAGGTTTGTTTTTTTCTTTAAAACACCGAGACTTATTTCCAATGCATCCTTTGACAAGGTTGTTCAGTTTTAAGACAAACACTACTTTGGATTTGCCGCAGATTCTCTTTCCCACATATTTTTTTGGTTTGTTTGAGAGCTGTTGTCAGAGATTGATTAGCTTTCGTCAAGGTAACACAGTTGTTGTCATGGCAACATAAATTTGGTCGCTCTGCACGTCATTTGAAACGTCAGAAAGCAGATGAAGTTTCACGAGTTTACACAATGTATGCAAACGTACATGATTTAGGCGTAAACCATTGCACCTAGATTGTAATTTGAGTAGCCTTTATATTATTTTTTCCTATCAGTTATTAATATAAGTTATTAAATTGAACAAAGGAATTGACTGGGCTACGTGCATGTGGGTTATTGCACCGGGTTGGGACACAGTGCGTGTTACATCCAAATATTTGGTTATATTATTAAAAGTATCAATGCAATCTAAACAGTTGCTCAACATAATATTTGTCTTAGGGTGTTTCAATACTTGAGAAAGTTTGAAATCATTTGAATGTACTTTGACAAAAATATGAGCAAAAATGTATTAATTCAGAAGTAACATTGACACCGTGTCAATGTTACATCCAAATATTCGTCTTCTTTTTTTTTGCCATTTTTTACACATATGTAAAATATTACCGATAATGACATTTTTTGCTCATATTTTTGGCAAAATACATTCAAATGGTTTTAAACTTTCTGCAGTAGTGAAACACCCAACAACAAATATTATGGAGAGCAACTGCAAGCAAGGCATTCATACTTTTCATAATATGGTCATATGTCACACACCGACCCAGTGGAATGACCCATATACGGATTTATGGCTTCTGACCAGCACCCCTTGAACAAATAGATTCAGTAGCGTATCCAGCTTTTGATGTCCGGGGGGGGGGGGGGGGGGGGGGGGGGGGGGGGGGGGGGGAGGGGGGGGGAACCATCTTCCTAATGGGGGCGCTCTTGAAAACTAACCATTATTATGCATACTGCAAATATTATATGCCCATTTTCACGGCGCATTGTAATGGTTTTGGAGCGGGTTTTCTTTTTGGGATTTGGGATTGAGGTCTGAACTCTCTAACCATTTATTGAAATAATTGCTGACAAAAAAATATTTGTTAAAAAAAATCCGCCAGGCAAGTAATAACACCGAGTTCTTGTTTGTGCATCTGTAGCTCATCACCACAGATGGTGTGACAATCACTGTGAAAGCAGCGGTCTTCTATCACGTTGAGGACCCCACCCTGGCCACCATCAGGGTAGAAGACTACAATTACTCAACGGAGCTGCTGTCTGCTTCCACTGTGCGTAATGTGCTGAGCACCAAGACTGTCTCCGAGCTGTTGAATGATCGCGAAGAAATCGCCAAGGACTTGCGGTCGACGCTAGATGAAGCTACTGATCCCTGGGGCGTCGAAATAGAGAGAGTGGAGATGTACGTGTATGTAACGAGCTTAAATTTGCCACATCAGCCTTGTAGGGCTGTTAAATATTTGATTACTCGGAACTGCGTTTCAACGAATATTCGATTATTCGAAATTTTCTGATCAAGTTTTGCTTACACCAGCTGCACCAAAAAAGTTACTCTCAGTTAACCTGTCTGATTCAGAGAGGAGGTTTTGGGAGTTGAAACCCTCCCCCCCCCCTCCTCCAAGCTCTGACTCAAATGGGTTTTTTTTCATAGAAATATATTAAAAATAATGTGAAACCCCGCCCCCCCCCCCCTCTCCCCCTGCCCTGACATCCCCAAAAAATTATGACAATTATACCGGTAATAATGTCCGCCTGTATACCACTTTCAGACTGAGCCAGCTGGGGTTTGGGTGTATTTGTACGAGGCTCTGTAATATAGTGTTCATGATCGTCGGATTTGAACAGCACTTCCATTGAAAGTATGGTACGAGCCCCCCGCCCCCCCCCCCCCCCCCCCCCCAATTGATTTTATGGAGGCCAAGTGTCCAGAGAAGAACACCTGTTTACATTTCAGCATTGATTTGCAGATGAAACCCCCCTGAAAAAAATTACTGGATCCGCCCCTGCTGAACCATATTATATTTGGATCAACCTATGAGTTGCTCAAAATTTATGGATCGGTGTGACTCTAGAAAGTCACTCAAAAATGGGTGTTACAGTTAAAGAAGAATGTGAAGTACGTAACTGTGAAAGAAATTTTGGACGAGCAGCATTAAGTTTGGACTGTGGGCAATTCCAGCGTTATGAAAGGGAGTGTAATGTCCGTGACACAGCTAATTAACCATGATATCTAATTATCTACGCACTGGTGACGATTCAGAGAAATGATCCAAAACTCCAAGTCTGTAATCTCCCTGACCATTTACTAGATGACGGATGTATAAAGTCAGAGGGGAAAAAAATACATTTTCAGGTTTATTCATTAAAGGTATAGTCCATCATTTGTAATTTGTGCATTTTGCTCGCTTGAAGCAACAAACTTGCTCAAAATCTAAAGAAGGGTGCTGAACAACTAACGTGATGAAGTTTCAGCTCAGCTTCAGCTGTATATTCCGAGAAAAACAGCATTCTAGGATCTCAATTTCAAATCAAAAGTTGCTGAATCATGTTTTGAATTGGGCCTGAATTCAGCGTCCGAGACACGTTCTCACTGGGCCGATTGCAGCTACGCGATGTCGCGCACTGATCCGACGAATTATAGCAACCGAGGGCGCGTGTGCGTCGTGTCACGCTTGCGCGCTCTTCGCCGAATAAAAAAAACGAACTACTAATTTTTTTACGGAAATTTCTTAAAGACGCACCGTTGGAAAGGCCTTCTTTCGTTGATTTCTTCAAAATGACAGCTTGCCAGAAAGAATAATTTCACAGGGAGTTTAGTCCCCTTACTATCGTTCAACCAAGTATGTTTTTCAACGGTAATTACGTCAGTTACTTTTTGGATAGCAGCAAATGATGGACTGTAGCTTTAAGCTATTAACAGCTCTGTCACGGACATTACATAATGCTAGTATTGGCCCCCCGTATAATGTGCTGAATTTGGAGTCCGTTCACCTCATTTTTGTTTATTCCCCACAGAGAAGACGTGTGTCTGCCTTACCAGATGCGGCTTGGCATGGCAGCTGAGGCTGTTGCATCTCAAGGAGCTCGTGCGAAGGTAAAAACCAGCCGACAATACGTGACCCGGAAAAAAATGTTGCAGCCTGACGCCACTTTCTTCTTCATATATCATTCTCAATGAAGGTCATTCACTGCAAAAATGATGATAAAACATGAATCTGGGACTGAGAAACATTTCCAATTTTGTTAGAATATACTTTTAAAAATGTCTTTACTCTCCATTGACTTTGTGCACAATCGTGGAAGTGGCGTCAGGTTGCAACATTGGTTCCCGTCACCCAACTCAACAAAATGAGTCACAAGTCCTCTGATACTTAGGGGTCATTCATAATTATCAACTTTTTGCAGGGGGGGGGGGGGAGGTTAACGACCCGTGGACACTTTGGAAACTTTGTGAAAATGTCAATCAATGTCTTTGCTTCAGGATTTGTGGTAATAGGCTTTCAGAAGATCTGCCATTAAAAAAAAGCTGCTGAAAGAGGATGTGTTAACTCAAACTGTGCTTGAACAAACTCCAGAACTCTTATCAAAAAGAGGGGAAAACAGTTTTCCTGATTGCCTCTCTATTTGCAGCTCTGTTTATCATATTTTGTCCTACAAGCTCGGCATTTGATTTGATATTTACAGGTGATCGCTGCGGAGGCTGAGCAGAACGCCTCCCACGCCCTGAAGGAGGCTGCTGATACCATCGCCAAGTCCCCCCACGCCCTGCAGCTGCGTTACCTCCAGGCCCTTCAGACCATCTGGGCCGAGAAGAAGCCCTCAACCATCATCCTCCCGTTATCCGTCGATTTTCTGTCTGGATGCCTGAACAAGGAAGAGTCCAGTAATTGAAAGTGTCTCCTATTTTTCCTTGACCTGGCATCTGTTTAACATCGACACCAGATGCCGCAAATAATTATTGGATTGTTGACTCTCCTATAACATCTTTCAGCTGTCTGACATTTATTATTTTTTGTGGCATGTAACAAAGAAACAGAAATGATGTGTTAACAGTTAGTGCTGAATTATTGTAAAGTTCTCAAAGTGAAGTCACTCATTGTATTCTTGTCTCTTTTTACTTGGGGAGGTGTTTTTTTTCCCCCTTTCATTTGCTTCAATTCGGGCGATTCACAATGCAGTGTGCCACCAAGAGTTTGCCATGGAGAGTGCATTTTTCCCAGTGCATTGTGGGAGATGGTCCACAAAGTCGCGGGGCAGGACTTTCAAAATTGTTCGTTTTTCCGGTCAGTAGTTCTGTTTGCCCTTTTCTTTCCTTTTTAGCAATATTGTACTTTTTGTAAGGCGGCAGAGCGCCATGCCCCAATCTATAACAAATTAGCTCAAGTTCTCTTTTGACATTCATTCAAATGGGCCATGTTTTGTTGACAGTAAAGTTGAAAAAAAATGGACTCTCCATGGCAAACTCTTGGTGGCGCACTCCATTGTCAGTCGCCCAAATGCACAAGATGTTTACCAGTTTTATTTGCATAATTTCTTACATGTATATTATATTTAAACAAAAAAACTTGTCATTTACTAGTTATTGTACTGAAATAGACCTTAATGTTGCTTCACCCACATCATGTTTGTCCAACTTTTCACTCATTTTTTCATAAGAGAATTAAATTGGCCATGAAATGACTTTAAAACGACTCAAACACAGACCCAAGGTTGTTTGAATTCCATTTTTAAGATTTTCATTGGAGGCACAACTGTATGAGATATGCGCGTTTTTCCTGCTGCATTCATGTGTAACAAGGTAACCACCTTACTTTTCGTCAAGTTTGCTTGAAGATAAATTGTTGTCCCACTCACGCTCGTGGAAACACGAAAAATGTAGTGCGTCTGTGTTACATATACCACTCTGCCTTCGGCTTCCTGGTATATAGGACACAGATGCACTGCTCTGTGTTCCAACTTGACTTTTTTCCAAACACATTCGAATTGACTATTTCTCATAATGAGCCATGACCACTTTATCGACACTGTAAATCAACCAACACTTTTCAAAATCTTGCCAAAATGTCGGCATACATATTGCCATTCGATGGCAGGTGCAGATTACAGAAGCAAATCCAATCAATTATCTCATGTCATGCTTGAGCTAGTTGACGTCATCGTGACGCACCAAACGAATACGAGAAGCTTTTATTGAAATTAGCCTGTGCTAATTGTTTCAATTTGATGAGCATTTTGTGTGGAGGAAAATCATAGTATCCGGTAACGCTAATGCTATTGCTGAAAAGTGGTGCTGACACGGTGTGTAATAAAGTGTAATGCAACCTAAAGAATGACAACATATGTTCAGTGCTCTGACACAGTTTAAAGGCCTTTGTTTTTGATTAGTCAGGAATTAAAAAAGGACAAAACGATTCTTTGCAGTATGGTTTTTATTATGAGACAAAATTTGAAAGGTTGCAATAGGGCCTACAGTTTCATGGATGATTTTGTGTTAAGAAGTGGTATCTTACAGCTCGAAAGTTAAATCTTAACATGCTCCACCTTGATACTATATATGCTATGAGAAATATCAGTTAAACAATTCAACAGGGTTTTACAATTCAGTATAAAAAAAAAATGAGTATAAATATATATTTTTAAATGTTATTCATGTATGACAGTATTGTTCTATTGGTTTTATTGTGACTGTCTTTGTTAATGTTCTGATAGTGGTATGCCTGTACCGAAAATTGTAAATCACTTTCCTACAAATATTGTGTAAGTGTTTGAATATTATCAAAGTGGGTGATTGGTTAGGTGTTTTTCTAAAATGGCATTTATGAAATGTATGGTCTTGACTTGCATGTGAAGTATGTATCCTATCTTTAAATATACTTCTTTTTTTTTCTAGTTTTTCTGAAATAACATTTTATGAAATGTAAGGTCGTTACTTGCATGAAATGTATATTGCCTTTAAATCAAATTTTGACCATTTCTTTTAGCCATTCGGTATTCTGTAAAATATTTAACATACACATATTTTAGAAACCGTTTTTAATTGAGACGAAACCTAAAGCAGAATTTAAGGGCCCTCCAATCTGAACAAGGAAATTGCCAATCACAACAGAACTGATTATTCCAAAAAAAAATCGAATGGCTTTTGTGAAAAAGTATTTGGCTGCTGGTCATGCTGGTAGGGTGAGAATGAATTAATTTACTGCATTCCACACAAGAGATTGGTTTCCTCACAATTATGAAAGCAATTTTGATGTTGAAATTAAATGGAAAGTTCCATTCTAGTTGGCACATGATATTATTGAACATTACACAGATTTAATTTTGGCCCCATATTTGAAGGGGAAATAATTTAACTTCATTAATTGTATACAGTGTTATTGTTTATGTATGTTGTGCATGAAGAGAATTCCAGTTAACGTTGAGAACTTGTGTACACAAATTTATTTTTTGGTGGAAAATATATTCAGAGGATTCAGTCATGCAGCTGGTAAATGTACAAATTTTATTTCCTCCTACCATTGAAAGATCTTTTGCAAAATCATAGGCCTGATGGTGCGTGAAAAGTGCAGTTTAGCAACATGTGGCAATGTCCACGTCATATATCACATGTACATGTACTACATGTATATATGGTTTGGGGCGTGTCTTGATCAATTCGGCAATTGTTACGCATATATTTTCATCGTGCAAAGATAATGAATTCCAAACAGATGGCAGCTTATGATGTTGTGGTTCAATGGACACTCAGTTCCCCTGTCCATGAATAAAACTACTATGGGTGTAGTTGTCAGTATTTATGATAATAGTGTAATACGTATACATGAAGACCAAACCATTATATTGCATTGTTTATCAGCTAATGCGCATTTTTGAGTACCCAGTTATAATTACTTGAATATGCGTATCGAAGTCTGCAAAAAGAAATATCATCAGACTTTCTAGTGGGTTTGGCTAAACGAAGCTTTAGGCCAAATAAAAAAAAAAACATGTTTAGCGCCCTGCCTTTTTGAAAAAAGGAAGGAGGAGGCCCTCCCCCCCCCCCTTTTTCGGGCTATTTTTCAAGATGGCCGCCAGCTTTTTTTTTTCTTCAAATGGCCGCCACTTGGACTCAGGAAATGACATGCCATGCAGTTTTATATGGGCTAGATGCAACAGACAAAGAGACCAAAATGATGTCACTGTTTAGAATTTATCCTTTTTTTCGTGGTTTTTTTTTTTTCAATTTAAAAAAAAGTTGGCCTCCAAAAAGCGGGCGGGGACGCTAAATATGTGGGGGGTTTTTATTTGGCCTTATAATTTGTACCGTTTCATTTGTAGGATTTGTTCTCATTTGTCATGTCACCATGTTCTGCATGCTGTGTTGTGTTTTGGGAGGTATTTACAATAATAAGAAATAATTCAATAAGAACATGATTGGACCTTTTTGTGCTATACCCTTTTCTTATGCAGTACCTGAAAATCGGTATTATACACGACGATGGTTAATTTTGTATACAGACATAATATAAATATAAAAAAAAGAGATTACTTGAAAGGTCAACCTCGGATATATTTTTAAACCACCGTCAAAAATTTACTGTAGACAAGAGGGATGTTGGACCACACCAGACACTACCGCCCCTACCAACAACAAATTGCAATCAACACGGACCTGCTTTTATAGGACCAAACTAAACTTAACTTACAAAATTCCATAGGTTGTCTGAGGGGCGCGGCTAACGGCGATAGGTCAATTCATTATAGGCCTACACTGTACTGCAGTTCCATTGTTTAATGTCTTTAAAACCCTTTGCTGAGGTTGCGTGATGGTAATCTCGTCATAATTAATATTTAAGTGCTTCACTGCCAAAAAGTCCAGTCAGTCTCCACCAGCTGGATGTAGATCCGCAGTGCCAAGCAGCAAACAAAATTGATACGGAGGTCTTCCCAGCGTCCGGTGAAAATACTAATTATGTTTTCAGAGCTTGGTTTTTTAAGAGTCGTAAATTGTGATTTCACTGCAAGAGTTTAATATTTGCTTCTTTTATAAACACTCTTTATCGGTACGCAATGGTGAGCAACGCTGGCAAAAATTCTAACCAAAGTTGGCTCATATTTACATTCACTGGGTTCATCCAATCAAGGGCAATACATTGGCACTGCGAAATAGTAAGATTTAACATTGTTGACTTCAACTTCCGTTCTTCAATCGATCACGCCGATGACGAGGAAGCCATTTTCGGGGCCGGTTAGGGGATGCGATTCCGTCGGACCTATGAGGCGTCGGACCTATGAGGCGTCGGACTTATGAGCGGACCCCCCATTTTCGATCGTGTTCCCTGAATCTATTTTACAAATTGTAAACGGTTGAATGGGATGGTGTCAGACTATTGATTGGAGTGCGTGCCAAACCTCACTTTCAATTTGTATTTTATTTTAATGTGGCTTAAAGCGTTAGGGTATGTTTAATCCAACACACAAAAAATTATTCATCAAAGCAGACTGGTATTAATTTGTAGTGAACTTATATTTCAAGTTGCTTTCATTTCTACTCGCCAGTTCCAAAAATGAAGAGTTCCCCTCGCTTTCAATTTAAAAAAGGTCGACTCGTCAATAAAGTCTAAATTTAGTCAAACACGGGGTCGGTTACTCGGGCAGATAGGGGAAATATTTGGGGGAATTGTGCCTTTGATGGTACAAACGTAATTTGGTACACATGTAGTCAGAGTGTGTCATGAGAACGTACGTTATCTGGCTACAGGGCCATCGCAGATTTGTCCTTTGAAAAATTATAGGTATAATAACTAACAAGCAATTTTCGAGATGGCTGCTATTGCTTGTTATTTCAAGAGACAAATCTGCGATTAGTCTGAGTATCACCCGTTATCCACGGAGCCCAAGTCTCCTGTCTAACGTCTGATATATCTAAGCTTGCGTGATGTCATTTCATTCTGAAATCAGGACTAAGATTGTGATTGTTAATTTTGATGCCGCGTTTTTGTAATGCAACAACCTGTACAAAAATGCTACTCATCGTGGGCGTGATGTTTACGCACGCGGGGGAGCTTGAATTACGCGCGTATAGAAGGCGCCTGCTGATTGGTCAGTTTCTCGAGGTCATACGTAGTCTAGTTGCTAAGTAATCGCCGAATCTGTTTACGTATCATAGACCATGGTCAGCTCTGCCACGGCCAGGGTCTATTACATAGGAAACCTGTCTACATGTCCATGGGCGTCGCGAGGTGGGGGGGGGGGCAAGAGGCGCGAAATTATATTGTTGTTAATTTAATGGGTTGGGGGAATGTCCCTGCCCGCCTTCGAAAAAATATCAATCGGGAAAATGCTGGAAAATAGGCATTTTGAGGGAAAATGTGCCTTGCCCTCGTCTAGAAAAAATCCTGGCGACGCCCATGTACATTTCAGAATGTTTTGCTGATGAAACCAACCCATAGTCTGAGGATCACCCGTTCGGAGCATATCTTTTCGCCGTGGTCTGTTACATAGACTAACCACCTTGAACGCAGCGGCGGGCTGGGCAAAACAATGAGTTGTTTCAAAAATACAAACGTGCAAAATTGTAGTCGTAAAATAGGCCTTAATATATTGTGTGCCAAGCAAGGGAGAAAATTACAAAAACTGTTTACTAGTCACCGTAAGGAATATTACATATAACTGCTTGGCATGGTGGCTGTTATGTCGGTGCAAAGATCTGCGATCAACGATCGAAGCCTAACTATAGTCAGAATTCTTATTTCATGCAATTTTTAGCGAAAATCGGTCATAATTGCAGTGAAGATTTTGTTTCTTGTATTAGGCCTAGACAAACGCTTGATGATGCAGAGTGCACACTGCCACCGCATTGACATTCAAATTGCAATTGTGTGCACCATGCCGTGATTCATTTTTCCCATTTCGCTCCCCGGACTCTATAACTCACTCAGGCGTTATGCCAAATATTATTATGTCAGGTGACGTCACAAAATTGTGCCTGACCCTGTTTACATATACATGTACAGGGGAATTGAGTGCGTAATGGGTGGTTTGCTGTTTATAATACGGACTTCGCACCGTGTGGGATATCAGCAGGGTGGATTTTTTTTTACCAATACCGTGTAGTATGATACGCCTGGTGCATCCAGAACACATAGCAACTACTGTCAGCGGACTTTCTGTACTGCATACTCCATTCCTTGCATTCAAGTTTTTGGTCGGATATATTGATTGTTATTACTGTACATTGAGAGCTCCACTGAAAGGCAGATACCAACATGGAACGTGAAGCTGGTGAAGCGTCCCGTGGACGAACGAAAAGTGGGGCATCAGCCCAGCGATTTAATGTGGAGACGAACAGCGGTAGGTACACACGAAACTCGGGCTAGCTAGCTGTCATGGAGTTATTGTTAAACAAATAGATTTGGCTTGCAACGGTTGATGCATTAACGTGTAATCTATGTGCCATTAAGACTCGAAAAATCAGAGTGTTTTTTGAAAGACTGTGAGGCAAAACCCAACAGTTGGGCAACGAAAGTTGGTGTGGACCCGGGGAGGCAGGTTTTGGTGCCTGGTGCTTATCTTGCGGGAGGTACTGCATGTATAATAGGGGACTTATATGCATCTATTAGGCCTATATCGGCGATTATACCATGGGGACGTCAAGTGTATACAGTATAATTTTTTTATGCTCTATTAAAGTGTCATATTTTGTGTCATTTTCTTTGTTATTCAAAACAGTCAGAATTAACACACAATAAAATGCTAATTCTTTTTTAGACGAAACGGGTTTCAGGGTCATTGCTTTGATATAGTGATATTCTTTGAACGGATTGGGCAGTTTCATTATGTTTTACCCCTAACTTCACCGAAAGATACAGAATACTACCGAGTGGAAACCTGTAGTATGCATTTCTTTCCATACGAGACTTGTGCACAACACATGTAGTATTCAGTGGAATTTGGTCCTTGACCCCCAAAAGAAAGTTGTTCATGAAATTGGCTTTCCAGTCATTATCTTTGGTGCTACATATTTTTTTCAAAATACATTTTTTTTTTCAGGGTTTCGCTTTATTTGCTTTATCCGACTCACCCTGTACTAAAATGTAGATTCGAATGAAAACGCAATCGATTCAAATGAATACATTTCATTCTAAACGTCTATAAGATCTTGCATCCAAATTGTGTCGAATGCAATCAAAGATATAGGAGATTTGGCCACATTGCTCTGTCTCGATTCGCAATTGGGTTGTATTTTTTTTTTAAATGACCATTTACAAATTCGTCCGTATTTCCAGAGCCCCAGGAAATGTCATGCTGCACCGTTGTTCTCTGGTTCTTCTCCATCCTGCTGATTAGTATCACCTTCCCGATTACGATCTGGTTTTGTTTTAAGGTGAGTCCACCATTACGTTTTGCCTGATTCAAATCACCTACTGTCAGCCTCGTGTTCTGATTATCATTTTTTTCCTTTAACTTGCATAATATGATTCTATTTATTATTATTTTTTTTATTTTCACTGGTAGTTCTAGATTACATTTTGGGTGTGTGGTCGGGAGGGGTCATTTAATGTTGAACTTATTGAATTGACGACGATTTATAGAACACTGGGAAAACTATTTAAAAGCAATGAGGGGAAATTATTCTCAGATTAATAAGAATGAGGAGAAAAGAAAAGCTTTTTTTTGGGGGGGGAATTTGTGTGATTTGTTAATGTTTCAAAAACAACATGGGCTAATTAAACATGACAAAGGAATGCATCAAAAGAGGTCAAAACTCATGTAAGTTAAAATTAATGAGGGCCTTTTTGCACCTGCGATATGTTACTTGAAATCAAAAACAAAGACCACTTCTCAGAAAACCTAAATCTCATTGTCTGTTATTCAATTAACGATAAAACACGACTAATATTGTTACTTTGTTGTTGCAACTGCTGTGGCGAATGTGATGACCTTGTGCTTTTGTCGTATTTCAAAGACGAAAAAATCGTTCGAGTGACGCGATTTTTCCATCCAAATTACTTCCGGGTGCAAGGTTCCCGCCGGCGTCACAAGACCTTGGATCACTTTTCGACATGTTTTTGCAAGTCGTGAATGTTCTCATTAAAAAAAATACATTTATGCTTTTCGCTTTCCATTTTTCAGAACAAAACGATCAAAGTATTACAAGATACAAGATAAAGGGACTGTCACTGTTGTGTGAAAAGCCAAAGCAGACGAAATAACGCGTTGGATAACACTTGCCTCTCACAAAATAATCTTCACCCAGCTAGGTTTATAAAATAAACTAATAACTACATTAGCCGGGGGTAACCTGCGATGGCATCCCATCCATGAGAATAAAATATGTTATCGGTTATTTTGTGCTGTACGGAAACATGAGGTGAAGCCATAGGCCTATGCAGTTTCCATATCGAAGTAATTGAAACGCAGAGAGCAACGCAAACAAGAAACTGCAACTCAGAAATGATGATATGGAAACATTTCATTCGCAAATGCCGAAATGAAGAGTCAGGTTGGCGTAGCGGTTCTTTCCTCGCCTTCCACCGCTGTGACCCGGGTTCGAATCCCGCCTGGGTCAATGTGGATCGGGTTTTCAGTCCCTACCTGATTCCGTAGGTTTTCCCCAGAATATCTTCTGGGCTTTTCCTCCCACCTCTAAAGCTGTAATTTCTTCTCATTGACTTCTCTCTAAGTTGGTGTGATGTTTCCCATTGGATGCTTTACCGACTATACAGATACAGATGCAGACGCAAACCAAAATTTATCTCGCAAAGATCGGCAAAGTTGCACCCGGTTCAACGTTGCCGACGGTTCCACGTACCGTCTGTCTGCGCAGTCTGCGTTTGGCTTAACATCGACATTAATGCCGGCACGATGAGCCAAATCAGTCGGCTTAGGACAGTAAGACTTTTTACCCAACAGTCAGGCGTGGTCAAAAATGTACCTACAGCGCTTTTAATACTGTACTGGCATTTAATCTGCCTACGTCGTCCAAATAGCTATCCAATATAGTTTCAGTTTCAAATAATAATACTTCTTTTATACCTTCGGACAGTAAATATAAGTCCATTAAATAGAACAATTGTCGTGGTCTAGATAGAAGTTTGTTAAAACTGTAATCAATGATGTGTCTTACCAAAAAGAAAGTAGAAAATAATAAGTTTCACAGTATAGATACATTTAAGATCGTTAAAATCCATTAGAAAACACGTTTATAAAAAAAACGGCTGGTACAAGAACAATGAATCAATTGTTTTTGCGGCCTATGTAGTTCCTTTAACCTTATTGGACACCTGAATATATTTCTTAGATCAGCTCCTTGGAGAATCTGCAGGCCAGCCATTTTGGTGCAAACGGCTAATTAATGCAAACTCGTTTGGGAAAAAGCAATCATTGTGACAAAATGTGATGCGATCAAGCTAAATGAGTCGTTTGTCGACCCTGGTAAAAAATTTTAAACAGATTTGAAAAGAGCACAATCTCAGCATTACTGCTGAGAAAACTGCATGCTGGTACCATCTTTAGTTAAAAAATTATGGAAGTTGGAACACCAAGAGACGTGATGAAGTAATGTGATGAAGTGGCCCTAATTTTGGCCTGAATCTCCAAATGAAAGTTCCCGACAAACGGCTCATTTAGCTTGATCGCATCACAAATGTCTTGCCCAAGGGCACATGCACCTTAACTCCAGGCTGGACTTGAACCCTCAACTAATGAAGAATTTAGATCTTTAGTTATATGCATCAGAAGATGAATCCACATAACTCTAAATGTATCAAACCTGTTTTGGCGCAATTTCTGTTTCCCTGTTATCACTTATTGTTAAAGGCTTTGCCCCTTTTGCCTTGACTGTAGACTGTAGCCGAGTATGAGCGGGCCATCTTGTTCCGAGTTGGTCGTCTGTTACCCGGAGGACCCAAGGGCCCTGGTCTGTTCTTCGTCATCCCCTGCATTGATGAGATCCAAGTAATTGATCTTAGGACGCTCTCATTTGATGTGCCACCCCAGGAGGTATGAAGACTGATCCATTGATGCATGATTATGTACCCCCAGAATCCAACTCATCAACACGAACTCATAATTACACAAGTTTATACATCTGCCATCCTACCATGCTAAACCTTCTAGCTCTCTATGTCTATAGTTTTTCTGCATGTGTTTGCGATTGGTTTTGTATTGAGCTTTAGGGAAATAAACGGAGGGACAAAACCTTCCATGCATCATCGACATTCATCAGGAATTGCACGCTTGAGAAGACAATGTCATAATTATGCCAATTCTTAACTCCATTAATCTCGCACATGATGTTCATGAATTTCAAAAATAAATATATCAGTTTATCTATTTTGTCTCGCAAAGAGACTACTTGTATTTTTTTGCCATACTTTCGTAGTTAAAAATGATCGTTCTCAAGTTACGTTCCACAAACCATAAACCATTCCTATGATTATACCCCGTTTTTGTTTCCAGGTGCTCTCTAAAGACAGCGTGACGGTGACCGTAGATGCCGTGGTCTACTTCCGCGTACAAGACCCCACTATGGCGGTGATCAACGTTGAGAACTACAAGCGCTCCACGGAGCTGCTTGCTGCCACCACCCTGCGTAACGTCTTGGGCACCAAGACCCTGGCTGAGGTGTTGAGCCACCGTGACGAGATTAGCAACACCCTGCAGTCGCTGTTGGATGACGCCACCGATCCCTGGGGCGTCAAAGTGGAACGAGTTGAGATGTAAGTTTAAGGATGATAAGTCTGAATTAATAACGATTTAAAAACAGGCTTCCGAAATTCCTTAACCATTTATCTATATACAGGGTAAGTCCAAAAAAAAACGAAACCCAAATGTCAGGACTATTGTTTTAGTGAAGTTCTGCATGTAGCACCTTTAAAATCTAGAATATGAAAGCCCAATTCATAAGCTTTCTTTTAGTACAAATATTATTATTCAAATCACTCATGTACTTTTCAAGTTACGGAATTTTAAACACAACCACCGTTTTAAAACTCTGTCCACTGACAGAAAGTGTGCACATATGGATGTGTGCATGAATTGTTTTCGTTTTGCTGAAAGAACGCGAACTTTGTTTGTGATCCGTGGACGGAACGTTAACACGGTGGTTGTGTTTAAAATTCCGTAACTTGAAAAGTATATATGAGTGATGCTTGTACTAAAGAAAGCTTATGAATTGGGCTTTCATATCCTAGATTTTGAAAGTGCTACATGCCGAACTTCACTAAAACAATAGTCCTGGCATTTGGGTTTCGTTTTTGTTTTGACTCACCCTGTACTGCTTTGGTTCCTATAGAACCCAAAGTATGGGCCTGTATGATAGACATCTCGTTTGATATCTCGTTTCTGTTTTACCAAAACAGTAAGGACGTCCGCCTGCCAATCCAGATGCAGCGTGCCATGGCCGCTGAGGCTGAAGCGTCCAGGGAGGCCCGTGCAAAGGTGAGTCGCGTTACGGTCAAAATAGCTGCTTAAATATTCCCGTATAACGCAAACTCGTCACCGTGGACAGTTGGGAAAGTATCAGGATCAAATCTAGAGTTTCACTTCGTCTTTTTACCCAACCTTTTCAGGTGATTGCTGCAGAGGGTGAGCAGAACGCCTCCCGCGCCCTGAAGGAGGCTGCCGACATCATCGCTGAGTCGCCCAACGCCCTGCAGCTCCGTTACCTCCAGACCCTCAACTCCATCTCAGCCGAGAAGAACTCCACAATCATCTTCCCGCTGCCCATCGACATCCTCGCTGGAATGATGAAACGTTAGTTCGAATGGGACTGACCGACACAACCACGGCGGCGTCTTCCTCGATGCCCATTATGGAGTCAAGTCATGTGCATGAAAATACAAACATTCAGGTTGTGACATTATTATTACATACACCATTCACAATTGCACGTTATCCACTATTTTTCGATGAAAACGTCATCAGTAGATGTCGATTTACAATTTGAAAAGAAAAGAAACAAACCAAAAGCTGCTCGTTCATTTGCTTTCTGATTCCTTCTGAAACTATTATTATTTGAAAACTGAAAACGTCAAGAGGAAGTATTATTGGCAACTGATGTCCTCTGAAAAAAATGGCTTTTATTTCAATTTTAAAAGAGGCATTTTGACATTTTTAAAATCACTCTGCATGTATTTTTACAAATTCTAAATCTTAAAATTTTAGTAAAATAATCAAAGATGAAACCAACTGTTAATCATATCATCACCGCTTTACGAATGTACTCTATCATCACCATGTACATGTATACTGTGCCATTTACTCGCGCGTATTCACGTGGAAGATAAGATCGCAGCTAAGTTAGTTCCAAGATGGCTGCCATCAAAGTATGGGGACTAGGCCGAGTCCGAAATGTGTAATTTTGTGGCTACGGTTAAGATTTTGCCATGGGGGCGCTACGGTGCCGTAGTCACAGGAAGCATACCTGCTCGGAGACGGCGTGAATTTACTTTGTGTGTAATATTTTTGTAAAATTTCATCACTTTTGTCGTGCATTTTTATTCATGTTATAATGTTAAGAACGCTTTTAACCAATTTCAAAATTCTTTATGTAGATTTGACTATCACAGTGAGACTCGCACCCAGCTGACTACTTCTGTCATCAGGCTGCAAGTTTTTACTGTTTTCTAGTCAAATTTAAAGGGTCCATGAAATGAATTTTCTGAGGAACATATTTTTGGCAAGTGTCTGAAAAGTATTCGACTTCCCCTGTTTCGTTTATCTTTTTTGAAAATTTCACTTCTTTAAACATTTAAAATTATCCATGCTTTTCGGGACAAGTGAGGGTGCTGTTGCTGTGATGTCATTTCAGGCAGACGCTGTTCAGTTTATGTGTTTTCTGTTAAAATTGTGAACCCAAAATTGTGCTCATTGAAAACATTTGTGAGAAAAGTTTGCTTATTGTCTTACTGACTGACACAACAATGAATCACCAAAGAAAAAGAAAATCTACAGCAGCAAAGTATCCAAAATTCTGGCAACGTTTGGTGCAGAAATAGCTGCAACATTGAGGTTACTGCCTGAATGACGTCACAACTATGCTCATGAATATGGAAATTTTCATCAGCATAAAAAAAACAAAAAGGCACCAAAATACCCTTGAAAATGGCAAAATGAAAATTGAAACCATGCAGGATTGTATGAGACACAAAGGTACTTGTGCTCTTTCAAGGATAGCATTAAAAAAAACATTGCATGGGCTCTTTAACTACAATGTATAGAGTGTTTTCATATACCATAAAAAAAAAAATTATTTCCGTATATTGTAGTTTTTAAAAATGAAATCTCGATTCGTAGATCCTAAATCGTTAATGGCCATGGTCATTTATTAATAAGTGAATCAAATAAAGTTAGATGGCCTGACATTTGGATCCAAGCATTTTTTGAAAGCCAAAATAATTTTGTAAGTAAGCAGTTTTGCAACAGTTTTATCCATTTTCAAGGGATAATAAGTGCAGATTTCTTGGTTGTTCTATACCCGTGTTCTTCAGCAAATGTTACGCAATTTGCATGTTTTCTTTAATCAGAAAAAGATACTTTTTTCTATAATGCGTGTAGTTGGGTTTCTTTTGCGCCCATAACGCAAAAAAAAATAACTGCGCATCAAGTGTTATAGTTGACGGATTTTGTGTACGATGTTTCATGAAAGTCAATAATTTTTGTATTGCTAGGGGGAAAAATAGCAATTTCAAAACAAAATCTAATTCTTGGGGTGACACTCGAAGGAAAAAAAAAAGGGACAGAAACTTTTAAGGCCTGATTTTTCCAGGCCTGATAGTTTTATTGTTTGTAATGTTTTTGTCAACTCGCCTTCAGAGCAACTTTTCATTCTGAAATGTCAAAGATATAACCTGACACGAATATTAAAATTGCCAAATACAAATAAATATATAAATATAGTAGGCTATAAATATAGAATTTATACCAAGTTTCGACAAATCCACGTAGGCCTAATATGTGTTTGGAATTCATTTGTCACGTATCACACTTGACATCATCGTTATCGTTAACCAAAACCCTGTATTTTGTATTTTTTTTCGTATGTGTTACCTTTTAAAGTCATGTACTTATAGTACTTTGCACATATATTTCGGTGTTTTTAAGATTTTATTCTAGAATGATGCCTTCACAAAATGTTATGCAGATTTTCACATCAAAATCTATAATGTATAATAAAAAAAATAAAACGTACGAAGAATATCATGTATTGATATCTGACCTTTTGGGGGGGGGGGAGGTTGTTCAGAAATCACTCATTATTGTGTTATGGGTGAAAGTTTTGCAAACTTTTGAAAGTTTTTCCCGTCTGAATATCATCAAACTTGGATGCAGATTGGGTTTTTTTGGGGGGGGTAGCATTATTATGCGTTATCATTTCAAATATACTAAAAACCATTCTATTGAAAGCTAAAAACAACATTTTCTTTGTTCAATTTAATGATAAACCGATATACATTTTCCAAGTAGAAGACTGTGAAATCGTTTAGTGCATGGTTCCAGGCAGAACTAGTACGCCCCTCGCTCTCCAAACGTCCACTAAGGAGGTGCAAAGCTCAGCTAGCCGGGAGTGGGGGACCGCGTTCCTCAGTTCCATGTCTGTGCCGGCTGAAAATGTAGTTATAAGGCCTACAGCCTGGGCAAACATTTTGGATTCGGCGGCCTGTAGTAGGCCTACTAGTTAGTATATCTCAGTTTTTAGCCAAATATTTCTATGCAAAAACGACGATACCGGCACTATCATACCCCCACCCCCTTCCGGCCGGGCCCCTCGCCTCTTCCTTAATTCCTAACAAAATTTTATGATTAAAAATCTGGGCCCATTAATAAAGGTTGGCTATTTAAATTAATATAAAAAGCTGAGTCTGATTGGTGTTAATGGAGGTAGGAATAGTCTGCCATGTCATGTTCAGTTGCGATAGTGCGTCGACACATCAGAAAATGCCGTTTCTCATTAAGATAAATATCAACTATGATAGTACCCAGCTAGCTTAAGTTAAGACCTACGTAATGGAAAAAGATGGTAGAGCTATACTGGTAGAGAGATCAATCAGCCGAGAGAAAAAAAACAGGTCACGCGCCATACCGTCAATGAGGGAAAATATAAAATGACGTCATTGCATTGGTATAGAGTCAGAGTTCGGTTTCCGCAATGCATGCAACGTTGTATGCGTGCTGTTACACGTACGTACTAATGTACACACGCGTCACGAGGGTTGATTTTCCAGTCTAATTTATCAAGCAGCAACAAAATTTTGCAAGAGCTAGCTAGCTCTAGTTGAAAGGTCATTCACAAAATACGCACCAAGTCGAGTACAGTCGAGTTGTTTAGTACGTGTATTGATCACAAAAAAACTGGGAAGTGTTAGGTTAAGAATTCGCCGAAATGGAGATAGATGGTGCAAAAAACAGCAGGAGTGCAGAGCAGCGGACGAGACTGTACCAAGCTGAGAGAAATGGTAGGTTACTTTGCTTTACTCGAGCTCTTAGAATAAAACTCGTATTTTTTTTTGTATCGTCAGACTGTCAGTGTCTGACCTCCTAAAGCTACGCGCTCCTATTTCTACGCACTCGTGTTCATATTTTTACTAGTTTATATTTAGGCAGTGTATATTTTGCCGGAGACGGCAAACCTTTAGTAAACGTTAGTTTGCCGGATATGAACTGAACATGCGCAGTTACTGTTTTTTTGTATTCACAAGATGGGATTCAGACCATTTTATAATTTCGGACTTTATTTCCCTTTTAAAAAAAATCCTCCAGAGCCACAAATCTGAAAAAGAAAATGTAATAGGGCCTACTCTGCAAAAAATGTTTGAGACACGTTAAAATAATAAAAGAGGAATATTCTTATTTATTTGGGGATGAGAAAAAAAATATGTGGTGCGGCTGGAATGGAACGCGAGTCATCCCGCTTACTAGAGCCTTTGCTTAACCATTACACCAAACGTGCTACACAACTTTTGGTGGGAATTTAATACATCTTATAATTCAGCCCTATTTTAAAGAGTACAGCGCCCTCTGTTGATATGGATTGCCGCCGGCAAACCTTTAGTTATCGTTAGTTTGCCGTCATTACCTCCGGCAAAATATCCACTATCTTATATTTATTTGTAACTAACGCGTGCATCCCTTTATACTCTTCCTTACTCTTCCCTTTCAAATTGATATAAAACAAATCTGACGGTGTGTGATTTATTCCATGTACGATGCCTGTGAAAATAGACATGCTCGGAGTTAGACACGTGGACGTAGTTTACAAGCCACGTTCACGGGTCTAGCTCGGAGTGTGCGAACGGAGGTGGACTCCCTATTGGCGGGATGCGCTTTTTGTAATGATTTCAACTTTTTTATTCATAGTTAATGTTTGACTAAAACATCCCTGAAATGCATGGTCAGAGCACCATTAAAGATTGAGGCGATCGAGAAGTGTAGGGCCCCTGTTTTCTTTTGATCAAATTAGAGTCAAAAATATTTTTATTGCCCAAAAATCACATTTACAATCAAAACCAGACTTCTCTCAATTCTAATGACCCCCTTTTTTCAATTTTGAACAGATTCTTGGGGTAGAAATCACGATTTTCCTGCGCGGTTTGTGCCTTGCGATTCAGCGCGCCGTGCGTGCTCACGGTACATCGTGCGGTGATCGCCATCTTTACTTTTGGGTCGCGTGTTGTCGCCGTGCTGTCATTGTCATTTTACCCCCAAATTTCCCTCAAAAAATCAAAACCCTGCCCTCTATCTATGACATACCTGTTTATTGAGAATGTCGCCAACTAGTTTGGTAGGTCCGATAATTTTAAAGTGGATTTTGTTCCCTTATAGGAACCGGGCCCTACGCTACACGATCGCCAAGATTTAGGCCTATGTTAAAATATAGACGGTAGCAGACACAGTTTTGGAAACATGTATATTTATTTAAAATCATTAGAAGTCCCGAAAGGCACAACATTTTTAATCATCCTTTTTATACAACTCGGCAGAAAGTCTGGTGAAAGTCTTAATGTCTGGTGAACTGGATAAAAAACGCCACTCGAAGGAGTTTTGGCAATGCAAAAAGAGAAGTTTCCTATGCTGCGATATTAGAATTGCCGCGATAATAGGAAGTCTGACTATACATATAGCACATCCATGAACTGTGTATACATAGGCCTATTCAGTGAGAACTGTTTTCAGAATTTTTCCTGTGTTTCAATTTTCAGAACCTGAAGGCATGTCATTCTGTACCTGGATTCTCTGGTTTGTCTCTTTACTGTGCATCCTTTTGACATTTCCCATCTCGATCTGGTTTTGCTTCAAGGTAAGCTTTCCCATTGTGCTTGGTAATGATAAATAATGGGTAAACAATTATAATAATAATAATAAATAATGATAATAATTTGGGAGGCTAAGGCCAAAAATAAAATAGTTGGTTTCTGGTCAGACAAAGTTCTGGAATTGATGTGGCGATGCAATTTTCTTTTGGTGGGACGTTGGTCTGACAAAAATCCTGGCTGTGACAAGTAAGGTGATTCGTGGTGAGCTTCTCATAATTTAGAATTTTGGATGACATGTTAAAGTAGGGGCTACATTGTACAGGTAAAAGGTCCTTCCAGCGATAGAAAAACTCTTAAGAAGGCTTGGCACTTGACATAATCTTTGGAAATCCCCTGTAGAATTACTTTCTTCTAAATGACAACTTTCCAGATGGAATCATTTCACAGGGTATTTTAAAGTTATCTAATTTTTACTCAAAGCAAGATTTCCCACGAATTTGCCAAGCTCATGTAAGGTGATTAATGATTCTCAATTTTTGTTTTTGAAATTAGTGAATTGTGTTTACGGTTTTCCCATTGTCAATTCAAGACCGTTGCAGAGTATGAACGGGCAATCCTGTTTCGAGTTGGTCGTCTGTTGCCGGGAGGACCCAAGGGCCCTGGTCTGTTCTTCATCCTCCCCTGCATCGATGAGATACGCGTCGTCGATCTTAGGACGCTCTCCTTTGATGTGCCACCGCAAGAGGTAAAGTATGAAATGAATTCTTCAAAATAAGTAGCAGCTGGTAATTGGGGCGATTCACAATGCAGTGCGCCACCAAGTGTTTGCCATGGAGAGTCAACTTTTCAAGTTCACGGTCGATAAAATATGGCCCATTTGAATGAGTGTCAGTAGACAACTTGAGCTATTATGTTATAGATAGGGGCATAGCGTTCTGCCGCCTTACAAAAAAAATCACCATATTGATACAAAGAAAATAATAGGGCAAACATATACTCGAATCATACGCTTCCGAAACTACTGACTGGAAAAAACGAACAATTTCAAATGTTCCGCGCTGTGAATTTGTTGACCATCTCCCACAATACCCTGGGAAAAATGAACTCTCCGTGGCAAACTATTGGTGGCGCTCTGCATTGTGAATCGCCCGAATTGTCTTTATATGTTTTTGCTAATAGGTCTTATTCTTGAGTGAATAAGTTCATGTTTGTCTAAGTTTTTCCGTCCACCCTTTCAATATACCTAAGACGTAGTGACGTCACGCTTTGTTTACATGTGCGCTTTCCTATGGGACTAGCCAGGTGGGGAAGAGATCCACCAAGCTCCCATAGGAAAGTGCACATGTAAACAAAATGTGAGGTCATTACGTCTTAGGTCTATTGAACTTTCCTTTGTCGTCATTTCTCTTCAGGTTTCTAAGGCTTGCGAGCTTGCAGCGCTATGAACACTCTTGAGGAATCCTTGCTTTTATTTCCTGATTAAAATTTTTTTATAATACAGTGGGAATCTGAAGCCAGAACGACAAAACGTCAGTCGTACTGCAGTGAGTTTCCCTGTTTAATCATAGATTTTATGTTTTCTTGGGGTTTTTTTTGGTGGCCCTGTTTCCAGGTCCTCTCTAAAGACAGTGTGACCGTCACTGTGGACGCAGTGGTGTACTTCCGCGTGCAAGACCCCACGATGGCTATTATCAACGTGGAGAACTACAAGCGCTCCACGGAGCTGCTTGCTGCCACCACCCTGCGTAACGTCTTGGGCACCAAGACCCTGGCTGAGGTGTTGAGCCACCGCGACGAGATCAGCAACACCCTGCAGTCGCTGTTGGATGACGCCACCGATCCCTGGGGCGTCAAAGTGGAGAGAGTTGAGATGTAAGTTGAGGATTTAGGAAATCGTGCAAACGATTGGGAGAAAAAGTTCACATGATCTAGTAAATTCTTTGTCATATTAAGGAAAAGGTTTGAACAATTTACTTCACAACAAAATTGAAAATTTAGTTTAAAAAGTGCTCCCAAGAAACTATTTAGATCGAAAGTAAACAGTTGAGAAGGGAAAGACTGAAGATGACACTATTTTCTGGCTCCAAATATTGCGCACCGGGCAAGCATATATATCCAGTTTACGTGGCATGAAACAACTGAGAATATTTCTATCCCCCCCCCCCCCCCCCGAATATCCCATCCGGTCCATGTCAGGTTACTCCCCAGCTAATGCTGGTACCCGTATGCACTCCTTGGTGGAAAAAGGCAAATGGGGTGAAGTGGCTTGCCCAAGGACACAACATACGGCCAGCAGCTGGATTCAAACCCCTAACCCTCTGATCACGAGTCACGAACCCTTACTGCTAGGCCACACTTCCTCTTATCCTTCCCTCCATGTGACATTGATTTGTTGTCATTTTTATCGCAGTAAGGACGTGCGCCTTCCAAGACAGATGCAGCGTGCCATGGCCGCTGAGGCTGAAGCGTCCAGGGAGGCCCGTGCAAAGGTGAGCCTGATTCCATTTACTCTCTCCAGCAGTGTTTGGAGAATGACTTTTGAGGTGGAATTTTGTGTACATGTGGTCGATGTCAATTTTAAGATTGTCCTCTCACACTTATAAAGAGAGAGTTTTGGAAGACCACCGGGGGGGGGGGGGGGGGGGGGGGGGGGGGGGTGGGGGGGGGGGGGGGGGGGGGGGGGGGGGGGGGGGGGGGGGGTTTGCTGTATGGGTGGTGCCCACGCGAAGACGATACAGTTTTGTGTACATTCAGAATAGCATGAAGAGTGCGTACGTTGTATCTGACCCTGTAGTGCGTACATCGCATGCAATGTGTCTCCCTCTATGGAGCTCTCAAAAGTGGTCAGGAAGCGGCCTCCTCCCCCCCCCCCCCCCCTTTCACTGACATAATCCTTGATATTAACCACTTCGCACCGAGATTATTTTTGCCGAAAACGTTGATGTTCACAAAAAGGCAACATTTTCCAGCCAACTTCTGATATACAGCCACAAATACTGATTTGCAAGAGCAATTTCAACAGTATATGTGCGCTATTTCTTGCCGAAACCTCATATGTTTCAATGCTCCGGGGTGTGCACTGGAGCGTAAATTGTACAACAATAGGCCGTGCACAACGGCCAATTCAAGATCAACACACGGTCTGCCTCCACAGACTTCACGGACTTTGTGTGTGTGTACAAAAGGCACAGGACATTGATGTGTTTGAACCCGGAGGTGAGGCAATCTCGACGCCTTAACTGGTCAGCCGTGCCTGTGTATAAAAACATCCAGTGTGTGTCATCACATCCTCCGACGCGAACTGGTTAAGAAAAGTCGGAGTTGTATGTGTTATGGGTTTATTAACCCCTTAAAGACGGGGAGCGGCTATAGCAGCGGCCGCAAATCCTTACTGGAATGCAGTTGCCAGCTGTGGTGTGCCGTGGTACGCCGTGGCACATGGCTAGTCCGTGGTTCTACAGCTGCTGGTTTTGTGCAGGCCCGCTACCACACAAAGGCTGTGCAGTCATGCGGGTCACTTGCTCCATGTTTGGAGGAATGCCCCCATTGCACCCCGTCCTTAAGGGGTTAACAACATTTGAAAAGTCAACTCTTTTCCCGTGATTAGGTGATTGCTGCGGAGGGTGAGCAGAATGCCTCCCGTGCCCTGAAGGAGGCTGCTGACATCATCGCCGAGTCGCCCAACGCCCTGCAGCTCCGGTACCTCCAGACCCTCCAGACCATCTCCGCCGAGAAAAACTCCACCATCGTGTTCCCGTTGCCCATTGATCTGCTCGCCGGATACTTGGACAGGAAGTAGCCAATAGTTTCCTGACAAGGAAACGAGAGTGGTTTGGTAGACGCCTCCAACCGTTAACACATCAGTTTAAATACGGGGAAAAGATCACTGGGCTCAGCTTCATACATTAACTTGTCTCTTTTCGTTGTGATGAAATGTCTGAAAATGTAAAAACTGGTCTTAAATGGGCACTGATGTGCAAATTTCAGACATTATGTCTTGAAGACACTTCAGAGACGTTTGGGTTCATAGCCTCAAAAGAACGTCACAAGTCAATCAAAGGTCATCCAGTTCGGAGTTGAGTCACAAGATATTTCAAATTTCACATTTCTGTGATCTTGTTGTTTATCCGCATTGTGACCAGACTTGCCATGGACTTGTGATGGACTTAACTACAGGGTGGTGCAAAAAGAAGAAAACCCACTTTTGACAGCAATTTTCACCTACTTGTTGAGCATACTTCAAAAATTCCATTTAATGGTATTAAAATATTGATCTTTAAAACGTAAGTGCCGAAAAAATGATTGCAAATGCATATTTTGTCTCTGAGATATGGCAAAGTTCATGTGCCAAACCTGTTTGTCCACGGACGGCTATATTCCATCTGCTTGACTGAGCTCCGAAGCTTGATTTAAAGACAAAAAAAACACTACACTAGACTTACACGTGGACAACAGTGATTTTGGTGACTTGTATTCACATTAACATAATAACACTATTCTTGCGATTTTTTTAAAAGATTTTGTCACCATGACTTGTATGGTTGAAGAGCTATACTTCACTACATTAAAAAAACAAGCTCAAATATTTTAAGTAAGTAGGTAAAAATTCCTGTCAAAAGTGTGTTTCCTTCTTTTTTCACCACCCTGTATATTGACAGGTTTATATTGTAACTGCTGATGTTTTGTCTGTTGACTTTCCCTTTAGTCAAGGTGTATGTATTTGGTTGTGGAAAATTATTGGCAGATCACATTATTCAGAAGTTATTCTGGTTAAGTAGTCAATTTGTTCGATTGTAGAATGAAAGCGTTGTATTTAGAAATACATTCTTGGGCATTACAACAAAGAAAATGAGAAAAAAAAATGAAAACTGAAAAAAAATCCAGCTTGTTGAAACCATTCAAACATATGTGAAACCGATTTTTACCTTTTCAGGAAACTGGTGTCATAATTGTTGAAAAATTGACGTCAGACTTTTCAAAAAAAAAATGTCTGCTCTATGAGCAGAGGTTCCATTTTCAAATCCCTATATTGGTGCCTTGTTTCTTCATAAGTCTTGATAAAGTTTGAACGACAAGACGTAATTGTCTCATGGGTTTCACGTGCTTGTCATCCAATCGTATGAAACCCATGGTGATAAAGTCATACGTTAGTTATTTAACATTGGGTTCTACCCTTTTACTGACATTGTAATTTTATAAGAGCTGTGACCCAGTGTTGACTGAGCTTGCAGGAAAACAAAATTCACAAGCTCGCTGGGGTTTTGGACTCGAACCTGTGACCTCCTGCTTACTAGTGCAGACGGCTGAACTACTACACAGCAAAGCTTGCTAGCATTGGTTGGCTGGTTTGAATCGGAAATAGTGATGTAGCACTCCAACTATAGTTGGGGGAGTCCCACCATCCAACATGGCAAGCGCCAAAACAGGATGGAAGACTTATTTTCAACGTGGTCCCTTGCTAGAAGATGTGGAAGGAAATTGCAGTTTTAGAGGCGGGAGGAAAACCCCAAAATGATATTCTCTGGAAAACCCACGGAATCAGGCAGAGACTGAAAATCCAATCCGCATATTGGCCCAGGCGGGATTCGAACCCGGGTCACAGCGGTGAAAGGCAAGAAAAGTACAATTATGCCATCCTAATCCCCAAACTAACCCTGTGTTGTCCCATCCAGTTTACCCTTAACTAAGCAGTTTTGAACTCCAGCATTTTGGAGGACATACTGTGGAAAGTAGCACGTCATATTCTGCAGCCCTCTCCTCATGATATACAGAAACTGGTGCTGTGGTTAGGTTCTAGACGCATGGTTGGTATTGTCTTTATCCAGGAGTCAGTGTTATACCATGGAGGAAGAAAATCCTCAATGGTTATACAATACACATAATTGAACGAGAAGTCTCATTAAGAATTTTGTATTGCATTTGCACGTATACGTCTATAACTTAGTACCAGTGGTACCCATTGGTTTTAGTGGTTCTTTTAGTATAACAGGTTTTAGTGCAATTTGAACTATGGCCGCTGTGGACTCCGTGTAGGGACTGTAAGGACGATGCTGTGTGATCCACTCACAAGAAGCATTGACCAAGGCATGAACCCGTTGGTTTTTGCGTGTGCGAATGGTGCACAGTGCACAACCAGTACACCAGAGATAACTGATACCTAACTTGTCCAAATTGCAATGATTATGTATGAGCTATAGTAAAATAAATGTAACATGGTTTATAGTTTGGGTGGACAGTCAGTATTAGTTCCCCTTGGTATTGGAAGTTGACTAATCTAGAGTTCCACACACCTGAACACACAGTCGTGTTTTACTATACTCTCGAGGACAATGCTTTGTCTTTTCCTTTGTCCCTGTAATATAACACTCTCCCATAGACTAAGCACACAAATGCACGACCGAGGACCGATTTCAACAAAAGATAAACTCCGAGGACAACAAAGAATCTGTTGTTCTCCCTTTGTCTGTCTGTCCTCGGGGTGTACATAGTTCACGTACATTGACACATGGAAGTAATGTCCCTCAAATACGTCAAATATAAAATTGTTTAGCATTTTTTTTTACTGCTGAGGACGTCGTTCTTCATGGAGTCCATAAGGCTAACGGGCTTCCGTAGATCTTAGACATTTTGGCAAAAGATGAGTATTTTTGTACATATATCTGTGACTAGTTTCTTTTCCAGGGTAGAATTGTCAAATTTGAAGGTTCTTGTTTGTATGTATTTTCCCCTATTATACAAGCTGTGATATCAGCCTGTTTTACAGTGGTATTTTTATCATCAGTTCCTTTAGTATGAAGGTTTTTTGGGGTTTTGTGCACAGTGTACATGCAACGTGTTTATTCAAGAAATGTACTCAGACTCATCACACTTTGCTTGTTTCTCTGCATATAATCGTTCTAAGGTATACTACTCGCTTTTGCACTATAATACTCAGTTTAAATACGCATCATTATTAGTAACAGTATGAGCTGTTACAAAGGAATCATTCATGTGTTTTATACAGTGCCCCATTTATGCACATTTTGTTAAACACTTTGATTTTTCTGTTAACCAGTGTATAGCTCAGTATTTGCACTAAATATTTTCGAAGTGTTTACATTTTTTTTTTCTGTCCACCACTTTTCATTTTTTTCCAGAATTGTTCATGGACTTATAGTATTACGGAACACAGTGTATAGCTCAGTATTTGCACTAAATATTTTCAAAGTGTTTACACTTTTTTTCTGTTTCATGGACTTTTAGTATTACGGAACACAGTGTATCGCTCAGTATTTACACTCAATATTTTCAAAGTGTTTACATTTTTTTTTCTGTCCACCACTTTTCATTTTTTTTCAGAATTGTTCATGGACTTTTAGTATTACGGAACACAGTGTATAGCATAGTATTTGCACGAAATATGTTCAAAGTGTTTACATTTTTATTTCTGTCCACCGCTTTTCATTTTTTTTTCAGAATTGTTCATGGACTTTTAGTATTACGGATCACAGTGTATAGCTCAGTATTTGCACGAAATATTTTCAAAGTGTTTACATTTCAAGTGTGCAAGTTCGTTTGTTTCAGTTTGAAACAAAACAAAAATGAACTTATCATAATTTCAATTTTCATTTCATGCATTGAATTTTGTGCTGAACATAAATAATGCACATTACTTCTGCAAACCGCTTGCTTACTGGATTGACCTGAAATGTACAAATATATATGTAAGAGGGCCTAACATTTTGAGAATTTTTTTGAGGGTTTTTAGTTGATAAATTTAGCATGCATAGAAAAGTTTAAGTAAAGAGTTCCAAGTTGATGTTTATTTGGAACAGGATGATCCTTGGAGATATAAAGACACATGACTAGTCCCATGACTAGTCACATGACAAGTCACATGGCTCCTCACAATCTGAAAGTTTGAAGAGAGGACATGTCGATTTATTTTCCTGAAAATTGAAGCCGAGTAATACCCAGTGTAAAATCATCATGTCTAATTATATGATTTGCCCAATTTTGTGTTCTCCCTGTTTGTCAGATTTGATGGGTCAGACGAGTGACTTGTTTCTCGTGACCGGTTTCCAATTATTTGGAGATCAAATCATCAAGCCGGCATCCTTCAAATAATACAGGGGTGTGAAATCTCAGCTTTAAAGCTGATTTCAGCTTTTTTTTGTTTTGGATTACAGCTTTTTTTTTTCCCACTTGCTGTGTACAAAAGTATAGGAGATTTCCGAAGTTCAGCCTTTTCACACCTTTTCCCAGCTATTTTTATCAGTGGTCACTCACACCCCTGATAATATGAATGTTGTACCCAAAACAAAACTTGTTTATATTGTATTACATCACCAAAATAAGAAATAAGTAACATTGACTGCACAATTGTGTGTGCAAAATGAGCACATGGCAACTGTTAGTGATAAAAGAATTATACTTGAGAAACGTAAGTTAAAATACTTGCCATCATTTTGCCCACGAAACAAAGCAAAGTTTATTTGTTTTTTGTTTTACATTTTTACTACAGTATATGACATAATGAGAGCTATAGAATATCAGATTTATGTGCAGACTTGGGGTAAGTCTGACTCTGGGAACCCCCTCTGCTGAAATATTCCATTGAATGGATCTTTCCCTGTTATTTATGTCTTCCAAAAAATATTGTATGGTGTACTATGTGTGGATACCGATGTAATTAACACTGTAGGAACTTGGTGCAGTTTCAAACATTGAAATTTAATCATAAATGGACCGATTTTCCTTTTTTTTAATCGAAATTCAGTGTTGTAGCCAAGTCCATCACAAGTACGTCACAAGTTTGTCATCTAGTCTCAATTCAAGTCGCAAGCTATTCAAATGGACTGTAACAAAGGCATTCCTTTGTTATTGTTCATCGTTCATCGCCTGTTACTTGTGACTGGACTTGTGAAAGGACTCGTGAATTGTGATGTACTTATGAAAGGATAATGGTGGGGAAAACGCACTGGAAAACTCCCAACTTTAGTTCCGCAAGAAGTTCAGCAATCCGTTTTACAAATAATTTCTTCTCTGCTTGCCACCTTCCGAACTCATGTTCAGTACAACTTTTAATGAAATGTGTAAAACAAAAAAGGTATAACATTCCAAGATAGAAGTGTATGTATCTTGGTGTTGGTTTTTTGCATTAGTGTATTTGCATGATGTTTTTTAATGAATTACATTTAATCATAGATTTTGTGTATTCTATACAGTGATTGCTAAATATATGCAGAGATAAAGTTAAAACAATGCACCAACTCTACAGATTTTCTCCTGCACTATATTTGCAAAAGAATACTTTTTGACTTGACATTTATGAATTTTTTGTTTCACATTTTTGAAATTTACTATTTTGAATTTCATCTTAAATAACGAAGATGTATCTTTTGTTAATGGAAATGTTACACTTTCTCGTGTAATTGTTACTAATCTTTGTGTTCAATTAACAAAATTTGGTAAACGTTTTATTCAAAATTATTACTAAGTGACCTTTAAACACGTTATTCATGTAGTTCTTATAGACTCTAACTAATATATTTGTGATTATATCAGTACTTCAGTTATCTACACAGTTATCTAGAGGCACAATAGTCTAGCATTTTTTTATTTGCATACATGTAATCCCATAATGACTACGAATGCTTTGACCTGTGTAATTATGACGTGGTGAGTGCTGCGTTGACCAACAAAGTTTTATAGCATCTTTAAAAAAAATCCCACAATGTATCATTCTTTTGTTCAAGAAACAATTTTGGAGACTGTAAGTATTCTCGTATGGTTGATTTAATGCATTTTTTCGCTTGCTAAAAATGTTTATACCTGTGCTTATAGACCTTATGCCTTAGGGCGGGGTCAGAGGGTAGTGGTTTTGTATTACTAAGATAGGCATGAGTGAAATAACAAAGAATTCCTACTGAGGTACCTTTAATGCATTATGTCTATACAGAGACCAGAGGTCTCGAAAAAAATTAAGATACCCGTATTTTAAAGATAGATACAAGAAAAAAATGTTTTGGTACAATTCAAAATGTACAGAGGCTGAAAAGTGACATACAGGGTGAGTGAAAAAAACGGAACCCAAACCCCAGAAATTATATTTCATATTTAAAAAAAATATGTAGCACCAAAAATAATAATGACTGGAAAGCCAATTTCATAAGCTACGTTTAGATGAAAAAAAATACTGAAATTGATCAATCCGTTCAAAGAATATCACCGTTTAAACGCAATGACCCTAAAACATTTTTTGTCCAAGAATGCGATTTCAAGAATCGTCGTCACAATTGTCTTCAAACATTACCAGCGATAAAACCTCGGCTAAAAGTTAAACATTATCAACAAAGTCCTTTTGAAGGCCCGTCTTTTAAACAAAAAATGGATTTTATATACATGTATCATATGGTTTGCCTAACCAGGGTTGTTTATAAAGATTGTGTGTACTACAGTTGTTGACAGTTGTGAAACAAGTATTCTGTGTCATTTTCTATGTTGTTACAAACAGTCCAAATGCACCATAATTTGCGTTTAGATTGTGATATTCTTTGAGCAATTTCAGTATTGTTTCCATCGAAAAGTAGCTTAAACAAATTGGCTTTCCAGTCATTATTTTTGGTGCTACATAATATGAAATATATTGGGGGTTTGGGTTCCGCTTTTTTTTTGCCTCACTCTGTAGTTTGGTAACAAAACAAAGTACAGGGTGTGTAAAAAAAAAACGAAACCCAAATGTCGGGACCATTGCTTTAGTGAAGTTCTGCATGTAGCACTCCAAAATCTAGGATATGAAAGCCCAATTCATAAGCTTTCTTTTAGTATAAAAATCATTCAATCACTCTTGTACTTTTGAAGTTACGGAATTTTAAACACAACCACCGTTTTATAGTTCTGTCCACGGATCAACAGAAGGTAAGTGTTCTTTCAGCAAAACAAATCACATGGGAATGTGCGTGAATTGTTTTCGTTTTGCTGAAAGAACGCGCACCTTTTTTTGTGATCCGTGGACAGAACTTTAAAACAGTGTTTGTGTTGTAATTCTGTAACTTGAAAAGTACATGAGTGATTTGAATGATTCTTGTACTAAAAGAAAGCTTAGTAATTGGGCTTTCATATCCTAGTTTTTGAAAGTGTTGCATGAAGAACCTTATTACAAAAATGGTCCTGACATTTGGGTTTCCTTTTTTTTTTTCAAAACAAAACAAAGTACATGTATAATAGCACTGCGTGCATTCAGGAATAATTACCTTTGTCCAACTACATTGGAATACTTATGCATTGTTTAGTGTGTTTTATAATGAGGCTTTTGTAACCATTTCCTGTATTGTACACAGTATCGGTCTTTCGAAAGTAAAAGTGCTCAAAACGAATGGGACAAAAAGAGTGTATGTTCATGATTTCTTTGTGTTAATTACTTCGAATCTGAAACTGGAGAGATGTCAGTTTTCCTGTGGTCGTGGTTTCATTGACGTCTTTACTCAACGGTTGAAACGAGAAAAAAAGTTTGGGCTGTTCCCTAGATCATAGTATGCGAATTAAAATGAATGATGATGCAGCTATATGAACAATTAGTAACAATTCATTATTCGGCTGTGAATTTAAAAGGCTCTTTAAGTTTGAAGGCATGTATAGGATCATTGGCTGTTAGTGCGTTTTGTTCGTTTCCAATAATAACACCACTCAAAATTCAAAGAAGAATGTTCAAAACCTAACCTTGTGAAGTTTCAGCTCAGTGGATATTACACTTTTCGAGAAAACAGTGAAAAGGCATGCTGAACCTTTTGATCGCGAAACACGATTTCGTTAAATAATACTACTCTTTTGGATATTAACTACATTTTCTTGATTTCTTCTAAATATTTAAAAAGCAAACCAGACGGAATGATTTCACGAGGTGTTTAGTATACCAGTTCAATCTGAAATCCAAGTAAGTTTTTTTAGAAATTCGCTTGGCCACTTTGGAGATAGATGCCAAAAATCCTATATTCCTTTAACACTCTACCAAACAAATAATGTGGATATCAATTTAAAACAATTGCCCGAACACAGTCTTCAGCATGTCAGAAACACATGGAAAGGCAATATTGTAGCGTACAAAGTACACTCTCACTGTTAAAATCATTACTAAATTAGTGTTGACGTCATATGTTATTCTAGTTCATGATCAGATTTTCTCACAGGTATCGGTTCAGACCAACGCTTTCGTATCGTGCGGAGGGAATCGGGGGGAAATTAGTCAATGCTGACACTGCTAACGGGCCACTTGCGTCAGAGTATTAAAAAGAAAACCTCCCCAGTGATTTTGCGTGCAAAGGTTACTTTCTCGCATTTTAATGAATAATCGGTGTTCTCTTGTGTTAAGTAAAAAGTGAAGAGGTAAAAACTGCCTTATAAAAAAATGTACTGTGCAAATAATACTGTACATTCGTGGATGTATCGTCAACCATTTTTGAGTTCGCTTGCTCGACCCGCACATGACAAGGTCAAACCTCAAAGTTCGATAGTCCAATGCATATCAACCTTTCTGTATTGCAGCCGCACTTTGATTTTAGTGATATTTTTCCATCGTATCCCACCCAGTAATATTCAGCTCACATGACTGAACCAGAATTAGAACACCTTCCATTGGTGAGGAGGACGGACGAAAACATGGAGCATGGCGGAGCTAAACGCGAGCGCACGGGAAGCCAACGGCTTCACGTGCAGGAGAGAGGTGGTAGGTACATGTGGAACTTTCCCAGTCAAGCTAGACTAGCGGGGACATTTTCCCAAACCATTGATAGCCAGGGACATTCAATGTTTAAATGTCTCTTTTGTTACGCTACAGGAAACCATAGCGTTGTCATGCGTTGTGTGGACTCGTGTATAGCCTATGCATGTTATACTAGAAATAGCGTCTGGTCTTTGGTTATGATGACTGAGTGAGATCTATTTCAACAATCTCAATTTGCACACAATAATACTTAGGTATAGTCGTATTCATGTTTTTTGCAGGTCTGAAATTCCATTGTACGAATTTCAGATAATTTGGGGAGTTCTTACAGACCTTTTGCCTTTCATGCGTCTCAGTGGGCGTTGTTTGTTATTTTAATTTAGTAACCATTTTTATGCACAAAGGTTTAACCATGCATATCTAATAAGCGATACAAAGACCTTGCCCTCTGAACTCTGCCTTAACGCATGAGGTCTCATAGTGATTTGTTGATATTATCGTGTTTAGTATTTTGTGCATAAAGGCATTGTAGGCCCTACTCGTTATGTTCAAGTTGATGAAATTTGAAAAACAATTTATAGTAAAACTGTTTTGTGTCGCTTTCGGAAATGCAATGCCTCCTGTCCAGGGGCGTAAATCCCGGGGGATGGGGATATAATCCCCCACCACTTTTAGAACAGGGGGATGGGCTATTGAATCATCCCCCTCACCTTTTCGTGATGAGAAAAAAAAATCCGGATTTTCAGGTATTTTTCGAACATCCCGGCAACCAAAATCTATTCAATAGCACTGAAAAGTGGAGAAACAAAGTACAAAAGCTTTTAAAATGCGCTGTTTTGATGTCAGCGTGATAGTCATCCCCCATTCCCCACTCGCCGGCACAAATTTACGCCTCTGCTCCTTTCCATTCATGGCTATTTTGGGATCCAATATTTGGCAGCATTTTATTGAGAACAAAAAATAGCCAGTTTGTAAACAGGTGAAGGCCTACATGGGTGCGTATACAATACACCCGGCGGGTCGGGGCAAGTGGCTCCTTTGGTTCTTGGTTGGTTCTTCTCCTAAATACTCCGCGTGGGAGTTTATACAGGAGGCCAGAAACACCAGGGCAAACCCCTTTTCTTTTAGCGATAAGTGTTTACTGGGTTCTTTTACGTGCATTTATGCAACACACGGGACCTACGGCTTAACGTCCCATCCGAAGGACGAAGCAATAATGGTTAAGTGCCTTGCTTAAGAGCACAAGTGTCCGCCGGCGGGCTCGAACCCACGTCACTGTTGCCTCTGAAACACCAGAACATGAGTCCGGTGCTCTTAACCGCTAGGCCATGACGCTCCTGTGCCCTTATAGAGTGAAGACAGAAATTATCCTTAAGTTGTGTTGGAAACCATGAGATCCCAATCAAAAAATGACCCCAAGTTTCCATACCCCAATATATTAATTGACCCTTGATAAGTTACAGTGCAAATGACAACCCGGGATTTCTAAGTTCTAACAAAATTTAATTCCTTTTTCCAATAAACGGCCAAATAACAACTGTAATACTGTAAGATCGTAATTATATTCACTGATTTTGGTATGCAATTATTGCAACTTCTATGACACAGAATCGATGGGATGAAATCGAAAATGTAACCGGAATGGGTTTGCTTTCTCTTTTGCAATACAATGTATTATAGGTACATCTTATGCATGCAATTTTATGTAACTGATCCATTTTATTGTTTAACATTATTTTGTACAGCTTATCGCTAGAAATGAACAATTCGCGCTTTCATAAAAGTATTGCAGATTCGGTATAAAGCCATAGCATAATAGGCCTTATTTCAAAGCATTATTTGGTATTAAGTATTACGGCAAAATTCCGTCCACCACATTCAAGCAGAATGTTTTGTATATTAGTGTTAATATTGTTATATTGTTAATACGTTATATATAGTTTTAATCATGTCATCACAAGTCATCGCAAGTTCATACAGCCTTGATTCAAGGGGCAAAATATGCAAATGAACTGTGCATTTTTGGGAGGTCATTCATCTGTTGCCTGTGATCTGAAGTATGGCTTGACACCACCCCGTAATTGACTTGTGATTGACCTGTTTTAATTAAGTCATCACAAGTCATCACAAGCACATCTAGTCTTAATTCAAGGGGCAAAATATGCAGATGAACTGTGCATTTTTGGGGTCACTGTTCATCATCTGTTGCCTGTGATCTGAAGTATGGTTTGACACCACCCCGTAATTGACTTGTGATTAACTTATCAGCTAACAACATCCCAATTTCCGTCTGTCTGTTGTGAAGCCTTTTACCCGTGTTTTGACGTATATGACTGATTCTATTATACCTCTGGTAACATGTGTTGATTGTCTTCTCCAATTCTTAGATTCAGAGGAGATGTCATGCTGCACATACGTTCTCTGGTTCTTTTCGGTTCTTTTCATCAGCTTGACGTTCCCTATCACGATTTGGTTTTGCTTCAAGGTGAGTTTGCACGACGTGTTTCAGAAAGATTCGTGAGCCATCTTGAGATCTATATCTGTCAATTATTGAACCTTATTTATTTATCCTCAGACAATTGCCGAGTACGAGCGAGCCATCTTGTTCCGCGTCGGTCGCTTGATGCCCGGAGGACCCAAGGGCCCTGGTCTGTTCTTCATCATCCCCTGCATCGATGACATTCTAGTGGTTGATCTTAGGACACTCTCTTTTGATGTGCCGCCCCAGGAGGTACAGAGTCAGACTCACTATTCTCCTTGATTCTGAGCCGAATCCAATGTCGATGTGAATGATGACATTTTCGTGTTTGTTTTTTTTTGCTTTTAAGGTTCTCTCGAAAGACAGCGTGACGGTGACCGTAGATGCCGTGGTCTACTTCCGCGTGCAAGACCCCACTATGGCGACTATCAACGTGGAGAACTACAAGCGCTCCACGGAGCTGCTTGCTGCCACCACCCTGCGTAACGTCTTGGGCACCAAGACCCTGGCTGAGATGTTGAGCCACCGTGAGGAGATTAGCAACACCCTGCAGTCGTTGCTGGATGACGCTACTGATCCCTGGGGCGTCAAAGTAGAGAGAGTTGAGATGTAAGTGTAACAATGTACGTAGCGTTTGTGATGCTCTCTCTCATTTCTCGTCACGTTACAAACGAATTTTGCAAGTGGTACATCGAACAAGGAATCAACAAGCTCTAAGTGGAAGCAAAACTGAAGCTAAATGAACTTGAGCGAGGAAGGCATCCTGGCTTGAGGAATTATATCAAGCTATTTGGCAGTTAAGCATTGGACACACGTAGTAATTTGAGCTTTTACGTTGGAGTGCACAATGTTCCCTAATATTGATTTCTAGATTCTGACCTAATGTCCCGCTACGAGTGCGTCCTCTGCATGGTTCTTTCCGAATCAATCTGTTCTGCTTGGCAAAGCGCTTAACAACATTATACAGTGGTCATCAAAATGCAGATGTTTCTTCGTCCTTTGGACAACCATTTTACCAGTCATTTTGATCGGATTGTTTTTAGCTGCGAAGAGCAGGTCAAGAAATCATCATGTCTCTCCGTTGGTTGGTTGGTTAGTAACAAACGTCAGCACATGCCTTTTATGGCAATCAATCACCTTGTCCCGTAGGCCCTCGCAACAACACGTGCCTCAGGTTCATGGCCCTGAATTGCGCCAGGTTCAGAGGTCTCCACTGACCAGCTACCAATATATTTCAGTCGTGGAAAATTGGGTCACTAGAGTCCACCAGCCTGATGTTTGAACTGAAAACACTATTATATCGAGGGCACTCATTTCGCATTCGGGCTGGCACTGTACTGCACACAAAGTGGGTGTTGCACATGCTATAAAACGCTCCATGCACCAACTGACAACAAATGGGAATCTTTCTCAATTGACAGTCACGACAACGTGAGGTTGTGTATTTGAGTTGGGCCGTAGCTTCCAGGATCATTTCGAGCTTGTTTGCTTTACCCACAGTAAGGACGTGCGCCTTCCAAGACAGATGCAACGTGCCATGGCGGCTGAGGCTGAAGCGTCCAGGGAGGCTCGTGCAAAGGTGAGGAAAAGTTGATAATTACTTTGCTTCGATGATTGACAAAAATATGATTTGATGCTGTCACAGACATCAGCTGTACTATTCATTCGGGCTTAAGGGTTAAACCTTTGACCTAGCGTCCTCCCCGTAACCTTAATCCAGCTTCGTTTCCCAGTGCTATCGTGGCCGGCTGCATGGAATTGATGGTGACGCTGCATGTGAATAGCGCTTCTTCGAAGACTCGAAGTAGTGTTCACTCTGAAGTCCTCTTGCGAGAGTTTTTTTTTTCTCAAATGTTTGCACGGTATACTCGGTCCGTATTCTGAAGATGTATGTTCACATCAAAATGCAAAGCCTCTTGACGCCTATGCACGCCCAATGATTTTACTGCGTTGGAGCAAGTTGTTGGTGGCTGCGTAGCTATCCCGTTTCATACTTAACTCTCCCTTTTTCAGGTGATTGCTGCAGAGGGTGAGCAGAACGCCTCCCGCGCCCTGAAGGAGGCTGCCGACATCATCGCTGAGTCTCCCAACGCCCTCCAGCTCCGGTACCTCCAGACACTCCACGCTATCTCGGCCGAGAAGAACTCCACCATCATCTTCCCTCTGCCCGTCAACATGCTCACCCAGGCAATGAAAATGAAGTAGGCCCACGCCAGATGAAGGCCCGTGTCATTTGCCACAACCAGATAACTACACAAATTCATATATATAGGCCCTACATCAACAGAGACAAAAAGATGCATGGCGGTGCCTAATATGGGCATTGTTGTCTTATTAGGCTAGGACTAGCTGTGCGCGAGGAACTGCACAATGAGGAAATTCATACCGATATGTTGGACAAAATGACATTGCCCAATAGGCCCCTAAGCGTTTGCAAATTATTGTCCTCAAAAAAAAAATGCATATATTTTGTTTTGTTTTCTGCGGGGTGGGTTTGAGTGGTCTTTATCAGTAAACAGTTCATAATACCGATGGGAAAGACAAGATGCTTAATATTCTAATATTCCTTTTGCTCGTATTTCGTTGAGGTATCATGCTTTGTAAATATCTGCACATAATAAATTTGATATGGGAAATAATTGGGTGCGAAATGTTAAAGTCGATATCCTATCTGACGAGTAACGACATACATGTACTATAAACTCTGCAGCAGTTTAAAGCGGCTTAAAACCATAAGTGAAGAAAAACATCAACATTTTGAATGAAATTATTGTTTTTATCTTCCAAACCTGTACGCAATATTTTATTATTACAACGTCAAAACAACATGTTGGTCATCTATCCGAGAAGATTGCAAACTTTTGTGTGTTTTTGACTGCACGTTGGAAATTTATGTAATGTCGTCAATCATAAAACATTATTCCTTTTTCGATATGTTACACACATCAAACTCTGTTTATTATTTGCAATGAATTTCTTTAATATAATAATGTTATACTGTAACAATAAGTAAAACATGTATATAAATGTGCTTGAGTTCATTGGGTATATTATGACGAGTCTAGAATTATGGACTTAAATTTGGCTATAGAAAGATACTCCATCAATACGCATCGGCATTTTTTAAAGTAGCCAGACACAAATATAATTTGAATAATGTTGACAGAACAACAAAGTCTGTTGAGACATTCTCACAGACACTAAACTACAAGATGAAAGAGCTATCTATTCTTAAGAAGATTATAGTATTTGGTGAGATTTATTTGTAATGATCATCTTATGTTTTTATTCCGTAAAATGTGTGTTTACCCGATATGTTATTAAAGATATAAAATAACCTATCGTGTGTTTATAAGTAGGCGAGTTCGTTTCTGCGTTCAATAGGGGACGTTGAACAATAGAGGACAATAGGGTCCCTCGTTCCCGAAGGTCCCCGATTTGAAAAAAAAAATCTGGAAATTCCACGAAACAATGGCCCAACTTCCTTAGCGGAGAACTTTTTCATAATTGCTTTTGAGAAGAGGAAGCTTTCCCACATTTATAGGTAAATTTCACACTGATGAGGATCCTCTGTCCTCAAAGACTTACACTCAACCAAAAAGAAAGTCTCCCTTTCAATACTTTTTTGTCCAACTCAAAAAACTACTGAGCACCTCTCACTCAAATAACGACTAATCAGTGCAGAAATTCCTATTGTCCCAAAACAGTGATAATGAAAACAGTTGCACTTTAATTTGTGTACGTGCATGTTGTGGTTCACACTCACCTGGCACGTATACAAAATTGCAACTTTTTTCGCCGGGTACCACTTGTCATAAATTGCATAATTTCGTACACATTATCACTGTTTTGGGCCAAACAAAGAGTATGAGTGGATGGCTAAGGAATTTGTGTACTGGTTAGTCGTTATTTGAGCGATACTAGTTTTTGAGTTCGACAAAAAAGTATTGATAAAAGGACTTTCTTTTTGGTTGAGTGTAGTAATGAGTCTTTGGTTCTACCAACGAGAAGGCTTTACCCTAAGCATATCCCCAAAATGGTTTCTCGGCGAGACTTCTATGGAGTAACCCCCCCCCCCCCCCCCCCATGACGGCCCCGTTAAAATGGAACTTTGCTCCTATACAGGGTGAGTAAAAAAAAAAACGCAACCCAAATGTCGGGACTATTATTTTAGTGAAGTTATGCGTGTAGCACTTTGAAAATCTAGGATATGAAAGCCCAATTCTTAAGCTTTGTTTTAGTACAAGAATCATTTAAATCACTTACATGCTTTTCAAGTTACAGAATTTCAAACACAACCACCGTTTTAAAGTCCACGGATCACAAAAAAAGGTGTGCGTTCTTTCAGCAAAACGAAAACAATGCACACACATCCCTATATGGGATTTGTTTTCGTTTTACTGAAAGAACACTCGACTTCTTGTGACGCGTGGACAGAACTTTAAAACGGTGGTTGTGTTTACAATTCCGTAACTTGAAAAGTACATAAGTGATTTGAATTATTCTTGTACTAAAATAATGGTCCCGACATTTGGGTTTCGTTTTTTTGACTCACCCTGTTGTATAGACTGATTGCATTTTAGCATGAGCCATCTTTAGGGTATGTCTTGATAAGTAAATTCATCAAGATAAGTTAATTCATCAAGAGGTCTACATGAGGTCTACTCATACGTTTCCCTGTGAAACAAAAGCACACACCTTAAAGAGGGCTGCAGTGTGCGAACGATTTGTTGTGATAGATCACAATAACTGTCTTGGGACATCTTGGGAATTTTTTAATGTGGTCATCTGATGGAATGTTGGACAACTCGTACCCGAGACAATTCGTACCCGAGACAACTCGTACCCGGGACAACTCGTACCCGGGACAATTCGTACCCGGGACAATTCGTACCCGGGACAACTCGTACCCGGGACAACTCGTACCCGGGACAACTCGTACCCGGGACAACTCGTACCCGTCTGAAAATAAAACACTGTGCAGCGTACTCGTATCTGTGCCTTACTTGTGCCGACTGTTATCATACTTATTTTCAACCAATTATTATTCAATCATTTTATTCATCTCACGTTACTCACTAAGCTAACAATTCTAATTAAGTGACTTTTGAATTATTTCACATAATTATGCAAAAGACTGACACGCTACTGGGATTGTTGATGGTTATCAAAATTAATGTCATAAAAAGTGTAGAAGGTGCCATATGTAACATTTTTATAATTTTAATGAATCGGTCCACTTATTTTAGAAATAAGTTTTCTTAATAAATGAAGATCAAATAAGTTAAGAAGCTCATGATTGCTATAGCTCCTTCCGCGAATTCGGCGAACTCCGCGATCATCGGCCAGCTGCCAGAATCTCTCCAGAACAATCTCTTGCTTGTCACCACTGGCAATTCCCCAAAACTCAACGGCTTTTGGTTTTCCACATCTTCGGATTTGTCAATTACATCTTACAAAAAAGGAACAGAAAAGTAAATGGTAAGAAAAGTACAAGGTACGAGTCGTCCCGGGTACGAGTCGTCCCGGGTACGAGTTGTCCCGGGTACGAGTCGTCTCGGGTACGAGTTGTCCCGGGTCACAAATTTTGGGTACGAGTAGTCCCGGGTACGAGTTGTCCCGGGTACGAGTTGTCCCGATACCATCTGATGGCGCCCTCTACTGCTTACCAAGTGGTGTGTGTGGCGTGCAAGAAGAAATCCGATATCATTCATTTTTCTTGTTTAAAACACAGTTGTTAATCGAAAGATTTTGGTGAGCAGGATGGAAAACATAGTGGCAAACGTGGAAGGCTTGCGGTTCGACTTGGAGACAGCTTTAGAGCAGCAAATTGGATCACAACCCCTGCCCTTTCCTGGAATGGATAGTAAGTATAATTGCAGTTGCACTAGTTTCGTGATAAAATAATGAAGACCAGACCAGACCAGGACCGATTGTTGAATTGTTTGAGGGATATTTGGATCCGCTCAGAGGCTCAATATTTATGAATTTAATAAACGGCAATTGTGAAGTTAATGATAATAATGTGGTGCTTATAAATAACTCGGCGATTGTTTGTATAGTTAATTTTTATGGGCCCCTCTTTCGTTTTGGTCCTAAATTATTACTTAGTTAAACATGTTATTGTTAAATAAGTTAATCACTGTCAGACTGTTCATGCTGTTTGTTAACAATGACATCAAATAGTGGTACATCATGTGTAATTGTTACTTTTAGGACCCCGTTCCTATAAAGTTTAAGAGGGGAGGGGGGGGGGGGGACAATAGATGCAGGAAAAAATTCCATACTGGGCCACCACTCAGAGCTCCTGCACAAAGTCTATGGGCCATGACAGTAGTCCGAGTAACTTGGACCCAACTTATCGCCTTTTTTAACATTTGGACATGGTCTGGCGATAGTGGGGTCCAAGCTAATACCGCGACCTGGACAACATCATCCTGTCACTGTCCCAAAAACCAACATTTTCCAACAAAAACATCAGATTTCACCTTCAAAACGGCCTCCAAATTACTAGATATGCCACCTGAGGTACAAGTAGACATTGATAATTAAGATGGTTGTACTGAAGTTTACTTACGATCCGGAAAAAAGTGAAATTTTCCGTTCATTTCGGAGAGCTCCCCTCGCGATCTTGAACACATTAAATTTCCGATCGTGTTTAATGTTTGAACGACGCGATTTCTTCTACATGCCCAGCGTACATTCGATGGTCCCCGTATCCCGAGTGCGATTCTGTTACCGAGCGCGCGCGATGCATCGATTATGATAATGAGTAGACTGGATCACGTTTGTAAACACATGTGCATTTCAAACGATAATAGGGAGTCGGGAACTAGCGCAGCTTTTATGGCGGGTACCAGTTCAAGCTGGTTCCCGATTCCCTTTTACAGTTCGAAATGCACATGTATGTTTACAAACGTGACTCATTATCATAATCGATGCATCGCGCACGCTCGGTAATGGAATCGCACTCGGGATACGGGGACCATCGAATGTACGCTGGGCATGTAGAAGAAATCGCGTCGTTCAAACATTAAACACGATCGGAAATTTAACGTGTTCAAGATCGCGAGGGGAGCTCTCCGAAATGAACGGAAAATTTCACTTTTTTCCGGATCGTAAGTAAACTTCAGTACAACCATCTTAATTATCGATGTCTACTTGTACCTCAGGTTGCATATCTAGTAATTTGAAGGCCGTTTTGAAGGTGAAATCTGATGTTTTTGTTGGAAAATGTTGGTTTTTGGGACAGTGACAGGATGATGTTGTCCAGGTCGCGGTATTAGCTTGGACCCCACTATCGCCAGACCATGTCCAAATGTTAAAAAAAGGCGATAAGTTTGGTCCAAGTTACTGGGACTACCATGACAGAACATTTTAAAGTATTATCAAAGAATTTGTGCACTCCTAGTTAAACAGTGTTTCTTCATCAGATTTACAACTTTTGGTACTTTTCAGGTCATATTAAGGAATATGAGTGGTGGCCCAGTATGGAACTTTTTCCTAGATGCATAACTCTAACTTGTTTGGCGGTTTGCCTAAGAACCATCTTTTAATTTAATCCTCAAAAATGAACCGCTGGAATTTGAAATTGCTGAAATTCTTAGTAGGCCCGCCCCCTACATTCAAAATATAGGGCATTAAATTGTATAATGTATGGCAGCAGTTGCTGGATCCTATCTTGCCCTTCCAAAGTTCTCAAAAACTCGGTGAGTTTTCGAAGGATCAAGGATGGTTCAGTTCAGTGTTTATTTGTGTTTATGTACTTCAATCTCCACAGAATCGGGTGCCGCTGTGTGTCAGTTCTACAAGCAGCACAACTGCAGCAAGGGGCCGATGTGTCCGTACCGTCACGTCGGGGGTGAAAAGAGCGTGGTCTGCAAACACTGGCTACGGGGACTGTGCAAGAAGGGAGACGAATGCGAGTTTCTTCACCAGTACGACATGACAAAGATGCCCGAGTGCTTCTTCTTCACAAAGTTTGGTAAGTCTTGGTCAAACCTAGCCTCATAAATGGGGCTCGGATACTAGATTGCCTCTGTACACTGAGTCGCACTGCCTCTGAAACATGTGGAAAATTTGCCTTTTTGACCTTCAAAAATAGACGGTTTTCAACTTTATTTTGATTTGGAAGCACCCTAATCTCATAACCGAGAAAGGACAACATGCCATGTCATTTCCAGGGAACCTTTTTTAGGGCGAAAGAAATTCTCAAATAACATGAGGCAACTTTTATTTCGTATAATATCGGAACATTTCCATAAAGTTAACAAACAAATTGTAACAAGGTTTTTTAAAATTTAAATAAATTTCCACAAACTGGCTTTTGAAAATATTGTCTTCGGACTTGGTCCTTAGAATGGCAAAGGAAAAGGGAAGTGGACAAGTAGATGCAGAAAAAAAAATAAGCTATAAATTGTTTATACAATCTGTTTTGTACACTAAACATGAAGAGTTTATTTTCAAAACGTGATACCTCAATTTGAAAAAAAAGTGAAAAAGTTGCATGGTTGCATAAACTTTGAAGAGCACAGTATAACAGCTGTTTCCAAACTACCTTTTTCTCTTTAAATATTGTATTCATAAATTGTGTTTAAATATAAACAACTGTCCAAACTGACTTTGGGTAGCAAGCATAGGGTGGGATTCTAAAAGGTGACAAAGTTGGGTTTGTCATGTTTTGAAAACAAATTCTTCACATTTTGCTAGGAAGATATGTGGTGTACTTGGGACGATGATTTGTTAGGTTTTTTTTTGCAGGTATGTGTAGCAACAAGGAGTGCCCATTTCTTCACATAGACCCAGAGAGTAAAGTCCGAGACTGCCCTTGGTATGACAGGGGCTTCTGCAAACACGGCAAGTCTTCCCTTGATATTATTTATTATTATTATTATTCTGGTTTATTTTTATAAACACCAAGTCGGCAGCCTTTATAATGTGTCTGATGATAACGGCTTACAATAGTAGGCCCTATAACATTACTGATACATATAAAACATATAAATAAAAGGAGATTCATCTATAAAGTACGAGAACCATGGATTATACAATATTTAGAAAAGTTGATAAGGTATTTAAAAAATAATCAAAGTTTATTGTAAATATCTGAAAAATAAAATAGTAGCATAAAAACTGGATTAGGTCGATTAAAAAACTAAAGGGATATTAAAATGCATGTATAAACGGTGTGTCAATATTGAATATAAACAAATTGCAAAAACATACATGCATGTAAAAATTGTATAAAAATGTGGAGGTTATTATAACAGAGGGAACAGTTCTTACAGTTCTTATTACAAAATTCTAGACAGTGCTGGTATGGTCAAATTTTTGTATCTCTCTCTGTTGTATCTATTGTTCTTCAATGAGGAATAATTAGAGTAGAGGAGGTACTGTCCCTCATATAGGTATGTAGCAATTCCTGGTTTTTTTTTAAATAACAGGAATTACTATGGGAGACTTGTTTGAATGTCCCGTCTCTTTCAATGCACAATGGGGCAAGTTCTTGTGGAATGCATTTTTGTCAAATGTAGACATTGACAAAAGGGGAACCATGATCAAAGTGCTGGATTGCTCAGTAGGTAGAGCACCAGAACCGCAATCAAGAGGTCGCAGGTTCAAACCCCGCTCCAGTCAATTTCTTTGTTCAATTTTTAAATTATATTTACGACAATGTACACTCTGAATTCCAGTCAAACACTGGCAGTGTTTGCAATATTGCTTATGTTGTCATTTTTGGGGTGTGATCTCTAGCCACGCAGCATGTTTGAGCTTGGTGGCTTCTAAACCCCTTCAACAAATATTGAGACTGTCAACCAGTATGGTAGCTGGGATGTCTCATATTCAATTATCCTGCTGTAGTCATTTTTTCTCAGGCATGCAACTTTTCCTCGAATTTCTTCATTTTTTTTTTAAATTCCCATGTCTGCCATTACAAATTGAAAAACACTATACAAAGTCTTCTGAAGTATAAGATTTTCCTCTTTTTTTGTGGCTTAATTAACAGTTGCATGCCTGTTTTCTGTGTGTAACCAGAAATTGTTTGTTTTTTTAAATTGACATTTCCTGTTGTAAAAACAATGAGCGTCTTCTATTCGTGAGCTCTGTGAGATCGATCTTTCTGATAGTTTGTATCTTTCTTTGATGCCGTTGTGCAGGTCCTCAGTGTAAAAACCGACACGTCCGGCGGGTCATGTGCCAGAATTACTTGAATGGTTTCTGTCTCGAGGGTCCCAACTGCAAATTCCAGCAGTAAGTAGCAATCTGTTAAACTGCGGTGCCGAGTCAAGCATTTACAATCAGTCACACCCCAGGCATCCACCCTATACACTGACGGTGTGAAACTTGGGGTTTATGAAAACAGCAAATGGCAAGAAGTGAAAATTTCCAAAGTGTGCAAAAGTAACTCTTGATTAGCTTAAAGTCATTTTTTAAAGTGTGCACGTGCACCCCTTTATGCCCCTCCCCCAACCCCACTAAAAAAAAACCTACACCACCCCTTGCAACCAATCACTCCCCCCCCCCCCCCCCCATACAGCATGTAAGTCTCGCCAGTTCACGTTCACTTTTTATGTTAATGACTTGGTACCATACATCGACTAGTCTAGTCACAGTCTCTTATGTTTGAATTTACCCAATTGTCATAAATCTCCGTGATCGATTGAACGGAAGTTAAGGTCAACATTTTTAATTTTATAATAGTCATCAATTCATAATATTTTCAATGTGTTGTAAATTATAATGCTTTCTTCTCTCTTGAAGTACCTATTTATTGCCCTTGAATGGATGGGCCCAGTCAAGACATGAAATAGGGCGTTACAAATGTTGTAGATCCTATTCATAGTGCCCGGATGTGCTGTATTGTTGTAAAATCTTGCAGGTTTTTGAGGTCAACTTTACACACTCTATTGCCCTTTCCCGTAAACCTTGTGTTTTAGATTGTGCTCAGTCTGGTGATATTTAAAGCTAGAGTCCATCATTTGCAGCCATCCGAAGAGTAACTGGCGTAATTATTGTTGAAAAACTAACTTGGTTGAAAGATAGTAAGGGGACTAAACTCCCTGTGAAATTATTCTTTCTGGGAAGCTGTCATTTTGAAGTAATCAATGAAAGAAGGCATTTCCAACGGTGATTCTTAAGAAGCACCGTAGGAAAATTTAAATTAGCAGTTCGTTTTGTTATTCAGCGCAGCGCGCACAAGTATTGGAACGACGCACACACGCGCGCGGTTGTTATAATTCGTCGGATCAGTGCGCGACGTCGCGTATAGTTGCAATTCAGAACAATTCAAAACATGATTCAGCAACTTTTGATTTGAAATTGAGATCTTAGAATACTGTTTTTCTCGGAATGTACAGCTGAAGCTTAGCTGAAACTTCATCAGGTTAGTTGCTCAGTATCCTTCATTAGATTTTGAACTCTTTTGTTGCTCCAAACGAACAAAATGCACAAATTACAAATGATGGACTGTAGCTTTAACTCTGTTTTCTCTTCTTTTTTCTCCATCCAGCCCCAAGTTTGACCTTCCAGTGTTAGAGGTCAAGGATAACATCAAGAAGATCATCTGCCACACCTGCAAGGAGGCGGGTCACAAGGCAGTCAACTGCCCCAAGGGTTCAGGGTCATGGGGCCAGCAAGGGAGACAGTCAGATAGGGTCAGTAATTGTCTTGGTTCAAGCCTGGATTTTGGAGTTTGTTCCCCTAATCCAGACGGTCCCGATCCCTGGCAAGCGTGGCTATTTTTTTTGGCCTTAGGCAGCCGCCATTTGACTCATATCTTAACACGGAGCACGGCCAGATCAAAAGTTTGTTTTTACCAGTTACAAAACAAAAAATTGTGCCTACATTTGCTGTTTTTTTCCCTCCAACGCCTGGTATCCACTTAAACTTCAACACGTTAGTTGTTGTGCGCCCTTTTTAAAGTTGGTGTACATGTGCTTTTTGGGTGTGGCAAAAAGCAGGACATTAGTAGGCCAAAAAAAAAAGTCTCCAGTTTCTGGTATGGAGCTTGCCCAACAAGTGGTGCGGCGACGCGGCTTTTTTTTTTTTTTTACCTGATTTTTTGGCTTCATATGTGTGCTGATGACTGCAAATGGTGCCCGACTAAACTTAGTGCAAATATATGGGAGTCCAGAGAGGCCATATGCTTCATATGTGTGCTGATGACTGCAAATGGTGCCCGACTAAACTTAGTGCAAATATATGGGAGTCCAGAGAGGCCACATAAAGCTTATTCTCGACCATAACCAAATCTAAAAAACACGTTAAAATTGTGCAGCAGCAGGATTCCAGTCAAACCAGTGAGTTGGCGGTTTTGAGACATCATCTTTCATTGAAAAAACCAAATTTTCATTTTGCCGACGCGCATGGCTACGGTGACGCGTGCGCATGCCAGAAACCGGAGACTTTTTTTTTTTGGCCTTATATTCCTTTAAAATTCGTTCGGAAAAGAAAATCTGAATTTAGAAAAAACAGGTATATACCAACTTTAAGATTTTGAGCATTTTGTTGCTTCAGACAAAACAAAATGTACAAAAAGCAAATGTTCCCATGCAACTAAATCAGTTCTCACTTTCCATTCGTTCCCCCTTTCCTCCTGTCTTAAATAGCCCATTGGTGTGTTAGGCATGGTCGACACGAATGCTGGTGGTGGAACTAGCCAGACCACCGGTCAGCCACAGAGCAACGGTCCGCAAAACTTCACAGGTAACCGGCCCTACCGGAATCTGGAGAACATCAAGTGTTTCAAGGTAAGATTGGCGATGAAATGTGACATTCAGGGGCGGATCCAGGAATTTTTGCAGGGGGCGGGGGTTCATCAGCAAAAAAATCTGAAATGTAGACAGGTTCTTTTTCTCCGGACACTTGGCCTCCGAAAATCAATACTTTCATGGGGGCGCCAGTAACCAATGCAAAACAATTACCGGCTTGGCACCAAGTCTACCAAAAAGGAAGCTGGCGGAGACGCTTAACATGTTTTTGTTTACTGTGCCTTATAATTCTGGGTGTTTTTTTTAATTTGTCATCAGTGCGGGGAGCTCGGCCACTTTGCCAACAAATGCCCCAAGGGATATATGGGGTTTCTGAATAACGTCAACAGCGACCAGAACCAACAGCCCAACAGGCAGTAGCACCAACCCAGTAGCTCACCATGGTGTGTCTTCAACCTCATTTGTTTTGCCCACAAGAGCTAATGTGACACCCCACGGTGCATGTGAATTTAACAGAGAGAACATTCCAATTTCTGCACAGTGATTGTGGAGTAGTTTGTTTACATGTTACATTCAGCCACATTTGTTCTGTGCAACACAAAGTATAGGGTCCGATCGTTATGACGTCAATGTGCTACGTGACCTTCCAGTTTCCCCGTGATCGGCCACTGTTAGGCAAACGTTTGGTTAGCAACCTCATCGTGTGTTGTAAAATGGAGAGTAGGGCTGCATGACACTGGTCACTGTATGACACTGTCACTGTATAACACTCGTCACTGTATGACACTGTGACTGTATGACACTTGTCCTTGTATGACATTTGTCACTGTTAATAAGGGGATACTTGTGTCGGCTTGGGCCGGACCTTGTGTTGCTTATGCTCTGCTGTGCATAAATTTAGGACTAGATTATACTTGAAATCCTCAGCACTGCTCCAAGATGTCACTGGCTCTGCCTCAACATATTGACAGTGATTGCCGGAGGATTTTGCAGGATTGAGGCAGTGGTCACCCCTCCAAGGACCACATTCAAGAAATAACAGAGGATTTTGCAGGATTGAGCCTGTATGCAGTTTTTACGTGGAGGCAGTTGGAGGATTTTGCAGGATTGAGGTTACATCCTAGCAAAAATGCCCAGGGAGAACTGAAGCATGTAGGAAGCCACATTGTATGCAGAGAACATTATGCACCGATTATCTGCTTTGTGCATGATCTGTTGAGGGCAGTATATTGATGACTACCGGGGATGCCAGAAAAGACCAATATGTGTTGGTGGTGGATACCAGCGGACATCTCGGTCACCACTGAAAAGTCGTCATTTTGTATCCAAGAGTGTTGATGGAAGTGTTTTATCCAATTTACTTGCGGCTGGCAAATTACACACGCACCTATGGAAGCGGCTACAGCCACACGCGCACCTATGGAAGCGGCTACAGCCACATCCCATAGACCCGTGTGTTATTCCAAGCCGTAGCCGAGTAATTCGGATGCGGCCATATACTCACTATGATATCACATAAAAACCAAGTTGGTGCATACACTTTCTAATGTGTACAGTATCGTTTCGGTTTGTGGTAACACCATGTGGTCATAACTACTGTCGCTCAGCAGATGTTTAGTTCTGATAAGAACTTGTCCTGGTTATTATCAACTTTCACTAAGTAGTTTTTTTAGTTCTGATAAGAACAGTCCTGCTTAGTTCTAAAAGAAGTTGTCTTAGGTTTCAATGTTTCGACTAGCCTGCTTTAGTCATTGTCAGGAGACTGCTTAACGAAAGTTGATAATAAGCAGGACAAGTTCTTATCAGAGCTAAACATCTACTGAGCGACAGCAGTTATTACCACATGGTGTTACTGCAAACTGAAATGATACTGATACTCCACCATGCAAAGCCTAAATCTTACAATGTGTACAGGTTTTTAACTTTAAAAGTTCTGATCTTCTTTTTGACTACTTGTTTGAAAAGGACAGAAAGTTTAATTTTATTTTGTACAATTTCATCGGAGCAAGTCGACTTGATTTTTAATGGCGCAGGATCAGATGAAAATGTTCTTAAAATGAGAAAACCTTGTTGATTTATAATTGGTGTCATGACTTATGTCTGCTAACATTCATGAATCATTGCAAAAGATTGCCGTGTGCACAGGATCCCTTGGAATGGAAGGCCTGGGCCGCTGTATGGCGTCATGAGATACCTGTAATTTAACTTCATGTAATTGTGAGATCAGAATCGAATAATCTGTAAAGCGTATATTTCTTTTGGAAAATAAATTCTGGTTGAAATAACCACTTTTGTACATACATAACTCCGTGCAAAATCGAATTTTTAATTTTGGGTGGTGTTTCCGTCATGAAGTAAATAGTTGCCAACTTATAATTGTAGGGAGAAAGACTGGCAAAAAAATGAAGTGAAAATTCAAATCAGATTGCAGCATTTCAAAGGCCTTTTTGTTTACATCAAACAAACATTTATTGATCATTAAAAAGATGCAAGTCACTGGCTACTTCCATGTACTTTGGTAGAAATCTTCAACTTGTGACGATAATAATTTTCTAAACAGTCATTCTCTCGCATACAAACTGAAACTTTTAACGAAATATCAAAAACCCTTCACGAAGTACATGTGCTTGCTTTTTGGAAATCCCAATCACTTATTGTATCCACTGTGACCACAGAGTCCCGGTAAGAGGCGCACACCACGTAAGCGTACTGATTTGCTCCCACTTGGCATGAAGTACGCATGACTTATTTTAGTCTGAATCTGCAAACATTTGTAGCGTCTTCACATGAGTGTCGGGCGTAACCCACACTGCGTTCAAATGCCCTTCCCAGTGGTGACCTCCAACTCTCCTTTTGTAACCGTTGAGGGGGTACTTGTCATCGCAGGTCTTCAAGACTGAAGTTGCTGGAGCATCGATGATCTAAGATCATCTAGCACCTCATCTTTTGTTGCAACCCTTCACACTAGATTCTTGTGTACCTGTTGAGAAAGAAAAAACATGACTTGGAAATTCTGCCACTAATAATGACCCAAAGATTTACGTTTACCATCAAAGCACAAAATGTCTGAAATATCTCCGTGATGAAAGATCTGAAATTCAACATTAGTGCCCATTCAACATGGGTCTGAAATTCTACACATCACAGTACAAATTTTCGAACCAGCCATCCCATAGAGATTTTAGAAATTTGAGGGTTCATAGTGACTTGAAAGCATTTGTAACTGTTCCATAAATCAATAAGGTGAGCCCTAACGGAAAGTCTTTCACCACTTTTTAAGAAATACATTTATCGTTATGCATGTATTGTCGAATCGGGGGAAAAAATTCACAATTAAACAAGAGTTAACTTGAGGTTCAACTCCAAAATACCCTGTTTAGTTTTACATTCTCTCCTTAAAGGGAATATACAACATTTGCAAACATCGAAAAATAAAACTACCAAGTTTTTGCGAAATACCTTAACAGGATGTTGGTAAATGACAGTCTAAAGCATCCTGTAAAATTATGGCACCTGGTATACTGTCATTTTCAAGAAAAGTGGTATTTTTGTATCAATTTCCAACGCTGATCGGCCGATCAGCGTTGGAAACAACTGGCTTTTTTTCAAATACTGGCCCCAATTGACCATTGCACTTGTTTGCAATCGATTACAAACCTATGAACGGGTACGAGCAAGCTAGACTGGTTCCCTGAACTTACAATTCCCCAATGTATGTAAACTGCTCTGTTTCTTCTTATATGGAGTCAGGGAACCAGACTACAGGAAAATGATCGTTTTTCTTGGTTTTTATAGCATTTTCGAACCCAAAATCTCCAAAAAGTCAGTGTAACTATATTTGCTTTATATTTCCAACCCCCCAATTCCATCCATTTCTGAAAATTACAGCAAAAGCAAATGATGTATATTCCCTTTAAACGTGTACCAATTTTGGTAAGTTTACAGAAGTCGTCCAATGCCAGATGTGATTTGGAGTAAAATCTGAATGTGATGCTGATTTTCGGACAGCACTGTCATCTCCAAATATGTTGCTTTTTATGATTTTTTTTTCTAATGGTATACATACCAGTGATAGGATTCTGTGTACACTCTGGTCTTTCCACCCACAACTTGTAGTCGTTGTTGCTGAGGAAACGTTTGACCCCTCCACATTCCAGACAGGTCACCACAACGTGTTTCTGACGTTTGCCTGACCAAAAAAAACAAGATCACACAAAAAACTGAACATTTGGATCGCAAAAGATAGTACCACTAGTACATCGAATATCAGATTTTCTTTAGAAAATGAATAGCAATGATCCGTACCGAGAGAAGACTTTCATTTTCGCCAAATGTGTGAATAACAAGTTTGAGGTCGAAAATTTAGCCTTAAAAACTTCAGGTAGGTTGGGTTACCGTAAACAAATCATTCATTTGTGTACCAATCCAACCACAATCCGTGTTCAGACTAGTCTGAAGACTGAATCATACTTCACACAAATTTCTGTGCGAAGCAAATTCGTGAGGGTAATGGCAAACGTTACAATAAAACTTCCATTGTTGACGTCATGAAGTACGCCTCGTATGAAGTATGAACCGGCCTTAAAACAGACTAACCACAACCTGAACATCACATTAAATCACGACCCGGTCACAGTTTTGCTGAGGTTGGCAGAAAATAACCTTAAGCATATTGCACGGCATAGTCATACTAATGCTTTATTACCTAGGAAATTTCTGTTGTTGCATCGGTAATGCAACACAAATTCTGCCTTTGAAGTTACGGAGCATATTCTTTGCTACGCATACTGCATCTTGTTACAACCCAACTATAGAATCTTCCGAACTATAATTGGGACTATCCAAAGTACAGTCGGGACTGTCCAAACTGCAATTTGGGCCATTGCTGTAGTTTTGGGGGAAATAATCCCTGTGAAATGGACAGAGGCTCTGTTAGCAGAAAATCGTCTGCTCGGTGCTATGAAATTAGGGCTTGACCAAAGCCAAATCATTCAAACTGAAACTTAAACACACAAAATAAACACCCCAAATCTAAGAATGAAATCTTTGCTTGTATTTCCTCACCTTTGACCCTGACCTTTGAGGTCAAGCCTGGCACAAGCAGTAAGTCACATCGTTTGCAGACTGTTCTCTTGATATTGGGGTGTCTAAAGATAGAGAGAACACAGAACCATCCGTGGCAAAATGTAATACATTTGTACGTCTGAACCTCCAAGAAAACACAGCTTCTCTCCAGTTCAGTTTTAATCAAGTCCATCACAAAGTACAGAACTGAGTAAGGCCACAAATAGCAGGGGATGAACAATGACAAAGGAATGCCTTTAATTTTCACTGGACTGGACGTCACATACATTTGCTAGTCCAGGGTTTTTCAAGGGTGGGTGAGGCGTAGTCTGAAAATTTAGGACTCTCAATACTGTGTATGAGTCCCAAAACTTAAGATACATGTAGTAAAAACATGCAACACAAGAAAATAGACTGGCAGGCACATTAAACAACTGCATCAATCCATTGTGTCAAAAGAAGCATCTGGTACCTTGTCTATATTTCTTCATATTCTCTTCATAATCATACCACCAGACTACTGAATGGTCAATCTTTTTTATAAAGTTGGACATGTACCAGTCTAGTTAGGCTTCCAATTGAAATCACTCTCAGTTGAAAAATGTTTAAGAAAAGTCTGCTTTAAAAATTGAATTGAGACCTCAAACTTGGCTGGTGAAATACTGAGGACCCTTATGAAAACTTTGGAGAATTTTGTCAGCTAAAGAGTGAGTAAAGTTGGCCTGATTTTGTTTGGAATGTTTTTCTGCACTCAATGTTTCAGTCCGTTCCTAGTCTATGAAATAGACGCTTGCTGGCTTTGGCGGAATTTCTGCTCTAAATGACTGGCATGCAGAGTCGCATAAAATTTGCATGCTCGTATGTATCAGACGTAGTGTGGATACATGAACGTCTGATCCACAGACTAGGTTCTTACATTCTGAGGACAGCTTTCTTGGCTACGTTCTTCATCGTTGTGATGTAGAATCTAGCTAGCTTGGTATTCTCTGGGTTCTGAAGCAGCATACAGTGGGCTGCCTGTAAATGAAAACAGGTTGATGGAAAATTAAACAAGTTAAAAGATCATACTCTAACCATCTGCTTTAATCCTTCCATGATCCTTCACAGTCATGACAGTGTAGTCGAGTCCATCACAGGTCCAGAACGCGCAAAAATGTGAGACAAACAAAACTTTAACACATCATCAGACCCCCTAAACGACGTGGTACTATTTCGACAAACTTGCATTCAATTTGCGTTGGACAACGCGTGCCCATTGCAAGCGTTACCTGTGCCAATTTATATAGTGACTCGAGGATACACAAATTCCATAGGGTTGTCTGACATGTCCAAGCCTGGGCGTGGCTAACTCGCAAACGGCGATAGGTCAATCCCCTTCCCCCCTTTGAAAAAAATACTCACGCCCTCTTGCACCCCCCCCCCCCCCCAAAAAAAAAAATTGTTCTGGATCCGCCCTCGAAGCTGAATTTATTGACTTGTTAATGACTTGATTGCATGACTGACACAAGTCCACACGTCATTCACATTTCACACTGAAGTCCTCACAAGTTCAAGTTGTGAGGACTTGTGTCTTGTGATCATGAACATACACTGATCCTTCATCATCTGACTACGAACAAAACAACCACCTTTACTGTACAAGCTCTTTCCTACCTGATAGAGAAAGTTTATTCTTTGCAAAGCATCTTGGTTCGGATTCATGATTTATCGAACAGAAATATCGAGAGAGCACTCAGACGTACGACATCAGGACATGTCAGAGCAGCAGGTGCGCGTGTGTACAGAGCTCGAGCAGACGCCTCGCTTACCAACTATTTGTAATAGCGCCCTCTTTTGCCAAGTAAAAATGTCACGCCCCAACTATCGCATCGGTCCCAACTATAGTTGGGCCTGTCCCAACTATAGTTGGGCCTGTCCCAACTGTAGTTCCACAGTTGGGCTGGCCCAACTATAGTTGGGCCTGTCCCAACTATAGTTGGGACGGTCCCAACTGTAAGTTCCATTGTTGGGCCACTCCGATCTTTTTATTTTGCGGTGTCCCAACTATAGTTTACATTGATGTACAACCATAAAACGTCCCCTACAGCTCTGATACACGTCTGACTTTACTGGGGACCACTGAAATTAGCTATTGATGGGGCGAATCTATAGTTGGGCCACCCCAATCTTTTTATTTTGCGGTCCCAACTATAGTGTACATTGTTGTACGATTATAAAACATTCCCTACAACTCTAATACATCTGACTTTACTGGGGACCAATGAAATGATCTATGGGTGGGGACCATCTGTAGTTGGGCCACCGCAATATTTTTATTTGGCAGTCCCAACTATAGTTTACATTGATAAACGACTAAAAAACATTCTCTACAGCTCTGCTTACATGTCCGACTTGAGACCTTTGACATTAGCTATGGTAGGGGCCCATCTATAGTTGGCCGGCCATGGCAATCTTTGAATTTTGCAAAATGTTGCTGGATAATAAAACCCAGCAGCTGGACAACTCATCCAACTAGGCAGTACCACGTGACCGGCCAGCCTTGCGGCATGCATGCACGACGAATACACGTTGCCAGCGCCGCGGAACATTTAATCCAACTCCAGTCCTTACTATAGTTGGGACAGTCCCAACTATAGTTGGGACCGATGCGATAGTTGGGGCGTGACAAAAATAAATCATCTTGTTGTTTCACAACAAAATGTTTCCCTATATTTTTTTTTTTTAGTAAACTCGAATATTGTAATGATATAAAAGTCTCAATGTCATCTCTCATTTCAGTCTATATTTTTAGTTTTAGTATGTTATTGTTAATTTTGTTAACTTGAGGTATATAGTGATGATATTGAGAAAAAGTGGACTATTTCAAGTTGAGTCAATTTCATTTGGAGCACTACATACATAACGAAATGGCAGCGACCTTCGCGAAGAGAACTTCACCACTTTACCGGCGATTTTCAACTCTCTCAAAATGTGGTAAGAAACAGTCTTTTGTGTTGAGTTTGTATAAAATTACTTAAATAATGAGCTTGGGATTATTTTTAGATTATATTGACGGGAAACATAGTCACACTACGTGGTTTTGCTGACTAAAATACCGCATCGTCGAGAGAGAAGTTCATGCATCATGTTCACTTTTTTTTTTTATCATTTTGTCAAAACAATGCACGTACGGCACGTAGGCCATCATTGTTAACCATGTGCTTGAGCGAAGTGAAAGCTACAAACTACAAAGTGCGGCTGTTGTGTAGTAGAACCCCGTTCCTATAAGATAACGAAAATCTTTTAGTTGTAGCATGGAGCTATTCATCTAGATTGCTGATGACGTCATGTGGAAGGATTAATTTGGTGGACGTGGAGAGAGGGTAGGGTTTTGAATTTGGAGCGAAATTTCAACACGGGCGATAAAATAAAATTGGCTTCAGTAGGCCTATGTCAGTGCAGGCTGCAGTGCAATGTGACTTCCCTGGACTGCAACGATGCAGACGGTATAAGACAAGCATGACAATAACATCAGACAAGAAAGTCACAATTGTAACCAAAGTACTGTTTAAAACATTATAAAAACTAGGCAGTGTATATTTTTCCGGAGACGGCAAACCTTTAGTAAATGTTAGTTTGCCGGATATGCACTGAACATGCGCAGTTACTGTTTTTTTGTACTTAAACATTTTCCGGTGACAAGTTTTAGTCTGGCTCCATGCCAAAATTATCGTTGTTACCTCGTATTCACAAGATGGGATTCAGACCATTTTATAATTTCGGACTTTATTTCCCTTTAAAAAAAAATCCTCCAGAGCCACAAATCTGAAAAAGAAAATGTAATACTCTGCAAAAAATGTTTGAGACATGTTAAAATAATAAAAGAAGAATATTCTTATTTATTTTGGGATGAGAAAAAAAAACTTTAAAATGTGGTGCGGTCGGAATCGAACGCGAGTCATCCCGCTTTCGAAAGCCTTTGCTTAACCATTACACCAAACGTGCTACACAACTTTTGGTGGGAATTTAATACATCTTATAATTCAGCCCTATTTTAAAGAGTACAGTGCCCTCTGTTGATATGGATTGCCGCCGGCAAACCTTTAGTAATCGTTAGTTTGCCGTCATTACCTCCGGCAAAATATCCACTATCTAAAACCTAGGCTTATCAAGAAAGAAGATTGCTTGAGGTTGCACATGACAAGTCATTTTGGAATGATCGAAACACTCTTGATGACACGTAACTCGATTGATTACACATTGGACTACTGTGCTGGAGATCCGGGTTTGAAACTGCTGCCGGGCTGCTCTTTTTTTTTAAATAGTTTTCTGTACTTTCATGTTTTTAATCAAACCATTCTTTTTATTTAAGGCAAAATAAAAAAAAAAACATGTTTAGCGTCCTGCCTCTTTGACAAAAAGGAAGGAGGAGGCCCTTTTTTTTTTTTTTTTCTTTTCAAAATGGCCGCCCGACACATTTTTCAAGACAACGCGGCCGGGCTATTTTTCAAGATGGTTACCAGCTTTTTTTCAAAATGGCCGCCACTTGGACTCAGGAAATGACATATTGGCTTCTTATGGGCAAGATGCAACAGAAAATGAGACCAAAATGATGTAACTATGCAAAACCGAACATCTCTTCTGCGCAATTGCACCATATGACGTCACTTTAGCCTCTTGTGATGTCGCATTTATGGGAAGTGAATATTGTTTAGTGATAAAAGACAAAACAATAAAAGTAGCAAATGAAACAATTTTCATATCTTATATCCTTTAATATTAGCATTTATTTTGTCTTATCTTACAGATGATCTTACAGGAGAACAGTCCAAGTTCTTACAATAGGTCATGGCAAAATCTGTATTTGATTCTATCTTCATCACCCTTCTTACATTGCTCATCTAAATGATGTGGGTCGATCATAAATGCACCATACAGGTCACACCGAATTCCCATAGAAAAAAAGTGGGCCACACGTCATCCACGATTAAATTTGTTGGCGAGTCATGTACCGTACCCCATTTTCCCTATTGAAAAAAAAATGATGTGGGTCATGTACCCTTCACGCCACAACCTAGTCTAAAAAACCTGAAGTAGGTCACCCACAAAAATAAAACAAAAACATGATGTGGGTCATGTACCCGGCACACCACAGCCTATAGTCTTTCCATGTTTGAAAAAAAAAGACGTGGGTCATGTACCCGACACGCCATAGGCCTATCTACTACAAAATAAAAAAAACAGGCAAGTGTCAGCTCAGCCATGATCAAATCAACGACAGAAATTGCACATTTTCACAAAAAATAAAATGCATTGAATCTCTGGGGTGGTTGCCTTGCGACACCGACGGTCATGACCGTGATATGATGAACGATCATCAACTGGCATGACTGGTCAACGTGAAATGATTTGGTAGTGTCATGGTGTAAAAATATAGTACTGACGGTGACAACATGAAATCATGAAAATGTGTAAAATCTTTCACTGGGCTACGCTTCAACTGATGTTTATGAGAGAAAAAAACTTTGTACTCACCTGCGTTGTTTGATATTTGTCGTCAATTGGGTCTCTCTGATCAAATTCTCCACTCGAGAACTCGGCGAAAATATCACTGAGAGTCTGCCTGCCATCGACCACAGTACGTGCAAACCACGGCTTCACAACTTTTTTTTCCGTTCGAATCAACACACAAACAAACACCATTGTGTATCTCTGACCCTTGGCCAGCTAGGGAATATTTCATAAAAATACAACACGCGCGAAACAGCTGAGTGAACACGATGAAGAGGCGGCAGGTCATTTGCTTTCAATTTACACCGTACATCTTATTCTGCATGAATAGTCTCAAATCCAGCCGTTTTTATTTATATCACTGTAGACGTGCGCAGAACAACTGCACGCGGATGTACTATAAATTTTCAAGCGACTGTAAAAATGGTAATACGTTTACACGTACGCTGGTTTCCGTGTTCTCCTTGTCTTTCAACACTTTTCTATTTGCTAGTCCTGAGTTCTGAGATGTAGAGAACCAGTTAATATTTCACACGGGGTGAATGTATGATAGACTCTCGTGCAGACGCACGTGCTAATTGACTATTTCCACAGCTTTATACACGGTATAAAAGTCTAAAAATACGATTTCTTTCATCAGAGATCGTTAAAATTTATCAATTTTTGTCTTTAAAAAAAAAAAAAAAAAAAAAAAAAAAGGAGGCGGCCTCTAAAAAGGAAGCGGGCGGGGACGCTAAACATGTTTTTTTTTTTACTTCGCCTAAGTAGATTTCATTTTCTTCGTAGTAATCCGTGTCTTCGTAATCCGTGGATTTTTTTAAAAAGGGAAATAAAGCCAAGAACCATTTAGTTGAGTGATAGTCTGGTTCCAACAGCCAAAGATCCTGACGTTGAATACTATTGGGTCAGGGAACCAGACGGTTCCGTAACAATAGCAGATTTTCAATGGGCGTTGCAACACACAATTGAATGGGGGCGTGCATCATTGCATTCAAATGTGTGTTGCAATGCCCATTGAAAATCTCTCTAAGTGCAACTTTTACTTTTGGGGTTTCAGGAGCTTTTGTGCTTGTGCTCTTATTGTTTCTTACAGTGTTCCCAAGTGAGGTATCAAATTGAACTGGAAAGTTTCCCTGACAAAACGTAGATTTCAGATTTTTTTGTTCACCGAGAAATGTCCAAACAAGGATGATTATAAAAACTGCTTAGTTTCTGTTTGTGCCAGGTGTACATGTACATAGCCTGAAATTTCAATTTGGATCTTTTTTTTCACTCTGTGCATTCAGAACCATGCTATGTGTGCAATAGTTCCGGAGCTGGTAACCAACCAAGAATGACAATGTCTATGCATCAGTTTGCACTGAAGATTCTTCCTCGGTACTCTGCCTTGTTGAGCAGCTTTCTGCATGCTCAGACCAGGCGATCGGTGCACCTGTGCGCTTCAGTCACACAACGAGCTGGGAAAAAGAATCGAACAAAACAGGTGAGTGATTCATCACAAAAGGTCTTACCACAGTTGATTGGAAATTAATATAGAACTTGCCACAGGCCCACAACAGACTGGATGCACATTGCACAATAACCCCCTCAGTGCTATTTAATTTTAACACAAATGTGTCAAACAATGAATTAAAGAGAGTTCATCCAAACCGAATGGTTTTACTAAAACCTTCCATTATAGACCTCTTCATAATGTAAATGTTCAAAGTATGTGAATGAATTGAAACTTATAAAGCATTGAACAAAAATGTGATGACCATCAATTTCTGGCCTATTTACAAACAGGTTACAAGCAAGTATGCCTCCTCAGCCGTCAAGCCGTATCCTGTCCCAGCCAGCCACCCTGACCCACACCCATCCACGTCTGACCAAACATCCGTCCCCAAACCCACCCAAGACTCCCCCGACCGGTCCCCAGCCGACTGGTCCCCTGCCATCCAGGACCTCAACCAGCGAGTGGAGACGGCCATACAGAGCACCGTGGACCAGGTCACCCCTTGCCCCATTGAGCCCAAGGACGGGAACAAAGGGGAGGAGAAGGAGGCGGAAGGGGTGGCGGAACCCAGCCTGGGTCAGTGGAGGGAACAGAGAGTGGGGCTGGGTCAGCTTCCCTCCTTGTATCTACAGCTGTCAAAGAGCAGGCTTACAGGTGATGAAAAGGAGATAAATCCTTGTATATTAGATTCATGATTCTTGGTTGGTTCTTCTCCTAAGGACTCCGCAGGTGAGTTTTAACAGAAGGCCAGAAACACAAGGGCAAACCACTTCTCTTTAAGCGATAAGTGTTACTGGGTTCTTTTACGTGCATTGCATTACAACACACTGGACCTACGGCTTTACGTCCCATCCGATGGACGAAGCAATAATGGTTAAGTGCCTTGCTTAAGGGCACAAGTGTCCACCCGGGCTTGAACCCACGTCACTGTTGCCTCTGAAACACCAGAGCATGAGTCGGTGTTCTTAACCGCTAGGCCATGACACTCCATCGCTAGGCCATGACTTTCCATCCATTCAAACTATGGCCTCTAATCTTATGAGTTGAGTTTGGAATTTTTTCATTCAATTTTTGTTAAAAAATGCAAAGTGCCATCTTCTGTTCCTCTAGGCATAGCGTATGTAACCCGTTGTTTTCAACTGTTCAGGTTTGGTAGTCATCTCAGCGTTGGCTGGCTACGGCATGGCACCGGGCGTGTTTGAGCTATCAACGTGTGCTCTGACAGCACTAGGGACCTTCTTGACGTCATGCTCAGCAAACACTGTCAATCAGGTAAGCTAAACTATTTGATTGATGTAACATCAAACAAGGAGATTGGGCCCAAGACCTCCAACTGAACTATTCTGTGAAATTTTGGTTACAGAAGTGAGCAGACAGCGGGCCAGAAGCTATATTTTTCCATTTGCGGTTTTTGATTGAAAAAGTTGGTCAACGTTTTGCCTTCTTGTGGTTTTTAACCTTTGGCTCGGCCCATTATTGGTGACCAGGCCCTTAGCCTGGTTTAAACCCCACGTTTATAACTGCTCCATCATACTTTTATCCACCTTCTATTATTACAATTAGTGTTCTTAAAGGGAATATATTTCATTTGCTTTTGCTGTAATTTTTAGAAATGGATGGAATTGGGGGGTTGGAAATATATAGCAAATATAGTTACACTGACTTTTTGGAGGTTTTGGGTTCGAAAATGCTATAAAAACCAAGAAAAACAATCATTTTCCTGCAGTCTGGTTCCCTGACTCCATTAAAGAAGAAACAGAGCAGTTTCAAATATATTGGGGAATTGTAAGGTCAGGGAACCAGTCTAGCTGGCTTGTACCCGTTCATAGGTGTGTAATCGATTGCAAACAAGTGCGATGGTCAACTGGGGCCAGTATTTGAAAAAAAGCCAGTTTTTTTCAACGCTGATCGGCCGATCAGCGTTGGAAATTGATACAAAAATACCACTTTTCTTGAAAATGACAGTATACCAGGTGCCATGATTTTACAGGATGCTTTACACTGTCATTCACTAACAGTCCAGCAAGGTATTTCAAAATGATTTGGTAGTTTTATTTTTTGATGTTTGCAAATTTTCCGTTTGTATTTTCCCTTTAAACTAAAATATCCTAGCAAATATTTCCGTTTCTTCACCTTTCCCCATACTCTCGCACCGGCGTAAGTAATGGAATATTTTCTTTGATGTTCATTGCTACTCAAAATGTAACGATTAACAACAGAAGCATTCCCCTCTTCCTGCAGTACTTTGAGGTTCCATATGATTCGCAGATGGCAAGAACGAGAAACAGGGTCCTTGTCAAGGGTCTTCTGAGGTAAGGAAATGATCAAATGAACTTTAAAAAAATACTTTTCAAAAGAAGATTGGTGATTTTAAGTGTTTGATTTGATTAACATTTTCAAATCTTCCTATGTCCTTTGGATCCTTTCATCTCATTTACCTATCCTTAAAAATGTGTAAGAAATAGAGATGACCAGCTTTACATTTTAAGAGGAGCATATCAAATTTTGCCCGTACAAATTTCCCATGGAGAGGCGTAACGGGGGTGGACACGTTTGTCACAATTGTGTCCATCCCTGTGCCTTTTCACTATGGAAGGTTTGTACAGGTGGATCTTTGCTTTGATATTTTGATCGTTGCCATCTCTTCCTGAACTTCTTAGTGATATTTTAGCTATTTGGAATATGAGAGGTCGATTTCTAAATTTTGTTCCCTTTTTTTCTCAAGAAAGATCCATATACCGGTTAATGGCTTTTGACTAGCGCCTCTTGGACAAAGATATTGACAAACATACATGCTGGATAGCTCAGTTGGTAGACCATCGGAACGGCAATCTAAGGGGTTCAAACCCCGCCCCAGTCAATTTCTTTGTTCAACTGTGAAAAGAAATTATTGAAATAAAAAAAGATCTTCTAAGAAACTTCTTGTTGAGGTCTTCACTCTTAAACAGTACTGTTTGAGAGGTAAATTACTTTAACATTATTGTGTGAGTGCCAATGGGTTAAAGACGTGTTAAGATCAATCCAAGCATTCACTTTCTCATCCCAGCCCTCTCCATGCTGTCGGCTTTGCCTCGGTTGTCGGCACAGCGGGAGTCGGCATCCTAGCCCTGACTGTCAACCCCCTAGCCGCAGCCATAGCCGCTAGCACCTGGGCCCTGTACGTGGCAGTCTACACTCCCCTGAAGCGGCTTAGCATCGTCAATACCTGGGTAGGGGCTGTGGTCGGTGCGCTACCACCTGCAATAGGATGGGCTGCTTGTACTGGTGCGCTGGAACCAGGTGTGTAGGACTTACTGATAAAAAAATATAGGAGAACAATAAAGTCAAAGATATTCTCAGTTCAACATTTTCACTTTTTTCCAAATGGATATAAACTGTTTTAGAAATAAACCTTAATAGAAACGAGGCGTTGTGATCTTACTGATCTAAGTACTTAGGCTTTTAAGAATTTGGACTCAAGCAAATACTTGTGAATTTCTTGTATTCATGGCAGGTTGTATCTGTTAAGCCCATACTAAGGACTTCCCAAATCATAATTGGGATTTACCCATTTAGGCGTGTACGACTACTCGCCAATACTAAAAAGCATTCATAGTCGCGACTATAAATTTCTAACTTATAGACTAGTCGTTATGCCGTGACTAATCTCTCGAATATTGAAATTAGTCATGCCTATTGAAATTCACTAGTCACGCACGCCTCAAAATCTGTAATCCAAGTAATTAAAAAAACGACCCAATAAAGAGTGATAAAAGTGTATTTTCTAATTTAATCACTCATAGCCGAGTAAATCAGGGTTATACAATGAATGATATGTAGACACATATGATTCGGTAAATTACTTTGAAAGTGCATCAAAGGCTTAATGCTTTGTAGGACCCAGACATTATTCATGTGCAGGGCCCTGTTCGGATTGAAAACACCCCCAAAACAATGTGGAACCAGCGCAACTAGTAGTGACTGTTGAAATTCACAAGGCGCTGACGCCTATACCCAATCATAGTTAGGACTTCCCAAAGTAAGGGGGGGGGATCTACCCTAATATAATTGGGGCCATTACTTTAGTTGGGGCATAACCCCATATCAAACACGCCTATTCCTACTTATTCACAGAACCTAGTCGTCACAGCCTTGGTGCTTAGGCCTCGTTCTAAATACCACTTGGGGACTCAAAAATGAGTTTTGTGAAAGAAAAGAAAATATTACAACTTGCAACATATTGAACATATTGGGAATTGATGACTAAAACAAAATAAATGGAAAAAAATGTTGCAACCTGACGCCACTTTTTCTTCATATATCATCTCATTGAAGGTCAGTCATTGCAGAAATGATGATAAGACATGAATCTGGGACTGAGAAACATTTCCAATTTTGTTAGGAAATACAAATTTTTGTGACTCTCCATAGACTTTGTACACAACCACTGAAGTGGCGCTGGTTGCAACATTTTTTCCTAATAAAATGCTGACCTCAAGTACCGTTCAATCGATCATGCAGATATCAATTGCGTAAATTCTAACATGGGAGTCTGTGACTAGTCCAGTCAGTGCTTGGTGCCAAGATGTTCACATAAAAAGTAAACATGAACTGGCAAGACATGCCTGCTGTATTTAACATAATGGCAATTCCTCTGTTATGAAATGCTTTACAGGCGCACTCCTGATGGCAGGATTCCTGTATTGCTGGCAGTTCCCACACTTCAACGCCCTGAGCTGGAATCTACGCAGTGACTACTCCCGAGGGGGCTACCGCATGATGGCTACCACCAACCCTTCCCTCTGTCGTCGCGTGGCCCTGCGTCACTCCCTAGGCATGCTGGGACTCAGTACCCTAGCTCCGGTAATAGGTTTGACTACTTGGACGTTCGCCCTGGACTCTCTCCCCCTAAACCTCTGGCTGGTTCACCTGGGCTGGCGGTTTTATCGGAAGGCAGACAGCCAGTCGGCCAAGCAGCTCTTCAAGTTCACCTTGTTGCACCTGCCGCTGCTTATGCTGCTGTTGCTGATCAGCAAGAAGAGTCTGCACCCGGATCAGGCTCTTGAAGGAGTTGCAGCGACTTTATGATGATGTCATCATGATGTCGTCATTTCGACAGCAAGTTGGACAGGCAGCTCTTCAATGGTTGTACCTTCCGTTGCTTATGCTGATGTTGTTGATCATCAAGAAGAGTCTGCACCTGGATCAGGCTCTTGAAGGAGTTGCAGCGAGTTGCATGATGTCATCTTGATGTCGTGATTTAGACAGCAAGTCGGAGAAGGGACTCTTCAAGTTCACCTTGCTGCTGTTGCTGCTGCTGCTGCTGTTGATCAGCAAGAAGAGTTTGCAATGGTGACATCATCTTTCAGACTTTTAAACCTTTTTCATGTATATTTCTACGGATGTGCAATGTCATGGGTATTCTTTGACATAGGCTTCCCTGTCAGTGTATAGGAGGTAATAATCTTTCATTTTTTTTATACTGTGTGATCACATTTTAGAATTTGCTAATTTTGCCGTGATCTGATCAGTTACAACAATTATATTAATTATGCTTCAATATGTCACAACTTCCAGCCAATGCATATGTTTATTATGTTGATTTATATTATCCCATTACTTCCCCGGCCCTGTACCGCCCAAAGCGCCCCACTAATTACTCCTTAACCGCCCAAGTGCACAATTGCTTTCTGCATTCATCAAGGAGTAATACAATGTACCTCTCCTATGCAAACACATTCTGTGCAAAGTTGTCCTTTTAGTCAAAATCAATCAAGTGTCCCAGCCTACATAAAGCAGGATTGACTGGCTGTGACTGTTTATGGAACTTGATACAGCTATGCTTTGACTGTAGGTGATTGACAATGATAAGCCAGCTGTGCCTACCATTTGACTGCTTTTGTCGTTGACTGAATTTGACTAGTCACAGTGCTTGCTGGAAATATGATCTGACTGTTTGTGACTAGGCCCTGTGTAAAAGGCATGGCAGGGGCAGAGGATTGACTTTGTTGACTGTCTGTGACTGTTCAGACAGCAGGAGGGTTACCATAATACAATGTAATACAATGTAATACAGTGTAATACAATGTAATACAATGTAATACAATGTAATACAATGTAATACAATGTAATACAATGTAATACAATGTAATACAATGTAATACAATGTAATACAATGTAATACAATGTAATACAGTGTACAGTCGAGTCTCGTTATAACAAACTCGTTCGGACCTAGCCAAATTGTTTGTTATATCAGAATTTTGTATTAAGAGGAACATCAGTCCCATTCATTGTGCATATAAATGCACAGTTGGGACCAAGGCTTTATGTTTGTTATAACCAGAATTTTGTATTAACAGAGTTTGCACTAACGAGAGTCGACTGTAATACAAGGTAATACAGTGCAATACAAGTACTTATGGGTTAATATTATTCTGGTTGTTCCTTCACAGGACAGATACCTCCAGCATTTGCACCAATATATACCAGGTTTAAAAGGTGAAGGTACTTAAATTTTGCAATTTCAAATCTACTGTGTGTAAATATATCAGATTCTGAAATGGTCATACCAGGAGGCCTGTGTGGGGCTTCATATATCTGCAATTTTCAGCAGACAACTGTTGTACATATCATTTTTATCTAGCATTCATAAATACCTGAGGCAGTTTTTAATATTAGTATTATTTATTTCTAGTAATGAAACCAAGGATTCCTCAAAAGCGCCCTAGACACTGTAGAGAGGAGACAATGAGAAGAAATTTAAGTTTTAGAGGCAGGAGGAAACCCCAGAAGAATATTCTGGGGAAAACCCACGAATCAGGCAGGGACTGAAAACCTAATCCACATATTGGCCCAGGCGGGATTCAAACCCGGGTCACGGTGGTGGAAGGCAAGGAAAGTACCACTATGCCAACCTGACTCCTCATTCCTATTGGTCAAGAGCCCATCACATGGGTGGTTTTAAACCACAATGTGTCTTTTAGAGTTATGTTAATGCTTTCAAACAATTCGTCAGTAATTTATAATTTGGTAAAAGTGTACTTCATGACCCTTCGTTTCTTAAGTTCTAAAACTGTTGTTATTGCTCCAAAATGACTTATGCAACCTCAAGCAATCTTCCTTTGCCTTAGTTTTCAAGATTTTCAACAGTATTTTGACAAAAAGAATGACTTAATTATCAAAAAAAAATCAAGTTGATGCCGTGGGCATCAACGCATTGTGTCTGAGCAATAGCATCACGCATGAGCAGGCATCTTCATATTGGTGTTGTGGTGGTGTTGGTTTTTTGGTGTGGTCATTTTCATCATTTTACCTCATAAAATCCATAATACCGCCCTCTCTCGATGACACTCCTGTTGCTTTTCAACATCGCCAGGTATCTTGGCGAGTCCAATAACATAAAAAGTGGATTTAGTTGTCTTACAGGAAAGGGGTCCCAAAGTACACTTTTGCCCTTCATTTCTCGCGAAATCTACTAATCTTGATTATAAACCTTTACTTCATTTTCCATTTTTGTGAGAATCTTTCCTAATTCAAGAAGGTGATTTGAGAAATGTTTTGAGAGTTTGAGTTCAAGGAAAGCTTTTTGATCAGGCAGAATTTGCAATTCAAATTTATAGAACTTTACCTTCTTTTCAGTTTCTATTGGGATAACTGGTCTGATTGTAATGCAACAAAGGGACTAATCCAGAGTTTTTAAGGGAAAAAAAGTAGTGTCATAATCTGTGGTTGGTGTATTATAGGTTTTCCCGGCCAATTTCCTAAAATGTTCATTCACTTCTGAAAATCGGTCATTCATTTTCGTCTTAATTTGAAAATCGCCCTGAATAGGCGTTTCGTTTTTGCTACTGGAGCATTCGATTCCATTTCAGTTCAATCAATTGAGTGATTGAGCAGCACCTTTCGTTTATGCTCATTCAGATTCGTTTACAAGACTTCTATTTTGCTTTTAGAGGGAGATTTCAAACATTCACCATTCTATTTCACTTTTAGTTTAATGCCATCGGCACCAGATAAAATTAGTGGTTTCTTTTTCATTAACCATCAATCAAATTAGCTATACCTGAAATCAATATAGAAAAAGTATGCTTGCGTAAATGAATGCACATGTAACGTAATTGGCCGTCTGTTTCTCAAAACCGAATGCACGGACAATATAAACGACTGAACTTTCGTTGAATTGAAATGGGATTAAAGACATGCATTCAAATTCAGACGGAAATGAATGACTGATTTTCAGAAGTGAATGAATATTTCAGGGAATTGGCCGGGAAAACCTATATTAATGTTTGTACATAATTGCTAATGTGTGCCTTCACCAGCCTCCATGCACTTGCCAGTGGGCCTTGGTTGTTATGACCAGTATGTATTCATATTGAATACAAATAGATTATTGGACCTTTGCATGTTTTCTCAAAGCAGACTGTTGCAAATGGTCCGAGTTCAACAGTACAAGAAAGCACTATGTGAATTGCGGTTTTAAGACCAGATATGAATGCATGTTGATATTGGTTTCAATTTAGCAATTGAAAGTATGAATAAATAACCTTTCAAATAAAAATTTGAGTTTCATTGTCCCCGTTTGTCCTATCGAATAACGTAAACACGGCCTTATAGGCATATAATGTATTTTGCATTTTATTCATTTTGCTCGTTTTCCAATAATAACACCACTCTAAATCCAAAGAAGAATGTTCAAAACCAAACCTGGTGAACTTTCAGCTCAGTGTATTTTACGCTTTTCGAGAAATCAGTAGAAAAGGCATGCTCAACATTTTGATGACGAAACAGGATTTCGTCCATAGCACTCTTTATTTCAAAAATCAGTAAATTGACTGAACGTTGTGAAATCACATACATTTCTTGATGATTTTTTTGTTCATGACAGCAAGCCAGATGGAATAATTTCACAGGGTGTTTGAAGCGCCTTGAGCGTCAATTTTGACGGATTTGGCGCTATACAAGAATTAGATATTAGTTATTATTATTATTAGTCAGGGGTGTGAACTCTCAGTTTAAAAGCTGATTTCAGCTTTTTTGTTTTGGATTTCAGCTTTTTTCCCCTCACTTGCTGTGTACAAAAGTATAGCAGATTTCCAAAGCTCAGCTTTTTACACCTTTTTCAGCTGTTTTCAGCTATTTTTATCAGTGGTCACTCACACCCCTGATTAGTGCCAGTGCAATCTTTAATCCAAGTCTTAAAACTAAGGTTTGTGATAACAATTCAGTATATTACTTTTGGGATAAATGCAAATGATCCTATGTGCCTAAAGGGAATGTACAACATTTGCTTTTGCTTCAATTTTCAGAAACAAATGGATTTGGAGGATTAGTATGTTATAGCAAATATTGTTAATATGACTTGTTTCACGTTTTAGGCTTGTAGATGCTGGAAAAATTAAGAAAATCATTCATTTTCTTGTAGTCAGGTTCCCTGACCCCACTTAAGATGAAACGGAGAATTTATAGACTTTGGGGGAATTGTAAGTTCAGAGAATCAGTCTAGCAGGCTTGTACCCCTTCACAGGCGTGTAATCAATTGCAAATAGTTTTTGCAGTTTTTGCAGCAAAGAGTTTGCAAGCAGTTTTTGAAAAAAAAACAGTTTTCTCCAACGCTGGTCGGCCGACCAGCGTTGGAAATATACAATTTTTCTTGAAAATGTTGGCACACCAGGAGCCACGATTTTACAGGACGCTTTTAGACTGTCATTCCCTAACAATCCAGTAAGGTATTTTGTGATAATTTGATCATTTCGTTTTGAGATGTTTGCAAATGTTGTATCTTCCCTTTAATAACGATCGAAGTAAAAGCTTATTAATGGAGGGGGGAAACACATTGTCCATGTAGCTGGTGCTAAAGCGTTTCTCGCAAATTACGAGCATGCAACTACACGTTCTGCAATTTGACGAAATCGGTACATACTTATGGATGCTATACAGCGCGGGAAAATGTAACCATCATTCCTTCGAAGATAATTTACATCCTTGCAGTAACAACTCTCTAGCGTCATCAATCAACTTGGCACGAAACATACCCGTCTTGCGCAGTGCGCCAGGCAATTAACCAAATTAAACCATCCTCTTTGTCATTATGATTGCATCCCCTTGAGAAGTCATCACAATAATGTATCGATGCGGTTGTTTCACCTGATCACCTGTTGTTCTGTCATTAGTAAAATTGCCTTAAGATCGTGGAAACTTGCCAACTAGCGCTGAAAATGCCAAGCTTGGGTCGAAGAACTTACTACAATGACCAATCGACCAAATGTAGGAAAACCGGCATTGGAATTTGGAGGAATAACAAAGAGGCACTTCACGAACATGTGGATGAAGATCTTGAAATTATCGTGAATGGCATATTACATGTATTTCAACAGCTATTTAAAAAATATTGATGTCATAAATAGTTTTAAAATAGCTGTCGAAATTGTCAAATTTGAATTTTGCACACTGGTCCGTTTTTTTAAATTTGTTTCCAACAGTGCACGTATTTTTCAGCTTGGAGGATTTTTTTTACATCCTATAATAAACAACACCAGTTACCACACATTACCGGAACGGGTTATTTTGCAAACCGTTATTCGAATTTTAGACATTTCGTCCCCGGGAAATTGCAGACATTTGGAAGGTACCACCCCAGCGTTTAAATACGTTCGTCCACAAAATTACGCTCAAACCCTCTTTACCAGTGTTGGAGCCACGCCCCTCATAATTCTTCTCATAGAATAATTGGCTGCTTGCCCTGGCGTTTAAACTTTTTTTAGAGCCTGAATCAGGTAGCCTATTACCGCAGTTTCATAATTTTAGCCTTGTGCATATCATTATACGATTGCAGAATCTTTTGTAGCCGTCCGTGAGATTTCAACAGGTTTTTCGTCAAGCGTGGATGTTTATGACGCGCACAATCATAACAGCAATTTGATTCGCACCGGTGTGGCGAATCACCGTTGCCATGGCAATGAAATGGGAGAAGAGATGCCGCCAAAAGCTAACAAGTCTCCTCCGTGAGCTCGACTGGATGGAAAAGCCGACGGCTGTTTTATGCGCAACGTAACTTAGTGGGGGCATCGATGAGGAAAAAGTCCGCTCCCAGGGATGGCCAGATCCACCCATCTCTCTCTTTACTGGATAACGAATGTTCATTACGGCGTACGTTATAACTTATGACTTATCATGTCGCTTTTTGACCAGTTCGCCCCGACCTAAGGTTGCAGACTAAACTGCCATAAAACCCAATGATAAAACGCCCTCTTCCGAAATTCAGGAAAAAATACTCACAAGTCTCTGAGGTGTTTGAGACGCCCATCAACTTAAAGCTTATTTTCATCATCTTTCATTTTCTGTTCATTTTCTGGAGGGATTAACAAATGACTTTTGGGAGAAAATCCCATCCAAAGATAGATGATCATCCCTGAAAGGGGGCTTTCATTTTTACGCACAACCAAATCCGCCCTGGAGGGCCAATTTCTGTTAAGAAATAATTTAATAACTAAACGTCGGTGGATTTTTTTCGTTCGATGTCTCATTCAAAAGCTAGGAAAAAAGACATTGAAAAAAAATTTCTAATTTTTTCGGGTATAGTCCTACGGGAATAAGTAAGAAGAAAATACTGCTTATCAAAATTCCTGTATTTCTCAACCAGTGGCGTAGCCAGGGGGGGGGCGTGGGGGGGGGGCGACAGCCCCCCCCATGAAACCTCGTCGCCCCCCCCCCCCCCAGTCGCCCCCCCCCCCTCCCCACACTGAGATTTTGAGTTTCTAAAACAAATTATCATTGATCTACATGACGCCCCCCCCCCCATGAAATGTTCCAGCGCCCCCTCCCCCCCCCACCCACCCACTGCAAAATTCCTGGCTACGCCACTGTTCTCAACATATTCTCGATTTATCAGTTAAAAAAAAAGAGGGTGGAAGCCGTGCACAGGACTACGAGCTCGTATGTCTGTGAAATTCGGATGAAATTGTACCCTAAAATTGTTCTATTTTGCAACGGAGCGCATGCATCATTTTTCAAAATGGCGTTGGTCTACAGGACTAATTTCGGAGGGTTTCAGACTCCCAAAATCGGGAAATGGCTGTGGTTTCGTTAAAACAAAACATACACATACACATTTCGTTAAAACAAAACATAGGCCTACACATTGAAAATTGGTAGACAAAATTATGCATCTTTGATACCTCCATGAAATTATCCCCACGAAAGTTGGCCTATCCGTCCTTTCATAAATTAAACCTGCCCTCCTCCGGCCCTGTAAGATCCGCCCACTTTTTTATTTAAATCTCTACTTCCGTTTTTTTCTTTCAAAATGCAGACATGAAACAGTACTTGTTTGAAAACCGCCCTTGGTTGGCGGGTGCAAAATCGATACCCTATTGTCTTGATTCGTGCGCAGAACGCAAGCAATATTAGTTTTTGGCTGGATGCAGTCTGCGGCACGTACTAATTACAAAGACGAGAACTTGACGAGTGGCGTGTTAAACATAAAACTCTCCAGCCAGCATCAATCTTCGCTTCTTTGGTTTTGGATTTTTTTATGGCCGTTAAAAGACACATTTATATTGGTTTGCAATGATGTGGGATGAGACTTTACTGCCTTGTCTGCTGCTAATTTGGGTAAGTTATTTGGCATTAAATTCAAAAGATATTTGAATAACATTCGTAATACTGTACACTCTAAAAACTGAAGAGTTGAATTCAACACTTACATATGCTCGGTCAGTGCAACAATTTCAAAGTGTTAAAATCCAGCATTTTAAATGTTAAATCCAACACTTAAAATGTTAATTCAACATTTTAAATGTTGATTATGTTGATTCAACACTTTCAAAGTGTTAAAGTTGAAAAATGTTGAATCAACTCTTTACAACATTTAAAATGTTGAATTAACATTGCAAGTGTTGGCTTTAATATTTAAAATGCTGGATTTAACACTTTCAAAGTGTTGCACTGACTGAACACATGTAAGTGTTGAATTCAACACTTCAGTTTTTAGAGTGTAGTTGTATAAAACATGTTGAAGAGAACTTGTAAAAGTCAAGTTTTGATAATGTTTGTATTGTGTTTGGTAATGATAAATTACGACATTAAGTCCATATGCAAATGAAATATTGCATATCAAACGTCATAGATCAACTGAGCCAAAGGAACCACCGATATACATTACACCCTAAAAAAAAATTGCTAGAAATATATTGCTAGAATTGGTAGATATGTGTCCAACCAAACCAAGATTGGTTGGACACATAACTACCAATCAAACCAATATATTGGTTATTTCAACCAATGTGTTCAAAGGACGTAAAAACAAATAAGTGATGGATTGACGTAGGACCACTATATAGGCCTACTTTTTTAGCTATTCTTGATAATAAAACAGAAAACTTTTGTTCGATTAATGCTAAAATTGCCGTATTAACGAGATGTTCATGATGAAATTTGAGTGAGTCCAACATCAACACTTTTCGTGAAACCAACGTCTGGGAAAAAATATCAATGGATGGGAAAGATCGTGAAATAATTCATAGCACTGGGAACAATTAAATTGGCACTTTAGGCAAAACTTTATGGGATATGATCATGCAGCAAATCTGAGAGAAAGCGCAAAGTAACCAGCAGGTCGCACGTGTTAAACTGATACAGAGACAAAACTATGAATTGTATCCGTTCTTGTCGCGTCGAAGTAGCAATGCATTATTGTTGAAATTAGATGGGCTAAAACTGGTGTAATTTTGTATTATACAACGATCCTTTCATTTCATAATTCACACTTTGCGGGTTTACATCACTAATCTGATAAATATAATAAAGGCCTACTTCCACCCCCCCCCCATATAAAAAAGAGTCGCGCCTACCAACATATTCAAAACTGTTATCAATATTTAACCAATGTTTTTGGAACTTTACGTTTCTAAATGTTAAACGTTATAAAGTAATTTATTGTCCCAATGTTTGCACCACTGCGTTAAAAACGTTTGCTTTCCTAACATAAGTGGACTAAACTTAGAAAACAAAACATTTTCCGTATGTAATTTACACTGACATTCTGATGATTTCTATGCTTCGCAAGCTGAAGAAGAATTAATATAAAGTTAAATCATTATTTTGTATTAATTTTGTATTTCCCTCCCATTTCTTTGCAGTTTCTGACTGGGAGTTTTGTAGGTAAGTACGTCATAAAATGCGAATAACAATAACCACAATTTCATCTGAAAATAAATATGGTTAGCCAGTGGTTTCGGGGCGCGGCGTAGCGCCAAAAAAAAAAGAAGTTTCACATTGCATGCACTAAAATTACCTCTATCTAAAAAGCGTCATCGCACCAAAAACGTTCACTGTACAGGGTGAATTAAAAAAAATGGTGCCCCCGATTTTTGAAGAAGTTCTACATAATGCTTTCCAGATTTAGGACATGAAAGCCCAACTAATAAGCTTTCTTTTAGTGAAAGAATCATTCAAATCACTCATGTACTTTTCCAGTTATGGCATTTTGAACACAAACACCGTTTTTGAACCTTGTCCACTGATCACTTTAAGGTACGTGATATTTCAGTAACAATGAAACCAGTCGTATCCTGAAAATGATATCACAAATAATCCCATGGTCTCCGGGGTAGCCAGGGCAAGACTATAAACTCTTGACATTATAAAGCATTTTATGTTAACGTTGGACGCAGCAGGTTTTTAAAAAATGTTATTATTTGTGCCAGTTACCATGGTTATGAGAGTGTTCTGATGTGTGTTTTTTTTATATGTGAATAGTTTTCGTTTTGCTGAAATATCAATTACCTTTAATGTGATCCGTGTTTATGGACAAGGCTTTAAAAAACGGTGTGTTCAATATTCCATAACTGGAAAAGTACATGAGCGATTTCAATGATTCTGTTACTAAAAGAAAGCTTATTAATTGGGCTTTCATATCCTGGATCTGGAAAGCGATACATGCAGAAATTCTTCAAAAAATCGGGGGCTCCATTTGGGTTTTTCCTCTCTTTTTTTTTGTTAACTTACCTTGTATAAGAAGCAGATAAACGTTAAAGTTGCATTCCCGTGTTCTAAACAAAAAAGGCTTTTTTTCTGCTAACTAAATTTTAATTTGTATGTTTTGTTTTAACGAAAACGGTGGATTTTTGTTGGGGGGGTGGCTGCAACTCTCTAACAAAAAAAAAGAAGCAGGGCTTTCATTTCGCGCACAAATGAACCCGCCCTACGAGAGCAGAATGTTTTTGTCTGGCAGACAATAATTCGAATTTTGTGAAGAACTAACTCAATAGCCGAAAAACAATCGATTTTGTTTTCGTTCGATGTCTCACTCAAAAGTGAATAAAATTTACACTGCTTGGAAAATAACAATTTGTAAAAAAAACCTATTTTTCGAGGTGAAACCCGAAAATAGCACAGTAAACTATCTTTAAATCAGAAGTCAGAATTGTTCCGCGCCTATCATTCTTAATACCAACAGGGATATGTGCAAGTTTTCTTCTGGCAAAAAGTGCAGTTTTCCAGTGAAGATAGTTGGAACGCGGGTTTTTCTAGCAACGCATGAACAATTCGAGCGCATAATGATGCAGGCGCCTTTCTCACGGGGATTCTATAATTTTGCCAAGTGCAAAATGTTCGGCTAAACAGCTACAAGAGGAGGCGAACTTGCAAACTTGACGGTCAAATAATTTATTGTGCAATGTCATATGGATTTTGAATTTGAATTTAGATTCGCACCAATGGAATTTCAAACAAAGTGCTTGAGAATGTAACCCGAATAAGATCAGCCACGTTCCCAATTGTATACTTTGGCATTAGAAGAAAAAAAAAAACACGAAAATGTGATCACCTTTGTGGCCACAATCCGTCCCCGCCCTCCATTTCTAATGTAGCACCATTTCTATTAAAAATATTCGAAAGCGCTGTACAATGCAATACAGTATTAGAAGTTTTAAAAATGTAATTAAAACATTAATAAGAGAAGATTATTTAACCCTAAAAGGGCCAGGAGCGGAATTCGCCCCCCCCCCCCCAACTTTTTCCGCGATAGCCTTAAAAAATGTTTTTTTCGCGACCCAAGCTGTTATGAATTTTTAGACTCGAGCCTTGCGCATCTTTTGATACCAACAGAATAAAAATCGGACCTAATTCTCCGGCGCTACGCGCCGTGAAAACTGAATTTTCCCATATACGTCGTGTAGGCCTACAAAGAGCAGAATTACCATTCGTACATATGTATAATTAATTAGCCATAATTCAAAAGCCCTTTGACCTATAGTCTTGAAATTTCTTGGGTGTAGTCATGATTAGTTGCTCTATGCATGTACCGAGTTTCAAAATTTTTCGTCACTCGATGGCCGAGATCTTGGGGGGGGGCAGAATCCCCCCCCCTCCCCGGCTGAGAAATGGTCAAAATAACCCGGCCCTTTCAGGGTTAAAAAAAAAACGACAAGCACTAAACTAGCAAAATTATGAGTCACCAGGGCATATAAAATTGTAATTCATTGTTGCTCTAAGAGATGTGTCTTGATTGCAGACTTGAACTCATCCTCATTTGTACTTCTCTTCAGCTCGTGTGGTAGCGACGTTCCACAAAGTCGGTCGGGCAATAACAAAGGCACTGTCATTCAGTTTATAAGATGGAATTTAAACGTCGGTGAAGGGCAAAACCTAATTTGAGTCATTCAGTTTATTATAAGATCGAGGTACAGAAAGTTACAGAGACAGAGTGTCTTGTCTACGTAGGCCTAAGCCTACTAGGGAGAACAAGAAGAACAGTTCAGTTCCTAAGCCTACTAGGGCCCCCATGGAGAACAGTTCATTGACAACTGATGGGGCTACCCTGGTAAAATAACACGAAATAAATAAATAAATAAATAAATAAATAAATAAATAAATAAAAATAAGCACAACGGGACTTTGGAGACTCCTTTTTGCAGAGCGGGTCACAAATATGCTAGAGTGCCTTGTTCCGAAACACCTTGAAATCAAAAAGCAAAATTTTGAACTGGACACGCGCATGAACTGGAAGCCAATGCAAATCTTTTGTCGTCTAACATTTTCTGGAAGTCAGCTAGGAGTGTCATCTTTGTAAGCTATATCTGACCAACCGACCGACGGCGGACCAACCGACCAACCTGACTGTCACGTCTTGTAAGCCCCGCTAGCTAGCCCCGCAGTGTAGTCGTATAGGGCTAAACCCGGCTCACTGTGTGTGTATGCTTCCCCTGAATAAATCAGAGTTCAGAATCAATCATTATGTGCAAACTTGGACGAGCCTCACAAACCTTGCCTGGTTTTTTTCTTTGTTCAAAAACATTTATTGTGGAGATTCGCATGGGCGTCGCCAGGATTTTTTCCAGGGGGAGGGGGCAAAGCAAATGTTTCCCCAAAATTCCTTAACTTTTGCATTATATTCTCAATTTATCATTTTTCCGAGCGTGAGCAGGGGAGCATTAACAGCAATATGGCTTCGCCCCTCTTTTTTTCTCTCTTTTTTTTTCGTTTTCGGGGGGGGGGGGGCAAATGCCCCCCTTGCCGCCCCCCCCCCGCGACGCCCATGGAGATTCGTCTGTTCATAATTCGTCCCAGAATCAAACTAGAGTGTGTATGCATGAGTTTTTATGTTGTTGCCACCCCCCCCCCCCACCTTTGTCACAAGAAAAATCCAACAAATAGATTTTGCGGCAGAATATGCCATAATTTCTGACGTATACGAATCGCCACACTGAAGGTTAATTACGTGCCGCAGGGAATAATAAATGGCACCAGAAATCGAAGCCAGGGACAAATACTGGATCCATAACAAGGTCTTAATTATTCTTCCTCTGTTCTCGGTTCGAGACGTTTTCTAAAGGACGGCGTGCGTTCGGAAGCAAACATCGCATAGCACGTCTCGAACTAAAGGCTAACTATATTCCCCTCCTTGAATTATCGCCAGTTGCCAGTTGTCAACAAAAAACAGCAATTATTACGAGTCTCTTTGATGCAATCCAATCGATCATATCGACTCGATGTGGGTCACCGCCGCCGGTGTTAATTTCTTTAAAAACAAATACACAGACCAAAGATATTAGCTTTAAGCTGTTTGTCGTTACCATGGTTGGTTGCTAAGCATCGCATAATAAATTATGATGACGAGTTACAAGCGAAACTTATGTCGTTTCGGACCACCATTGACAGCATTTTTCTTTTATTAAAGTCATAAATAAAAATAAAAAAGTTAACAGTGTAAACGAATTTCCGTATTGCTTTTTTTTTTGGGGGGGGGGGGGTCGTAACTTCTGGTATAAATTTCAAACGAGACACTAAATGGTCGACAAATAGCCTAAAAGAAATGATATTTTTTTGCCTGGGGTCGGCTGGCAAAATTTATTATTATTGTTATTCAAAAAAAGAATTTCCCAAGCGGAACGAATATAATGGATGAAAACTGATGAAAACCATGCATGCGTGTATGAGGTACCTATTTTCAGAAATGTACCGGACGGTGAAGGGTCTCATCCTCGTACAGTACACGAACAGCGCCCGGTCTATTTTCTCGGTTTCGTGCCTGTCAATTATCGGCTTAAGTGGAATATTGGACCAAGTGAACATACTTTAACATGAGAGTTCATATTATTACAATTTGATAAGTCCATTACTCATTAGCGTCGGGAACGCAAGATCATTAGTGAAAAATGTGTCTCACCGAACTCATCAGTGGAGCAACCTAGAGGGCGTGCTTTATGCGCCGAATTTAACTTGCAGCGCAGTTTCGCAGTGACTTGTGCATGTGCCGAAATCCGTGCTTCGGATATCTCTATCGATACTTTAGCAGGTGAATAAATCGGTTGCATTTCTCATTTGAGATATATTCTCTTTCCTGGTGGAATGTGCTACGTATGTTTCATGTAGAAAATTCCTTCTGTATATATGTATACAATATTCCGATATTAATTCACAAATTCATGAACGTGTGAATGGCCCCTGCCTCATTCAGTCATTGCATTGCCTGGCCCCCTTGGCCATGTTGGCTGCACTTGCAGTTGCAGTTTGCACAGTGCGCCCCCCCCCCCCCCCCCCCCCCCTCGGCATCGTACCAGTGCCCAAGAAAGGGGATCTCTCTCTCATGACTAACTACCGCGGGATCAGTATCACATCAATAGAGCCTGCAAAAGTTTTCAACAAAATTCTGCTCAACAGGATTCGCCCCGTCGTTGATCCAATACTGAGGAGCAACCAAGCTGGCTTCCGTCCGGGACGCAGTTGTGCTCAGCAGATTCACGTCCTTCGAAGGGTAATGGAAGGCTTCAAAGACCACCAACTTCCTCTTGCTGTCACCTTTATTGACTTCAGGAAAGCCTTTGATTCCATCAACAGAGCTGTCATGTTTTCCATATTACGCCACTATGGCATACCCGAAGCAGTGGTTAGCGGAGCGCCATTCAAGCCATGTATGTTAACTCTCGAAGTGCTGTTATGGTGGGTGGAAGAATCTCAGAGCCTTTTGATGTATCCACTGGAGTTCTGCAAGGGGATGTGCTTGCTCCTTTTGTGTTCATCATAGTTGTTGACTACCTTCTAAACAAAGCCACCGCTGGTTTGGATTCTGGAGTCGTAACTCATCCACGTCTATCTAGGAGATATCCGGCAAAACAGCTTAATGACCTTGACTTTGCTGACGACATCGCCCTTTTTTAGTCTACGTTACCACGGGCCCAGGCACAGTTATCCAAGACAGCTTCAGTAGCAGAAGGCGTTGGCCTCATAATTAATGTACCCAAGATGGAGTACATTACGTCACATTGTGAGCCTTCCCCCTCACTTCATGTCCACGGCAGTCCAATAAAACATGTGACTGATTTTAAATATCTGGGATCCATGGTAGCATCCAGCGCAACCGACCTCAAAAGACGCAAGGCACTGGCCTGGACGATTTTTGGAAGTTGGAACAGCTGTGGAGAAGCCCCTCCTTACCAATTATCACCAAAATGAAGTTGTTCAACACAACATGCATCACAGTTCTCCTCTATGGATGTGAGACATGGGTAATCTCCAAAGACATGGAAAGTAAAATAAACGCTTTTGCCACCTCTTGCTACCGCATTATGCTGAGCATCAAGCGCACCAACCATGTCCCCATAATGCCACCATCTATACTATGACCAACTCAAACCCTCTTGTGGAGCGTGTAAGAACTCAGCAGCTCAAGTTCGTTGGGCACAGATGATGAGCCTGCAAAAGTGTATGCCCTTTATACACCACCCCAGGGGAGAAGGAAACCAGGAAGACAACGCACATCATACCTAACTTATATTCAACGCTTGCTTGGAGATAGTGATGGCATGCTGCGACCAGACCAAATCGCAACACTTGCCCATGATCGCAGTAAATGGAAGAAGCTTGTAGTCAACTGCTCCGCAGCTGAAGGATGATGATGATGATGAACGTCCTATTCCTATTTTTTGCATTTATTTTGTTTCATGACAGGGCCCCATCTATATGGGGCTGCCCCGAATATTGTTGATGTACCCTAACGTGGTGCACTTTGATTTTTCGCCTGTAGCGCCTAGCTAGAGCAAATATTTAACTGAAATTTCACAGAAAGTGAAATTTCATCAAGTTCTAAACACTCCCGTTCATAAATTACGAGTTTATCTACCTGTAGTGTTAGTGTTACAAAGTTAGAAGAACAATTTATTTCGACATGATTTTCCGAAAATTTTGAAGTGCACAGTGAACCCCTTGAAAATGTCTCCCTAAAATAAGATTTTTTTTTCTGATACACTTCTAGTTGGGTATGTAAGTAGAGATATATGGTTTATCAGAATTTATCAACTTTACAGAAATTCTTAAATGTTAATTTGGAATTTTCCGGGATTTATTCAAGTGTGCCACGTTGGGGAACACTCGGCCGATTTTGTGCCCAATTTCCGGACGCCACAGTTTTTCAATTTCGGATTAAATTTCATGACACCGAAATTGTTCACAGTGATTACATAGCAAGCATTAATAAGGTAAAAGTACCAGTATTTCACTGAATGAATTTGAAGTTTGTCAACAAAGAAGTTTGGCAACACTGCATGAGGAAAGTCGGGGTAAACGCCATGTTAGGGAACGCCTAATATTCAATCATCATGCAATCAAATATTTCAATAGCTAATCTTGTTAAATATAGTTAAACTTGATCGGCAAGTTTTGAATATGCACAAGCGCATTCAGCTGCTTTGTTTATTTCTGGCAAGCAGATCTCTTCTCAGTTGAGTGCTCCCAGCCTTCATTAAGCAGGATTGACTGGCTGTGATTGTTATGAAATCTGATATGCTTTGACTGTAGGAGATTGATAAGCCAGCTGTGCCTATCAGTCACCTGCTTTTGTCTATTGATGGAATTTGACTGTCGCAGTGCCTACAAGAAATATGATTGACTGTGACGAGCCTGTGTAAAAGGCATGGCAGGGAAACAGGATTGGCTTTTTGACTGTCTGTGACTGATCAAACAAAAGGACAGTTTATTCAAGTTATTCCTCCATGCTCTGCAATACTATAACTCCCGCATTAAGGTGTTGTGATTTGACTTCTTTTGAAGGTGCTGCCACATTGGATGGATGTTATAGTATCGACAGGACCAGCAATGCATTCACTATCTCTCCGGGCAGGTACGACCCCAGCTCCCTGGATCATGCAGCCTGCATAGAAGCCTGCGCCTATCAAGAATACAGCTATGCTTCACTCCGGGTGAGCAAATGAGGTTTTTTTTCTCCGTTTTAGGTTTCATCTCAGAATATCCTTTGAGGCCTTCTGTGTTTAAATAGTTGGTAATTATACATGTACTTTAAATGTTGATCTTCTGGCAACAGACAGCATTTTTTTTTTTTCGATTCAAATATTTGAAAAATGTGGGAGGTGTCAAGGGGATGATGAGAAACGTGCATGATGTTACGTTAATCATAAAAGTTGCCTGATTTTATTGTTTGTCAAATGCCACACTTTCGTCTAAAACCACTTTACACGCCTGATTTGAGAGCCTCCGTGAAAAATATCAGCGCAAATTTCTTCTTTAAAATCGGTCAAATATCAGCCGATTCCCTACTTTTTAAAATATTATTTAACCCAAACTCCCTTGGCATTTTTGCTAGGATGCAACCTCATTCCTGCCAAATCCTCCAACTGCCTCCATAAAAAAATTGCATAATCATCCAGCAATCACTGTCAATATGTTGAGGCAGAGCCAGTGACATCCTGGAGCAGTGCGGAGAATTTCAAGTATAATCTAGGCGGAAATTGATGCACAGCTAAGCAACACAAGGTCCAGTCCAAGACCTTGACACAGTGCATCCTCCAACATCAGCCACACATTTTGCCATATAGCCTCAATCCTGTAAAATCCTCCATTTTGCAAAGAGGATCTCGGAGGATTTGGGAAGGTCAGGGTTAATAAGCTCATTTTTCAACAAGTCCAGGCACACACAAATCCCGATTGGTGGCCAGATTAGGCTGGGGCATGCTAATCTTGACCAGCTCATTTCCAATATTCAAATATTCGAACAAGCCAAGTTAGAAATGCACAGCCCTAAACCAATACCAAATTTGATGAGCCCAGTGCAGTTCAGATTGTCTGCAACTTATCCTGGACAAAAACGAGACGACTCCTAAGCAAAAGGATTTTATTTTCTACTCCACATGTTTCCTCCGTAGGCTGGTCAGTTCTGCATGTGTTCGGACACCAACTACCTCCCAGCTGCCAAAAAGGCTGACAACTCCCTCTGCAACACTCCTTGCACCGGGGACAACCTCATAACTTGCGGCCACGACAACTACGCGCTGGTCTATCACATCACCGACACCAGGGCTTTGATTCAGCTGGACGACGCGGTCACTTACGTTGTGGGAACCTCAGCATCTGTTTCTCCTAGCAGTGTGTCTGGATCAGACCTGGAGTACTCGTATGATTTTGGGGATGGCACGGCAGCGACGAATTCTAGCGACCATACGTATACTGCACCAGGAGAGTATAGCGTGGTTGTCACTGTACACAATGATAAATGGGTAGGTAGAGAGATTTTTTATTTCAAACGGATTTTAAACTAATTCTGAGCTGCTGCATCTAATAATGCTTGTATTTTATCTTTTTACACTAGAAGACAGGTTACTCATTCCCATTTGTCGAGAGCCCGTCACGTGGCCGGTCTTAAATGTATAATAAAGACATGGCTGGCTGGTCTTAAATACATTTCCAGTGTCACATGAAATTTTGGACTCCTATGAAATCCGGTGCCTTTTACCGTTTGATTGGTTAAATGTTCACAATCCTCAAGTAAGCATGCGCAATACTACCAGTGAGTCAGCTTTCAAAGTCCTAAATTCACAACGCACTCGCCACAGTTGCAGTTGGAGTTGTTTACGTCTAACTCGCGAACTGGACACTATATTACATAGCTAGGGGGGTGTTTCGAAAAACATGAAGTAAAATATTTTAACAAAATCATTGGATATTTCTAATTTTTGACTTGTTTCTTTTTTGACCGAAAATGTATTTATGAATGGGAATAAATATGTGCTGGGTCGGTATTAAACACTATGTTTAAGACTGGTTGGAGTCTGGAATGCTGATAATTGCCCGAGCTGAAGTCGAGGGTTATTTATCAGCATCCAGACTCCAACCAGTCTTAAACATAGTGTTTAGCACCTCCCTAGCACACATTTATTCCCTTAGCAAAAGAAAAATTGTCAAAGAAACCATACAGGGCAACTGACTAGGTGCATTTTAATTATTGGAAGGTTGAACAAAGAAACCGACTGCAGCTGGGTTTGAACCTGCGACCTCCGTATTGCCGTTCTGGTGCTCTACCAACTGAGCTATCCAGCCTTGTGTTGGCGGTTCCCCATTTTGTCAATGTCTGTGTTCAAGCGGAGCTAGTCAGAAGCCAAAGAAGGTCGCAGGTTCAAACCCCGCTCTAGTAAATCTCTTTGTTCAACCTTAAAATTAAAAAAAAGTTGAAAACTTGTTTTGCTTTTCCTCCTTGTAAAGTAGAAACAGACACTGAGGCAGACACTGAGAATGATAAGACTTCTAAATGAAAGAAAACTTGACTCTTTCTCTTGACAGGTTGATTTTGACGCCTTTGCCCACAGCGTAAACACGCAGCTATCTGGAGTAGCCGTGACCTGCCCGGAGGGGGCCGGAGTGGCACAAGACTTTGAATGCACTGTGGAGATTCTCCACGGCAACGACCTTTACGTGACCCCGACCTTTGGCTCGGGCGCCGAGGCTGTTACGGGGCCGGTACTGCCTGCCGGATGTAAGGCAACGCTTCAAGAAAAATCGAAAATTTGCATTTTGTCGAAAACATTTTTTTGAGAAATCTAATTCCCCCCCCCAACCTCTCCACTAATCGATGGAAGTCCCCCTTACACAGCAAGGTCTACGATATGCGAGCCGATTCGGCGATTAATTATGCAAAACAAGACTGCGTCTTAATCTCCAGATTCTGACCATTCAGCGGGCACCTTCTATCAGGCCTTCCGTAACCTGTTTTACAAAAACATGGTAGCAAAATTGACCAATGAACAGCTTAGTCCACATTTCTGATCAAATTATATAATTGTCTTAGTGCGTCTATCAAAAATATTTATTTCATCTGGAAACATTTGTCTTGTTTTTTTCACAGCGCCGACATACTCCCACATAGGCCATGTCTCTCAATATCCAGACCCTTCACTGCCAAGCAATGATGTCCATGGTGCAGCAACCCTCATATTCTGGGTATTCCCTGGTTCGGAGGTACAGCAAGCATCCAAGCTAGTTGCCATTGAGGCGGCCATTGCTAGTGTTGGAGACGGAACACTTCATTTTGTGGTGAGAGGACAAAAGGAAAATATGAAGAGTTTTTTTCCCAAACGAGATAAACATCGTTTTGTTACTTTTTAGAATCCCACTCGCTCCTGGTTTACCAGAGTCAGTTTTGACAGGATTTATATATTATAAGATGGAATTTTTGCGTCGATCACTCGGGTGGGACTCGAACCCACGACCTCCTGCTTTCTAGTGCAGATGTCTTACCACTCGACCACCAAGCTAAGGGGATCGGTTGGCCGGTTCGAATCTGATGTACATAGCAGCGGGTACCGCATAAACTATTATAAGATGGAATTTTGCGTCGCGGTGATATAAATCAAATTAGGTTTTGCCCTTCACCGACGTTTACAAACAAAAGTTTACAAATAGCTGAACATAAATTATCTCATTTTTATTCTTTAAACTTTGATTAAGTGCGCAAATTTATTACTTTTTTCCGAATGAATATATCACGTTTTGGAAAATAAACTCTAAATATGTAGTGAACACTGAAGGATTATAAATGCACTCAGTATACAAGTGTTGACTGCTTTGAATCGAGTGTTGAAACTAGCCTCTCGCAGCATTGTTTGGTATAAATCACTTGATTCAAATCATGATTTTAATCAAATGAAAAAAATACTAAAAATCATTCAAACAAATCAAGTTTTTAAATAGTAAAAATGAGATGATCATTATGAGCTGATGAAGAATTGACCTATTGCCGTTTGCGAGTTCACGCCCCTTAGACAACCCTAGGGAAATTTTGTACACTAAGTTTTGTTTGTCCTGCGTTCCGCGTCCATTTGTATGTCATGTAATTGGACAATATTTCACAAGCTGCGTTGACGCAATTCTAATGCGATTCAACCGCGATAGGTCAATTAAGCCCCATTATTAATGATGTTTTCTTTAGTAAAAACCAATTTTTCAAATGAAGCTTACAGGAAAACTGACTAGGTGAATTATAACAATTGAAAAGTTGACCAAAGAAATTGACTGGAGCGGGGCTTGAACCTGCAACCCCCGGATAACCGTTCCGGTGCTCTACCAACTGAGCTATCCAGCCCTATGTTGGCGGTTCCCCAATTAGTCAATATCTTTGTTCAAGGGGCGCTAGTCAGAAGCCATAAACCAGTATGCCATACAGCCAGGGATCACGCCCAAAGTCACGATACAGACCTGGAAAATAGCAAACGGTGATCGCTCAGAGAAATACGGCTTACGGATCCGAAGGTCGCAGGTTCAAACCCTGCTCCAGTCAATTTCTTTGTTCAACATTTCAATTGTTATAATGCACCTAGTCAGTATCCCTCTGTGGTTCATTCGAAAACTTGTAATAAAAAGCTGTATCCTCTCTGAGTGATCCCCGTTTGCTATTTCCCAGGTCTGTATCGCGACTTTTGATGGACAAAAGTTTGGGTTAAATGTTTTCGTTCACTCTGCAGATTTACAAGCCTGTCTGCACCTCGCCTAGCGATGTGTTCTGCCCAATCGAAAACAGCTGCATGGCCGCTAGCGCTTGCAGTTACGACTTCACGCTGACGACACATCCTACCCAACAGGATACCTGTACAACGGTCCTGGATAACTACTGTCTGTACGGTTCCCGTTGCGTAGATAGCAATGATGTTAATACCTGCCCAGCCAAGCCAACACGCTACGAGATGGACCCTACCGGCAATCCGAGGGCGGAATATGAAGTTGTGGAGGTTGGTGATCATTGAGTATCTGTTAGTGTACAGCTAGGGCCAAACAAAAATAGTTCTGCTTCCGGGTTCCCTACTTACCCTATTCCGACGGCTCCTACCCTAATTATTTTATTGGAAAAATGAGAAAAAAACACCCAAAACCATAAATTCCTACCTTTTACCCTTGATTACACGCAGACGCCTCCATATGATTGTACACATGTACACATGATTGTACACATGCCATGTAATCGGAAGAAGAATTTTTTTTTTTGGCCTAGCCAACATATCGGCTCGATATTTGATGCTTGATATTGATTGCATATTACATGTAGAACTTCCTGCCAGAGATTAAAATGGATTTTTGTTCTCCTAACAAAAGTTCAATTTGTTTGTTTTGTTTTAACCAAAAAAACTACTTTATTCCAATGTTGGGGTCTGTAGACCTCTGAAAGAAAGGCTTTCATTTCATGCACAAATAACCCGCCCTGCGAGAGCTGAAATTATCATCTGGTAGCCAGTAATTCAAATTTTGTGAAGAAATATATCAACAACTAAATTTTGTTCAATGTCATATTCAAAAGTGAATCACTTTTATATTAGTTTTAAAGCTTGTGGTTCATTTGAAAACCTTTTTATGACTAAGAAAATAGCAAGTAAATGTGGAAAAATGTAATTTGTTCGAGGTGAAAACTCAAAAATAGCAAAGGGAACACATTTTTAATAATTCCTTCATAGCCTCCAACTACCGGTAGTTCCATGGTCAAAATTTTAAGAAACTGAACTGCGATAGAATTTGTCACACAGTGTCAAATTCTACTACATGATGTTGGCAACAGTTCAAAATTAAATTTTCACAATATTTGTTTTACATACATATATAGTTTTAAATGTTTTCAGTTTTTATTTTGATGATATTACTACTGTCAGGTTTTGCCCATCACCAGCATAATTATAAATGCACTATAAAATGTTTGTTCTCTGACATTTGTGTGTCTCTCTGACAAATTGTTTTTTTTTTGGGGGGGGGGGGGGTCCTGCTTGTCTTTTTGTCAATTTGTTGCTTTCCACATCCCCATTTGTCCCCCCCCCCCAAAAAAGGATTAAAATCACAACCACTTGATTTGCAGATTATAGCTAGAAACGTCGCCAGCACTGGCTATTACCATGATACCCTAGCGACGCCCGTTGACATGCAGATGGGCTATGTGCTTGGGGTCAAGATGAGGAGCACGGGCGCCCAGATCAGCTACGAATCAACCCCAAGCGGCAACCCGGTAGAGTTTCAGTATGCAGGCACAGATTACGCAGTTGGACAAGCCCTCCCCGTCGCGAGTAAGACCAGCGGGCACCAGATTCGTCACCTGGCACGATTCACCCTCGTTCAGCCAGTAGAGGTGATGATCACACATGCATTTGCTGTGCCCGATTTCTACGACGTTACGGTAAACGTGTCGGGATCTCTTGGAGGACCAGTCGAGGAAAAGACTGTAATTCTGATCCAGGAGATTATAACAGGTACACATTCTGTAAACGGGTAACTGTGTTCTGTACCAGTTTATGAAAAGTTGTATGAAAGTTTATGAAAGGTTTTATTGAGGGTTTACCGAGGGTTTACTGAGGGTTTGCCAAGGGTTTACCAAGCTACCATAGGGTTAACCGAGCTAGGGTTAACCGAGGGTTTGCTGAGGGTTTTCGGAGGGTTGACCGAGGATCGACTGAGGGTTGACCTAGGGTTGATTGAGGGTTGACCAAGGGTTGATCTAGGGTTGATCGAGGGTTGACCGAGGGTTGATCGAGGGTTGATCGAGGGTTGATCGAGGGTTGACCGAGGGTTGATCGAGGGTTGATCGAGGGTTGACTGAGGGTTGACCAAGGGTTGAGCTGAGGGTTTGCCAAGGGTTTACAGAGGGTTTGCTGAGGGTTTGCTGAGGGTTGACCTAGGGTTGACCGAGGGTTGACCGAGGGTTCACCGAGGGGTTTAAGCTCCAGTCTTGGCCCGAGACTGGATTTGGATTTTGTCCCCTCATCCAGCCAGCCCCGATCCTTGGCAAGCAAGGTCAAGCTGCCGTGGCGGTACATGTCGCCATCAACAAGCTGAATCAAATACAGTCTCGGGAACTTTGGCAGCACTACCCAAGAAATTTCAAGCATACCTGATGTGCACTGCATTCAAGCTAATGCATGTGCTTGAAAACAAAATCCAAACCCAGTCTTGTACCAAGACTACATCAGCTCTGGCCACAAACTCATTTAGATGCCTTAACTGTTAAAACCGAATGGAAATACTCATAAATTTGGCATGATTCATATTACAAGATTTGATGTTCCACAAACAGAAATAAGCCTTTATTCAGCCAGAGTTTTTGTATGATTAAATCATTTTCTCATACTTCTTACACAGCTAAATATATTTTGATATGCACAGCATGAAATTGTATGAATTATTTATTTTATGCTTACATGTATTTAATTGTACTGAATTTCATTATAATTGTTTGATACTTCTGAGTTGTGCTTTTCCTCTTTTTCTCATCTATGTGATCTTTTACTATGGAGAGACACTGGCCATACCATATTTTTCCATGATTTGATAACTATCTTAATTGACTATATTAACCTCAGTGTGTCATTATTCAGTATTTTTTGATTGCATTTTCGATTGTTTATGATTTTCTTTTATCATTTAGGAAGATAGCATTCAACATGTTTGATTAGATAAACCCATTTCAATGGATTGGACTCTCTGCTTAAAGGGTTAATGAAATGAATTTTTTTAAGGAATATACTTTGTGCAACTTTATACTCCTTTTAAATGTATGAAAATTATTTGACATCCCTTTTTGGTTAAGTTTACTACTGAAAGGTGCACTTTTGAGGGCGCTGTTGCTGTGATGTCCTTTCAGGAAGACCATGACACTGTTCAGTTAAGGGGGTTTGGGTTCAAATTGTGAACCCAAAATTTGCTCATTGAAAAAAATATGTGAGAAATGTTTGCTCACTGGCTTCATGCCATGTTATGACACAACTTTGTATTGGCAACTTTGGGTGCTGAAAAAGCTGTAACATTGAGGTTTCTGCCTGAAATGGCATCACAGTTTTGCTCAGGAATATGTATATTTGCATAAGCATAACAAATACAAAAAGCACCAAAATAACCTTGAAAATGGCAAAACAAATATTGAAAATAAGGAAAAATGGGATACAAAGATGCATTTAAAAAAAAAGGAATTGTAGTAAAAAAAATAACATTGCATGAGCCTTTAAGGAAATCAAATTGTGGATGAATATTTTTATCCTACTGCAAACTAAACGAAAACATATTTTTATTTTTTTTATTGCTTGGAACAAGTTGCCTTTAAATTGCCTGATGTGGCATGACCCTTTGACACACTGGCTCTTTTGAGTGGTCCACGTATACCGCCCTCTATCGTTCTTGCCCAGAGTCCATCATGTTGAGCAATGCCCTCCTCTCTTCGTTGATATTCAGGTTTGGAGGTTGAGGTCGACACGGACATATTACGAGTAGGAGGAACGGTCACAGCTTCGGCCAAGATCTCAGGTGGTGCCATGGTCAACTACACGTGGGATTGGGACGACGGTAATGAGGATACCACCATCCGTCAAGGTATAAACTAAGGGCCGATGTAGAAGTTTGGACCTGCAGACTCGTTGGTTGTATTGCGCATGACTAAGTGAAGATAATTAGGACAGGGACCTGTCACAAGCGAGGGATAGAATCCATACAAGGTCAAAGAGACCAGATTATGCGGGAGACCAAATTTCATATGACACCAGTTCATACACGATGCAAAAGCGAACGTGAACGCAAATTTGTGATGCCAAGGACGAGTATTCGTTTTGCAAAACCCCAAAACAAAGAACACATTCCAAGTCCAACAAACTTCGCATCCAATATTTCCTGACATCAAATCCGTTTCCCAATTGCGTTCGTGTGAAGCAGTCAATGGTTGTTCTATAACACCTCACTCACAGATTCAACAGAGCTTAGAGATATCTGAACCATTAAACTAAAATCCTATATAAGTTAGATTAGTTCAAACTTCAATGTGCCTGTGGGCTCCTTTTTTACGTGGGTCAGCCCCAGAATTCAGTCAAAAGACCTGAAAAACTGCGCTTGTTTTCTCTGCTTTCTCAAAATGTATAGCATCCACTGAGCTTAAACTTGAACAGGTTTAGTTGTCAAGCACCCTACTTGAAATTAATTTGAGCATATTCCTTGCTTCAAATATTAAAATAAAAGTGCACAAAAAGCAATGATCCTTTTACCTTTAGTCAAAAGTCATTTTATATCCTGCACTCTTAACAGCTGTCCAATTTTTGGTCATTCCTAATCCCTATAACTCTAGTAAGCCTCTGCTCAACTATGTATTCACTGTTCGGAATTTTAATTTTATTTTCACCTTTTCCAGCAACTAACTTTAACGAGTCGGACGTGCAGACTCACACGTACATCACAGATGGTACCTTTGCCCTGACGGTCACCGCGTACAACTTTGCTAACAATGAAACCGCGACTGTCACCATGTACGTGCAGTATCCCATTAACAAGGACCACTTTATGGTCACTTCGGACTCACCCAAGCCACATCCGGGTAAGTACAGCCGTGTGCCTAGTCTGAATCGACTGTGTTATGGCTACGGCTCAGCTTTGATATTAGCATAGTACAGAAGATATCCATAGCCGTTGACAAAATGCCTCTGTCAGTAGCTGTAGCCAAAAATGGCCATTTTTGAAACAGCCTTCATAGTGTAATATGGGCTCCATGCGCGAGCAAGAGAGGGCGCTTTTTACCTCTTTCGAGAGCCCCTTGGATGGGACACACTGCTTGCGCGTACTGGTTCGCGCGCGTATAGCGTGAAGTACGCATGTCTTATTTTATTCTGAATGTGCACAAAAACCCATAGCGTCTTTGCGTGAGCGTCGGGCGTCTTTGACGATGCGTTCTAATGTCACTCCAAGTGGTCTCCCAAGACAAGGGCGGATCCAGGGGGGGCCAAAGGGGGCCATGTCCCCCCCCCCCCCAAAAAAACAAAACCAATTTTTTTTTTTTTTATGTGACATCGCAATAAAGGCAGGCAATAAGTACACCACCATCTTTTCCTCAAAAAAACATTGGTTAAAGTGGTCAGAAATTGCCTCAGATCGCACCACAGAGCATCTAGAATCCAAAAAAATTTCGGGGCCCTTAAGCGGGCCCTGAACCCCACGCCGTAATTGTTTTGACCCACTTTTTTGGGGGACCAAAATTTTTTGGGCCCCCCTAAAAATTGTGTTCTGGATCCGCCCTTGTCCCAGGAAGACCTCCCCCAACTCTCCCTTTCTTACCATTGAGGGGGTACTTGTGCACGGAGCCCATACATGTCAGGGTGCAGTTTCACATTTATACTCGAAGTGACTTTTTTTTTGTAATTTAAAACAATATTTGAATTCATAACTTTTTGGAGGGTTTGTCGTTTTGAGAAAAAAAATTGTACTATTCTTTGTTACCAAATCTATAAGGCTGTGCTAAATATTTGATTATTTGAATAAAATTGTTTGACTACTGCAACCCCCTATTTTGCCATTCGGTATCCATCTTGAAAAAAAATGTCCAAACAATATTATCATTTGTTTCCTTTTGTACATTTTGTCAATTTTACTTATACTATGTTCTTACAATAATACTGTCAGCACGAACAGTAAGAAAAAAATAACATTTTTGAAGGAAAGAAAAAAACATTATTAAGCAGTTTTCTGCCATAGTTGGCACGGTTTCTCTGCTATACGCTAAGCATGTCTTTGAAATAATTCCTTGGTAATATTACTCCATAGAATAATTGATCAAATGAAAATCTGATTTATATTCAAATTCCAAATTCACAACTTTCTATCCAAATTCCAAATTTCACAACTTTCTATCTCTTTTTGAATTATCCACACAGGTGATATCATCTTCACCCTCACCATCACCCTACCCCCTGGCGAAGACTTTGGTACTGACCCTCAGTTCTCGTCCAGCATCACCTTCTATGAGAATAGTACCGAGACTCCCATCAGCATCGACAGTGACGGGCAGAGCGAGCCGTTTGCAGAAAATGTCCGATTCAGCGGTGAATACCAAGCCATTGTGTCCATCAATAACAAGATCTCATCGGAGTACTACAAGTTGCCGGTAATGGCTGTCAGTTTTTTGCGATCCCACTTCATTAAGCTCATTCTCCAGTCTTTCAACTTTCAAGAAATTAAAGATCAGTCATATTAATGTGGCCAACATTGACTAATTTTGAAGATTATATGTTTTTGAAACATATGAACCGGCCCTTCAAAAGCCGAATTACTGTTGGCCCACAGATAGTTTGAATTTTGTTAAGAAATGTTTCAAGAAGTAAATGTTGTTGGATTCTTTCTTTGGATGTGTCATTAATTGCTAGGAAAATAGCAATTGAAAACACAAGTTAGTTTTTTCGGGGTAAGATTCGAAATAGTACGGGGAGTCCATCTTTACCCACAGAGAATTCACTCCAACGGATCAATCATTTGACAGATTTGTGACTATCAGTACATCACAAAAAACACTGTGTGTCACAATGTTCGCCCCAGGCCCCCCCCCCAGGTCCCAAAGCCCCTTCCCCCCCCCCCCCCCCCCCCAGCGCCCCATTCAAAATCTTGAATTGACCAAAAATACATATCATTTGCCTTCAGTGCCCCCCTTGAAAAATGTATGGACCCCCATGTGACCCCTCCCCTACCCTCAGAAGTTTAACCTTGGTTATGCCACTGGTCAAAAGTTGCCATGAATCTAATATTCTGTCGAATGATTTAAGTCTCCTTGTTACTTCACCAGATTGTAATGGTAGAACCGATCACCGGGTTCTATGTTGACGCCATGTACCAACCACCACTCCCGCTGGACGGACCAGTCAAGATGGGGTTCGGACCCACCAACAACGTGTTCCCTCTCGATTCCCCCGTGGTGTTTGTACCCAGGTTTGCCACAGGTAATGTCCAATGTTCCAGTTAGAATCTTTCTCAAGTCTTACAAGTGTATTATTTAGATAATTTTTAAGTTAAAACAAAGAAATTGAATGCAGCGGGGTTCGAACCTGTGACCTCCGGGTTGCTGTTCCAGTGTTCTGCCAACTGAACTATCCAGTTACACATGGCATTCGCACATGGTGTTTCCGCAAACCTTTCATTATTTATTCATTATTTGAACTATCCAGCCCTATGCTAGTAGTTCCCCCATTTTTGTCAAGGAATGGTACTCCGGAGGTCCTAGGTTCAAACCCCACTCCAGTCAATTTCTTTGTTCATCTTAATTTTTGCTAAATAATAGTTTCCCTTTGTGGTTTATTTGAAAAAGTGTATTGAAAGATATCGTGATTATCAGATAACGTCAGATGTAATTTTACTGCATTAAGGGAAGTTACATTTGCACACTAGTATAGACAGAAATTGGTTTCATTGAAAGAGCCTTATAATCAACCAAGCAAGACAGAAATATTGTGAATATTTACGGGTGTTCTTGCAGGTACACGGATGAGTTATAACATTGACTATGACGACGGTACACCCCTCGATACAGTGACTGAAGAGACTATCCCCTATCGTTACACTGCAGTAAGTATTGACAGGATGGTTTGCCTTTCTTTACCCCTCCTTCAATACTTCACAACTCGGTGTTCAAATCATTTATATCACCCTGATGAAAAACTGATTACCAAAATTAAATGTTGTATCGGCGGTCATATCAGATTTGAACTGAATAGCTGATGCGGGCAAGCTTTGTGATTAGGTTGGTAAGACGTCTGCGCTAGTAAGCAAGAGGTTTGGTGGTTCAAGTCCCACCTGAGGAAGACTTTGCAGCTCACCTGGCTGACTAGAACAAACATTTAAATGAAGGACAAAAGTCAATAATGATATTTTCATCAAGAATGACTGATTCCTGAAATGTCCTTTCCTGTGCAGGTCGGCCCGTACTTGGTGAGAGTCGACGCTTCTAATGATCTACCGGGACTGGCCTCCGACACAGTCACTGTAATCCTGCAGGAAAACATCGCTGGCATTCAGATAATGGATCTGCAAGCCACCACAGCAAACGAGACCAAGGAATTCGACATCTCCGTTGCCAGTCTCGGGACCACGTCCTGCCTGGTCATCGATTACGGCGACACTACGCAAGAAATATTTGGCAATCAGGTACCCTGCGAGAACCACGCTGATTACCCCGGGGCGACTTGGGTGCAACCCCTCACCAACAGTTTCCGCACCAGTCACATCTACACCTCGCTGGGCAGCTATCACATGACCGCTTTCGGTTTCAATCTGGTGTCCGACGCCAGCACGGATCTCTTTTTCGCCGTCTCCGATTTGAGCTGCAACTCCCCGCAGCTGTTCATACGCGACGGGCATCCGGATTGGCGTGGACCACGAGTCGCCTACTTCAACCAAGACATGCAGATCCAGGGCATAACCGACGTGAAGTGTAAATCCTACGAGAATATGAAAGTCTGGGATTTACAGGCGGTGGATCCGAACACCGGCCTTGCTGTCCCCGGTACCGCCGTAAAGTTAACCGGTCTCCCGCCATCACACAGGTTCTACCTGCCGGATGCGGACACGGCTGAAATTTACATCCCTCCGAGAACCATCCCCGTGGGAACCTGGAAGTTCAAGTACACGGTTCACATGGACCAGGTCTCGGATGACAATATCGACTATGTAGCATTCGCCAACGAGTATGTCCAAGTGCGGGCCGCAGCTTTGAAGATTCAGATCTTTGAGGGTCAGACGACCTCCAAGGTCGTAGGTCATGGGTCGTCCTTGAAGCTACAGCCAGGGGTGCTGTCACGTGACCCAGACCTGCCTGATGATGTCACAGATCAGGTGATTTGCTTATTTTTTTGTACATTTTAGTCCATTAGATAATTAAAGTAAAGCTTGTCTCGAGACAAAATTGCTCGTCATTCCAGAGTTTATCCAGAGTTTTTATTCCCCTATAATTGATTGCCAGTCCATAACAGGTGGATAGATCAGGGTTTTCCAATGCTTTTTGCATTTTGAAGCTTTCCCTGGAATGTGTATTTCAGAAATTGTGAATTCCTCCACACTCTTAAACATACTCTAAAAGTTCATATTTCTTCATCTCCATCCACACATTCCTTTAGATAGATGGTGCCATGCCTTAGCACATCCTTATCTCCTTTTTGTTTTAATGAACAATATGCAATTCATGCATGTTTATGAGTGCAAAGGTAAGAATAATTTTATGAGGTATCAGACGGAGTGCTACATTACACGAGGTGAAGCCGAGTGGAATGGAACATTTGCCTCGTGGAATGGAACATTCCATCTGTCACTTATTATGCTTTCCATTGCACGATTGTGAAACATTCATTATTTGTTTTATACAACGCCTGAATACATACATGTAAATCCTCATTATCTGATTAGTACCTTGTAAACTGGTACTATGGATGTACAGCCATCAGAGCTGTGTTAGAACGCAACCAATAATGTGGCCGAGCAATGGAAGTTCTATTTACCGTTGAATGGAACTTCTTTTTTTGTGACACTGCAGGGTAGTGGGTTGGGACAAATAATTCAATAGCATGTTATCAATGACCCACCAATCAGATAACAGGGATTTATTCAGGCGTTGTATAAATGATAATAACTAACATAATAATTGCCCTAGAAGGACGGAAATCCAATTTTTATTCCAACAAAAGCAACTCTTACAACTTTTTTGTTTTTCTTTTTTTTTATAAAAATGACAGAATTTTACCAGCATCGAATACTTTTGTCGGCGTTTCTATGAGCCGTGGGAACTGAACGACCAGAGGGAGATTGATAAAACTAAAAAGATCGTGATCGGGGGGACCAATACCGATGGAGTGGACAAGGGAGGTTGCTTCGGCACAGGTGGGACTTCCAAAATGTTCAAGCCATGCTTGTCCGTGCTTATTGCAGAATTTGGGCGATTCGCAATGCAGTGCGCCACCAAGAGTTTGCCACGGAGAGTTCATTTTTTGGTCGACAAATTCGCAGATGGTCGACAAATTCGCAGCGCGGGACATTTGAAATCGTTAGCTTTTCCGGTCAGTAGTTTCGTAAGCGTATGATTCGAGTATATGTTTGCCCTTTTTTTTATATCAATATGGTGTTTTTTGTAAGGCGGCAGAACGCTATGCCCAAATTTATAACAAATTAGCTCAAGTTGTCTACTGACACTCGTTCAACTGGGCCATGTTTTGTTGACCGTAAATTTGAAAAATGAACTCTCCACGGCAAACTCTTGGTGGCGCACTGCATTGTGAATCGCTCGAATTGCATCCCCAGAAAAGTGGACTTGCAAATAATATTAAAGTGAGATTTATTAAGCTCCCCATAAATTTTCAATCATCCTAAAAATGTGTCACTTTATTCAAAGTGTATGATTTCTTTTATGCCTCTATGAATGTGAAAAATGTGGCTTGTTGATGTTTTCTTTGATTGCATTTGCATACTGTTTAGAATGATAATACATACCTGTACGTGCATTGATCTCAGAAGGTGCTATATAGGCATATAGGATCATTTGCATTTATCCCAAAAGTAACCTTGGATTAAAGATCGTACTGGTACTAAACACCAGTGTTGTAGTCGAGTCACCAACGTCGATTCCGAGTCCCAAGTCACAAGCCTCGAGTCCGAGTCACGAGTCACTTGGTCTTAGTTATTCACCAAACTGATCAATTTTTTTAAAAATTATTTTTCAATCATCCATTCTGTCTTTTAAGTAAATCCCAGTGTATAGGCCTATATTATGTGTGTACATGTTGTTGTACACTTTTTGGCATGACACCGGGCCCTGGTCCTCGTTGTGCAGGCACAAGGGGTGCATGCGCGGCCCCTAGATACGACTTTCCGCGGCGCCGTGTTTTGTCAGTGGAGTAAAAAAGAACGCTACGTTCGTCGCACAAAATTAATACGCAACGTTGTATTTTTTTCTTTTGATGAAAATACGTGACTCGAGTCACGAGTCACCAAGCTCGAGTCCGAGTCATCATGGTCGAGTCCGAGTTAGAATCCAAGTCATTTTCCAATGTGACTCGAGTCGAGTCCGAGTCACGAAAAATGTGACTCGAGTCTGACTCAAGTCCGAGTCCTGGACTCAAGTCCTACAACACTGCTAAATACCCCGTGAAATTATTCTCGTTTGGCATGCTGTCATTTAGAGGAAATCACGAAATGTAGGTTGCTTCCAGAAGTTAGTCAGTTGACTGATTTTTTGGTAATAAAAAGTGCCATTGATGAAATCACATTTCGCAAAACATTTTTTTAACTATTTTCTCAAAAAGTGTAATATCCACGGAGATGTAACTTGAGCCAAGACTAGTCGCCCTCCTGTGAGTATCTCATGTCAGATTTGTATGTCTTGTTATCCAGGAAGCGGTCTCTTAGACTACGAGGATGACGTTTTGGATCTAGACACTACCAACACCTTGCCCAACATGACCTATGAGATCATGGTCGTTGTTACTAAAGGGTCGAGGGTCGGCGATGCCGCTGTCCAGTTCACCGTCAAGCCAGGCAACCCGCCCCAGTCCTCCATCAGGTAAAAAGTTGTGTTTCTTTCAAGCCTATCCACCTAGCGGAGGTGTAATCAACTCAGCACAATCCAATCACAAGTCAGTCACAAGTCAGTCACAAGTCAGTCACAAGTCAGTCACAAATAAATCACTTTGCAATTACAAGGCAATCTTAAGCAAATCACAAGTCAGTCATAATTTAGCCTGTCTCAAAAAAAATGGTACAATCGAAAACGATTTTTTTTTTCAATATAAAATCTCAACATAAGTAAGTCATTTTGAGCATCACATTAAAGAAAAAAGACCAGGCTTTCCAATACTTTTTGTTTCATCTCATTTGCTTTTGTCAATCCAGAGATAACTCCAGTTTACTGCGGAACACAAAAATCGAGTTTGTTTCTTTTGCCAAGTTGCAATCTTTTGTGAGCTTCAAGACAGCATGGCACAGTACTCGAAACAACTCTGCCCATGCATAAAAGTGGCACAAAATCGATTTTGGCGTATCGCACTAAATTGATTATATCTCTGAATTGACAAAAGCAAAAAAGATCAAACAAAGACTATTGGAAAGCCCAGTCTTTGTTCTTTAATATTATGCCAAGTAAGAATGACTTATTTTGAAATTTCATATTTAACCAATTTTTTTTCTGATTGTACCATTTTTTTTGAGACAGGCTGTATATCACAAGTCAATCACAAGTCAGTCACAAGTCAATCACAAGTCAATCAAAAGCCAATCAAATGTCAACTATGAGTCAATCGCTTTGCAATCACAAGTCAATCTTAACCAGTACACGCAAAGGTTTTGCGGTATTCGGAACGAATGACGGATAAACACGCAACGAGCGAGGCTTGAAATATCTGTCTGCGACCCGCATATGACGACCTGAACCTGTCTGGCGTCGAGTGAAAAACAATCCCGCACCTGGGTCCGGTCAATGTCAAAATAATCCCGGCGCGAAGTGGTTAAGTGAATCACAAGTCAATCATAATACATCACAAGTCAATCATAATACATCACAAGTCAATCTAAACTCAATCACAATTCAATCGCAAGTCAATCAAAAGCCAATCAAAAGTCAATCAAAAGCCAATCACAAGTCAATCACAAGTTAATTTTAAGCGGATCACAAGTCAATCATAATACATCACAGGTCAATCACAAGTTATCTCTAGATATCACAAATCAATCACATGTCACATTAGTCAACTCAGAGTCAATCATAAGTCAATCTCGCCTGTATTATTTGAATGAAATGTGACAAGGGTATTCCCATGTCTTTTTTTTTAAACACCTGTTGCTTTCGACCTAACTTGACTTTTGGTTTACTTACGATGTGACTCCTGATTGACTTGTGGTTTACTTTACTACAACTTTGCCAGAAACTTGGAAAATTGTGATTTCATAATGAATACGACCTTAAAACGTATGCACATGAAACAGACACAATACATGCACATGTGTAGAAGAAGGATTCTGGTTTTGTGAATTAACATCATAGACTCAGCATAATTTTTCATTAGTTCATATTTTGAATTTGAAATGCGGTCCACCCGTAGAGTACATCTTTCTTGCCCTTCCCCTTATTTTTGGGCAGTCATCAATATTATGTACCTACACTGGCATCTATACCAGTTTAAATCAACAGAACTTTTCTCCACATGCTAGTCGCAAAATAAAGTCCAAAATGTACATCAACTCGCTGAGCCTTTCGTTCTTAAATTTGACTCGTATCCCCAAAAAATATAAAAAATGAGGAACAGTCCTCCTGATGCTGATAACAAATCCCAATTTCCTTCTCCTTAATAATTAACTCTTATTTACGGCGGCAATCTTCTTGGAATTTTCCAACAAAAAATAATATCAACTGATTATTCCATGAAGTTTGCCTGTACATACCAGTTCTTCCTTGCTATTTTTCAGTTATAAATCACTTCTTTCCCCCCCCCCAAAAAAACCCAAGTCTGACAAAATGTATTGATCATGGTGGCGGCCCCTAAAACCCTGTCCCATCTGTCTTGACGTGTAACGTAGTGGCTGCATGTATGTATGTGTTCTACATAACCCCCGAGGACCAACACACAAAGGGAGAACAACAGATCCTTTCAGTCCTCGGCGTTGGGTCTTTTGTTGAAAACGGTCCTCTATCGTACGGTCATGTGCTTAGTCTATGGAAGAGTGTTGTATTACAGGGACAAAGGGAACCACAAAGCATTGTCCTCGAGAGTATAGTAAAACTGTCTGATTACGCCTGCTCCCAATCAACACAGATTCTTCTGAATTCCTTCCATCCCCCAGTTGTAGCGGCGGGACCCTCTTTGAGGCGGCCTACGCCTCCCTGGTAGTCAACCCTACCGACGACTTCCGTCTCAAAGCTGGCTGCGAGTCCGGATGCAGCGGTGCCGTCTACCAGTGGGAGATGGACTACTTAGATGAGAACGACACACTGATGACTGTGGAAGGATGGGAGCAACACGCAACCGGTGAGCGATAAGAATCGGGTTTATTCAAAACTGACACCAAATTCCCTCTGATTAATCCATTGGCCGTTGAACTGCCCCAAACCGCCCCGCCTGTTACTCCTCATACCGCCCCAAACTGCCCCAGCTCTTTTATTGTTTTATTGATTCATAGAGGAGTAAATACAATGTAATACAATTTGATACAAATGCTAAAGGGTTAACACAAATTGAAAATTAATAAGGGAATAAATATTTGCTTGGCGTTGCGCGTGAAAATCAGTTGTTCGAAAAGCAACGCGCATACGTCCATGGATCCGTATTGTGTAGTGCGCTATCCGTACTGCGCTATCCATACCACAGTATCCGTTGAAATTTTATACGCTTCAGGTAGCGATTGGAATGGATGACGCATACAATACTCGTGGAATTTGTTGCCGCAACTTACAGAAGCGATGTAGTGGTGGGGAAAAAGATAAATATTTATAGTTGGCTTTAAAACAGAGGAGTTTATGTGTGAATCTGATTGAAACAAATGAGGGCCTGCCTCGTTTTTCATTTTCAAATCCTCTGTTGATAAAACATGGAATTTTCATACCATTTGTATTTTGTTAAGAAGTAAATCGTCTCAATGTTTATTTCGTAAAATGTGTACTGTGACAAAGTTATCCAAATTTGCTGGAGACTTGGTTTTACTACTCGTAAAACTTTTGCCTGCTCTCTTTTTGAGCTTTTGCGTCCGTCAAGTATGCAGAAAAACACATACGCATGGATTTTCAGAATGCGCATCACAGATGCGCAAGTTGTAGTAAACGCACAACGCAATATGCACATCGAAAATGGATACATGGATTTTCGGCCAAAGTGTGTCAAATTGTTCAGCTTCTAAACACTGGTGAAGAACTAATGACAATTTGGACCTGAGAAAACACCCCAAACGTGAGGGTCCTTTTTATAAACAAAAGTGTCTGTAAAGATCAGGTGTTCCTTTTTTAACATTACTGCTATATAGTGTGGTCATGTATATGGAGATATATTGTTGATGTACCCTAACGTGGCGCGGCCCCTAACAAGGCGCACTTTGATTTTTCGCCTGTAGCGCCTAGCTACAGCAAAAGTTTTAACTGAAATTTCACAGAAAGTGAAATTTCATCAAGTTCTAAACACTCCTGTTGATAAATCGCGAGTTTATTTACCCGCTACAAAGTTAAAAGAAAAATTTCTTTTGGCGTGATTTTCCGATTTTATTTTCAAGTGCAAAGTGAACCCTTTGAAAATGCCCCGAAAAATAAGAAAATAATTTTCTGACAAACATCTGGCTGGGTATGTAAGTAGAGATAATAATGACTTATCAAAATTTATCAAGTTTACAGAAATTCTTAAATGTTAATTTGGAATTTTCCGAGATTTATTTAAGTGCGCCACGTTAGGGAACACTCCGCCAATTTGTGCCCAATTTCCGGACGCCACCGTTTTTCAATTTCGGCTTAAATTTTATGAAACCGAAATTGTTCACAGAGGTTAAATAGCAAGCATTAATAAGGTAAAAGTACTAGTATGTTACTGTATGAATTTGAGGTTTGTCAACAAAGAGGTTTGGCAACACTACACGAGGAAAGTTGGGTAAGCTTCGAAGTGCGCCACGTTAGGGAACACGACTATACACTCAACATTTGCCACAAATGTATTCCTACATACGCGGGACAGTTTACCGATTGCTAATGGTCAAAAGCATGTAGCGTAGATGGTTTTAAATCACCATTTTGGCACTATTATTCCCTTGTTTAAACCCCACTTGATTTGCCCTGAGACGTGTTATAAAAATAACAAAAATATTTAAAAAACTACTTTATTCCTTACAGGTGTTACAACCGAATCCCTGTTCATTGCCAAAGACGTTTTCACCATACAACCCGACGTACACCGCTATCTCTTTACGATCCACATCACCAACGAGTATGACCAGAGCGGCAAAGCGCACATGCGCGTTATCCTCAACGAGCCACCAGAGGGCGGTTTCTGCACAATTACTCCCCCGGAGGTCACCACTGACGACAAGGTGGATATAACGTGTTCGGATTGGGAGGACGACCACGGTGTTTCAAAGTACGAGTTCTTTGGTGAGTCAAATTTTGAAACTGTCTTAACTTTAACTCTGTATGCATTTTTGCAAGGATCTCTTCTAAATCCCCGAGCCCTAATTGGACACAACTACTTGCAGTTTCAGAGTAAATGTAATACCTGTTAATGGTACCTTAAGGAGCCATTTTGTTGTCATTAATTATACCTTAGGGAGACACCGGATATTAGGGAGACATTTCAATGTCTCCCTAATGTCACAACTCCTATTCAGAGGCAAAATTTTACTGTCGCAAAAAGGCTAGATCGATTGCGTGTGGTTCAAAACATAAATAAACCAAATTTTGTTGGGGTACCCTGTAGGATAAGGTAAGATTGGGTTAAGATGGAAACATTTTGTGCTCAAGTCTCCCAAATGACCCATTTCCCGTAGTCAGAATAATGATCATTATTTTCCAGTATCAACAAATAAAGTATTTTTTTTTGCCAATTTGTAAAAAGCTTACATTACATTCCCCGTCCTCTACAACAAATTCAGTTTTTTCTTTATAAATAAATTTTCAACTTGTATATTTTTTTCCATCATAAAGTCTATTTTTTTAACCCTTTGTTGGACGTCTGCAGCCCTTTTTTGCTTTGGGCATAAACAGATCTGCTTTGCGAGCAGACTGGCTCCCGGTCTCTCCCGGTCTGTATATTATCGATACTGATTGTGGGGCTGGAACCAGCCTATCCCGCGAGAATGGAATTATTGTCCAGCAGCCAATAATTTGAAAGTGTAAATTAAAATTCAATAACTAAACACAGGCCATTTTTTTTTGGTTGATGTCTCATTCAAGTGAATAACTTTTGTATAGCTAGAAAAATAGCAATTTGGAAAAGGGTTTTATTTTGTGGGGATGAAATTCGAAAATAGCACGTGAACGTAACATTGAAATCCTAACAATGATAATCTCCTTTATTTCTACAGTGCAAGTGCATGGTCAATCCGTCAACAAAGTCGTAGGTTTTGGCAGTTTGCCCACTGCGCAGTTCTACCCGCCGTTGGGCAAAGCTGAGGACGATTACCGAGTCACCTTTGGAGTCCAGATTGATGACGTTTTGGGGGCCACTACTATTCGCACCATTGGTACAATCATAGTAAGTACAGTTTCCATTTAGTATCTATCATTATGACACCTTGCCCATAGATTCTGTCTCTTAGTAAAATGTGGTATTTATCTATCATCTGTTTTACCTACTTTAACCATCAAAAAGAATTAACCACAGCCAAAAAGTGCTAACCCATGGGAACTTCAATTGTGGGGGGGGGGGGGATATCATATCAGTCATCATGGCAAGACCGCAGTTTAACGCTCAAGGGCAAATGATTCCAATCCCAAACCACATCAGCCCTTTTTTCAGAAACATGGAGGTTTTTACACAGGTCACATAGCACAGCACTGAAATTGATTAAAGCAAGGAACTTGGTCACAGTGTCCAAAAATATTGTTGTGGTCAATTGACCATTGTGCAGAGAGGCGTGACTGAAATTGGAGAATCTGCACAATCAAATTTTTGTCAAAATTTACTTCATGGTTTTGAAGTTATTTAAAAAAAAGTCAGACACTTTTTGGGGGACATACTGTATATGCACACATGATGGACTTGTGGATTGGGTCGGCCAGTGCCCATCAGATTCTCTGGTTTCCACCACAATTTTTATCCGAAGATTTCATTTTGTCATCGTCCTTTCTCAAAATGGTTTCATTAGTCTTTGGGAACTAAAGTAGTGCCACATACACTTTTGAAGAATCCTGGATTTTGTTACCAGAAGTACAGAATTATGAGAAATATTTGACTTTATTTTGCCTTTCTTTCCTAGGTGCGACCAACTAATATCAGTGCCTCAGAGTTCCTGTCTGAGGAGAACACCGTGGAGGCTGAGAAACGGTTCAAGACGTTAGCTGCCGAGGGTAACTCCAGAGCCATCAACAATGTCATCTTGAAGGAATCATCAAGACTGAATGACATACGCTCAACTGGAGGTTGGTTTTCACCTTGAACTAGATTTTTTATTTGGTGAAATGCTCCCAATTGTGAGTCAAAAGGTGGCTACAAGTAAATGAAACATGGGATTTAGCCCTAACCCTCCAGGGTATTTTGGTTGGAAGCCCTGCCATACACAACAACATGCAAGAGTTTTCAAAGTAAGGTGCCTGCCCAATGTAACAAGATTCAACAGTTCAACTATTCTAAGGACCAACTGCCTGAAAGTCTGTAACTGCCAGCAACCACAGGATACGACAGTGGAGGACTAGCTCCAATCATCTCGGAGTCTCACAGTCTCACAGGGTCTCACAGACTTCTTGTATCTTGCAGGGTTAGGATTAAGGAAAAAGGATGCTATCAGCATTTCACTTCTCTTTTATGAAGAGGAAAACAGGATTGTTGTATAAGGGAAGACACTTAAGGAATAGTGGTTTTACGGGGCGCACTTCGACGTTTCCCTCAACTTTCCTCATGCAGTGTTGCCAAATTTCTTTTTTGACAAACTTCAAATTCATTTAGTTATTTAATATAGGTACTTTTACCTAAATGATGCTTACTGTTGAACTTTTCTAGTGTCAAGAAATTTAGTCCAAAATTAAAAAACGGTCGCGTCTGGAAAGTAGGCACAAAATCGGCTGAGTGTTCCCTAACATGGCGCACTTGAACAAAATCTTGGAAATCCCACTTTAACATTTAAGAATTTCTTTAAAGTTGAAAAATTCTGAAAAACCACTATTATCTCTACTCACATACCCAACCAGAAGTTTGTCAGATTTTTTTTCCTTATTTTTGGGCACACTTTTAAAGGGTTTATTGTGCACTTCGAAATAAAATCGGAAAGTCAAGGCAAAATATATTTCTCTGCTAACTTTGTAACGGGAATGTTGTGAGCCTGATAAAATTTCACTTACTGTGAAATTTCAGGAAAATCTTTTGCTCTATCAAGGCGCTAGAGGCCAAAAATCAAAGTGTGCCACATTAGGGGCCGCGCCACTTTAGGGTACATCAACAATTCATGTACTTCTGCACGTAACTTCATACTTACAATTTCTGATAATATTAAGCAAAATTATTGTATTTATTTATTGTAGCTGCCTTTTTTTTTCAAAATGTTTCTTTTGTTTGTTTCCTCAGTGCAAGCTCTCAATGGTACCAATGCCACAGCAGAAGAGGTACGTGCATTGGTTTTGTATTCTTATCAAACAGCGGATAAATAACTAGAGTATTTCCCTCTCATCTTCAAACGTCCTTTGGATAAAAGAGTTACCCATTTTGGGGTTTATGAAATAAAATTTGCCAAAGCAGGATTTCCATTTTGCCTATGATCTCTGGAATACCACAATAGCTTTCCTTCTTCTGAACTATCCAGCCCTATGTTTCCTAATTTGTCAATATCTTTGCCCAAGAGTGATTAGTCTGCGCATGAGGCCATCAATTCTCAAAGGGATTTTTTGTCCAAAATCACAATTAGAAACTATGCAAAAGTTACAAAGCTAAAGCCTGGTTCATACTCAGCGCGAAAGCGAATGCGACGGAATTTGACATCACGAAGCATATGCTGCGAAATTCGCCGGAGTTCAAATGTGTTCAACTTTTGCAAATTCGCAGTGCGAAAACGCGCCCTGACGTCCCAAATTCGCGTTTGGTTCGCTTTCGCGCCAAGTATGAACCGGGCTTAAGGCAGTTTTCTGTAGTGAGCTTCCTGATGTGGCTTTTGAGGGAAAAGTAAAACAAATCTAATTAGAATAAAACTCTTTTCTCAGGATTCATCTGATGACGATGTCACAGATCCAAGACTGTATGAAGCAGGACGAACTAAACGAGCCTACGTAAGTCATCATTTAGAGGAATAAACAGCTTACTTAAATATTTGTTAATGTAAAATTGCGTGTGGAGTGCCATGGTCCACTGGTTATGTTGTCCAACTCATGCACAAGTCTGTACATGGTGCTTGTGTTCTTGGGCAAGACACTTTACTACAATTGCCTCTCTCCCCTGGAGGATAAATGGGTAAATAAGGTTTCACTGATCTTGGGCTGCTGCAGAAAACTGGTCTCATGGCCTGATGAACAGAGGCAATTATTGTGAAGTGCTTTGAGACATATACATTATATTTACACAGTCCCATGTTGGAATACTAACTGCAGATTCAGGGGCGGATCCAGGAATTTTTGCAGGGAGGGGGTGAGGACCGTTTGATTTGTTTATGTCTGATTGTTGCGGACAGGCGGACCTATAGGTAATGCAGCTCATTGTTACTGATGCACTTATTGTCATAATTTTATTTTTTTTTGGTGCAAAAAAATTGTTAGTGGCCTGACGTTTCGACCCTAGCAAAGTCTTTCTCAAAGGCTAAATGACAACACTATAAACAGAAACAGGTACATGTACATGTATACATTACTGATGTAACAAAAGCAGTCAAGTGGAAATAGATGATGCAGAGGAAAATACAAGGAGAAAGCAGGCCGCTGAACAGAAAGGAGGGTAACAAAAGGAAGGGGGATTGGGGGATCTTAGATATACAGGAATAGCTCCAGAGATGCCGATTATTTCACTCGTACCCCCGCCCTGCAAACAGGACGCTGGGATACTCTGATGAATTCACGCTCTGATTGGTTGGATTTTGCGTGACCAGTGACCTGCGTGTCATCAAGGTCATGACTCTGCAAGGTTTGAAACGGCCGTTAAGACTGATTCATTACTCTTTTATTCCAGTTTAGAGGGTTTTTTTTTTTCGTTGAAAAGGGTAATAATGTAGGAAATTCTGTAAAACTTATCTGTGTTGTAAATTTACAATTCCCGTCACTTGCTCAGGCTCCGTTTCAAATCACGAACGGTCGGATTGCATAATGCGACGCTCAAAATTTTGTCCACATGGTCCGCAGTGAAACAGAAATCGCATCCGGTATGGAATGCGCGCAATTCTATGGGAAGTTTTCGGATAGCATTTGCGCACATTGTCTAACTGCGGTCTTGAACAGCTGCAGCCAGATGCTTTATACATAGGTCATAGGCCACTTCCTTCACAAGATTCTGTGAATTTCATCAGAGTATCCCAGCGTCCTGTTTGCAGGGCGGGGGGTACGAGGGAAGTCGATTATTAGGACTGAAGAGCACATAACACCCACTCATATATTAAGCAAACAAAAACCACAAGAAAGAGTATTAAAAGTATTTCATTTTAAACTTATTTTTTTTTGTAGTGGAGAAAGAATATGGCCGATTTGCAGACTGAGACAAGTCTAGACTCACTCGGTGATGTGCTGTACAGTGCCTCGGCCGCCACTGTACTGACTGAAGCGACGGACGAGCTATCCCATGATGCCTTGGTAAGTCTCAAATATGCGCCCCTAGTTGTCGCCAGTTACCTGTAATGCAACCTGTGAGAGTCAGTATTCTCATTTCTGCTAACCATTGAATTTGGAGCAATGATCACCATTCCGTGCTAACAAGACTAGCAACTAGAAATTCAACCCTGTTTAGAATCTTTTGGCCAATTTGTACTTCGCGCAAAAACATAAGCGAAGCCGATTTAATGACATCCACAATTAAAAACTTTCATTGTGACGTTTGCCGTAACCCTAATAAATTTGCTTCCCACTGAAATTCGCATGAACTATGAGCCAACCTTTGGTAACATTATGTCCTGCTCACATATCAAATTTCTTGCTAAGGCCAAAAAAAATTATAAGTCGGTCTCTGGTCAGCGCGCGCGTCAATTTTAATCATGCGTGTCGATCTTCTTTTTTTTCCAAAATGTTCCGCGGTAGCTCCAACAGTGCCCTCTATTTCTGCACCTCCTCAATTTTTTTACCAAAGAGCATCAAGGAATGGGAAATTTGCACCAAGGCAAATGATCGAAAGCACCAAGGCAAATTATGGAGGACACCAATGTACATGAGGACACCAAAAAAGCAAAATAGTACCCCACCTTGTCTGTACAATCCAAGCTTGAAGAAAAAAAAAAACGCTTCCCCGCGTCAATTCCGGAACTTTGGTCTGACCAGAGACCGAATATTATTTTTGTGGCCTACTCCATGAATGACTGCAACCATTGGCACACAGTAATCTGCTGTAGGAGCCAACATTCTTTGCTGTGGTAGGCATAGCCATGAAATTACATCCAGAACTTGTAGGAATATTTGGAAGTGCACGGTGCATTCCACATTGTTACAGGTGATGGACAAAAAAAAAAAGTCTCCGGTTTCTGGTATGAGCGCGCGTCGCCGTAGCCATGGGCGTCGGCAAAATGAAAAAGTTTTTTTTTCAATGAAAGATGATGTCTCAAAACCGCCAAACGCACTTGTTTGACTGGAATCCTGCTGCTGCACAATTTCAATGTGTTTTTAGATGGGGTTATGATCGAGAATAAGCTTTATGTGGCCTCTCTGGTCTCCCATAATATTTGCACTTAGTTTAGTCGGGCACCATTTGCAGTCATCAGCCGACATTTGAAGCAAAAAAAAAGCAGGTAAAAAAAAAAAGCCGCGTCGCCGCACCACTTTTTGGGCAAGCTCCATACCAGAAACCGGAGACTTTTTTTTTTGGCCTAATGGACAACACTTGCAGGCATTCAAAAATGAAACTGTCACAATGCCTTGAAATATCCTATTTGATTGATCACGCATCCCGTGAAATCTTTGCGCATAGTTTGCTGTCATTGTCAAGAAAAGAGGACCAATGCATGGGAGGTTTGCGGTAACACCATGTGAATGAATGATATCCCTAATAGTGAGTTGTGTGTTTCGGAGAAGAACCAGTTGGTTTAACTTGACGTTTCGAACGTTATGCTCTGCTCGTCATCATGAGACACAAGGAATAATTGTTTTTTCTCGTTATAGTTAGGACCAAACCGTCAGGCTTTGCGTCAAGAAAAATGACGATGCATTTTCCTCAAAAAGTATTATATCTTCTTTGCTGACCTTTCGATAGGTTTTTTTTTTGTTAACCTGCTTCAAATATATTGTATTGTTGTTTCTTGAATCTGTAAAAACACTTTTTTTTTTTGCAAATTGTGTCCATTACCTTCCTTCCTTGAAAGTGCAGCCTCATATATATGAGGATAAACGCACTTGCCAGAAACACCGGGGTGAACCCCTTCTCTTAGCGATAAGTGTTACTGGGTTCTTTTAAGTGAATTATACAACACACAGGACCTACAGCTTTACGTCCCTTCTGAAGGACGAAGCAATAATCGTTAAGTGCCTTGCTTAAGGGCACAAGTGTCCACCCGGGCTCGAACCCACACCACTGTTGCCTCTGACCGCTAGGCCATGACACCCCACCCTTTGACAAATCAAGAAAACAATAGCCTGCTTCGTGCCATATATTTTTGAGAAGTGATTGGTAGATACTTTTTATTTGCATGGTTATTGAACCGATGTCTCTTTTTTTCTGCAGTCATCCATGACCAGGCTCGGAGACAAAATGGTGGGGACGTTGGAGCGCACGGCCCAGGATACTGACCAGAAGACTGTGGTCAAGACAGCGTCGGCAATGTTTGAGACCTTCACTAACATGCTGGAGGTAAGACCTAGAGACCCTCAGAGAAATTGCCGTCAGTAAAACCAGTATTAGCAACATTGTTATTTTGGGAGTTGACCAAATGTGATGTGTTCTGTCCCCCAAAAAACAGACTAATTTTGACAGAAGATTGAAATTAGGTTTTCCAAATATTTGTTAAAATGTAGATCTTCCAGTTATGAGGAAAATTTAATTTTTAAAATAAGATTTCCTTTATTAGTTATGGTCAGTGGTTGTTTATGTCACAAAGATACAGGTTTTGGGTTACGCATTGGTTGAAATCAGGTGTTAGTTCAGAAGCTAACAGATGCAGTCAATGTACTAAAAACGAGTTTGGACCGACTCCTTGCATTGCGCTAACTGTACGGGATAGCCACAGTAGGAGTTTGTACAGAAGCTAACAGATGCAGATGCAAAACTGATGAAGCTCTAGTCTGTACATGAGTTCGAGACAAGAAATCCCCTACAGTTTTTTTGGGGGGGGGGGGGGGGGAGGGGGGAGAGGGAGGGGGGTTCATATCTCTATTTTGAACTCTGCCCAGAAGTGTATGCTTTTGACAGAACATGTCACAGATGAAAAGTTATTTTTAGTTAAGCAAGCTCATCACAGGCTCAAGTACTAGTGCTTTTCATCTCATGCGCAGACTCTGCAGGTTTGTGCGCAGCATAGATGAAATTAAGTCATGTGTACCTTTCGTTCGTGTAAATTTGTAATTGTTCTACGTAACCCCCGAGGACAGACACACAAAGGGAGAACAAAAAATCCTTTCAGTCCTCGTGAGTTTGGTTTTTTGTTCAAAACGGTCCTCTGTAGTAGGTTTGTGTGCTTGATCTATGGGAGAGTGTTATATTACAGGGACTAAGTAGCTAATCTTATTCCAGTTAAAATTCTGCATCCTGTAAGCACAACATGCAACTCTTTTTATAACAAGTTCAACATGGTCTTGTGAATTTCTTACTTTTTCACATCTTGTTTGATTGTAATACTTCAGGGTTCAGCCAAGACGATTGAGGATCCCCTGTGGTTGCTGGACCAGTATGAAGAGGACGGGTCATCGGCAGGTTTCTCCTCATTGCACAATGACATCGAGAGGGAACTTGGCCAATCAGAAGGTCAGTTGTAACAAAGTCATCACAAGAAATCACCAGATATCACAAGATATCACAAGTTGTCACAAGCTAACCACAAGCCGATCACAAGATATCACAAGGTATCGCAAGTTGTCACAAGCCAATTACATATCAATCATTATTAAGAAGGAACTCCGCCAATCACAAGGTTATAATAAAGTCATCACAAAAAAATTCATTTTCAATTTCAAGTCATTACAAGGTATCACAAGTCATCAAATTTATCACAAGTTATCACAAGTCAATCACTGGTCAATCACAAGTCGATCACAAGAGATCACAAGCCCATCACAAGGTCAGGCATCTATGTACATGTCCCAAAGCTGTACAGGTATAACAATGTCATAAGAAAATATCACAAGTCATCACAAAACATTAAAAGTTATCACAAGGTGTCACAAATCATCACAACATATCACAAGTCATCACAAGTTGTCACAATTTTAAGTTGTCACAAGTCAATCACGATATATCGAGAGGAAACTCGGCCAATCGAAAGGTCACTTGAGTCTCTATGCATGTCCCAAAGCTGCAGACGTGTAGCAAAATCATCACGAGATATCACAAGTCATCCTAAGATAACACAAACTGTGACCTGGATAACTTTGATCCTAAGGCTGAGTGGCGCAGACTCTGGGCAGATGGGAACACCAACAATAGAGAGATCATCACAGATCCCACGGTAAAACAACCCGGATTTGACCTCCATCGCAAGCAATGGCCAACCCTGGACAGGATCCGCACCCTCCATGCGAGAACAGCCCATCATCTGCATAAGTGGGTGATGACAGAGAGCCCTGCTTGTGACTGTGAACATCCAGCCCAGACCATCCAGGACATCGTGAACGACTGCCCACTGAGGCTTTTCCCCGGCGGCATCAAAGCCATCCACACTGTAACCCATGATGCCCTGGCCTGGATGTCGACCCTCGACCTACAACTGTAGGCTGAGCATGCCATACAAAAGAAGAAGGCCAGTTGTGACAAGTCAATCACAACTCACAAGTCAATCACGTTTATCACCCATCAACCACAAGTCCGCCAGTCTCCATTTAAGTTACAAGCTTGTAAAGTTGACCTACCGTTCTCTTTTCTTCAGAGGAATCTTATCTTACCACAGAAGACACTGTCAGTCAGGAACTCAAAGCAGAAAAGGAGAGAAAGGTACGACCAACTTTAATGCATTTTTTTCCAATCCAATTGATAAGCAGCTCTCAAGTTCAATGTAAAATCCAAAATTAACCTCTTGGAATTTCATCTCAGTAAATATTTTTACTTTTGAAGGAATTTTGTCTTTATAAGATTAATTTCATTGATAGGTAAATGGTGACATCGCATTCTTCGGTGCATGACTTAACATATAATGTTGTTTGCAAATTTGTTCCCTGACAAAAAAAATCTGCCGAATACCAATCACATGTAATCACATGATATTTGGGGATCACTCAGAGAGGATACAGCTATTATATAAAATCCATTACTTTGAGATAAGTTTTCAATTCAGTGCTTTTTTCTTCATTTTCAGGCCCGTGCAATCGTTGCGAAAACCAACATGTTGATAACGCAAGTGGCAGACATCATGAAGCAGAACAAGCTACCGCGAGAGCCGGCCAGCAAGTTTCAAACTAAGACTGGTTCCATGACTGTATCTCGGACTGAAGCCAGTAAGTCCCTATCACCTGATATTGTGGAAATGTTTTCATTCAGCTCCTGTGTTATTGTTCCTGTGTCACTTACCATATGATACCTTAAAAAAATGCAAAAACATTGAAAAATTGACGAAGTTCTAGCAGCGTTTTGTTTGACAAGTTTACTCCATGTTCCGGTCACTTCTATGATGCGCGTCGCGCCTGTCGTTTGCTCCATGTTTGATTTTTTTCTTATATGGAGATCACATCAATGGTTCTCAGACACCCGGTTGTAGAAGCGCACGTGGCACGTACTGCATGCATGTGGCTTTAAGATCACCAACATGATGGGCTGTCGACCAATTGGAATGGTTAAAGGGAATGTACATCATTGGCTTATGCTTCAATTTTCAGAAATGAACTATTTGAGGGGTTAGTATAATAGATCAAATTATTGTTACACTGACATGTTTGAAGTTGTGTTTTCGAAAATGCTGAGAAACCAAGAAAAACAATATGTTCAAGTAGTCTGGTTCCCTGACTCCACTGAAGATGAAATGGATCAATTTACAGATGCCGGAAAATTGTACGCTAAGGGAACCAGTCTAGCTGACCTGCACCCATTCATGATCATAAAACCAATTAGCAAACAAAATTGGACTGAAAAAATGGTAAATTTGGAGCAGTAGTGAAAAATAGTTAGGTTTTTCCTACGGTGGTCGGCCGACCACCGTTGGAAATGTAAACAAAAATATAATTTTCTTGAAAACGACTTCACACCAGGTGCCATAATTTTACAGGAAGCTTTAGACTGTCATTTACCAACATCCTGTAAGGTATTTCGTAAAAACTTGGTCATTTTATTTTTCGATGTTTGCAAATGTTGTATTTTCCCTTTAAACTGTCTCAAGTATTTATGAATGAATATGTGTGTCTGTAAGTAAGACGCAAACCCAAACTCTACTAAGTGTTTCCGTTATCAATATTATTTTGAACCCCTAAAAAATTGACCAGAGCAGGAATTGAACCTGTGACCACCGTACCAGTGCATTACCAACTGAGCTATCCAACCCTGAAGTTGCTAGCATCCAAACTTAAGTCTCGATTCCTAGCCAAGTGCATACATGTTTATGGCTTCTGACTAGCGCCCCTTGAACAAAGACATTGACAAAATGGGGAACCGCCAACATAAGGCTGGATAGTTCACTTGGTAGGGCCCCGGAACGGCAATCCGGAGGTCGCAGGTCCAAACCCTACTCCACTCAATTGCTGTTTGTGATTTAGTTGATGAAGCATGTCGGTAACGTTAGATTTCTGAACTCACAGGTACAGCAGTTAATCAGGCGATGAAGGAGGGCAAGGGTACGTTCAATCTTCCAAGTTGGTGCGCTGTCAGGGGTCAAGCGGACTGCGAGGAAGATGAAATAGTAGACGTCCAGGTACTGTGAAATAAAAATGTTTTGATTATTTAGTTTTCCCAGTGGTATTTATCTGCAATTATTCCAAATAAGCAATCTTCTTACTAACTAAGCTTTGGGCTTCATATCCTGGTTTGATTTTTTTATCCTCATTTATTTTATTTTTTTTGTATTCTGAGCAATTCACTCATCCCAGTTTTTTTCCAACTGTTTTTAATCAACTGTTTTAAGTTAAAAAAACAAAACAAAACAAAACCCCCAAAACACCCAACTTTTTTTAAAGTGTTTTTTTTGTTTTTGTTTTTGTTTTTGTTTTTTTGTGTTTTTTAAATTCTGTCATTGTTAGCCTCGTTGTTATTTATTAGCCTTGTTACATGCATTATTTTTTAACTCTCATTATGATGTTTTACCGGTCTTGTAACTATTTTTGTTGTTATGCATACAGTTTTTTCTTCAGTCTATTTTTAATGTTTTTAATGTAAACCTGCCCACAATCCAGCCTTCGGGCTGCGACGGGAGAGTGAAATAAATCATTTAATAATAATAATAAATAATAAAAATTGCTATAAATCATAAACCCTCCTGTACTTATAACTATCACAAACTATCAAAAAACTAATAACCCCTTCCTCTCTCGGTACGTAGCTTTTGTACAAGCTGGTCACCAACTACCAGAAACCCGTATGGATTACACCGTATAACTGCCAAAGCCCGTTGAAGTGGTTTGATAGATCGGTTGACCATTAATACCGGTACAGCTTGTGTAGCAGCCATTTTAACCTGTCAATTGTACCAATAGGAGGCCAGTTTACAGACCTGTTAAAACTTGTAACCTGATAGATTTTGACCCATAGGGTTACTCACTACAGATTGTCACTAAAAGAGGGACGGTTAAGTAAGGCCAAAAAAAAAAGTCTCCGGTTTCTGGTATGGAGCTTGCCCCAAAAGTGGTGTGGCGACGCGGCTTTTTTTTTTTTTTTTTACATGTTTTTTTTTTTTTTTTGGCTTCAAATGTCGGCTGATTACTGCAAATGGTGCCCGACTAAACTTAGTGCAAATATATGGGAGTCCAGAGAGGCCACATAAAGCTTATTCTCGATCATAACCCCATCTAAAAACACGTTAAAATTGTGCAGCAGCAGAATTCCAGTCAAACCAGTGAGTTTGGCTGTTTTGAGACATCATCTTTTATTGAAAAAAAACTTTTTCATTTTGCCGACGCGCATGGCTACGGCGACGCGCGCGCATACCAGAAACCGGAGACTTTTTTTTTTTGGCCTAATGTTTTCTTTTTTTTGTATTATTTATGTGGGCATGAGGTGTCCAGGCCCCCCCCTCCCTTGGAATTCCAAGGATATGTTAACCCCCGCCCCCTCCCACTCACCAACATGAATTTTTGCCACCGGTCGTGATGACACAAATTGGCATTCGTTTTTGCACTGAGTAGGAACTGGCCTTAAGAGAACACAAAAATATCCTTTTTAACCTATAGATTATGAACACAAATCACTCAACTCACGGAGAGGGTAGTGCCACATACAAAAAAAACCTGTAAAACACAGAAAATATTTCATATCTTTTTTCCCCTGTCTTTCTAATGCAGACCAACTCCTTCCAGACGAACCACTACAACTACATGAACAGCAGCCACCGCATCTCGGATAAATCCAACGTCTTGGCGCTTAAGTTTGAAGACAAAAACGGACAAGAAATCGACATCAGCAATGCCAAAGAAGAGATTGAGATATGGATACCCCGGCCCAACACAGAGACACCGCAGTGCAACAGCTTCGCACAGAACTTCAACACGACCAGTCAATCAGGTACTATACATGGTTATTAATATTCATAAATACCTAAGACAATGCCCATTCTTATAGGTCGAGAGCCAGTCATGTGGCCGGTCGTAAACGGATGATATAGACATGGCTAGCTGGTCTTAAACACTTTTCCAGTGTCACATGAAGTTTGGACTCCCATGAAATCCGGTGCCTCTTACCGTTTTATTGGTTGAACGTTCAAAATCCTCACGTAGGCATGCGCAAGTAACACTTATCGCTAAGTGTTTCTGGCAGTGGCTGCAATATGTGCCGCAGCACCTAGCAAAAAGCTGCTACATAATGGGTCTCATATGTTCATATACTTCATTTACCTGGCTTTGGTTGCATGATACCCCAGCGCTTTGTATCCTTTGGAAAAGGCGCTATATAAATATGGTTATTATTATTATTATTATTATTATTATTATTATATTGCAGCCACTGCCAGAAACACCGGGGCAAACCCCTTCTCTTGGCAATAAGTCAAGTGACAGGACAAGTGTTTTGGGCACAAACAGATCTGCTTTGCGACCAGACTAGTTCCCCGTCCACATATCATTGATACTGAATCGGGAGCTGGAACCAGCCTATCCCTTGAGTAGAATTATTGTGTGGCAGACAATTATTCACAATTACGAAGTCATAATTCAGTATTGGCTGATTTCTTTCGGTCAATGTCGCATGTAAAACGGGATAACTTTTGTATGGCTAGAAAAAATAGCAATTTAGAAACGGAATCAATTTTTTTCAGGCTGAAACTCAAAAATAGCAAAAGGAACACAACTTAAAGGTATAGTCCATCATTTGTAATTTGTGCATTTTGTTCGTTCAAAGCAACAAAAGTGCTCAAAATCTAAAGAAGGGTGCTGAACAACTAACGTGATGAAGTTTCAGCTCAGCTTCAGCTGTATATTTCGAGAAAAACAACAGTCTAGGATCTCGATTTCAAATCAAAAGTTGCTGAATCATGTTTTGAATTGGGCCTGAATTCAGCGTCCGAGACACGTTCTCATTGAACCGATTGCAGCTACGCGATGTCGCGCACTGATCTGACGAATTATAGCAGCTGCGCACGTGTGCATCGTGCCAATGCTTACTTGCGCTTCGCCGAATAACAAAACAAACTACTAATTTGAATTTCCTACGGTGCTTCTTAAGAAACACCGTTTGAAAGGCCTTGTTTTGTTGATTTCTTATAAACGACAGCTTGCCAGAAAGAATAATTTCACAGGGAGTTCAGTCCCCTTTACTATCTTTCAACCAAGTATGTTTTTCAACAATAATTACACCAGTTACTTTTTGGACAGCTGCAAATGATGGACTCTGGCTTTAAATAACCCAGATTTGCCAACAATTTGAAATCCTCTCAGGAAATCAAATGAACCCTGTTATCATCTTCTCTGCTCCCCTCCAGGCATGTCCATGCATTCGTTCTACATCCCGTTCGACCAGACCGTTGCCACACTACAAGTTATCCCTGAGGAATTCTTCAGCATTCAGTACGGTCTGCTGCTGCGGTACCTACATCCACCGAATCGGGAGGAATACGACCACATGTGGATCATGCCTCCTAACATCAGCGTTGGAGGTAGGTGCAGAAAGCTGGACATTGGTGCACTCGTGGCGTGGGCGGCGCTTGTGTAAAAGCGCTCGCCTCTCACTGCTGTGGTCCGGGTTCGATTCCCGGCTCGGGTCATATTTGCCTAGAGTTGTTTGTTGATTCTCTCCTGTGCCACGAGGGTTTCTGCTAAGGAGAATACACGAGAAAGTGTGGATTCGTAATTCGCGCCTCGTGAATTTGTAAATTAAGAATCCACACTTGCGAGTGTATTCTTCGACTTAAACCATGCGTCAAGAGAAGTATTGGCATTAAACAGTTAGTAGAGATGAAAAGACTTAGGAAAAATGTTGCAACCTGACGTCACTTCCGCGATTGTGTACAAAGTCTATGGAGCGTCAAGATTTTTTTAAAGTATTTCCTAACAAAATTGGAAATATTTCTCAGTCCCAGATTCATGTCTTATCATCATTTTTGAAATGAATGACCTTCATTGAGATGATATATGAAGAAAAAAGTGGCGTCAGGTTGCAATATTTTTCCCGGCTCCTTCCGTCGACATATGGATAGTTCAAACGATGATTTCTTTCTGACTCGAAGTTGGTTTTGCAGTGACTCCGGAGAATCTGACAGTGAAGATGCATTGGTAATTTCGGAAGGAAGCTTTCACGCATACGGTCCTATTAATGCTCATTATGGAGAACAATTGTCCGACGTGTTCAAAGTGTGGATTCGTAATTCCGAATCCACACTTTACTAAAGATTCTTCGTTCGGAATCCACACTTTGTGACCAGCGTAACAGATTCGTAGTTCCGGATCCACACTTTTAACAATAGTGTGATGTCATAGCAATGGTTTAATCTGGGTTCTCCGGTTTTCCTTCCTCCACAAAAATCGATACTTTCGATCTCTTGCTGTGCTCCGTGGTCAGACATGGGTCATATGGCGGCTGCCAAAGGCGCCTTTACATGCCTTCGTCTCGACCACGTTGTAGCTGCGTCCTTCGCAATTTAGCTCCCATTGCGAAGAATGATTAGTTCCCCCTCCCCCCCCCCCCAATTTATTTATTTATTCTCTGTGCACAAGCACCTCCTCTACGGACTCCTTTATAGCCATGGTAAAAACTGCGACCAGTCAAATTCCGTCAACAGACAAAAGAGGTAACTGGTAGGTACAGCTGGCATATCAATCACCTCCAGTCAAAGCATGGCCATATCGAATTAACAAGCGAATTCTTAACTCTTAAAAACCTGATTGATTTTGACTGCTGTGATGGCTTAGCTGAATTTGCCAGTCACAGAGGAAGCATTCATTTATTTTGACTCTAATTTTCTCCCGTACTCCTATAGCAAATGTCAGCGACTACACCATCTACCTCAACGAAGCCTACATCTCCAACAACACGGGCACCTACTACCTAGGCATCGTTGAGATCCCCCAGGCACCCCAGGGGGACCTGCCGGACACCCTCTTTGACGACAATCTCAGCCCCCAGGAGCTGCTGGACGACATACTCAAGATGCACAGGGCCTTCAACTTCACCGGCAACTACACGCTGTGCGTTTACATCTCGGGCTGCGCGTACTTCAATAATAAGACGCAGGAATGGTCCACTGATGGAGTCAGGGTAAGTTTCGGATCCAGTTACAGATCAGCTATTTCGTTATTGTCCTTAGACCTTGAACAAGTTAAGTAAAAGTCTGTTATGAGCCAATATGCATTGCCCGTTAGGTCTTCGTTCATCACGGGTTTCCATGGCAGAAACGACGGAGAAGATTTCTATCCCCCCTGGATGGGATGCTAGTAGTCCATCACAGCAGCAGTCAAATATACACAAACCTTTTCACCCTTGTTTTGACAGGTGGGACCCAAGACCACCAAGGACCTGACCCAGTGTTTCTCCAGGCACTTGACAGACTTTGCCAGCACCTGGCTCGTACCCCCGACGCCGCTGGACTTCCAGTACATCTTCAACAACGCCGGCTTTCTGGAGAACTTGACCATCTACATCACGACCATCGTTATCTACGTGCTCTTTGTCTTCATCTTCATCTGGGCACGGCGGAAGGACAGGAAGGACATTATTATGGTGGGTTCTAGTCTTGGCTTCAAGACTGTTTTAATATTATGTAGTCTAGGCTTCAAGACACAGTTTTGGATATGTAGTAGACTTGGCTTAAAGGTAGAGTATATCATTTGCAGCTATCCAAAAAGTAACTGACACAATTTATGTTGAAAAGCATACTTGGTTTACAGATAGTAATGGGACTAAACTCCCTGTGAAATTATTCCTTCTGGCATGCTGTCATTTTGAAGAAATCAGTAAATGAAGGTCCTTTCCAAAGATGTGCCTGAAGACGCATTTTTGGAAATTTCTGTTAGTAGTTCGTTTTTAATTCAGCTAAGCCATGTGCGTGCAAGCGTTGACATGATGCACACATGCGCGGTTGCTATAATTCGTCGGTTCAGTGTGTGACATCGCGTAGCTGCAATCGGCTGAATGAGAACGTGTCCCAGACACTGATATCGGGTGCAATTCAAAACATTACTTGGCAACTTTTGAATTGAAATCAACATCCTAGAATATTGTTTTCTCAGAATGTATAGCATTCACTTAGCTAAAATTTCATCAGGTCAGTTGTTAAGCACTCTTCTTTAGATTTTGAGCCTTTTTGTTGCTTCAACCAAAAAAATGTACAAATGACAAATGATGTACTCTATCTTTATGAAAACAACGTAGAGGGAAGGGCAGATGCCAACATTAAAACAGATCATTTGATTTTGCCTTAAGACGACCATTTTTGACGCCATTTATAATATCATTGCTACTGTCTTTTACCTTTCAGCAAGGACTGGCCCCCATGGCTGACAACAAACCAAAGCACAAGTATCTGTATGAGATAGCCGTCATGACGGGGCAGTGGAAAGGATCTGGTACCAGCTCAAAGGTAGACAAACCCATGGTCAAGGTTGGATATGGGTGGGGTTGACGCAATGGAGGCCATGCCCCCTTCCCCCCGAAACAAGTGTCTTTTTTGCTTTAATAAAAATCAAACAAGCATATGTCGCATGAGGAAGACTTTTTTTACATCGATGCTACTCTTCCTCTTATCTTCTTCGGATTTGTGAAATATTACTACAAAAATAAGCGTTAAAAACGGGGGAAAAACCCTAGTGTCAAATGAGGCCAACACCCCACCACCACCAACCCCCCACCCCTGGCAAAAATAGAAAAAAACATGTGAGTAGAGTTATTCGTTGGTTCTCTCCTGTGCCACAAGGCTTTATCTCCAGGTTCTGTGGTTTTCCACCCTTCGCAAAAGTCAACCTTTGATCTGGCTGATGTGCTCCGTAGTCAGACGTAGTCGATTGGCAGCTGCCTTAAAGGTTCCTTCACATGCCTGCAGCTCGATCATGTTGTAGGCTTCTTCCTTCACAATTCAGCTTCTGCTGCAATTCAGGACGATAATCTCCCAAATGAATTAATTAATTAATTTATTTATTGTGTCATGCACACTTCTGTGAAAACTTGTATTTTCATTTCAACTTTCCAGGTCCATTTTATCTTGTCCGGTGAAGACGACGAAACCGAAGTCAGGACGTTTGAAGATGACAAACGACCCATCCTACAGACTGGATGCGTTGATCGCTTCGTCATGGCAGTACCAAAGTCAGATATCATGTTTTCTATTCATAAGATGGGTTTTTGCCCTTCACTGACGCATTTTATGAACACTGTATAGTCAGTGTCGGCCCGAGTGAGTGTGAGAAAAAGAAACTCGATCAAAAATATCTCGGAAGCTGCGGGCCAACGAATTCGTGTTCATGCATGAGTCACGTGATTGTGCCGTGTAATTTCTGGAAGGAGTAGTGTTTTGAGTAAAACAAATCAGCTTATTGACCCCAGTGACCCCGTGATGACCTTTGACCCCAGTTTGATCATGTGACATGTTGGGGCTGGGCTACTGATACTTTTGACAAAGTTTGGTTGCAATTGGTCAAAATATGTAAAAGCAGTAGACAATGTCAACATTTGTTACTAACCAACTAACCAACTAACAGAGAGACATGATGATTTGTTGAGCTATCCCACAGTTAACAAAAATCATGGCCTACTCGGGTGGGAGTTGAACCCAACTGAGGAAGCAGGAGCTTGTTGGTTTGAGCCCCCCCCCCCCCACCCCTTCCCCCTCCCCCCTCCCCCACTCCACCTGAGTCTTTTGTGAATCATAATGAAAAGTAGCGCGCATCTGCTCAACCGGAAATGTCCACACAAGCTTTAACGTGGGGAAATGACCACAAAGATAGCCCAGTTTTACACTAAAATTCCTTGTATCTTCACAACGGACTGTCGCACAAATCTGGGAGTTGCAGATTATGAAAATTCATTCTTCTGGCTTTAAGTCTATCTTTGTCTGGCTTGGAAAAGCAGAAAAACCACTGATAATTTTTTTATTGAAAATGTGGGGTATGAGGCAATTGCCTATGGAGCGGAACAGAAAATGACCGTTTGTGACAGACCTTTGGTTGTTTATCTCAACGTATCTCGAGAACCCAATGTCAGAGCACACTGTGGGTAGCGGTTTTGTAAAGAGGATGAAGTTCTCTTTCCATTTATATAAGACTCAATTTCATTGGTTAAGAAACCCCTGATCATTTTTTTCGTCAAAGTTTTCCCCCAATGACTGGATTTCTTGCAGAGGTCAGTTGTGTGAGTGCACGTGGCCAGCGTGTTGCATGTGCTATGCAAATCGCAAGGTCAAGTGGGCAAGCTGTGGAGCTGTCTCACACACATTGATCTTTTGCGCGTTTGGGCCCCAAACTTTTCATTATGTTTTGTTTTTTTGTAATCAAAGAATTTATTAAACATTTGTAAAGTTAGGAGCGTTTTGTTGCTTTTTTACCCTCATGCCACTAGGCCCCCTGAACTACATGCGGGTCTGGCACGATAACTCAGGCAAGGGCTCCGGGCAGAATTGGTTTGTGGCCTACATAGCGGTACGAGACCTGCAGACTAGACAGAGATATTACTTCATCGCTAATCGCTGGTTCTCATTGGTCGATGATGACGGTCAGGTAAGAAGGCCCATCCTCTTCATTAAGACCCCTTTAAAAGTTCCGTTCCACATGCTCTTCAACATAATAAAATTTTGTTTCTCTTAATTAATTTTCAACTTAGGCCTATAAGTCTAATTTTAACCCAAAACTTGTTTTTTCCTTCTTTTTTTTTGACGTCAGCAACCCTCTGAAAAAGGATTTTGTTTTGGGTACAAATAGATCCACTTTGCAGACAGAATGGTTCTGGTCCATACATTATCAATACTGGTTGTGGCCAGGCGGAACCAATCAACCCCCCTCCCCCCCCCCCCCCCCCCCCCCCCCCCCCCCCCCCCCCGAATGGAATTATTGTCTGGCAGCTAATAATTCAAAATTATAACATAATAATTCAATTACTGAACATTGGCCGATTTCTTTTTTTTTGGTCAATGTCTAATTCAAAGTAAATAAGTTTTGTATTAGAGAAATAGCAAATTTAGAAAAGGAATCTATTTTTCGGGATGAAACTCGAAAAAAGCATAGGGAATGTAACTTTAATAAAAAACAAAATTGCATATATTTTTTTTTTCTTTAAATGGTCCAAAATTAAAAGGTTGATGTTGAAATCTGATCTGTGAATCTGTGTCCGTTGTTAATTGTTCGCTTTTCCCCCCAAATTTTCAAGGCTTAGATCCATCAATATGCATACTTATTCTTTTGCCATAATAACATTAATTATTAATCTCAAGTTATTGTCTGAAAGTTAATACTTCACCACGTTTCTAAAAGAATATCTGCAAAATAAGTGCTGATATTTATTGTTTCACTTGCTTGTATGTCGGACTAATATATTGGCAGTTAATTTTTGAGTGTATGCAAGTGTGCCTTTAAAGGTAAGGTACAACATTTGCTTTTGCTACAATTTTTGGAAATAAATGGATTTGGAGGATTAGTATGTTATAGCAAATATTGTTAAACTGACTTGTTTCACGTTTTGGGCTTGTAGATGCTGGAAAAACCAAGAAAACCTATCATGTTCTTGTAGTCTGTTCCCTGACCCCACTTAAGATGAAGCAGAGCAATTTATGGACTTTGGGGATTGTAAGGTCAGAGAATCAGTCTAGTAGGCTTGTACCCCTTCACAGGTGTGTAATCAATTGCAAAGTAAATGCGGGATAACTAAATATGAAAAATTAGGAGCAGGTTCTGAAAAAGCCAGTTTTCTCCAACGCTGGTCGGCTGACCAGCGTTGGAAAATTACAATTTTTCTTGAAAATGTCAGCACACCAGGAGCCACGATTTTACAGGATGCTTTAGACTGTCATTCCCTAACAATCCAGTTAGGTATTTCGTGATAATTTGATTATTTTGTTTGTTGATGTTTGCAAATGTTGTATTTTCCCTTTAACTTTTCTTTCGATTTTGTCCACTGCCTCTGTCCAGGTGGACAGGCTACTCCCCGTAGCCAGCAGGGAACAGATGCAAGGCTTCAGCCACGTCTTCTCCACCCACACCCGTAAGAACCTCAACGACGGCCATCTCTGGTTCTCCATCTTCCTGCGTCCCGCGGGCAGCCGCTTCACCCGCGTACAGCGCACTGCTTGCTGCCTGATGGCATTGTGGCTTGAGATGCTGGTCAACATCATGTGGTACAAGGTCATCCCGCCAACGCCCTCCTCGAGCGCCATCAACGTTGGGCCCTTCAGTATGTCTCCGGCGCAGGTATGACACACCACTAGCACTCACACGAAGTCGCAGGCGTAGTCGTTACGTCACTCGGAGGTCAACTCGGTGCAACCATGATTACTGGTTCACACAAGTGTATTAAACGTCTTCAGTCATGGACCCCCTAGTGTCCCTCTTGTGTTTGTACTATAAATTTTTACGAAGACCTTTGTACACGATCATCAATTGTGGACCTCTGGAAATGTGGACCTTATTGTCCCGTACAGAAAAAAAACGAAACCCAAATGTAGGGACCATTGTTTCAGTGAAGCTCTGCATGTAGCACTTTCAAAATCTAGGATATGAAAGCCCAATTCGTAAGCTTTCTTTCAGTACAAGAATCATTCAAATCACTTATGTATTTTCGAAGTTACGGAATTTTAAACACAACCACCATTTTATAGTTCTGTCCACGGATCAACAGAAGGTAAGTGTTCTTTCAGCAAAACGAAAACAAATCACATAGGAATGTGTGTGAATTGTTTTCGTTTTGCTAAAAGAACGCACACCTTTTTTGTGATCCGTGGACAGAACTTTAAAATGTGGTTGTGTTTAAAATTCCGTAACTCCAAAAGTACATGAGTGATTTGAATGATTCTTGTACTAAAAGAAAGCTTATGAATTGAGCTTTCATGTCCCATATTTTGAAAGTGCTACATGCAGAACTTCACTAAAATAGAAGTCCCGACATTTGGGTTTCGCTTTTTTTTTACTCACCCTGTATTGTTCAACGTCCCCAATTGAATGCAAATACGAAACCAGGCATGCTGCATCGGCCCAGTGAATACCGTGGTTTCACTGTGGCTGTTTTGAATCAGTCTCATAATTGGCTTGATTCTCCTCTTTGAAGCAAAAATAAGTACCCCAACTGTGGTTGGAACTGGTGTGGTGACAATCTGCTGAAAGGTAGTGAACCATTTCCAACTACTAATTTTGAGAAAATGTTCTATAAAAGTAGGATGTAAAATTGCTGTCAGCGATGGTGTTTGTTAAAGGCAATGTGATGCGTCATTAAGGAATGTGTTGTCAAGGAAGTGAGGCTGACCTGAGGAGGAGGTGACGTCACACTTTCTCAGCATATATGGGTTAAATAATAAATATAAATTTAGGGTCCACTTTTTTCCTGTCCCAGTTCCATCTGACATCTATGATTTTTCTAATTCTGATGCACTCCTTAATGCATTGTTCCTCCATGAGTGATTATGTGAAGCAAATGACTTACCAAATAAATACAGAATAGTTAATATTAATGATACTTGAATGGCAAATCAGAAAGTAACAGGGACAGGAAAAATGTCACACTTTGGACACCAGGGTCTTTACATGAGCATCAGGCGTCGTCAGCAATGACTTCCAATGTCCCTCCCAGTGGTCTCCCCCAACTCACCCTTTGTAACCATTCAGGGTTACTTGTACATGGAGTCCATAGCAAAGTTGTACTGAAGTTGAAAAAAGATTACAATTATTAACGAGGTATATAATATATATATTATTTTCTCCTCTGTCCTTGTTTCTCTCGCCGACTTTAGATCAGCATTGGCATCCAGTCCAGTCTCATCGTGTTCCCCATCACCTTGCTAGTGGTTCAGATCTTCCGCAAGGTGCGTCCACGGCAACGACAGAAATCCCACCGACGGATCATCAAGGAACAACAAGAGGAACTCAAGAAGAAGTACAGAGTTGGCAAGGAAGATGCGGTAAGATAAAAAAAAGGACCAGTTATTTAGTAGGCATTGATGTTAATCTCAAATCGGTTTTGCCCTTCACCGGCATATTTTATAAACACTGTATACTCAGTGTTGCCCCAAGTGATTGTGAGAAAGAAATTAACAAAGTACTCGGGTGGAACTCGAACCCAAGACCACCTGGTCAGTGGCGTCACCAGACTTTTCAGTCTGGGGGGGCACAGGGGGGGGGGGGGGGCACCAGCATTTGATGGGGGGGGGGGCACTTAGGTGGATACGGATCGCCGTCCTGGGGGAGGGGTCTAAGGGGAGGGGTCTTGCATACGGAGGATGGGCTAGATGCAAAATGGTGCCACATTTGATGCTAAATTCGATCTGAAGATATCTCCAGAAATTGCTATTTTTGAGGTAATGATTTTAACAACGCGCAGAATTTTGCAGAGGATAGGGGGGGCACCAGCATTTGATGGGGGGGCACTCGGGGGGGCACTAGGTTTTCCAGGGGGGGCACGTGCCCCCCCTGGCCCCCACTTGGCGACGCCACTGCACCTGGTTACTAGTGCAGAAGTCTGAACACTGGCCACTATGGTCGCCCAAGGGATCAACTAAGAACAACTTTTGGGTGAGGACCATGAGTTGGCTTGTGGTTGCTTTGAGACGTAACTTACGCCTGTGCACTGAAAGCAACATGCTAACGCCTCCAGTCAGACAATGGTCAAAGCATCACAAAAGTTCTTGACCCTGGCACCCTGATTTTCATTATGATGTGTGCAGCTCAGTGATGTAGGTCCCGAGGCAGGTCTCGTATCGAGAGACCAATTTTCTTAGGTCTCGACAATTTCAAGGTCTCGACTTAAAATACTGGGTCTCGGTCTCGATCTCGGAGCAAAAAGTCTCGAGAACTTGTGGGATCTCGAGCAAACGAGACCTTATTATTAAAATTTAAAGGGGTTCACTGTTACAACATTTGAATTCATTAAAAAAAAACCTGTTAGCATCATGTTTTTTGTAATAAATATTTATTTCTCATTAATATGTATGCTAATTGGTCTAAGGTCTCGGGTCTCGCCCATAAGATCTCGGTCTCGGTCTCGGCTTTGGACCCTGAGGTCTCGGTCTTGGTCTCGGGTCTCGGTCTCGAGCTTTCAGGTCTTGACTACAACACTGGTGCAGCTATCCAGTGTAAGTACCGTGCACCGACCTTCAATTCTTAAAAGTCGACTAGAGTATCCGATCATCCTACATTCGAGTGAAGTTAGTCGGACAATGCTTAACCCCTTAAGCACGGGTTATAATGGGGACATTCCTCCACACATAGAGCAAGTGGCCCGCATGACTGCACAGCCTTTGTGTGGTAGCGGGACTGCACAAAAGCAGCAGCTGTGGAACTACCCACTAGCCGTGTGCCACGGCATACCACAGCTGGCAACTGCATTCCAATGAGGCCCGGATTAGCGGCCGCGGCCATGACCGCTTCCCGGGCCCATGGGGTTAACCACAGCCCTCACTCAAAACTTGCTCCAGGACGACACTCAAAAGTTGTTAATCAGCACTCCTCAACCCCATCAATTTTCTTTCTCTAGATCTCCCAAAGTCACGTGACCATCGAGAACTCATCCCCCAACGTTGATGACACCATCAGCACGCGCTCCAAGGCCAATCTACTGGACAACCAAACAGACAACGCCCCCACCGACGACCCTACGGTCCTGATCAAGACCACCGCCTCCAACCCGGCCCAGAAGACCTCCCGTAAGAAGAAGCAAAAGTTCTCCTTCCCCTGGTGGGTGGTCATCATAGGCTGGTGCATCTGCCTTACCTCCATCGCCACGGCTAGCATTTTCACTGTGTTTTATGGGATACAGTTCGGGGACCAGACCACCAAGGAATGGCTGACCTCACTGGTTGTGACCTTTATCACCGGTATCCTGTGCACACAGCCAATCAAGGTAAGTGTTAAGCCCTGAAACCATGGAAACGTGATTAAAGGAAACATGTAGTGGAAATTCAGCTCATTTTGTTTTCATGCACATTACTATGTGTTGCAACATTACATCAGGGTGACTGTTTTAGCCGATTTTCGGCTAACTTTGACAGATTTTTTGGTTAAAAAAACGAGTTTGACAGAAAATTTGACAGAATGGATATTTTTGGCAGATTTCTGGCAGAATTCTGCAAAAATGGTTATTTACAGAAAACCATAGCAAATTTTTTTAAAAATGGTACATTTGTTTAACAAATATGCAATCTTTTCAAACAAACCCTTGCATAATGGGACAGGTTGGCTGGTCTGGGCGCTGAGGTTCACTGGGAACCGGCAACCGCGTTTTGCCTGAAATTTTACGCAATAATTTCATAATATCTTTATGTGGCTATATATTGTTAATTATTTGAACCTTAATTAAGGCAGTACTTCAAATCTGCATGTGATTTTAAGGGTTTCTAGTGTATTTCGAGGAAATCTGGGGAATTTGGCAGATTTTTGATAAATCTGACAGATTTTTGAAGCGCATTTAGCAGAATTTTGCCATGACCTTATGGTCACCCTGCAATACATACAAGATCTCAATACTTGTTTTCATTGGAAGTGACAAGAAAGTGGTAGCTTTTCAATTATTAGCAAATCCTTTCATCAATACATGTAAGAGGGCGGTATTTTGCTTTTGTCACACAAGGTACTCCTTGTAAAAGTGCATATGAACAGTACACAAATTTGTCCTTCAAAATTACCCACAAAAAAAGCTTTGAAGAAATACTGGCCACGACTATTGTCCAAATAAGCTGTTTAACATGTTAAACAAGTAATATTTTGGATTATTTTGTCAGATAAGTGGAAGAACATGCTCGTTTAATACATGCTTCATTTGTGTATCAAATTTAATTGCTTTGTTTAAGAGAAAAAAGACATGAATCTTTTTGACTCTCACTGTATTTAATTTTTTAAAAAGTCCTTTTCCACACCAAAATCAAGCTTGGTGCCCTTTAAAATTGGCAGTAGTTGGTTCTAGGCCTAAATACAATCACAACAAAAGAAGACTAAAGTGAGTTGACCTCATGAGGACATTGCCTGATAATCCTCATTGAGCCATTATGAGGAGGATAAGAGGATTAAACAAGGTCAACATCTTCAGATCAATGGGTAATCCGATTGCAGGTGTAATTGGGTGCCCTGGAGCCATTGTGAGGCATTAGCTAGCTGTAGGCTATGCCATGGTCCTGGCTTTGTGTACACTAAAGATTGGCCAAAGAGATATGGTCTAAAGAATTGACAAGGTTAAATTCCTTCACTGCCTTGCTAGTATAATGTACTGATTTGTAAAAGTGCACAGAAATGGAAAATGGTATAAAAATTGTCTTAAAATAACATAAATATATAAGATATAAGGATTTTGTATTTTGTGTGTTGTAGCAGTTTATCAAGATTTAACACTCGAAGAAATCTTGCCCATGTCCATAAAAAATAACCCCTTCTTGAATTTAAGAGTACAGTTAAGAGTTAACTGGGGCCGTGGAGCTCTTGGGCACTTCTGAGGCAAGAACAATTTAGTCTAAACAAATAGAAAAAGTATGAGTTTTAGTTCACATAAATATGTAATTGTGAACTTTTTTATATGAAAATTGGCCCAGGATTGAAATTAAATAGGGCCCTGGTCAATATAAAATAGGGCCCTGGTCAATATAAAGTAGGGCCCGTGTCAATATAAAATAGGGCCCTGGTCAATATAAAATAGGGCAACGGTCAATATAAAATAGGGCCCCAGTCAATATAAAATTGGGCCCCGGTCAATATAAAATAGGGCCCCCACGTCAACCAAAAATAGGGCCTTGGTGAATATAAAATTGGCCCTTGTCAATATAAAAATTATACCCCAGTCAACATAAAATTCACTCATAGTCAATATAAAATTAGATCCTGGTCAACATATCACCATTCCTTTGCAACCCTGAATATCTTTTCAGATTCTGCTGGTTGCCGTGTTTGTAGCGCTGATCATCAAGAGTCCCAACGCTGACGAAGAGGACGGGATCGACGAAGAGGAAGACGATCCTGAGCTGGGCAAAGATGAGATGTGGCTACATGACCTCTGTACGAAGATTCACCATCGTCTTGTATTGCCCCTTTTGGATAATACAGGTCCCCCCCCCCCCCAGAAAAAAAAAAAAAAAAAACCCTTTCTTGCACATCTTTAATGCGTTAATCTTTCTTTCTTGAGTCGGTAATTTTTTTTTTTTTGGACAACAATGGCCATATCTCTTTTTGGAAGAAATGGTAGTCCTGAAAAGTACTGTTTTGTGTCACTTCTTAGATGTTTGCTGTTCTGCTCTGCCCTCTACTTGGTTGCCGCTTGCACAGATACAAGTTTCGGCCGTGTTCTCATTACGGCAGTCAAGCATCAGAAGTCTTGGACAAAATGAAAAATGTTGTTCATTGGCCATTTCCAAGTGGAGAGATGTTTTCGTTGTTGAAAAGCTAATGAACTATACTTGTGCCATATGTATCAATATGTTGCGGTGAAAAAGAGAGCTCTTTGAGGTTTTTATTTTATTTTAATTTTTTTTGGGGGGGGGGGGACACCCTGGATTTATAAGTGATTTTTTATGAAACTTTTTTGTTATTAAACCATATGGATTCCTTTGGGGAACTAACCCAACGGGCAGATTTTCATGTGCATCCTCTATGAGAGAACACGGCGAAAACAGGCCCTTTTTCGCATCTATCGCCGCCACTACATTATTCGACAGAGTTTACCTTAGTTCTTACTACAGTATGACCCTAAGAATATATTCTTTCAGAAAATGAAAGAAAAACTTCATAAAACACTGATTTTCCCTCCCCAAAATTATGTTAAACACTGCATTTTTAGTCAAAAATCTCCCAGTTTTGGATGGATGGATCCTTGAGTGGGGTTCATGACAACTCTTCCGAAAGGTCAAAGGTCATCTAGGGGTCAATTGAGGTCATTGTTGTAAATCCGAAAACAAAGGACTTTTTTAAGAACACAAAACATATGGGGATCGACCGCGAAAAGAAAGGGGACAAGTCCGATCCACGCATCACTTGCTTATTTTATTATATTTTCTCTTTGCTTCGCAGCCTCACCATCCCAGGGCAAGACGGCCTACAAGCCCCCGGACCCGGCCAACCTGGAGCGGATCCGGGTACAGCGCATAAAGGAACTCAAGATGTACAACATCCTGAGAGAGATCTGCTTCTACATCATCTTCCTGTGGACGCTGATGGTCTTCAGCTACAGCAGCATTGACCCCTTCGCCTTCTACATGAAAGACCAGTACGTCAATACGCTCAACAATGCGGACGGCGTCAACACGTTTGACAAGGTCGGTTGATTTTTAAATTTGGTTTTAACTTTTAAAAGGGCTGAGGCAGTGAGTGAAGTGGCACTTCCGAAGCGGGGTTTCCACAGTCATGGAATAATCCTGGACTAAAAACCTGGAATTGAAAGCTAGCATGGAAAGTCATGGAAAAGACACGGAAATTGGTTAATTAAAGGGAATATACATCATTTGCTTTTGCTGTAATTTTCAGAAATTGATGGAATTTGGGGGTCTGAAATATATAGCAAATATAGTTACACTGACTTTTTTGAGGTTTTGGGTTCGAAAATGCTATAAAAACCAAGAAAAACAATCATTTTCCTGTAGTCTGGTTCCCTGACTCCATATAAGAAGAAACAGAGCAGTTTACATACATTAAGGAATTGTTAGGTCAGGGAACCAGTCTAGCTGGCTTGTACCCGTTCATAGGCGATTGCAAACAAGCGCGATGGTCAATTGGGGCCAGTATTTGAAGAAAAAAAACAGTTTGTTCCAACGCTGGTCGGCCGACCAGCATTGGAAATTGATACAAAAATACCACTTTTCTTGAAAATGACAGTATACCAGGTGCCATGATTTTACAGGATGCTTTACACTGTCATTCACTAACAGTCCAGCAAGGTATTTCAAAATGATTTGGTAGTTTTATTTTTTATTTTTTGATGTCCCTTTAACAAGGAGTCGAGAAAACTTGATATTCAAATGCATTCCAGTTTTCTTTCTCGTAATGCATACACATGCTCTATACAGATAAGAAGAGCACTTTTAATACAACATCCTGCTCATAACAAGCAAAATTTTAGGTCCCAAGTCTTTATTTGTCTTTGTTTTCCTTTGTTTTCCTTTGTTTTCCATTACTGATAATACAAGGTACCTGTTATATAACAAGGTAATTTGTAAAGTCCCAAGGACCTTGTTATAAGATGTTTGACTGTACTTGTTGTATATTCAATGCACCGTTGTGATGCTTTTGTGGTGCTCATCTGTGGTCTTGTGTCAAACTGGAAGGCTGAGAGGGAGTGGCGTCCCTTGCCTCAGTGTGATGACTGGCCAGCGTAGGGATTGGTCATAGAAAGCCTTAAGTTTGTCGGTAAAAAGTCATTGACTAGCAATAGAATTTGATATGCAGATTTCTGTGGGAACACTCAGGTAGTGCAAATACCCTTGACAGATCTCAGAAATATCTGGAGCGATTTTTGGCTTTAAATGCTGGATAGTATAACTTGGGAAAGTTTGCAAATGCGCCATTTGAAGTGACTTTCTCTAAACAAGAAGGTGGATCTGAGATGAACCACAGGTGTAACTTGAGGTTTCGGTCAAAACGGTTGAGCTTTTCTCTGAAAGGCATATAGGATCATTTGCATTTATCCCAAAAGTAACCAACCAAATTGTTACCAAAAAGATTCCTTGGATCGTACGGGTACTAAACATCCTGTGAAATTATTCCGTTGGGCGTGCTTTAATTTTGAAGAAATCTAGATATGTCGGGTATTTCCAACGATCAGTCAGCTGACTGATTGTTTTGGAATAAAGAGCGCTATTGATGAAATCTTGTCGCCTTGACTTAGCTGAAACTTCGACAGGTTAGGTTTTAACATTTTTCTTTGGATTTTGAGTGGCGTTATTATTGGAAACGACCGAAATGCATGAAACGAAAATTATCCTGTATGACTTTCATGACAGAACCAACTCTCTTTCTACTGACGTAAATTGACTTTTGGGGTTAAAATTTGATTTGGATTGTTTGCAGGTGACGGGTGTCAAATCGTTCTGGCGGTGGGTGGACGCCGGTCTGGTACCCAACATCTACGCTGGCAAGTGGTACAACGGACAGATGGACCCCTATCAGGCGGGATTCTTTGGCGATCGTCAGTCCTACATCCTGGGCAAAGTGGTCATGAGGCAGGTCCGGGTCAAAGAGGGTAAGGCGACTATTCAATCTGTCAGTCTCACCATGAACCGGCGTATCTCGATTTTTTGCCAAATTGAGTTTTTGTCATTAACATTATTATTTCATCAAAGTGCTCATCCTCGGAAAGTTTTATTCCGATCTGAGTTCTAATTAACTTAAGAAAACTAATTAGACTGTGTGGCGTATCTCTAAAAAATCAAAACTGCTTCACCACGAAGTGGCGTTTCCCGATATGCCGCTTCGCGCGCTATTTCCCATAGCGCTGTGACGTATCTAATCAACACCATCATGAAAAGTGTGAATTCATTGTTTCACGAACCGTCGTATCCTCGTATCTGCCACATCCTCGTATCTGCCACGTGATCACTATTACACGCTTCGTATGAAATACAATAAAGTATGTTGTACAAAGTGACATGTATCTTGAGAACTGAATATTCTAAAAACTAAGCAACTCAGAAGCAAACGGATTGCATACGATGAAGTTTCAACTGTAATTTTCTAAGCTGAAACGAAACCGATTGCATTCTTACACAGGAAGTATAAGGAATGAGCCTACCAAAATACGACCACCTTTAAATTGTGGGTTTTTTTTCCTCAAAACACCAAAAATTACAATACACCGGTTCATGGTACGACTGACGAATTGTTAATGTTACATATGTTGTCATTATCATTACCCTTAATGGTACGTTACTGTTGGCATACTTGTTGCAAAATGTGATATTCCTATACATGTACACATTTCAGGGAACCCCAAAATATCCCTGCTTTAAATCCACTGGTACATTGCAAAATGATGTTAAATGTGGATTCTTTTTTATGTTTCCTTTCCAAAGAAACCACGATTATCAAATTTGGCTCACAGGTTATGGAGACATGGTCATGTGAAAAATTGGCGGCCATGCCCATTTTGACCAAAATTGGAATAAAAATGGCAGGCGGTAGCGAGAACAAATCATGGGTGCGATGGCCCTAAAACTTAACATTTCAGCTTTTTCAGCCTAAATTACCCCATACACCAAATATGAACCAATGTGAAGGGGTTGGGGTATAAACTTTCAATATTTGGGTGTGATTTGACATGAAATGACCCAACAAATATTCCTCAAAGTTTGCCCAAAGCGTTGTAGCTTGTAAGCCTGAAAGAAAAGCTGTGGGGAGGTGGGCAGCTATAAAAAAATCAGTTTTATAGGTTTCAGGAAATTATGTATTAACTGCCAACCTAATGCACAAGTTGGTTTTTGTGTGCACAGGGCTGTGCGAGGTCCATGAGGAGTTGGAGGAGACCATCGCCGAGTGCAATGAGGCGTATAGTTTCTCCAACGAGGACACGGTAGACTACGGCCGGGCCTGGCGGGACGTGAACGACACGGACGAGACCGCAGAGAGCTACCGCTACACGTCAGCCAGCGACCTGGACGGCTACCCGTTCCTCGGGATCCACGCGCTGTACGGCGGCGGCGGTTACGTCGTCCTGGTGGATGGCTCCCAGAGCCAGATGCGCGCAAAGTTCCGACAGCTCTACAACGAGACCTGGGTCGATAAGTACACCCGGGCGGTCTTCATCGAGTTCTCCTGCTACAACCCGCAGGTCAACCTCTTCGCCGTGGTCAACCTAGTCACTGAGTTCCTTCAAACCGGCGCCGGACAGCCCATGCATCGAGTCGACATCATCCGACTCTTAACCTACTCGGAAGGATTCGGCCTGGTCCGCATCATCTGCGAGGTCATGTTCTTCTGCTTCATACTGTTCTTCATCGTTAAGGAAGTCCGCAACGCCCGGCGCGAAAAGCGCCAGTACCTGAAAAACTTCTGGAACTGGGTCGAGTGCGCCATCATCGGTTTCTCCATCGGTTCGGCCATCATCTACTTCTATCGCATGTACATCACCAACGGCATACTAGATACGCTCAAAGAGGGTGCGTACCGCTACATCAAGCTGCAATACGTCGCGTACTGGAACGAGCTGCTTGGCTACATGCTGGGCTGGATTGTGTTCCTGGCCACCCTGAAATTCCTGAAGTTGCTGCGCTTCAATCGCCGCATCGGAATCCTGTCCAGTACCATCCGGAATTGCTCCACTGACCTCATGTACTTTGGCATCATGTTTGGCATTGTCTTCTTTGCGTTTGCCACGGCCTTCTACTTGATCTTCAGCAGTACTGTGAGTAGCTTTGTTCTTGACTTCACGTTTGAGTGTTTAAATTATGTTTGTCTTGAGGGGGGGGGGGGGGAGGGGGGTGTGCATGTACACGAAGGGACTGTCTCCAACAAGAAAAATGTTTCAGAGAAGAACCCAACTTAACACCTCTGTAGTTCTTTTCAAAAAATTGCACCCACAAACCACTCCCAAGTTGCACTCTGCCCTGTACTTAACGTCATGTTGATGTTAACTTTTCAATTAGCTACGAGTTCTTACTATGTGTCTTTAACCCTAAAGTCGTAGCCATTACTTTAGGATGAAGAACTGAGTACTACATAATATATGAGTGTTGTGCACACTTATATGCTGAAGTATTTCATGCTACAGTTTACTACTAGTAGTATTTTGTAGCTTTAGGTGAGGTTACGGTTAAAGCATTCAACACACAACACCAAATCAAGACACGGGGGGGGGGGGGGGGGAAATACGCCACACTATGCACGCACACTGAATATACTGAATTTTCGAAAATTTGATGATCAACCAAACTTTTTGCCAGTCTGAGGGGAAAAAAATACGTCACACTATGCACGCACACTCGACTGTTACATTATTTTAATCGTAATGTAGGGTGCTTAAATGTAAGATGCAACTTTTTTGTCTGTGGTAAGTTTTTGGTCGACAGCGGTTCATTGCTCCCATCCTTTTAGCAAGTTAAACATCTGATCCGATATTTAAATTAGGTTCACCCCTACCAGATTAACTAGACAATCAACGCGCTGGCTGGCACATGTATATCAGACTTTGCTGTCCACAATATTCTGCCATTTTGAGTCTGTGGTCCAATTAGGAAAAAGGTTTTTGTGGTCCGAGAGCGTACACCAGTTATTTATTTAAAATAATTTTTGTGTTAATTTGGCAATTTTAGCGGGGCTTTTTTATGTCGCATGGGTCTCTCATTCCTGGACTCAGGCCCTCGTACAACTGTCACCTGGTAGTTCCTGTACTGCCCACAACCATCCTGAGTATAGCATTCTATACTTGTATGTATTCAACACGAAATAAATACAATGAACAGAACAGGTGTCAATGGGTTATCAATCAATCAATCAATTAATTAACACCTGCATTTTACCCCACAGGTGTACGACTATTCTGACTTCATCTTCACCTGTGAGTCGCTGATGTCCTCCATCTTGGGCAAGTTCAGGTTTGGGGAGTTGGTGATCGCCGAATCCATGCTTGGACCGTTCTTCTTCTTCTCCTTCATGACAAGCATGAGCTACATCCTCATCAACATGTTCCTGACTATCATCAATGAGGCCTTCAAGGTAGGGGCTTTCTGGCCTGTTCCTTATCCTCCCCCCCCCCCCAAAGAAGGAGAAAAAGTAGAAATCTAGGCCTAACTGACATACTGTTACGTAGTAAAGACCTTTGATTGGGGAGTCATTCTTTAAAGGTACATCTAGGATCATTTTCTCTTTGTGCACTGTGAAGCAACCAAATTGCTCAAAATCTTAAAGAGCCATGAAGTGAATTTTCCTAAGGAACATATTTTGTGCAACTTTCTACTCCTCTTAAATGTATAAAGAGTAGTTGACATCCCATTTTTTTGGGTTACTTTGATTTAAACGTGAACTGCTTTAACAAATATTTAAAATGTCCAAGGTTTTCCGGACAACTGAGGGCGCTGTTGCTGTGATGTCAGGGAAACGCTGTTCAGTTTAGGGGTTTTCTGTTCAAATTTTGAACCCCAAAATCTGCTTACTGAAAATATTTGTGAGAAATTTTGCGCATTGGCTTACTGCCTTTTACTGACAGACCCAATAACCAAAAAAAAGACTGAAATATCCAAAATTCTGGCAACTTTTGATGCTGAAATAGCTGTAACATTGAGGTTTCTGCCTGAAATAACATCACACTTTTGCTCATGGATATGAAAATTTGCATTAGTATTAAAGCCAAAGAGATACCAAAGTGGTACCAAAATACCCTTGACAAAAAGGCAAACGAAAATTGAAAATAGGGTAAAATGGGACACAAAGGTGCATTTCCAAAGATTGCATTAAAAAATTATGTTGCCTGGGCCTTTTAAGTACTATGATTCCTTTTGAGTTAAGGTGTGTATGCATACTTGAAGCCAGAAAATCATGTTTGAAATTTTTCTAGGACTTTGTTTTTTGGGTTGTTGTTTTTTGTTTACCCATTTCTTTTCCTTTTTTTTTTTTTTACTTGTTTGTGAATCAAATATTAGTATTAAAGAGAGTGAATACAAAAACTCAAAATCAATCAAGTCAAAATGAAAGACGAAGGTGCATTTCAATGACTCTGATCAAAAAAATTATTGAATGAGCCGTTAAATTTTTAATGATGACCACTTTTGTCCATTTTTTTTTCAGGTTGTGAATGCGGACATCTCCAAACAGTCCAACGAGTACGAGATGGTGGACTTCATGATCCGGCGCCTGAAGCTCTGGACAGGGATTGGCAAGCCCCCAGTCACGGGCGGAGACAAGAAACCAGGGGAGGGAGAAGACCAGGAGGACGGACCCAAGAAGGAACCGGACATCGTGGACGAGTTCCCCGAGAAGGTGGACCAGCTCCTGAACTCCATCGCCAAGATCTACTTCAACCACGAGACGTTCGACGAGGTGATCCGGGGCATGGGACAGAAGGGCAAGAAAGGGAAAAAACCCAAGAAGACGATCTCAGTGTAAAGGAATCTACGAATCATCCCTCAAAATAAGTTTTAAGGATTTTTTTTTGTCACTGATTAGTTTTTCGTATGCATCAGAAAGAGCTTACTTGACTCTGCTTTTTCTAGCTTGTTGACATTTGACAAAATATGGGTGAAAAAATTAACTTTGTATTATTTTTCCATTTTGAAGGATTTAATGGTCTGAAAAGTACCTTGTTTGACTTTAGGCACTTTCTTTTGGCTGGGGTCAATGCACTTTAATTCAATTCTGGTTTATCATACAAAGCTGTTCTGTCTTATTTTTCTGCAACCAAAGAAAAAGTCATGAACTTACGCAGATTTAACTTATATACAAAATATATATTTAAAACACTTATATCTGAATTAATATATTTGAAAATAAAGTAAATGTGAATAAGAAATCACGAATATATTTAACCTGAAAAGAAAAATGTGCACAACTTATTGTTTCCAATGGGAAGGCGTTGATAGGAGTTGCAATAATTGTTTTATTAGGATTTTATTTTAAACATTTACAATCCTTTCCATAGATAGAACAGGAGACTATGTATCTTTGCGTTTCTCAATCTGGGATTTTATTAAGTCATCTTGTACTTATAGTTCTTACAAAGGTGGCAAATTTGTAGGTCTTTGTTATTGTGGTAAGCGATAGAAGGATCTATCAGAAATTACTTAAATATTACGGCGGAGGAAGAGTACAAAGCTAAGCCGAACAAAAGTAAAAAAAAAACAACACAAAGAAATTATAGTCAAGAATTAAAAAGTACTGAATTTGAGTTTTGTCAAAGTGTGTCTATTAAAACTTAAAGGGGATGTACATCATTGGCTTTTGCTGTAATTTTCAGAAATGAACTATTTGGGGGGTTAGTATAATAGATCAAATATTGTTACACTGACATGTTTGAAGTTTTGTGTTCGAAAATGCTGGAAAAACCAAGAAAAACAAAAATATTCAAGTAGTCTGGTTCCCTGACTCCACTAAAGATGGAATGGATCAAACATACCAGAAAATTGTAAGGTAAGGGAACCAGTCTAGCTGGCCTGCACCCGTTCATGAGCATGGAACCAATAGCTAGCAAAACAAAATTTAGACCAAAAAAAATGGTAAATTTGGTGCAGTAATTGAAAAATAGTTAGGTTGTAGACAAATATAACAGTTAGGTTGTAGAAAAATATACCATTTTTTTGAAAATGGCTTCACACCAGGTGCCATAATTTTACAGGATGCTTAAGCATGTCATTTACCAACATCCTAGTAAGGTATTTCGTAACTACTTGGTAGTTTTATTTTTCGATGTTTGCAAATGTTGTATTTTCCCTTTAATAATGTGCACTGGTGAGTTAATTTAAAGACTTTAAAACAAACAAGATCTGTTGTTCACTTTGTGAGTACTTAAACAAAATACTTCTGACATATTAGAAAGGTGAGCAATTAGTTATAACTTTAGGTTAAAATGATGAAGATAAGCAAATAGTGATACCAAAAAAAAAAAGACAGGTTTTCCAGTTATTAAAAAAATCAAGACAAAATGAATTTATGCACTTCAAGGACAAACTGTTGAAAGCCATTTCTCCAAAGACACATAGCTAGTTAATAAATTGTAGAAACATTGTTGCATTATATTGTATTTTTGTGTGTAAAGTATGAAATGCAAATATATAGATAAAGAAACGATTATATATATTTATTTATTTGCTTATTTATGTAAATCAAAAGTTAGTACAGTTTAACAACTCACTATTCTTCTAGTAAGACCTCATCAGCTGTCAATAAATAAAGTAAGTCTTGTGCAATAATTATGGTACCTTGTCTTAAGATTCATTCATAGTCCAGTATCTATAACTTGCTTCATTTGTAAAACTGGGATTTCTTTTGTAAAACTCTAGCTCTTTCAAGGCCTAGTTTTACCTACAATCACCACCACTGTTCTTGGTATGCCATATTCATAAACGGTAAAGAAATAACAGAAAGGAGTTGAACCATTTTATAAAACCATGGAGGTAGAATGATTAAACCCATTGTTGGTATTTTCAAGGTTGGTCACTCACAGAACTAGTTCAGGGTCAAACTTAGTTTGCAGGTTATGACTTTGATTACAGCATTTGGCCAACCAGGCCTCAACTTAAATTAAAAAAAATCCCTGCCCCTTTGCCAACATTATTAAGTTCAGTTCAGGTATAGTTTTAGAGCAAAAAAACTTCTTTTAAGCTCAACATTGTTTGAAATTAAAATAATAGCATGTGACATTTATCTTCAAAATTGGATGATGTGGTCGTATGATGCCACCTTCAGCAAAGGGTTCTCTTGTGAACTGAATGTATATCTCTTGAAATATGAAATGGTTTAAAAGTGTTAACATAAACTGATCAATGTGGGCCAAATAACCTGCAAAAAATGCTGAAATGTTTTGGGTTGCCTGTTGATTGCCTGTACTATCAACATGATGTCACATGGCACACGGTCTTGCTGTACGGACCTTGATTTCAGAAAAATGCAGTATAAAAGTTGTGAAAGTTAGGAAATTAAAAATATTTCAAAATGGAAAATTTTTGAAATGAGCGAAATTAAATGGTGTTGAATTGCAACAAAACTTTCATCAAGTGATATTTCTCCCTCCTACAGCTATTTTTGGGAAGGGTAAATAAAAAGTTAGTTTTAGAAGTTAGTATTTGTAGAGGCCAGCAAACCAGTTTGCTAGGTCATGCAATTTATCAAATAAAATTAAGGCCCACCAGTCATTCTGATAAACATTCTTGATAAATTCGATGGTTCGAGAATTAGATATAGGCCATTAGTTTGACATGAAGACGTGTGCTAAAGCATTGTCTTTGGTACCCTTCTAAACCAATCCCAAATAATTGAAAATAAATCATTTTAGCGACTGATTTATTTATATTATACAAAAAGACCTTGCCCTTTTTCTACAAGCTGAGGTTTGAAGACTGCATTGTGTTTAGCCGTCAAAGCGATCGAGCGCGCCCTCCATTTAATCACCATTTTAGGGGCAGGTACCGTTTTATCTCCGCCCCACTGGTTCTATTAACTGCGAGTGCCAGACGGCTGTTTAAATATCAATTTTACTGACCGGTAATTTGTTTCAAATTTAAGCATGTAGAAAACAATGTGGTCGTTGTAAGCATTTCTAGATGATGGACCTGAGTTTTGTATCATGAAGATACGCCGCTGACACTGTAGGTCTTGTAAACAAGTTACAAACACAGAAGAGCCGTTTAATAACGACCAGCTTATCAACCCAATCACAACACGTGCGGCAGGTTCTTTGATGCGGGTAATGTGTACGCGCTTGACTTGAGTGACAGCTGTTAAATATTTTGTTGGACCGTATCCCAGATGCAGATCAGGCAGTGGTTAGTTAATTAGGTATGGACTTCATTCGCCAATTTATTAAACCAAAGTCTGCCTCTTTTCACCAGTGAGACGTCCTCTTCATGTGCACTCTAATGGCATAATTATCTTGTCGAAAATCTCGTTCAGTCTGACAACACTGGGGTCCGGGTCGGCAGTCACTGTGATCGACCTCACTAAACCTTGAACGGTTAACGGTGCATAATGCGCACAGTATACGGTGCACCACCCACCGACTGGCGCGCTTATGTGTGAGGAGTCGCGGTGCTTGGAACGTCTGAGAAAGTCGGCTTAACTCTTCAAGATGCGTTGCAAGCTGAAACGGATTGCCTCCACCTTGCTTTTTGGACTTGCCTGCTCCATCATAACAGCACTCCATATTTCAAGCAGGCAGCTTCCGAATGGGGAATCGTTGGAGAGTGGGGAAAGGTCCAAACTTCGAGACCAAAAAGTTGATGTCCGGGAAAGTGGGACCGGACCTGGCGTGCCTCCCAGGCCCGTGTTGCCCGAGAAACAACGGGAGAACTCCTTGGGTGTCAGGTTACAACGAGAAATGGCTTGGGCCGTGGACGACTCCAGAACGGACTCTGTAAATTTACCACAACAGCAACAACAACAACGGCCGAAAAAAGTTGATTTGAACACCCAAACTTTACTGAAACATTTCAACATTGTTGCTCCAGCTAGTGTAGTAGACAAGAAAAGGACAGAACAGACTAAAACTGAAAGTAAAACTAACCAAGTTGTTCAAGAAAGTTTGCAAAAAGTGGGCCGAGGGACAAATTCATCGAAGGACGACAATCTGTCTCGGACGGAGTTGGCGGACATTTTTATCGGGGTCAAAACAACAGGGGCCTACCATAAAACACGACTACAGCTTATCATCGACACTTGGCTGCCGCTAGTTCAAAAGCAGGTGGGTAAATTAGAATTTTATCAAAACTCCAGAAAGTTTTATATTTTGTTTTAAACCGAGACTGTTTAAAATTACGAAGTTTTTAGCTTGAATTTATTTGGTTGATTTCGTGTTTATTTTTTTCTGTTCACAGTTTCTTATTTTTCAGAAGTGAAGTAAACATTTCAAGATTGGAAAATTGCATTGAGTTTGTGAATGTTTCAGATCTAGCTGAAGGTTTTTACTTTAAGTTTCATAAAATTCATCTTTAAAAAAGTTTGTAACTTGTAAATAGATAGATCTGCCAAAAAACTTTCATGTGGTAGGACATATAGGGCCTATCAATTATGTGACATACACAAATCATGAACTTTAAAAAAACCGATTTGTTTATTTTGCTTTGTTTGTTCCATCTTTAGTTCTTTACCAAACCACAGAGGGAAAAAAATTTAACCAGAAAAACTTGAATTGAATAGTTTTGGTTTGCAAAAAACCCCAGCAAATATACTGCAAATCCAGGAAAAATATTTAACATTCCAACTTCCACGTATAGGCCTATGTTATAGCTGCCCTTAATCTGGTAATAGGCCTATTGGTTTACCATGGAGCAATTTAATAATACAATTCCTCCATGGTTTTACATTTCGGTACTGATCATACATTGCTACACATGAGATTTATTTGGAATGCCCTTTCCAAGCAATCTTTATCATACAAAGCGAAGGTTATTGATAAAAAAAACCATGTCTAGACTGGACTCAACCTGTGCCGCTTTGATTATGAGTAAATCATTTTGAAAAAAAAAAAGAAGCATTTATTGCTCAGAAATCCTTTCCAAAAAAACTTTTGGAAAAAGTGAATGAAAAAGCAGGGGGTAACTCCCCCGATGTAAAAAAGGTGCTAAGCTCGATTGTCCCTTCAGCCTTGTACCCACTGTGAGGCCGATTTTTGATTTTGATTACCTGTGCACGACATTGGTGCTACTCTACCTGAAATAATTTGACTTTGCCGTGTTCCTTCAGAGAGGTCACTTTTTTCAATTGATGCACTCTTGGTATTCACACGCCCCTAATCCTTCTACATCAGATTTAAGGGCATAATAGTGTCAACAATCTACCATAGAAGATCCAAACAGAATTTCTGATCTTTAATATACATGTAAGAATGTAAAACTGGGTTCAGATCAAAAGTGTTTTTGTGTCTTGACAGAGTGCACTTTAATAGCCCATAATGTAAGGACTCATTGTAAAGCTTTGCGCTTTGGATAATCCGAGGATGAATGTGTCATCCATTCATACTATTATGACAAGAGGTTATTATGTTTGCGGTGAGCTTAGCTTGAGAGTACACGTGTACTTTGTAAAGTTAACGTGCAAAGCTTTTAATATCGAAACACTCTTTTTCGTTCTTCATTGTTGCAAGATATGAGGAACCTACTACGGCCAAGTAAAAACACGAAACAGTTTCTCTTTCAGGCTATTTGAAAACATGAAGGAAGCAGGCAATTTTTTGTTTCTTTTTTTCCCCAATTCGGTCGATGATGATGAATTAATCTGCTGCAATCTGCTCACTGACTGAATTGACCTGAAATATATAAATCAAAAAACTAAAATGGACTAGCAAGGCCTTTTTGAGAGGCCTCTGAAAAGGGCCTTGCTAAGGCTGAAATGTCAGGCCACTGTAATTTTTGATTTTTTTTCATTTTAATTAGAATTTTTCTCACTTTTGGTTTATAACAATGAAAGTGTTTTTTTTTTTAAATTATTTACATAACTCGCTTTCAAATATATAATTTTCCTAAATCTGACTATCTGACTATACCAAAATTTGTTTTACTTTTTAATCCAGATTGCAAATTTGTGTTTTGTTATCGGCACAAGTCGTGTAAAAACAATTCTTGTGGAATAAATTGCGAGGTGTTAGCTGCACAAAAATTTACCTAGATATTTCAATAACAGCACAGAGAACCAAAAACACAGGAAAAAAATGGGAGCCAATTTAGAAGTGACATGTCAAACGTGCAAGAGAACCAATATTTACATGCTGAAAATTCGACCTTTGGACCAATAGGTAGATCAACAACAAGCCTATTGATTGAATTGAATAAAGTATATAAATCACACATACAGCACATTTAGTAAATTTGGCATTTAAAATTTATTTCAAGTCAAGAAACGGTCTTCTGGATGCAGCCCAACCTTACAAATGAGTCACAAGTCATCAGAGTTTCTTCAAGTAATTGATGAATTTTTCTGTAAACTCTGCAAAATAGAAATTAATGCTTAAGGAACAGTGAACATTTCCATCCACATAATGTATGCAGGAATGCATAAAGAGAGTGATTTATCAAATTAAAGAGCATATCTTTCTTCTGCCATGAAAAACAAATAAATGAAGACAATGCTCCTTGAAAATCGTTTTGTGAGATCCAGTTATTAGGCCTACCCCAGTATCGCTTGCCACGCACGAGAGAAAGCTTTTATACCACTTAAATATTTGACAACCGTCATCCATCTCCCATTGTTTGAAAAGCCTACAGCTTACAGTCAACTCATGAGGATGTCCATAATGAAGTCATTATGGATAATGCATACTAATGTACTTCATATGACCAAATGCAAGCAACTGTGACAAAAATTAGGCCATTAGGGCTTCAAGCAGCAGTGCATGGGCATCACACATCAGTGTCGGCCTAGCGAACCCCAAAAGTGCATCGCCCATCTGTGACCAAAAAGTGCCAAAATGATTCTACATGTATTTATTTTCTTTTATTGAAAAAAAAAAAAATTGTTGGTTGGTGCTCAGTGGCAGGAGAATTGCAAACTGAATTTTGAGGTCACTTTCTCACTTTATTTACAAATTACAAAGCTTGACAGCTTAACAAAGTGTATTGTGCTAAGTCAGTGATGGGAGACGATGTAGAAAAGGGAATTGAGTAGACATGAGACTGGATTTATGGGCCGTGGCAAGAAAGCCCGCATTCAGCTATTAAACCATCTCAATATTCCTACCGGTAGGTACACTGAAAATTTGAAGAAAAAGAAGAAGTCTTAAAATTGAGTCTGTCTGCAGTTAATATGACTCATCAGGTCCGTGTTTATCTTCAGTTTCCTTGTCATGACCCGAGCGGGGATATTTCTATTCCCCCTGGATGGGATGCCAGTCCATTGCAGGTAAAGTCCCATTCGTAATCCAAGAAAGGAAATTGGGGTAGAGTGGCTTGCCCAAGGACACAGCGCATGACCGGCAGCAGGATTTGAACCCCTAACCCACTGATAATGAGTCACCGGACCACACTTTTGCCTGTTGTATTTGCTCAGTTTTGCATTTGTCAGTACATACTGCTGGGATATCAGCGAAAAGATTTTAAATAACACAGTCCGGGATTGTTTTTGTAGTATTTGAAAAACAAGATTTCGTTTAGGTAATGCTGTCAAATCAAATAACCAACACTTCTAACTTAAAAAATATTTTCACTCCGATGAACTTGTTTTAGTTCTCAGTCTTATGCATGTGCATGAGTGCACCCTCAAAATTTGGATCAGCACAACTTTAAAGGGAAAATACAACATTTGCAAACATCAAAAAATAAAACTACCAAATCATTTTGAAATACCTTGCTGGACTGTTAGTGAATGACAGTGTAAAGCATCCTGTAAAATCATGGCACCTGGTATACTGTCATTTTCAAGAAAAGTGGTATTTTTGTATCAATTTCCAACGCTGGTCGGCCGACCAGCATTGAAAAAAACTGGCTTTTTTTTCAAATACTGGCCCCAATTGACCATCGCACTTGTTTGCAATCGATTACACACCTATGAACGGGTACAAGCCAGCTAGACTGGTTCCCTGACCTTACAATTCCCCGGCCAATGTATGTAAACTGCTCTGTTTCTTCTTATATGGAGTCGGGGAACCAGACTACAGGAAAATGATTGTTTTTCTTGGTTTTTATAGCATTTTCTAAACCCAAAACCTCAAAAAAGTCAATGTAACTATATTTGCTATATATTTCCAACCCGCCAATTCCATCCATTTCTGAAAATTACAGCAAAAGCAAATGATTCCCTTTAAATATATATCCAGTACAGTTACCAGTATTTACAGCTTTTCTACCAACCATTGAAAAAAGCACCATTGAAAAGCATCATGATATTGAACCTCAGGGAATTGTTACAATTCACAATAGATTGAAAAAGCTAACATGCATTTCCATTCAACACATCCCGATAGCTGTAGTCCCCGCTATCAATCATGTTTCCGTGAGTACTACTTCTGATATGCTGGATTTGTTCCAAAAAGAAACATCCATTCTGAAATTAAATAAAAACATTTTTTTTGGGATAAAGAAGTCGGACTGCATGAACTGTTTTGACCTACTGCATGTATGGGCCATTATGAAGAACATTGTGACATATTTGAAAGTTAAACTCCTTTCAACTTGAATTCTGCCGAATTTTATTGTGAATAATTTCTGATGTCAGATTTGCTTCGCATCCACACTCCGTGTGAATTTTAAACTTGCTGTCGAGCATTTGTCTGTTGCACTTTGTAAGCGGTATTTGGCCTGAGGGTATATTTCAGAATTACAAATTTATTCGGCGGAGACTATTGGAAAACAGTTTTTTTTACAAGATCAAAGACTGCCGAAACTTTGACCCAACAATTGTTTATTAGAAAAGGTCTTACTGTCACTTTTTACACGGGGCGACGTTAGACTCCAGTCATTGTCAAAGAGGACAATTGAAGGGAGAATTTTTTTTTCATATTTTACTCTGGGTCTGGGTAAAAAAAAAATTGCTTTGAAATTGAAATATAAAATTTATTCATGGACTGTAGCTTGTGCTGTGTGGGCAACTCAATCTGGGCTGTATCTAGTGGGCAATATTTATAAAAAAAAATGAATTGAAAAAAAAAAAGATTAAACAATTTTATTTAAATTTGGTCACATGACAACCTTAATTTACTTAAATTTACTTTATTTCATCTCATGGTAAATCAATATAAATATACAAGAATAG